GAGCCGGATGCCAGCAGCTGCCCGTTGTTTGAGAAGGCGACCGAGATAACCCAGTTAGAATGGCCCTCCAGCGTTTGCATCTCTGGATCCCAATACTCCTCTACCTTTGGACCTCTGGATAACCAAGCAGGAAGTTCGCTCTCAAAGGTCTCTCCGATCAACGTTTTATGTGGTGCAAAAATCAGGCCAGAGCTGTACAGTTGCAGTGGTGCCGTATCAATAATTTGTGCCAATTTTAGGATAAATCTGCGCGCATCTAAGAGGAAAACATGCATCTTATTACTGGATATATCCTAGATTTCTATTAGTGTCAGTCGGTCGGCTGGCACAAGCTATTTTATTACTCACTCTGGTCAGTTGGAGCAATGAATTCACTGCTATTATGGCTTCAGATATTATCCCCAGAATGTCCATAGCTTCAAACCAATGAAGAAGGTGTTCTTTTAGGAACGTGAGCACCTGGTCAAGGATTCTGGCTGGTACTGAACCTTGGGTAAGATGGTAAACCCAGTAACGACAGGTGTATTGAAGGGCGGGCGGGAGGACTCCTGTTATTAAATCTGGACCTATCTCTGTTTGGTTGGTCCCATAGCTTAGCAGATTGTAAATATTCTTTGTAAGGTAACGGTCCATGATAGCAAGGCATTGACTGGCTATGAGCTCATGCTTCACCTCTTTATCTACCCAGAATGGGGATATTTCTGTGTCTGTTTTCGTCCCCTCATCCAGCAAATAATCATGAAAGGATGAATGGAACGTCTGTATAGGTAGATTGGGATCACTTGGTATGACCAAAACTGACTGAAATGAGCGTAGCCGGATGCTAACATTGCGTTCCTGCAACTCAAGCAGTTCCGCAAGAGAACTCAACGAAAGCGGAGCAGCAAGAAGAATAATCACACCGATAATATTCTGAAACTCTCTGACCAGCTTGTCCCTATCGTTCTTATTTCTGACAAGGAGCTGGTTTAAAACCGGCCGGTATGTATCATCCAGCTGGGATCCCGACGAGTTGGCGAGAAACTCCTGAAGCCGCTCTTCCGGGTCAAAATTAGTATCTGCCACGAAACGACATACCGTAGCTGCAAAGATAAAGAGCGGAGCAGCCCTGGCTGTCAGAGCTTCAATTTGTGCCTTCCCAGGCCAGTCACGGGGAAGATTGTGCTCGGGATGATGTTATATCTCAGAGAATTTCTCCGTGAGATATAGAGTGATATCGCGCTCAGTCACAACATCATTTACTGTCTGCAAGGGAGTATGCTGATAGAGCCCCTTGCCAAGTACTCTAAAATTGGAGCGAATATGCTGCTCCAGTCAGCTTGTTAACAAGAATCTAACTGTCATATTCATTGATGTCACGAGCTTGGCCAAGAGGGCAAGAATAGTCCTCCAGTCTTCCTTTGGTTCGTACTCGTTGAGAGTATCGATAACAATAATAGTAAGAGACATAGCTTGACCCTGATCCATGTTGAGCAGTGGCTGCAAGATAAGCTTTTTGAACTGCTCTTCCAATGACTTGCTTCTAATAGTAGAATTGTTAGCTATAGCTTTCTGGATCCCAGCAATTATCTGAGAGATGTATACTACTAGTTGCTTTGTAATTGTAGGGAAAAGTTTTATAACTAAGTTCTAATCTCCTGTGCTTCTTTTAAAAAAGAAGCTTATCCCAAGAATATTATTTTCTTTGAATAATTAGACTACCGTCCTCATAATAGTAAACTTGTTAGTACCTGCTATTTTACTTAACTAGAAAATATATTTATTACTGGATCTCTTCTAGTCCTATATTTATTGAAGTAATTTTATTCGCGTTCCAGCAAGATATTTATTCTCATGCTGGTTCTTGAAGGAGCTATAAAATATATCCTTAGTAAAAGAAAGATTTAATATATTAATTATATTACGTATCTTCTAGATATCCTCAGTTAATATATCAAGATAATTTAGAATAATTTTTATTTTCTTTTGGCAGCGTAGGTGCTGGTCTAGGACTAATTACTAATATAAGTAAGACTTCTCTTCCTTGATTAAGGCCTTGAGCTGCGTAAGTGGCTGGCTTATTATAGCTGTTATACTCTATATAATTTCTTTTTTTCTTATTAGATTATTGTACTTTCTATACTTCAGTAAAGTATTGTAAAATTGCTATATATATATAAATAATTAATTATTCTTTTTTAATATTTACTATAACATGGTCTCTACCCCTATAGAATTATTTTTTAATAAAAGTATAATAAGTCAGTAAGTTCGTTAGATATTCTAATAAATTAAATAGAGCCCCTTAGAAATCGGCATGATTTTTAGCTATCTAAGTCATTAGCTGATTATCTGGCTTGGCTGGTATAAGAATTATATTATTAATCTAAGAAAGACTATCACCCAAGCACTGGAAGTGTATTTAGTTAGATTAAATTTTATAATATTACTAATAACATCTTAAAAAGATAGTACTAAATTTAGTATTTTATAGACTGTAGCTTGAATACTATTCTTTCTCTTCTTCTCCCTATACTGTGTCTCTGTCGCTTTTATTACTTTATCTAATATCTCTTATGTTTATGTACTGCTAGCGTCATAAAGCTTAGTTCCACTTGGTAGGAAAAGTGTTACTATACTACTAAGGTTACTTTTTTTTAACTTGTTGTATGTTATTTTCCAAAATCTTTTTATATTGTGGTTACTAGCTTAGAAAGTATCATATCTGGAATTAGCAGGGCCATCTTTAGTATCTAGATCCGTGGTGGCGTTTGAAGTACTTGATTTAAGGGTAATGGAATGTGTATGTTTGTCTCTTTTCCACTTTTTGAAAGTAGTCTTCACGCGTTCGGTGATGCTGTGTGACTTATTTTGATTTGAAGTATTAGGAGTATCCATATTGTAAGCCCGTGATATCGCTATGCAAAAAGCTTTGGTCGTAGGGATACGAAGTAAAGTTCGTTGTAAGTGAGTTTGGAAGCAGGAAGGAAAAGGACTAGGGGTAGTCTGGCTATTTCTGGGAAAATATCGGCGGGGAAGACAGGGGAGTGGTCTTCAGCCAATCATTAGTTACAGAGAGGCCTGTTTTGACACATCATGCTTGTTTGCTTTTTCCTAGCTGATATTCGAGGGCCATGACTCTTTCGGAATTGGGTAACATTTGACGGTGGAACTCAGTTAGATTCGGGAGTTGAATGATTCATATCTGACGGTTGGTGCGGCTTCCCTAAGAGTTCAAATGAATTGAGATAGTGAAGGTGGTTCACCCACCGATTGTGTGACTACCAGTGCCCATGTTCTCACCAGGATTAGGCTTGGATGGGAGAAGTACCCTCCAAGGAGCGGTGGGGTTGACAAGCGATGCTACCGACACCATGGTCCAAACAGGGCGAGCCACGATCGTGCGGTCGGGCACCGGAGTTATTATCGGGCTGCATTGACAATCGTGGGGTTCGTTCTGTAAATACCACGTAGTAGGTTACACTTCCTACTATGGAGCTATATTCTATATCTTTTAAAGATACCAGCAAATCTAAAAGCTTCGTAACTTAAATAGATTTAGTATATAATTAAGACTGGGTTGTTAACGAAAGCTAAAATTGCCTTTACCACTAGTTATAGTAAGTAAGCTGTAATATATATCTATTAGAATCTAGAGGCATTTGGCAATGTCAGAATTTCTTGAAATAGTGTTAGATATTTTTAAAGTATTATCCTAGTAATGCTTGAAATTGTGTTGGAACGCTTAAAAGAGAAATTAATTTTTTACTTAGATAAATTAGTGGTTTTTATATATAATAATTTCAGAAAGCATATAACTAAATAGAGTTTAAGTAGAATATTTACTTCTATTAGTTAGTTGAACAAGGCAGCTCGGCAAAGAATAAGGAAATAAAATATAGATTTATAAGATTTTTATTTGTATAGTCTATCCCCTTATTTATTATATTAGCTGGTATACGTGGATAAGTCAGGCTGTAATAAGTGGATATAATTTCAGTAAACTAGCTAATCTCCTCTTAATATTATTTTAGTTCAGATCTCTAAATTTTACCGTGATTAACGTTATCAGATACTGCCTACTTATACTTAGGAGAGTGTTCTCCTATCTTAAGTTTTTTAAGGCTTAATTAATACTAGTATATTTAGGAATTTCATAGAGTAGTTTCTCTACTATTATAATAAATAGCCAGAGCTGAGGTCCGTAATTATTATAGATAATACATTCTTCTACTATACTAAACAGATTAAATAGATATGCCTGAATGCAGGAGTTAAACTATTATATTTATTATTTTACTTTCTAGATCTTAACTCTATTAAGGAGTTCTTTACTGAACTCAAATAATTTATTAAGTGGAGGTGGTATGAGTATAAAGATAATCCAGATTAAAGATTTAATACTTTTTTTGAGTGGTGTATTAGAGTTATTAGTTTAAAGATATAAAATATTAAAGACTATTTTTAACATGTAGGTATACTGATAGATAAATATATAAAGTATTTCTTAGCTGTGCCACACATAAAATAAACTATAAAAAATAACTAAAAGTAATATAATTATTTATTCTATTAATCTGATTTCCCACTATTTATATAATAATAAAAGTTGTTTATCCAGTATCTGATATTCTTTAAAAATTAACGAGTAATACTCCATTTGACTCTCCAATTTTTAAAATATTCAGGATCGTTTAACTTATTAATTTAGTTTAAGTTTAATCTATTACTCAGAGCTACATTATATGCTTTATAAAATTCATTCTTCTATAACTTATTTATAATCTATGACTGGTAATAGTCATAGTAGGCCTAGACATTAGTATCACGAAATCCTGTTATTTTAAGCCGCGAAGCCTTAGTAGAATAGATGGACGTGTTTTCTAGTATAAGTAGTAATAATAATATATCTAGCTGTGTAGCGTGTGCGGGAAGTACATTAATAATAGTAATCAATAGGTAAGCTAACTCTAATAAAAGGTGACTACGATTCTTTATCTCTTTAAACCACCACCTCTTAGTCCTATAGATTTGTTCATAGATTATACTAAATATGTCTTCGTGGGTCTCTAATCTTTTTCCACTCTTCACGTACCAGACTAGGCTTAAAAGCTTATCTCTATACAGTTTATAATGTTTTTTCCCATATGGATCCTGCTAATAGTGCGGCCTTAACTTACACGACCCAGAATAGTATATTACCATATAGATATGCCTCCAGGCCGCAGGCTCTTTGGTTAGTTCCTCCTCCGTGTTGACCTCCTGATCAAGATTTTAAAGCATATTCTGGGTGGTAGAAGAAGCACCTTATTTATTAGTCACTCTACAATTGGCTATAGAGTCTTAATTATCATTTATATAGTTAAATAATATTAAGAGTTTCAATTTCTTATTGGTAAAGAAGTGATGGAACTTTATTAATAAGCTAAAAGCTCTCTATAAGTGTCCCGCTAAGGCCTTAGCAGCGGGGCGCGAAAACAATCGTTATGTGTTTCAAGGTCAGTGGAATTTCGAGACCGACTGTAAGCTCATACTGTCGGCCCACCTAAGACTACATAAGCCATAGAACCATAGACATATCTGGTGCAGGATGTTAAACTCTCTTCTTCTATTTGGTCAGGAGGCATCGGATCATTTGAAGACTGCCCCGTAAAGTCTACACAGTAAAGAGAAACAGTGACATGTTATCCATTAGCAAAGCGGTGTGTTGTTGGCATTCCAGCAGGATCTCAGATCGGTACGTCCTTGTCTGAAGATGCCTTCGGTATTGCCATGTTCGTGTACAATCGATTGCCTCTGATAGCGACATTCGCTGTTGGTCTGTCATCTACTGTTGTGGGTCATGCATAATACATACATCGTGACTTTAAATTTTCAGAGGCATTTCTATCATTATGCTCTCATGGCTAGTTACTATAACCAGACTGAAGTAACTTTTCCCTTTTCGACCAAAATATGGGGTTCCAGCTAAAGGAAGACTGTGCGGGGTGCCAGACTAGTACAGAGTAGAGGCTGACAGATTGAGATTTGGGTATAGTATGATGCATGAAGCCCACAGGCTCCAAGGGATACTTGGATAGCTCAGGGTGAATGTAAACCTCTGCTTAGCCTGATCTAAGAATATACATTACACAACCAATGAGATTCATGTTACAGAGTACTAAAACGCATCGAGCAGTGTATGTCTTATCTGAGCAAAGGCTGTTTGCTATACATATCGAGTATAGCGCATCTTTCTACATAGTTTCAAGCTGGTCAATAATGCTCCTATCAAAATATAGGACAGTGGTACTAGTACTCCTCCATAAGGATTTCCATATCCGGTTTATCGCATATCTCCGGCAACGATAAGGTGGCCGGACATCGATCACTGCCATGCTTACTTTCCTTACCACTCCACCTCATTGTTCCCTCCATTGGAAGCTTCTTGACGGTATGGATAGATTTATATCATGGGCCTCTTGCGACGGCTCACCTTTCACCTCTCTGCCTAGCGAAAGGGGGGACTGGCAAGTTGGTGGCTGTCCCATGCAATCCGGCTAGTCGCGCAGTTGGCGGAAACCGGCGACCGTAACAATCTTCACGCCTTCAATCTCGGGACCTCTCTTACGGTGCAGTTTTCTCGTCCTCAGTCAGGCTGCAACCACTACCTATCCCGGTCATCTCCATCAATTGGCATATAACAGAGGGGGAGAGATAATTCATGGCTTAATCATTTTGGAGAACCCCCTGCAGTCGCCGCTTCTTCCCTTCTCCCCTACCTCCAAACCGCACCTGCGGAATCACGCCCACAAAGAAAACAACACTGCATCATCGCAACAGCACATAGAACGTCAGACCCAATCATGACAGAACCGCCTGTGAAGCGCGCTCGCCGAGTTGATAGTTCAGCAATGTGGGATCAAGATGACCGGAGGACACGTTCACCCGAACTAGAATCAGACCGTGCTAGAAGCCCCCGGCGGGAGCAGTACGCGAAGGATGACGTGCGACGTGATGGGCCTCGTGACGATCGGAGGTATCGTTCTCGCTCTAAAGACCGGAGGGATAGGCGACGAGATAGGAGCTGGTCAAGAGATCGTCGTGACCGCGATCGCGATCGCCGAGACAGAGATAGAGACGGACGGGGAACGAGGGAGAGAAGTATCAGCCGGGAGAGGCACTACGATAGACGCGGTATGTACAGAACAGTTTATCAAGCACACCTTCTAACTTTTGGTCAAGGCTATCCTCCGAAAGGGGATAGGTACAGGTCGCGGTCGCCTATTCGGAACGGTAACAGGGACCGGTCGCGGACGCCACCTCGTGCCCCCCGGGGTGAGCGCAGAAACGATCGCCGAGATCAAAGAGCCCCGACTAATGGTGCTGCTGATACGAAACCGGTAGCGAAGCGCTCCAAGGATGAGATGGATATTGATAGCGATGGACCTGTCGGGGAAGACGATTTTGAGGAGATGATGCGCCGCAGCATGGGTTTCACCAAGTTCAGGAGCACGAAGAACACCAAGGTTCCCGGGAACAACGTCTATGGCGTCCGCAAGGAAAAGAAGACGGAGTACAGACAGTACATGAACCGTGTAGGAGGATTCAACCGGCCGCTCAGTCCCTCGAGGTCATAAAGCTATTTGCTTCCTTGACTACCTTGACGATATCATCAGCTGCCATCTTCTACTCTACTTTCGACCTTCTACTTCTGCCTGGGTTTACATTCGTCATTTGTTCTGTCGGGGCGGTATCAATTTTCATGCATGGCTGGAGTAAAATTTATGGTGGGCTTTCTTTTCTGTGCCTCTCGACTTTTCAAGCAAATAAGATACCTTATAAAGCCTGTCTATATCCTTACAGTGGTTCTTTCATAGTCGCTAAAATCAGGCAGATGTAATACAACCATGTCTTATCAGTATCCCAGTAAAAGTGTGGCACATGACCGGAGTGACGTAGGCCCCTCTTATTAAAGGCTTCCCCTCCCACCCCAACTGCCGGCAGGCATCAGAGTCCCTCATCGTCTCACCAACGTGGCTTCTCTAAGAGCTTTAGCATCCAAAATTGCTCCTTACCGCAAGATGTCGACTTCTGGCGAGCGCCGTGAGATTGTGATCATTGGTATGTATGCGCCTCGACGCGCTTCAACTTCTCCTCCTTACCCCGCACAGCCCGATTCCTGCTAACAATCTTTCCCATCAGGTGGTGGTATCATTGGATGCTGCTCTGCCTATTATCTGACGCGGCACCCTTCCTTCGATCCCTCACGGCATTCGGTGACTTTGATAGAGGCATCCGAGATCGCAGGAGGAGCATCGGGCAAAGCTGGAGGACTTTTGGCATTGTGGGCTTACCCAAGCAACATTGTACCACTGAGCTACCAGCTGCACGCGGGCTTGGCTAAAGAGCACAATGGCAAGGAAAGATGGGGCTATCGAGAAGTCGGTTGCGGGCAACTCATGGTGAGAGGTCGTCCACTCAGTGACAAGAAAGAGACAAGCGGAGGAGCAAGTGGGAGCTCGGTATCGCTACAAAAGCGAAGTGCAGACGCTATGGGGAAACTGAAAGCCGCCAAGTTCCCTCAGGACCTAGACTGGATTGAGCCTGAGCTTGTGAGAAGCTACAGGAGCATGAGTGATCCCGGGGAGACTGCTCAGGTCCATCCTTATCTCTTCACGACGTCTATCGCTAAGCTTGCTGAAGAGAAAGGCGCAAAAATTACCTTGGGTTCCGTTACCGACATTGGTTACGCTGGAGATGCTGTCGAATCAGTGACGTATACGGATAAGAAGACGGGTGAATCACACAGCATTTCCGCAACAGACGTGATTGTTGCTGCGGGCCCCTGGACGAGATCGGTCCTGCCCCAAGCCCCTATCACGGCGACTCGCGCACACAGTGTTGTTATCCGGCCCGTCAAGCCGGTCAGCGCATACACCCTTTTCACTAATATCGATATCCCGGCCAACTTCGATCCGGCAAAGCCTTCTCGACCTGATGTGGTATCGCCAGAGATCTACGCCCGTCCGGACGACACGGTCTATGCCTGTGGTGAAGGCGATCACGTCGTTCCGCTCCCGAAGACCACTGCGGATGTCGAGGTGGATCCAGTGCGATGCCAGGACATCATTAACCACGTCGGTAGCATCTCCGATCAACTTCGCGACGGTGAAGTCTGCGCACAGCAAGCTTGCTACTTGCCTAATGTGTCTGTCGGGCGCGGAGGTCCATTGGTTGGCCATGCTGGAGCCAAGGGGTTATACCTTGCTGCTGGCCACACCTGTTGGGGGATCCAGAATGCGCCGGGTACAGGCAAGCTCATCAGCGAATTCGTCTTTGATGGCGAGGCGAAAAGCGCGAAGATCAGCTCGCTCGATCCGAGGAGCTATATTTAGAATAGACGCATGTAGATAGCATTCTGCACAGCGAGTTTATATCTTGTAGATAGGTTCTTCAATTTATAGTTCCCCTTAGCAGGAGCTTGTTGCATGCTGCAGGACCCATCGCCGGGGGTGGAGCTTGGGCCACGTAATTTGCGGAGCGCAAGGCGGCCGTCCCAGCAGATGCCACATAGTAACAACGACGCGCATTTCAATGAAGTGAACCGCATCGGTGTCAAGCATCCCCCTCCATGATCATCCTCAGTCCCTGAGGCTTGAATTCGACTCTGGATGCTTCCGACCTAGAAAATGCATCTCTCCAAGATCTCCGCATTCCTAACACCGGTCCTCAATGCTGCTGCGGTGCTCTCCAGTCAAGCTCCGGCCGATGATCTCTCCGTCCTGAGTAACGAGGTAGCGAGGGCCAACAACCAGTCTTTACTATGGGGTCCTTATAAGCCGAACCTCTACTTTGGGGTTCGCCCTCGTATCCCGAACAGTCTGTTCGCAGGATTGATGTGGGCCAAGGTGGACGACTATGCCACGGCGCAACAGAGTATGTGTCCGGTCAATTGTATCCGATCAAGTTCATACTGACCCTCTTGCAAGACTTCAGACATACGTGCGAGCAAAATGAAGGCATGGCCGGATATGGGTGGGACGAGTACGACATTCGGAAGGGTGGCCGGCAGACCATCCATGACGCCGGAAACTCCCTCGACTTGACAATTGATTTTGTGAAGGTCCCTGGTGGACAACATGGAGGCAGCTGGGCTGCTCGTGTGAAGGGCGTTCCTCGCGATGATGCTCCCCTTGATCAACCCACGACCGTCATGTTCTATGCTGCGTTGGAGGGATTGGGCAACCTGGGCGTTGCGACCAACTCTGAGGATCCTCATGGCTTCGATGGCGACGTGAAGCTTACTGGCTTTACGACCGACCTTGGTGACTTCTCGATCGATGTTACTTCTGGCCCCGATAGCAATGAGCATCCGGAGCATGACCACCCTACCTATGAGGAGAAGCCCCTGGACCGTACCTTGGTGTCGAGTTTGACACTGCATCCGGAACAACTCTGGCAAACGAAAGGTTCGGCTTCCATCTCTGGGTACAGCACGGTGGCGCTCTAAGATTACGACTGCTAATGTTGTATACAGTTATCATGTTCACCCAGATGAAGAAAGAGGTTGACGAAATGGTCCAGAAGTATGGATCAGACAACCCTCCCCCTCCGTACCAGATTTTCACCGTCAAGAATGAACCTGGTGATGGAAACATGCACCTTGTGCAAAAGGTCTTCAAGGGTGCCTTTGAGGTATGCTGTTCAGTATCACCCGCCTGAGTACATGGCTTACCATTTCTAGTTCGATATTCTCTTCTCCTCTGGCTCTTCACCACAGCCTATGACATGTGAGAGATCTCTGCACACATAGACGAGCAACCTGTGCTAACAATGGTCCAGCTGAGCTTCTTACTGAGCAGATCTCAAGCGCCTCGCTTGAATTCGCGGACCGGTTCAAGAAGGTTCACCCCCCACAGTCTCCATTTGATACTGCGGAATACTCTGAATTCTCCAAGTCCATGCTCTCCAACCTTGTCGGTGGCATTGGATACTTCCACGGATCTGATATCGTGGATCGTTCGGCGGCACCAGAGTATGAAGAGGAAAATGAAGGTTTCTGGGAAGAAGCTGCCGAAGCCAGGGCTCGGGTACAGCCTGTTCTTGAAGGGCCGAAGGATCTTTTCACTGCTGTTCCATCTCGCCCATTCTTCCCTAGAGGCTTCCTCTGGGATGAAGGATTCCACTTGATCCCTGTTGTCGATTGGGACACGGACCTCGCGTAAGTTCCTTCAGTTCAAGTTTGTTACTCTATTGCTTCCAGATCCACTAACCCCAAAAAGGCTCGAGATCGTGAAGAGCTGGCTCAACTTGATGGACGAAGACGGTTGGATTGCTCGCGAGCAGATCCTCGGTTCTGAAGCTCGCAGCAAGGTTCCGCCCGAGTTTACCGTCCAGTATCCTCATTACGCGAACCCGCCGACACTTTTCATCATCCTTGAGGCTTTCATCGATAAGCTGGATGCAAAGAAGAATGCTTCGATGCAGACTTACGCTGATGTCGAGGCCACAGACGGCCTCCGCTCCATTTACGTTGAACAGCCGGAACTGGGTGAAGCTTTTATCCGTTCAATCTACCCGTTGCTCAAGAGGCACTACTTCTGGTACAGAAGTACTCAGAAGGGTGACATCAAGTCCTATGACCGGGAAGCATACTCTACCAGGGAGGCGTACCGTTGGCGAGGACGTTCGGTCCAGCATATCCTGACCTCTGGATTGGATGATTATCCTCGGCCTCAACCTCCTCACCCTGGTGAGCTGCATGTGGACCTTATCAGTTGGATGGGCATGATGACTCGGGCTCTCCGTCGTATCGCTGTGACCATTGGAGAAACGGAGGATGCCGAAGTTCTCAAGACTTACGAAACCGCCATTGAGAGAAACATTGATGATCTCCACTGGGATGATGACGCTCATACTTTCTGCGATGCAACTATCGATGAATATGAGGAGAGCGTTCATGTCTGCCACAAGGGTTACATCTCCATCTTCCCCTTCCTGACAGGTATGCTGGGCTCGGATAGCCCGCGCTTGAAGGCAATTCTGGATTTGATTGGAGATCCGGAAGAGCTCTGGAGTGATTATGGTATCCGCAGCTTGAGCAAGAAGGACGAGTTCTACGGCACTGCTGAGAACTACTGGAGGAGTCCCATCTGGGTCAACATCAACTACCTGGTGCTCAAGAACCTTTATGTAAGTCAAGCCAATTCCTTCCAGAACTCGGCCAATGAGGCTGACCGTTTATTTAGGACATTGCCATCGTGCCTGGCCCTCACAGGAAACAGGCCCGTGATCTGTACTCCAACCTCCGGAAGAACTTGGTTGAGAATGTCTTCAGGGAGTGGAAGAAGACCGGATTTGCCTGGGAGCAGTACAACCCCGAAACCGGAAATGGACAACGGACGCAGCATTTCACCGGCTGGACCAGTATGGTGGTGAAGATGATGTCCATGCCCGATTTGCCCGCCAGCGAGCAGCAAGGCCACGACGAATTGTAACCCTATAGAGGTGAAGTGTGTATGGTATAGTTGAGGTATCCTAGAGTAACACCAAAGTCTGTACAACGTTGAATCCGAAACGCCGAAACCCCATGCGTAACAAGGTGTGGTGAGCTTGCTCAGCGCCGTCGATGGTGGTCAGAAGAGTCTCTCTCTCTTGGGTGAGTGCGATGACGGTCCTCTCGCTGCCTCTTATGATCATCACGTCTCCTGTCTCTACTCCTTGACCGTGAGCGTGAACGCCTTCTCCTGTGTTCACGATCATGGTCACGATCGCGTGACCTAGATCTATGGCGATGACTCCGATGATGACGCTCGCGCTCATCACCATGTCTGCGATGTCTACGCTCCCTTTCTCTGTCTCTGTCCCTGTCCCTGTCACTCGGGCGATCTCGTTTCCGATCCCTTCCCGGGCTTCGACTACGGCCGCCGCGTCGGGACGAGCCATACCCAATGCCCTTCCCTACTCCGTCCTCAAGATCTTCTCCAGCGGTATCCTGGAGCGTTTTCTGGACCTCCTTCTCTCCTAACGGGACTAAGTTGGCGTTTTCTGAAGCCTTCGGTGGTATCGGAAGACCCAAAGCTCGGGCCATCGCTTCTTCCTCCGCCTCCTTGACGCGCTGTTTTTCCTCGCGCTCCTTCCTGGCCTTGTCTTCATCGTCACCGTCCCCTCTTGCATACCAGAACAGATCCTTGCCATGCTGCCAGCGACCAACAGGGGCCATGACCGAATGGCCGAGGTAGTTCTCGCGATGCGTGGAATCCTTGACGTCGGACCATTTGAAGTCGCCGCGGCCGCCGCTGGAGAAGCAGTTCGGTTAGAAGCTTATCAACAAAGTAATAAAAGTAGTAGGAAACATACCGGCTGCCCTCTTTTCTCACCCCTGCAACTAAATCCATTGTGATCAGGCTTGTCTTGACGAAAAGCTGTGGGAGGAGGCGTCAACGAGGAGGTGGGAGTAAAGCCGAAGCTACGGAGAATGGCAGGTGGCACGTGCGCCCGTGGCTGCCTGAGGCGGCGAGAACGGGGCTGGGGTGACTTCATACCAATAATCCCTCCGCTTTGGCGGTCGTGCCGATCGGGGTTTGCGATCAGTTCCAGTGTGATCGGTGCAGGAGACTCAGAGTTTGTTTGGCTTCTTTGACATGAGCCTTCAGTAGGCTTTTGACTTCCCCCCGCCGCTCTGCAAAGCAACCACAGCCATCCTTCGACTCCATGTGATGCCACCTCGATTGGATCTCCTCCAAACTACCCCTCGACGTTATTGAATGTCGGTCCTCTTGCCGCCCTCACTTGCCCCCGACCCGTCCTCCTCAACGTGAATGGTTGGCCGTCGGGTATATACTTTGGCGTCCCTTGTCCTTCCATTCTACGCATCTCCTGGCGTTAGCGACTGCAGCTCGCCAAGATGGCGTTCAGTAGCGATGCTGGTAGACAGCCAAAACCCCGGCCCCGCGAAGGTCTGCAGCTTCGGCCGTTAAATGTCGAGAAAGGGTCAAAAAGAGTATGTGGTTATCCTGTTCTCTCTATATAGGTATGCTGACCCTCTATCAAGTTCTCTTCGTATGTTCTCTGCTGCCATGATTCGAGACGCTGTCCGTGAGCGATGCTGAACGAAATTGCAGCGCAGATGACATTTTCCCTCCGCAGACCGCAACCTGGAGGAACAACTTGGTATTTCCAGTGCTATCCTTTTGTCGTGTCTAATTTACTAATATACCGGAAGATTGCGCTTTCCCAGCGCCGCAATCTGTTGTTCGTCGCCTACAGCCACCAGATCTATGTCTGGGAGCCATCTGGGTCATTTCAGACACTGGGCAACAAGCCTGAGATGATCATCACCCCAGTAATGAAGGAGCCCCACAGCAGTGGTTATATCGCACCAGCTACGCCCCACGCCATCAACAATCTCCTTGTGGACGATCTAGGCCGTGAGGAGGTGCTGCTACTTGTCACGGACTCCGGCAATGTTTGCGGCTATCGGGTCGAGGCCATATTTTCTGCCCTGAAGCGGGCGGCAGCAAATAAGCAAGAACGGCCCCTCGATGGTTCCCAGGTGGATCCATTCTTTGTGGAATATGTGGAAGCCAGTGCCTGGGGCTTGGCCATCCACAAATTTGCCCGTCTCATTGCTGTGAGCGCGAACACGGGCCTCATCACGGTTTTTGCGTTCGCGCTTGTCAACCCCGCTTCCGGGGACAGTAGCAACTCGAGCTACCACCCAGAAGACGATGATGATATCGCCGACTACGGTCAAACCTGGCTGGAGGTCAAGACTAAAGAACAGTTTGCGCAGCTGCAACCTTTGATGCCGGACAAACATCGCACGCGAAATATCAAACTAACCTATACTGGCCATTTCGCTAACATCCCTTCGGTTGCGTTCTTAAATTGCGATCTTGATCCCAACGGCAACTGGATGGTTAGCACGGACATCGACAATAAGCTGCTTACCTGGAGGGTCTGGGATCACCTTGGCCCATTCAGCGTGAATCATTTCAACGATATCTCCTTCAAGTTCTTCCCAGAAACACTGCGTAACGAGTATGAAATCCAGCCTTCATCGCTGATCCTTCCTTATCGCTGACTAGTACAGCAGTGAGCGTGGTTGGACCGTACTTGCCCTCGACCCGCGATCCTTCCATCGGGTCAAGTCTGCAGAGGAAGCTTGCGGTGGCCCACCTCAAAGACGCATGAAGAACGGCCGAACGATTTTCGACTTGACCAGAGCAAATAGTCAGATACCCAACGCCTCGCAGATCTATAACTACTTCCCACCTGCAGTGAAAGTCGAATTCGATGAACCGGTTCTACCTGACATATTCGGACCCGATTGTTGCATTAGCCGAAGAAACAGCAACTCCCAGGCCGCCTGCGCTGACGGCTCACCGGCGGTACTTCGTCGGTATCCAAGCGATATTACGTCCACTGAATATTTGGATACCAGCGGATATTCCACAGCAACTCGCGGTGTTCGTCCTTCGGACTCCGCTGATGCGTTTAGCCATCGGGCCGTCAACGGCTCTGTATATGGGGACAACTTGAGCCGCGACGGCTCTGACGTGGATTTGAGCACGCAGAATCCAGGAGGTAATGGACGTTTCCAGCCACCAGGCGGCACAGACCAGCGAGCTGATAATTTTCCTCGTTACCTTGGCCCAGGACCATTGACAACTCCGGAGTTTCTTCAATTCGCGCTTATTGAAGCTCTTGGTGGCGATGCTCCCGATACCGAGTACTATGATGATGACGACATGGATGATTACTTGGTCGAGGACACTTACAGTGATGATCAAGAGCTGAACAATGCGGATAGTGATTCTTGCGATGATAGTGAAATGTCAGCGATGGCACAAATTCCGCATCCAGCTTTTCATCGTATGTTGAAATACTCCTGATCCCGCTCTCCACATGAATGTTTCGCGGGTGCTAACGGATCTGCTTCGAATTCAGCAAGCTCGAAATTTCCCATCCTTCACTTCTCACAAACAGATATCCGTCTAATAGCCCATCCCTTCGCAAATCATGCCAGGGTCGTCTGCGGCGACCCTTTACGACAGCCACTCACCCACCCTATCGTCTCGATCCGAGCCTGTGATCGGTTCAACATGGTCAAGTACATTCCTGAACATGGGATTGTGATTGCTGCCTCCCAAAAAGGCCGCGCAGCTGTTATCGCCCTCACTGAATCCGAGACCACCGGGCAATCATTCCGAGTCGACTGGATTGTACCTTTCGAGAGTCAAGAAAAATACGGTGACCGTCCCCTCATCCCTCTCCTAGGCATGAGCGTCAGCCCCATCCAAGGATTTGAGATCCCACCCGACGTGCCCTACATCCCGCGGGACGTAAAGGCCCACGACCTCACCTTCCAATTCAAGTACATGAGCAATGACGAGCCCCACACCTCTCTACCGAGCAGCGTCATACTACAACCCAACCACTTCAGTGACGAGATCAATTACCCCCCAGCCGAGCCCAGTGAACCCAGCGATGACGACCCCCAACAACCACCACTCACCTTACCCGAATGCCACGCCCGAGCAACCAATGCGTACCAGCCCGAGGAAAGCTGGCGTGGTTGGAACCCATCCCGTCACTACCGGTTAATGCTGATGTACGCCGACCACACCATCATGAGCTACGAGTTCTGGTACAATTGGAATACGACAGATACGGTTCCAAACGGGCCGGATCTCAACGAGGAGGACTACCTTCTTCTATAGACTCTCCCTCCCCCTCCCCCTCAACCCCTCTCCACCTCCTCTCTCTTAAACAAAAGAAACTCTCGTACATATGATCCGATAGATCCGGAATGGGCCTCTTGAAGGAAAAAAAAGGGCGTGGATGTAAATCATCGCATCGCATCGCATTTGAATGGGCGTTCGGAGCGAGACTTGTTGAAAGCGCTGTGTGTATGGATTCTCTCTCCCTCCCCTCAAAAATGGTTTGGTTTTCTTTTCTTGTTATTATTTTCGGGATATTCTGCCAACATACCTTTTCGCTGTGTGGATTGAGTGTATTGATCGTATATATTTAGTATCTATAGTTGGAACTGGAAATGTGTTGTTTATATGGGTTTAGGGTTACCGAATCTTATATTGCGTGAGGCTATTTGAAATATGAAGACTCAATTTCGAAAATAAGTCATGAGGTAAATATGAAATTCTAGTGGCTAGATAGAAGGATAGATGCGTGCTTTTGAACAGAGAAATCGAATCATGGTATACATGGATGTGAAGTAGAAATACTTGGCATAGAACTAACAGTTGGGGAACGAGACAATATTTAACAAGGACAGGAAAGCAATGCACAAGGAAGAATGAATAAGAATGCCCAAAGCCAATGAACGGTCCGCTAATACAGAATGCAGAATGCATGCAGAGTCATCAAAGTCATAGTTATATGGCAGTTTCGGAACGTACATGAGTCATGACACAGGATATCCATGCAAGAGAGATATCGAAGAATATGTAATAGAAGATCCCCGGTAGCTTTTGGAATTGAAATTGGTTTTGGAAGGACGACGGGGTGGAGGGGATTGATGTTGTGTAGATGGATAGACGTCTAGAAATCGTCATCTAGCTCATCACTGTCCCATTCGTCTTCTCGGTCATTTTGGACCAAGTCCAAAAACCGTTGGAGTCCCTGGCGTCGAACTTGCAGAGGCTCTGCATCTGGTCGACGGCGAACCTCAGCCATTGCTCGTGCTTGAGCCTGTCTTTCGGCGGCGGCGGCGCGGCCGGCTGCGTCTAGATCGTTGGCATTGTTTCCACGTGGACGGTTGCCCCCGGCTGCTGCATTGTTAACTCTGGGAGGTACCGGGGCAGGGGGTGGAGGTCGTCTTCCGAGCTCCCATGCCACAAGGTCCTCGTCGTCACTGCCATCGTCGAATTGCAGTAGGTCGTCTGGTACTTGATGTAAAGCTGCGGCTCCATCAGGATTGATGCCATCGCCACCCTCCAGATCCCACAGTCGGTTAAAGCATCCACTGTTAATGTCGTTGAAGTGCCGATAGGGGTTGTCTTCGCAGAGCCAACTGGAGCAAAGATAGCAAAAGTGTGTGTCGCACTTGAAGCATTTCATATGGTTGCACCCCATTTGCTTCTGGCAGGGAGCATTGCATGTCGGACACGCGGAGGTGTATAGACGCAGGTAATCTTCTGTTGCTTTCTCCTCCGCCGATAACTCCGCATCCCGCCGAGGAAAGCAGCGTACTAGTTCACCATGCCAGCCCTTCTTGCAAACACAGCAAAAGGCGTAATTGCAATCTTCGCAGATCGCCACGCGATCGGCCATCGGTGGCAGCTGAGCCTCGTCTCCAAGGGGGTCGAACACAGGTCCATCTTCGTCTTCTTCGTCGGAAGTGTCGAAGTTGTCCGCCATTGGATCTGCAGGCTTAGGGTGCTTCTTTGAGCGTGCCGCGCCTTGACACCACTGCCGAGGGCAATATACAGTCGACTTATCAGCCTCGAGCTTTTTCTTCCGTTTTAAAAAAACGTATCGCTGCACGATATCCTGTTCCAAGGGGATCTGGAGAAGCTCGCTAGGGCTCAGGGTTCGATCCTGCTTTTTGCGTTTCTTGAGCTGGACGTCCGCGGTGAGATTCGACTCTTTGCCACAATCAGGAGCCAGGCACTTGACACCCTCCACATCGCCTTCCGTTATACAGGTGTTGTAGAAGTCTTGAAGACATGGAACACAAAAGACGTGCCCACAAAGCACGAGACGGTGGCATATTGTGCCTTTCTTCGGCTCGAGACATACCCCGCACTCGAATGTCTCTTCCTCAAACTTCTCTCGCTCAGCCTTGTTGCTATAGTCTAGTAAAGCGATCTTCAGCTCGCGGGGAAGTTGAACTTCACCGCCGGATATGTCGCTAACTCCAAAAGCTGACTCCCCCAATTGTTGGAGATGGTCGATATATGTATATACCACCAAGTCCTTCCCACATTCCTCCCAGAGCCGTTTTCCGTCATCCAAGAGACTAGAGACTATTGAGAATGGCAGCCATGGTGGATTTGTTTCCAGCCTGAAGATGGGCGGTTCTTCGGAAGGATAGCCTTCAGGAAGTTCTATTTCGAGACAGAGAGATGGAAGATGCGACAGAACGTGCACATCCCGATTGAGACCAGCTGTGGCATTTTGTTCCCTAGCTTTGAAAGGAAACCCAACTTCGTTGGCATCAATCGAGGTCGGGGGAGTTAGAACGGCGGGGAACTCTGTCTCCGATTGTTGCTGGAAACACACACGCAGGGGAGCAGAAGGCTTGACTGGTAGGTTGAGGGATGCTTTGAAGGGGGATGAAGCATCTATCTTGATCTCCGGGTAGATGGCAGCAATCGTTGATAGCTCCATCGAGCGATCATCTTCAAGGAAGGATTCCAAGTCTGTCATGATGTATATAGTTATTGTGTAAGGAACGGATAGATAACGACACGGTCTTCTCGATTAATCGATATACACTGGTCGTATGTGGTGGGTGGCAAGGAAGGCCTGTCGGCGAAGCGAGGCCGGAGCGGTATAGCCGCAGTATATCCCAGGTATCGTCAGACTTTCGATTCCTGTATGGCATTCATCCCTCTGAGGGCGATAAGAAAAGGGTAGGGCGATGAAGGAGGGCGTAAAGGGGAGGGATAATTAGGAAGAATTAGAAATAACTAGTCCATGGATCAGCAGGTAGCCAGAGGAGATAGTTTTATAAATCAGGAAGTCTGGTGGCGGAGGCCCGGGGGAATGCACCTTTCAGGTACGGCAGAGGGTCGCGGGCCAGACAATAGTCATGGAGGCAGTGGAGCCGACAGACGAACCCCAGAGGGAGAGGCAGGACGGGATTGAAGCAGAAGGGAAGAAGCGTCTATTCTAGTTGGTAGTACAGGTATACAGGAGAGGAGATCAAAAGGAGGCCTGGGGGAGAAGTGCGTCATGGTTTGAGGACCCGAGATAAGAGAGAATCGGAGTGGCAGATGAGCAGCAGGAACGGGGAGAGAGTCGTTGCAGAAGCTAGAGAGCTGGCTGGACTCGAGAAGAAAGGAAGGACATGTTTGTGTGGGAAAGATGGCATGGGATGGGCATCAGGCACGGGATTTGCTGCCCAGTCTGAGTTCTCCAGGTCCGGTCAGGTTGCTGGAAAGAATCCAAAATTATTATTATGGAACGCTTCTCGATTGTTCCGACTGGATGACTGGCTCCGGCCTGAGGCCACACCACCACACGCCACGCCACGCCTCGTCGGGAAGTTGTGTTCGTTTTCCCCTCCCCCTCATTTTTCTCGCCGCTTTAGCCTCGGCTCAGGGCGGTGTCTCGGAACGGTCCCAGCTGTAAAGCGGCCTGGCTAGGAGACCCACATGGCAACTCGCGACCAACACCTCTGCTACCCTGCTGGACTGATATCATTCATTACTATTGTCCACCATCCACCGTTCTAGTTAGGAGCATACCGATATGATCTGGACCCCCGTCTCCGGATCTTTCTAGAATCCAGCTCTCTTTCGTTATGTGTTTGTGCTAGTTGTTACCTGATCTCTCTTTCAGTTGAGCTCGTGCTGCTAGCTGTCTTGTAAGTCTGGGTAGCTTGTGCTTCCCCGTCGGCGCTCCGCGACCCCCAAGAAAAAGCATAGAAAAGAAAGACAAATACTGTATTGCGGCTCTTCCGATGTCCGAGTCAGTCAAGATGGCTGATATACCATTGGCATCCTTGTCTTTGACCCACGTCCACTACGTAAGTCGCCTGATTCAATGCCCCCTTATAACCAGTAGTCAGTGCCCGGCACTGGGAGAGACTAACCGAGCATATGTATCACCTATAGAACCCTCACGACCCACTCTCTTTCCTTTCTGCTTGGCTTGCTCTGGTGCCACAAGCACTATGCGTGTGCTACGTGACTCTCATCTGGGCTTCGAGGGAAGTCGAAGTCGTCCTCATGTTTGCCGGTCAGCTGGGCTGCGAGGCACTAAATTTCGTGCTGAAGCGGATTGTCAAAGAGGAGAGGCCAAAGCGTATGTGAACTGGACCAAGCCATCTTTTCCTAATGCTGACTGGGGCTATCGACTTGTAGAAATGCTGGGTAAAGGGTATGGCATGCCATCTTCCCATGCCCAGTTTATGGCCTACTTTGCGGTTTATGCAGGACTCTTCCTCATTTACCGACACAGCCCGGCCTTGACACACTCGGGAGCGACGCTCCATTTCTGGGTGCGAGTGCTTCTCGCTTTGGTGCTGTGCATTGGCGCCGGTGCAGTGGCCGTTAGTCGTGTTTACCTCAACTACCATACTCCCCGACAGATCCTAGCAGGGTGTTGCGCGGGGGTGGTGTGTGCGTTTTCTTGGTTCTTCGTCACCAGGCTTCTGCGGATCCATGGGTGGATTGACTGGACTTTGGACCTGGAGGCGGTTCGATTCTTTCGAGTACGAGACTTGGTGGTAAGTGAAGACCTTGTTGAGGCCGGATGGCAACGGTGGGAAGCAAAGCGGAAGTTGAAGCGGAAAGGTGCCAGGGATCAGATGTCATCGAAATCCGAATAATTGATTGAGCCTTCGTCACCTGCCGTTCAACAGGAGGTCTTTGTTTACGGTCCGACTTCTGTGATACCCATAGATTTCTTTTTCCCGATAATCTGCATATACGCTGATTATACAAATGGATACTGGGGCTTTAGTACAGTATTAATGATGTACGTCTCCGGCTGCAGGTCACAAAGTAACTAGATATATATACTCCGTAATCAATGGGGAGTTGGTCTAGACTACGAGAACTCCACCTTGAGCCAGAGCTTATTTTAGCACGAGACTAGCCAAGCATGTGCAAAATATCCTATCTGTTACTACATCGTATCTTCAGACCTATCAGGAGTCCCCTCTGCTTCGTACCCCAGCCGAGTCGAGTGAAGGAAGAGGGGCGAAGAGGCTCCACTTCGAGGGGCGTTCCTCGCACGTGACCGCCAGCTCCGGCGGATCGACGGCTTCCCCGAACTCCTCGCGTGGCCATTGTCTATCACGAATACCGCGGAGGACCGCTGCGTCAGAACCGCTCACAGACATCATGGGTCCTTTTCTTGACTGAATCAATATGCTGGATAGCTTCTGACATTGTCCGACCCCTTTATACCTAGTCGATTGGACCTTCTTTTCTCTGTTTACTTCTTCCGAGACCCCCTTGTTCACTTCCCACTGATACCCTGATTTTTGTCAATAAACTCACATTTCATTATTGTTTTGTTGATCTTCGACCTTAGAGACGTATAGCAACAACGTTACGTGACCATGGATGATGCATCGGAGCCCGCTGACAGTGCTATGCAAGAGCATCATATTGTCAAGGCAGATGAGGTTGACCAGACGGGAACGGACATCAGCCCCGTTTCAGATGACCAGCTAATGGAGGAGGTAGCTGAAGGCTTACGACAGGAGCAGTCACAGCTGAACACCTCTGCTGCTCCCAGTGAATTACCAGTTGAGACTCGGAGAGGGTCCAAACGCCCTGAACTGCGTCGGGACGCTGCTGCTCCGCCGCCACCTCTGCAGCCTCCGCCTCCAGCTCCGGTCCAGCAGAACGCGGACCGACCTCCGGACTCACTGAGCCTTGCTCAACTAAGGCAGCTGGTTCAAGAGATGCCAAAGGTGGAGCAGCCGGCATATGCGTTTGAATACGCTGACTCGCAACCGTTTGCAGAGGAAATCGAAGAATGGTTCCAGTACAGCGAATTTGACAGAGCCATGCTTATTGGCATGAAGTCGTCATTCGAACAAAGATGGGATTCTTTTTGCGAAGATCAGCCTGCGGACATTTCCTCGCAGCCTTGGATTGCGGCCTCTTATGATTTACGAAAGACGTTTATGAGCCAACTTATTAATTATTTAGGGGACCGTGCGGTTTCGGTCCGAATCGAGGCCTTGGAGGCTCTTTGCTATGCCTTGACCGGTGTCTGGGGCGCTACGGCTGGAAGAGTTGTGGATGACCTCTCGGAAGGTAATTCTCAGCCAGGCGCGGAGATTCCCGAAAGTCAGTCACTCCAAATCAGATGGATCGAACAGAATGTCGCCCTGCTCCACGATTGTTCGGGACTTCAACCGCTGGTGACCGGTTTGTGTCTTGTCTTTGAGAGACATCGCCACTCATCCGCGTTGGATTCGGACAGCGCTGGACAAGAGGGCGTGAATCCAGCATATATTGCTGCTTTGGAGCGAGAGGCAAACCTGCTGTTGACTGCTCTCTATCTGACTGTGGAAGTTGGTCGGAAGCAAGACGCCCTTGATCCCCAGCATGCCCCTCTACGGGATACCCTAATGGGCCTGGAGCCAAATTTACTGGTGTTTTTGGTGGAGATCGTTGCGCGGTTGCGCTGGGACGACTCAGCCAATGTTCCGCTGACCCGGGTCATTCTCCTGTTCTGGAAGACTTTGCTCCTTTTCTTTGGAGGCAGTAAGAAATTGAAGGAAGCCAAGGAAATACTCGAGCCGTCCTTCAAGGCGAGGGAAAGCGCCTCTCCCCGAAGGACTCCTTTCCTCACTGCCTCACCCTTGGATTACCACAACTTTCGGCAGGAGATTACGTCCAAATATCCTGCCTATAACCCACCGCCTCCTGTGGTCCCTCTAGAACTAGAAAATAACTCGATTCTTCCACCGCTTCCGCAGCACCCTAGCCGGGTGGGCTCTTCCAACGGTCCTTTCTCCGGGGTCGGCCCTGCCGTGACGGGTGGCAGTGGCTCGATCATCCATCATCCGGTGCACATCGCTACACCAGCGCCCTCTCCTCCGCCGTCCCCCATTGGTCCGGGTGGTAAAGCCGGAAAGAAGCAGAATTACCAGACCAACCAAAACTTTCCTTTCATGTACCCCCCTCTAGACGATTCGAGTAATGACCTTGGAGGAAAGGGCACGACGGAGCTGCAAGATGCTCTTGTAGGGAAGAAGTGGCAGGGTAGTGATGTTCCTGCCTCTATTATCGAGGCCGGGAGGCTTTTCTCCACCCATGTCAAGATGACAAGGGCAATGCGGCAACTCTGGGAGGAGCGAGAGCGTTTCATGAAATATGACCGCGGCTGGTACCCTGATGAAGGCCATTCCGTCTCAGCTGAGAATGCCGCTGGTGGGCTGGCAGATGACCTGCAGGATTTGAATTTCTCAGAGGGGAAGCCTAGTGCGGACAGCTCTCCGGAGAGAGAGACAGACAGCGCGGACATCCAGCGACGGTTGGATGCTGTCGAGTCGTTTTATGTGAGTTTCATGCTTCCGCAGGAGACGAACGAGGACTTACAACTCTGCAGAGACAAGCATTGGTGCATCTGCAATCGATTACGATTGTGTTTCTGAAGATCATCCTAACCAACGTCAGCGCCATGGTCAACCAGGCCAATGGACAAGCTGCTCAGGCTATGGCGTATGTACTAGAACTGTCGTGGTAGTCTATCATGCACTGATTTTATATAGTGATGGTTATGGTTCGGTCAGCGGGTTTCCCGCCAATCACCCGAATGGTCACATTGATTTGAATTCCGAAGCTGCGATTGATGAGCTCGACAACATCCGGCTCCGGGAGATTACCGGAAAAGCGATCTCCGGTTCTCTCCTCTTGCTTATCAAGTGGTTCAAGAGATCTCGTAAGTACTCCGGTCTGGTGGTGTTGGAATGGAGCGCTGATAAGGGCTAGACATCTTGAAGTTTGAGTATATGACGCAGTTATTGCTCGACTCCAACTACTTGCCTTTGATTCTGAAGATGTTTGCCCACCAGGATGTGGACCAGGCGGTGGCACAGAAGAATGACCGGGAGGAATTGGGGTAGGTGTCCCTCGTGACATGTTCGCCTAGATATACTAACGAAGGAAGGTTCTTCCGGTTCTGCCATCTTCACTCAAACCAGCCACCGGAATCGACGACCGACTTGGACGAAGACTCGTCGCCTAGTGACGACGAGGCCGTCCCTCCACCTATCACCCGGCATCGCCAGGACACCGACACATCAGTGCGAGGAGTGTTACCTGATGTCTCCGCCAACGAGTTTATGGAAGGTCCTCATCGTCCGGAGGTGGACGAGCTAGGATATCCGACGGCACCCCCGCCGAAGGAGCCGATCACGGTGTTCTCGTTCCGCAACTTTTTCTCTGCCATCAATTACCTCCACATCATGCAGAAGATTACCCGCGACAAGGCCCACCGATGCCTTCTCCTTGTCCAATACAAGTCTAGCACGATCCTTCGCAAGGGACTGAAGATCCCCGACCCTCACCTACGGTTCTACACGCTCAAGCTCTTCAAATCGCAGGTGCCATACTGTGGGCGCAAATGGCGGCAGAGCAACATGCGCGTGATCACGGCGATCTACCTGTACTGCCGGCCGGAGCTCCGCGATGACTGGCTGTCTGGAGGCGACATCGACTCGGAGGTTGAAGAGGCGTTGCCGCTGGAACAGGCACTCCGGGGACTGACACATTGGTGGCATCTGCGGCGGTACAAGGACGTGATGGGTGGCGAGGAAGGGGCGTCACTCATGGAAGAAGAGCGCGATTTCTTCGTGCGGGAGCTCGAAGCGATGGGATGGGGCGTAGCGGGCGAGGAATCGTTCGGGGGGAGCGAGGAAGCTGAACTGGCTGGCGGGCCGATGGTGAACGGTACCGAATGGGACGGAGCTCCACTGCAAATGGAGGGATGGTAGACTCGTACATACGATATCTAGATGTCGGCCTCTCCGCATCTACCAGGTTAGCATCCCACTGAATATTCCAATATACCCAATAGACCTGTACGGAGTACAGCATCGCAATCATCTAACCAGTTAAAGATCCTCGCATTTGAAATGACCAACGGACCATTGCCCGCGCAGGCTGCAGACCACCCCCTTATCGATAAGCAGTGGGTACCACGTGACCAATCACTGCGGCAACTTTTTTTCGCGGCAGAAATCATCAGTTCAGACCGTCCAGGCCAGAGACTTCATTCCTCCCCGACCAAATTGACCGTTGCGGAATAACCCACCGCTCGGAAGTCTTTCAAGATGTCGTCCGACGAAATCGTCTGGCAGGTGATCAACCAGCAATTCTGCGCCTATAAGCTGAAGTAAGTTTTCCTGCGTTGGTTGCTTGCTGTGTTCGGGAGATGAAAATTTCCGCGGAGACCATACACCTCACCCCAAAACAAGAACATGCACTCGAGTCGTATATCGTGACGACTAACCAAGGATCTGTATAGAACCACCAAAAACCAAAACTTCTGTCGCAATGAATACAACGTGAGCGGACTGTGCAACCGGCAATCCTGCCCATTGGCCAACTCGCGGTACGCCACGATCCGGTCCGACCCTGAGACGGGAGCGATGTACCTGTACATGAAGACGGTGGAACGGGCGCACATGCCCAGTAAATGGTGGGAGCGGATACGATTGTCGTCGAACTACGCGAAGGCGCTGGAACAGTTGGATGAGCGACTGATTTACTGGCCGAAGTTCCTGGTGCATAAGTGTAAGCAGCGGTTGACGCGGTTGACGCAGGTGGCGATTCGGATGAAGAAGTTGGCGAAGGAGGATGAGAGGCTTGGGGAGGCGGTGGTGGCGAAGTTGGCGCCGAAGATTCGGCGGAGGGAGGAGGCGAGGGAGAGGAAGGCGGAGAGTGCGGCGAAGATTGAGAGGGCGATTGAACGGGAGCTGATTGAGCGGTTGAGGAGTGGGGCGTATGGGGATCGGCCGTTGAATGTGGAGGAGGGGATTTGGAAGAAGGTGTTGCGGGGGTTGGAGAGGAGTGGGGAGGGAGAGAGGGATGAGGATTTGGATGATGGGGAGGAGATTGAGGAGGAGGAGGAGGATGAGGAGGGCGTTGGGCAGGTCGAGTATGTTAGTGATATTGAGGAGGATGATGAGGATTTGGAGGATATTGAGGATTGGATTGGTGGGGAGTCTGGGGACTCGAGTGATGATTATGATGATAGTGAGGATGAGGACAGTGAGGAGGAGAGTGATGAGGATGAGAGCCATCACAGTGAGGAGGAGTCCAAGAAGCCTAAACCGGGCTTCAAGCGGAAGCGTCCTGCTCCTCAGATCAAGCCTAGGAAGAAGGGTCCTCGTGTGGAGATCGAGTATGAGACGGAGGGTCCTGGCAAGGAGAGTGTTCTGGCTTGAGGGAGGTGAAGCATTGAACATAAAAGCAAGGGTTTCTGTTGTTGTCGCTGCTGCTGCTGCTTTCGTGTCCTGGATGGCGTTGTCTGGTTTAGAATACTTCTGTTTGTTACTGTTGATCTCTGCTGCGATCGGGCATCCATACCCCGCCATTGCATATATTATCTACTTAACAGGAGTTCCTGGTGTTGCTGCTGCCATGCTGAACGAATCTGGTATTTGGTAGTCATGATTGTAGATACGGAATACGAAGTATACAGAGCAGGTTGTTGAGAAGGTCCACCAGTTGGCGGTACCAGATGGAATATTCAGGGACCGCTCACGTGGTGTGGCGGGATGAAACCGAGTGGATCGCCAACATGGCAGCAAGTCATTCAATCAATGTCAAACCTCCCCTCAGGGGTGCACCAGATCTCCTGCTCTCTCCTCGCCGGTCGGCTCGAGATACCGTGTTTCGACCTCACCTCAATCTTACTAGACCGCTGCAAGCCTCCAACTTAATTCTCGGCGCTTGCCTGGGACTGTTCACTCCGCCAACTCCGCATCCTGTCCTGACGCTGATACCCCACCTGAGCACTCACCTCCTTTTCTGGGCCAACATTCTCACCACATCGATCTGCAACCCGAGTCAGCGCCATGTTCTCCTCATTCACCTCTTCCTCGGCCATCTCGAACCTGGGCACTCGGCTGCGTCGAGCGATTAACTTGGGCGACGAGGCGGACGACCCGGAGCACGAAGACTGCTCGCACATCTCCAACGTGCTGCGCGCCTACTACACGGAGAAAGCGCGGCCCTTTCCGACATGGCTCCCACCTGACCCGAAAGCGCCGACTCCAGCCCCGGCGCGGGTCATCGCTACGACCCAGATTCAAGCCGCCGCCGCCCCAGCAACGTCGGCGTATGGCCGCGGTGGCGGTTTGGGAGACCTGTGGGGGGATTCGGGTTCTGCGACGCCGCCGGCCTCGCAGACGGCCAGTCTACGTCGAGGCCGACTGGCGCCCGGCAATATGGGGGCCCCTCTGGCTGCCACGGCCAGCGCACCGTCGGGTTCGATTGCATCAGCGCCTAGTCAGTTGCCTGCACCTTCGGCGCACCCGACCGGGGCGCGGCCGCTGCCCAGCCAGCGCGCCGGATCGTATCAGACGATCTCGGGACCGGTCACGGGAGCAGGCAGTCCAGGGACAGGGGCAGGACTGGAGCGCGCGGCGTCGGCTCAGGAGAGACTGCGTGCTAGATTGCATGGGGGCCGGTCTCCCAGTCCCGGACAGAATCCGGGCAGTCGGCCGGGTTCGCCCTATGTTGGAGGGGGAGCGGATCCTAGTGCGCGAAAACCGGTAGGCATGCCGGGTCGACGATAATGGGCGGCCGGGATATTGTCAATTTGTCATATTAGGCTAATTGGTCTTACATGTGGGGGAAAACGAAGGGAAGAGAAGGATCTAGTGGCTGCAGGGCTTTGCAAGAGATGGGGACTGCTGGTTAGTGTCTGTCTTGCGCATCGGATGGTGTCCGGGGCGGGAAAGTGTATGACTATGGAAGCCGACGAGGGCGTGGGGGAACGTGGGAGGGACAGTCAGGGTTTTCCATGGTTTGTCCCTGGCCCATTCGATTGATCAATTTCCGTCGTGTATCTATCCCTCCGATCTGTTGACTGGTTGCAATGAGATCGAGATAATAATCCATCCAGATCCGACCCTCTTTTTTTTGATTTCAGTATTAGAATCTTGTTCTCGTCGTGAATATTCCTGTGCTGGTCGGGCAGTGTCTCGCGTTAATGATGAGAGTCCGGGCGTAAACATTCTTCCCTCCAACGAAGACTTTCCCCGGGGGAAGTGGGGGGGACTTAGCTTAGTAGTCTCAGCCGTGGATTGAATGGCCGACGCACGCTGGCTGAAACTCTACGAGTCGGGCCGGGGCGAATGAGGGACTCGGCTGCAGAGCCAGACTGGTCTGGGGACTGGGGACTCGGGACGGACGAGGTACGGGGGAAATCCATGCCCAGTCACGGGGCCCCGACCGGGCGTAAAATGGCGCAAGTCTTAAGTCGACTAAGACTTGAACAAGTTTAGCATTGAGTTAGCCATGGTCTCGCAGTGGCCCGCCAGGCCAGTGAAAACGCAGCAAAGTACGACTGAAAAGCCGGAGAGTCGCCGACAATCCACCGACGCCGGGATTGGCCGGGGACGCTTACCTAAGAGGCTGCCCACGGGGAAATTGTCTCCTCCGCTTCTGGGGATCGGCTCTACTTCATCCATCCAGGATTCATCCATGCTTCGACATTCCTTCCACTAGCCTAGTTGAGCCGGTTTGCTGCTGGTCAGGCATCACTGGCACTCTGACTCCATCTGCCCATGCCGTCCCCACTCTGCATCCCCCGTCTGGCCCTCGCGTGGTCGGCTTCTATGACTGGTCGCACGGCCCGATGCTAACAGGCAAACTCGGTACCTATGATGTTCTCCATGGTCATGACGCTGCTGGTGATGATGATGATGATGGGATTGATGGGCCGACGCGCCCTTAAAAGCCTCGTGCTTTCCCCCGGAAATTTTTCCATCGCTGGTTTTTCCCCCACCTCCGCCTCTCTTCCTCGTGGTTGTCATCGCGTCTTCTTTGCCTCAGATCTACCCATCCGTGGGAGATAACCCCCACCCCCATTGTACCCCTGTACTCCGTACATACCTTAATTTTTAATTCAGCGGTGGTTACACCGCCACTCCCCATCTCACCATGGGTGTCATGCACGATTTGGACACCTCCCATGATGACCACAAGGAGGGAACCGCCTTCGAGATGGACGATGTCCTGAAGGACCCCAAGGCCGTGGAGGAATTCAACGAAGCCGCCATGGATGCGGAGCTTTTGCAGCTGGAGGGCCAGTACCGGGAGCTGAAGCCCTCTCGGTTCGGGGGCTTTTCCAACCCTTCCCTGTATACTTATGTCCTGGTGGCCTTTGCCTCCATGGGTGGTCTCCTCTCCGGTCTGGACCAGTCCTTGATCAGTGGAGCCAATATCTACATGCCCGTTGATCTGAAGCTATCCGATAACCAAAGTAGTCTGGTGGATGCGGGTATGCCCCTGGGTGCCGTGGCCGGTGCCTTGCTCCTCTCCCCCGCCAACGAGTACCTGGGTCGTCGTATGGCCATCATCGTCTCCTGCATTCTCTACACCATCGGTGCGGCTTTGGAGGCCGGTGCTATCAGCTTTGGCATGATCTTCGCCGGTCGTTTCATCCTCGGTACGGGTGTCGGTCTGGAGGGAGGTACCGTCCCTGTCTATGTCGCCGAGTCTGGTATGTGCTCCTTGCTTCATCTGCCACCCGATCTCCCTCGTGCATTGCTAACCCCGCGCAGTCCCTAGTAAGATCCGTGGTAACCTTGTCTCCTTGTACCAGTTGAACATTGCGCTGGGTGAAGTCCTGGGCTATGCTGTTGCTGCGATCTTCCTCGATGTCAAGGGTAACTGGCGTTACATTTTGGGATCCTCCCTGGTCTTTTCCACTATTCTCCTGGTGGGTATGATGTTCCTGCCCGAGAGTCCTCGTTACCTCATGCACAAGGGACGGACTGTGGAAGCCTATGGGGTCTGGAAGCGGATCCGTGGCTTCGACTCCTATGAGGCCAAGGAGGAGTTCCTCGGCATGCGCCAGGCTGTCGCCGCCGAGCGTGAGGAACAGGCCAACACCAAGAAGTATGCTTGGATGGACTTCATCACCGTTCCCCGGGCTCGTCGTGCCCTGGTGTATGCCAATATCATGATCTTCCTGGGTCAGTTCACGGGTGTGAACGCGATTATGTACTACATGTCGACTTTGATGGAGAACATCGGATTCAGCGAGCGTAACAGTGTCTTTATGTCATTGGTTGGCGGTGGATCCCTCCTGGTGGGCACCATCCCCGCGGTGCTGTACATGGAGCGGTTCGGACGGCGTTACTGGGCCAACGCCATGTTGCCGGGTTTCTTCATCGGTTTAGTGCTGGTCGGCGTCGGGTACCAGATCAACTACGAGACCCACCCGGCCGCCGCACAGGGCGTCTACCTGACCGGCATCATCCTCTACCAAGCCTTCTTCGGCTCCTACGCGTGCCTGACGTGGGTGGTCCCGTCCGAGGTCTTCCCGACGTACCTGCGTAGTTACGGCATGACCACCGCGGATGCCAACCTCTTCCTCTGCTCCTTCATCGTCACGTACAACTTCACGCGCATGATGAAGGCCATGACCCGAATTGGCCTGACCCTCGGGTTCTATGGTGGTATCGCCTTCCTGGGCTGGTTCTACCAGATTATCTTCATGCCGGAGACCAAGAACAAGTCGCTGGAGGAGATCGACGAGCTGTTCTCTCGGCCTACGTCGGCCATTGTCAAGGAGAACCTCAAGAGCACGGGTGAAGTGATTGACGATTTGCTTCACTTCCGTCTGAAGAAGGTGTTTTCTCCGGCGCCGAAGACGGACTGAAGGGGGACTTATATGTTTATGAATAGGATGAAATAAGGAATAACGAAAGAAAAAAAGACAAAAAGTCAACAGGGAAATATCCCGCTTGATGACTTTCTCATGCTTTACAAGCTATACACTGGAGCTTATAGTTTTACAAGAAATTATCTTCTTAATCTATGAATTAAGATATTACTATAATTCAATCACAGATCCCATGCAAATTACAAGGGAAAGTGCCGTGTGACCATACTAGCAGCCTTAGCAGTACTTCCAACCGCACCCGTGGTAGTCGGAGAATGAAGAGCCGCAATGCAAGATGGGAGAGTGAACGAGGGAGGAATGAGGAAAAGCCTCTGAGCAGGGAGGAGACAAGAGGCGTTGTTGCTCCTCATCCACTTGCTTTCTCAGTCTACCGAATTGGACGGCAGTCATGATGCCAGTGATCCAGATCTGTACCTAGTGAATCTGATGAGTAATGCGCGTTCTCTTCTTGAACAACCTTGTGAATTATCACCTACATGGCTAAGGTATTGCATGGGATATCGATCTGACGAATCCTGGTTCCTTGTACGAAGTTGCTCATGCTTGATTTCAGAGGAAGTAGGAGATCGCAAACCAATATGAAACAACAAACACCTGACATGACACCACACCTGACCACAGTGAAATAGGAATGATACGACATACAAAACAGTCACGCACGGAATCTCCCTCTAGAACCCTCCAATGCAGGAATCTCCCCTCCATCAGATGCAAGCATCCGATTCCTTCATCTGACATTCCATCCCCTCAGGTCTATATAAACCCTGATACCACCACCATGTTGGTATCTTACTCTCGACAGCGGGGGATAAGCCTCAGGCTCATCCATTACCCATTACCCATCTCCCTCAACATTCTTACTCTTGAATACTTCTATCTCGCTCCTGACATGACACCTCTCTGACTGAGTACCATCACAACATCCCGACCCAGCTCGATGCTGGCCGTGTTTATAAGGCCATATGATTAGCACCCTCTTTGGACCCTTTCAGTGGGACTTTTTCTATATAGTTACGATTCACGCAACATCGACATCAGTTCCAGCAGGCATGAGTTCACGGGTTAAACACCCCTATTATGGGTTACGAACCCTTTCTCGACCTTGAACTGGCGGTGGATCAGTCATCCTCTGACTAGTAGCACCGTCGACGTACATGGTCTGCACCCATTCCCACTACGGAGGGGCTGTACGTACCAGGATGCCGAGACGATGCTCTCGCTTTTCTTTGAATTTGAGGGCTGTTTCGTGCTGTGACGCCATCCGTGACGACACAACCTTCACCCCGTGTTATTCTCTCGAGGGCACCTCATCGATCCAATACAATTCCGACTTCAGAAACGACGAATCACTCGTCGGCCATATCCCACGGAATAAACTATGTATATACAATGTATATAGCAGCAGTGAGCGATCGCTACAGCCTCAAACTCAATGGACGCGAAAAAAAAAACCATGCAATTGACAGGATCATGACAACTACATACGAATTTGTATATCCGCAGGGTATACCAACGCAGCTGTGGATTTAGGTCAAAGTGCCCAGGTATAGGTCATGTTCTCCCACTCGATGCTCCCACGACCAGACACGAGACATACATTGTCAGTGATGCGCAGATTTCACTCACGTATGGCTTCGGCTTCAACTATGGAAATAGCTCAACGAGAGCAGAGAGTCAAGATCAACGCTGCTTGGTTGGAACAGCTCACCGAACCTGTCTTTTCAAGGATTGAGATGGTAGAAGTCTCTGTGATGATTGGCGGGTTGCATTGCAGGATACTCGAGAAAAACTCAATGATGACATGTGGGTAAAATGCAATTTGATCCCAGCAACCATTCAACCCTCGGCGGGATACTCCATGCGTGCAGTCATGACGAAATCACCAACATATATTTTGTATTGAGGAGTGACTTGTGGTGATCATTTTCTTCATGTCTTTCCCGAGATGTCTCCAAGGCATAACCCCGACTTCAAGCAACCTCCTCCGGCTGCAAACCCGACTTGACACAAACATACATTCGAGAAAGCGACTTGCAGGATCTGCATGACCGTCCCGATTCCCGGCTGGGTAACGGTTTCGTCCACCTCCCAGAGCATATTGACATCATGCGCTGGACCTCGGAAACCGTTGCGGCGGGATAGTTTTGAGATAGAAGCCGAAAGGACAATGGGCATTTGACAAACCGCTAAGCTGTGTGAGATGACAAGAACTGACGTGTGATGATTAAACATAATTGATATGTAAGTCTTATCAAGTGAAGAAATGATACATACGACCATAGGGTGTGGAGAACAGGGCTTCCCGTCCGCTCAGCCGTACTTAAGCCACACGCCGGGAGGTTAGTAGTTGGGTGGGTGACCACCAGCGAATCCCTTCTGTTGTATGTTTTTATACCTTTTTACTAACCTCTCTGTATAGAAGAACATCATGCTATCATCGCACGCCACGACGGGGTCGCTGTCTGGGCCGGAAGTTATGTTTCTGAGCATGTATGGAAGGGTAACACTCAGGTTCGAATTCATCAGCTCCCGACGCTCAACTGACCGCAAACCCAAGGAGCTCGAAACCACTAGATAGGTTGGTTGGTGCCTATCTCAGCGACGCAGAAGTATCCAACAATACAGAACTACTCCCAAAACGACTGATCCCGTCCGAAGAAGCCAACCTGGCTTGAGTATAATCTCAAAACACGCCAGATGATCATATTCAAAGGTCATGAAGAAACCAAACATACTCCCACTGCATGGTCAACTCATGGAAACACCCGATTCTTCACGACAACCTCCAAGGAAGGCAAACACCCAGCTCAAGTACATAGCCTCTCTCCAAGACACAAGCTCGCTCCCTACAGTATTCATCCCTCAAGCTATGAGACGCACCAAGGACCCATTACTGGATTTTAGCAGTTGGCTCGACACGAGAAGCCCTCCAAACTTCAAACCACAAGCTGACTGTCCACGATGAATGCATTAGTTCCGCGGCGATAATTTACCTCACACGCTTCGTGAGCCCTCATCTAGGGAAGCAAACGAAAAGCCAAGGCCACATCCTTTCTCCAAGCCAGATCGTCAACAACACCCCGAGAAGAACAGAACAAAGCTCGCGTCCGAAGACCTTCAAAGGAAGTTAGACAGACCGCCCTCTGACTTATCTTCCACATGAAGAATCGCCCAAAAGGCCCAATGCCTTGGTCCGTGTGATTGCCCGTGCCTGAAAGACATCCAGACCGTGGTGTTTGGTATTCGCTACTGGCTCTTGTCAACAAACCAGGAGGACTATCACATATGGGAGACCAAGTGCATATTAGAGTCACCATCTACACCCACGAAGATGATGTACGAAACAACTCATCCCGCCCCTAATCTCCCTCCATGTCCATCAGCGCATGCAAAATGAACCAGCATCTCCAATCACCTAAACAGAAACCCATACATCATACTACCCGACCTCCAATACCATACCAGCACCGACAAATGGTATGACGTGACCGATCTGAAGAATAGCATACCACGGACTGAATAGCGAAGCATGGTATTTACACTGACTGATAAGTGAATGGATTTGAAATGGGCCTGGATCTGGGTGTGTGGCTATACACTACCTGGGAAATACTCATCTGCTAGGATGGGGGGTTTATATATCCTGAAGATCGGAGAGAATTGGCCTCAGCTAGTACTTCGGCGTGGGTTTGATCTCATCTTCCTAGTCTTGTCTTGTCGTTTTCGGGGGCTAAGTAGAGTGCTCGGATTCAATGCACATACCATACCATCCCATACACACTATGCCATACCATTTGAGGGTATGGCTTTTATCATGACAGGAAGTCAGGCAGGAAGGCAATTGGTGTTATGTTGTGTTGGTGTTACTATTGGCTCTGGCTTCAGTAAGGGTAGATAGTCACATCACCCACCCTCTCTATGTTCTTCTCTAGGCTCTGGGTTCTTCTCTGTTTGACCTGGGTTGGGTTTTATGTCCATGAAGGGAGGGGATCCGCCCGTTGCTTGTTTGCTTCGTGCTAGGTGGGGTGTCGTAGCAAACAGAGGGATAAGTGAAGATGGCATGAAATGGGGTTCGGCGAGGAATAGTTGGATCTAAGTATTCCGTGGTTAAGGGATACTTCACGTTCGGGTATTTTTGAAGCTAGTTGGTGCATTCCCCGGGGTTGGGAGGAATGGGGGGAGGGGATTAGAAGTGGGGTGAGGGGAGGTGAGGTGAGCCTGAGATGCAGGTCAAGGGTTGGTACAGTTCACATGCCTATTATCTGATGAGGTACGAAGCAGGTGTAATTCGCTATCGCTAAGTCTATATAGATACCAGCAGGCAAGGAAGGCGAGTCTGGATACATGTAGCATGGGAAGCAAGCACACGTGTGAATGATGTACAGCACACTGCGCACCGCTAGATATAGTACTCAATAGAAACAACAGTGTGAATGTCAAGTGGCTACACCAGACACCGTCACAGTATGAATCGAAGCGGACAATATGGGGGTAGCTCATCCACGTACTTTCCGATAGCTGGGCGGACTCCAGGATCGGAGGATCATTTTCCCAGCCCAGATAGGAATCAAGGATACGGCGCACACGGCGACGACTCGCCAGAGCCAGTCTACGGTGATTACGTAGTGCAGGTCGAAGTAGCTACCGAGGAATGGGACGCTGGAGGCGTAGACGAGGGCCGTGCCGATGATGCAGAAGATCATGATCGGGTGCCAGGTGGTGATGGCAATGGCGACCATGAGGAGTTCGTTGATGACGAGGGCGGTAAAGGAGACGCTGATGAGGCGGGGTCCTGTGATGGTGTCGAGGAGGATTTGGGAGAGGCCCTGGATGACGGCGCCTTGGTAGACAGAGACCAGAACCCAGGTGAAGAATGACCGGTAGCTGAGGCTGCGTCCGGTTTTGAGCTCCTTGTAGAGTTCTGGATAGAGGTTGGCGAGTTCTTCGTCGACGTCACGGTCGAACACGAGCGAGAAAACAGGGGCGTTGGTGTAGACGGTGGCGTAGCCGACCATCAGCCAGTTGATGAAGAGACCCTTTGGGTCGAAATGGCTGGCGATACTGTACATGGTCTGACAGGCACTGATGATGAGCCCGCGGTGCATGATGAATTGGGCGAGTTTGGCGGATCGCTTGTACGAGTTGCGTCCATGCCAGACAAGAAGTTTGGTGAGATGGTGGAATTGGGTGATGCTAAAGTCGGCGGCCAGGGAAGCTTGACGGCCCTCCTTGCCGACAATGCCGATTCCGACATCCGCGGCTTGGATCATGGAGACGTCGTTTCCACCGTCACCGATACAGCAGACGCGCTTTTTGGTATGGTGGCGAATGAGATCGGCGACTTCAGCCTTTTGGGTGGGAGAGCATCGGCAGGCAATAACAGCTGGTAGCAGGACAGCGACGGATATGAATGCCGTCCGGAACTGACCAAGCATGAGAGAGAGTGACTCGCCATCGATAAGCAGGCAACAGTCCGTCTTGTTGCGTAGGAAATCCAACGCCTCTTGAGCGGTAGACTTGTCCTTGACCTTCGCAACAGTGTGAATATACTGTCCACGCGCGACTAGCTTGGCGGAAATGGCCACACAACGGGCGGTCTCGACCTTGTCGCCCGTCAACATCCAGATCTTGACACCGGCGTTGCGTAGCAGCTCGAGAGAGGGTTTGACATCCCGTTGAAGGCGGTCCTCGACACCGGTTACACCGAGCAGTTCCAAATCACGCTCCAGATGCTCGCTAATCACCTTGGCCATGCCGACATCGCGTCCCTGTAGGGCGAGGGAGGCTTGCCTGTACTTGGCGGTGAAGTCCTCATATTGCTGCGCAGATAGCCGGCGCCGTCCGACGACCAGAGTCCGCAAGCCCTCGCGAGCCATATTAGCCGTCTCCTCATCGAGCCAATCGTTTGCTGCAACAATGGTGGTCATAACCGTGTCTGCTCCCTTCTGGTAGAACCATATCTCGCTATCGTTATTGGATGTGTCCAAGATGCCGTCGTCCGTCTCAAATTGCACGATAATCCCCATTCGCTTACTGTCTGATGTAAAGGGGAAAATCTCCAGAATGCGGACCCGAACGACGACCTTTCCAGTGTGGGTAGATTCCAGGACGATGGACTGTCGATCGCGATACGCGAGTTTTAGCCCGACCTCTTCGGTGTACTTCACGATCGCAATTTCATCGGGAGACGAAGCCTGGTAGTTGGTGACTTTGACGCCGTCCTCTTCGTCACTCGTTGGGGTGACATTGTGACAAAGAGCAAGTGCCAAAACGATGTCTCGGACCCGAGAGCCAATCTCTCGTCTTGTACGTGGAGCCGTCCCAAGTCCTGCTTGTGCTCCAAATGCAGTGGAAGGAGTGGTCAAAGAGTCTCCGGCGAAACTCTGTCGGATATACGACGCCACTTCCTCCATAGCATCATTGGCGTACGAGACAGTGCCGACATGAATCTTCTTCAGTTCCATTTCTGCTTGAATTAGCTGAGAAGGGCAACCAGCCAGATGCAACTTACCGTTTTGGGTCAAGGTTCCTGTCTTGTCGGAAAGAAGATACTCAATCCTACCAAGGTCTTCAGGAATCGTGCTGGTCCTTACAACCGTGCCTGGAATATCCTTGTCTCTCTCAATGAACCGGCCGTACACGGATTTCGCCATGTCCAGGTTGACCCGCAAGCTCATGGGGATGATTGTCGAGAAAAGAATCAGATAGATCATGATCGCAACATACCACACCTTGTCGTTGGTCGGTTGGAAACCCTCCAGAGCAACCAAAACGATGGACAGGGCCAGGGTCAGAATGCAGAGGATCTTGGTCAGGTTGTTGATTTCGTACTCTAGCAAACCCACTTTCGAGCGAGATGCCGACGTTGAAAGGGCAGCCCGCGTCTGAGATCCCGTATAAATAATGGTAGCGTATGTGATCGTGTTGGAAGCAAGAACAGTGTTGGCCCACGCCGTGTTGTCGATGGTCAAGGGAGCAGAGTTGGCCTGTGTGTCTGAGGTCTCATAGTCACCCCCATTCTCCCGTTTATCGACGTGAGGATCGTAGAACCCGGACGGCGGCCCCAGTTCAACGGTACCCACAAACTCATTGACTCGTCTATCGGGCGCACTTGCAGTGACCTTCAACCTGGGCAGGTCGCCGAGCGACAGGCTCTGCGATAACACAGAGGGCAGTCGTAGCTTCCAGTCGGTTTCACCGTCCAATTGGTCGGTCCGAATGAAGGTGTCGCTGGCCGAAGAGATATTGGCCTCACTTGCCGCAGCGCTTGAGCTAGGCTCCGCGGTAGGCGACAGTAGGTTTTGCTCCTGAGAAGTAAATTCAGCTGGCCTTTCGGCCAGGGAGCTTTGACGAGCAATCGCAGAGTCATTGGAAATGCTCTTGAGAATCACAACATCCGCAGGCAAGCGCTGGTTCTTGCGAACCTTTAAAACGTCGCCAACTCTCAAATCCCGGGACTTTTTGATGACTTCCATCGGCCCATTCGGCCTATCAAAGTTGAGAACGGTGAATTCCTCAGCGTTTGCCTCGGCGTCTCTGCGACGACGGCCAATATCATCCAAAGCCTCCTTTCCCAGCGATATACTAACGACAAAGGCCAACGGCGCAATATACGACGACATATAGCCTATTCGAAGCACCGGGATGATCTGTGAAAGGGCGACAAGAAGGAAGTAAATGTTGAAGAAGAAGGAGAATTCGTTATAGAGCGTGCGGGGTAGGAAGCTCCACGGAGTGTACTTCGCGTTCGATACAATGTTTGCGGGGTATTTGGTCCGTTGCGTTTGGCCGACGAGGACATCGCGCGGCGGTTTTATCTCGGTCTGATCCGAGGGCGCACGGTTGGAAGAGCCAAAAAGAAAGCTCGCCGCCTTGATCCCTGGGATTCTGAACCGCGAGCCTCTCTGCGACGCCCGCTCGAGATCCGCTAATGAGCGAGCGGAGCTACGCCTGCGTTCGTTGAGCAGCGGGGCATCATCATCGGTATAGTTGCGGGAGCTTGCGTGCGACCTGCGGAGTCCATCTTCCCCCCGATCTTCGAGAAGACCATCCATGTCCTCCGATCTTCCAAGTGTACCAGAGGCGTTTCGTCGCCATACTCGGTTTCCCACACCAACGCGTAGATTCCGCAAAGCGATGCCGGGACCGCGACTCCTTTGGCGACTGGAATCATCCCTCGAGCGGCGAGGGGCTCCGTATGAATGTGTGGTGCTGGGATCAAGCTCCTCCAAATCGAGGTCATCGTCGGAACCAGAGTCGCCTGCGATGCTGGCACGGCCGTGCGGATGTAAATATTCGGATGAAGAAGGCATTGTGAAGAGGGTCGGAGATAATTAAAGAAGCGAGACCGTATTTGAGGAGCACTCTGGGGGCTCCTGTGTCGAGAATAGCAATGTCATGTCACGCCGTGCGGTAACCAGGGTGTCTCCGAGGCACCATTGCTCGGTACTGTTGGCTTGGGGTGTATGCGGTCAGTGTCGGGCGCGCGCAAACGGAGACCCTATCTACGACAATAAGTATGGCCAAGAAAATCAGACTGGTGATTGATCCACACGTTGCCACCCCGGAGTTGAGTCCACCACGCATCAATCTGAACAATTCGAGGAACAATATTGGTGGCCTAAAGCGGCTGTGATGCAGGCGGAGGCCCGATCACATGATGCGGGAGCCACAAGGAGCGGCTGTGGCGCACCAGCCCTTGAAACCGCGATCGATGTCATCGGCGGAGTCAATGGGGCCTTCGGAGCAGATCGTACAAGAAGCACATAGATTAGATTCGCTGCCAATCTGCTTTATGTCAAACAGACCACAGGAAGTACCCTGCACGGGCTTCACATTCCATAAACACAAGGTTATTACTCGATAGGTCGGATCTGCCACCCTACTAAGGGACATGCATCACTAGTGACAGTGTCCGGTGCAGGGGCACGTGACCCGGAGTAACAGGTTAGGTGGCACTTCCGCCCGGCGCAACTATCTTCCCCCCCGGATGACGGGCGCGTCCCAGAGCCTGATGTTCATTAGCCAGTCAGCCAGCCGGTGCAGCATCATAAGCACGCAGCCAGGTACGGCAGCAGTGGTCCGAGGAAAGACAACCACGCATACCTCGGAGATGCAGTCATGAGTTCGCCCTTGTTTTACTTCTTGTAATGTTTTATTATTGGTCCCAGTCACTTGTATTCTTCTGTTTCATGCCTCAGTAAATCCACCAATCGAATCTTAACTGTTTATCTCCCGTCGCTCTTCAGCGTGAGTGCATGTGCAAACGTGTCCGATTTGCGGCCTGGACTGACGCTGGTTCACTAGCGGAGGGATTGAACTTTCAGCAAGCATGGCACAAAGTGACGTGGCAGCCGTGTGGAATCCGGCGCTCAGATCAGACAACAATAGAACCCCCGTCCCGACTGGCCCGACTCCTCTGGAAATAGATACGGCCATAGAAGCCACAACGATTCCCCTCGGCTCCCCTATGGAGACTCCCCATGAGCTCTCAATTAGCGACATTGCTTTCCCGGACTCCGACACCGCTGTGTCCCCACAAGACGCTGTCATCCCGGATATGACCGACTCCTATTCCTTGCCGAATCCCGATCAAGTCGCAACCCACGATGAAGTGCTCGAAGCTTCCTCCGATGACATTGAGGCGATGCCGGAGGTGACCTATGATGAAGTCTCTCCGAAGTTAGAAGAACCGCAGGCGGAAGGTGGCCATGATAAGGATGTGGTTGGTGATACCGAGGGTCAAATAGCGGAAGTCCAGCCTATACAGCAAGAAGCACCTCTTCCAGCTGAGACCATTGATGCGCAGCTCTTAGGCACGGAGATTAGCCATGATAGTGATGTGGTTGGTGATACCGAGGGTCAAATAGCGGAAGTCCAGTCTATACGGCAAGAAGAAGAACCTTTTTCCGCTGAGACTGTCGACACGCCGCCCTTAGACACGGAGCCTAGCAATGATAAGGATGTGCTTATTGGTGGTACCGCAGGTCAAGTGGTGGAGACCCAACCTATGCAGGGCCAAGAAACTGTTCCAACGGAGACTACCGATGCGCCAGCCTTGGAGACGGAACATGGCCATGCGAAGGATGTGATTATGGATGGTACCGAAGAGCAAGTGGTGGAATCTCAGCCTGTACAGCATCAGGAGGAATCCCTTCCAACCGAGACATCTGAAGTGCATGCTTTGGACGCAGGGGAACAGAACAGCACACCGCACACAATTGAGCAGGATGCACCAGAACCCGCAGACACCAATGGCGAGGTTCAGAGCAATGACGGTATCTGGGGAGGCAATGCTAACGAGGAAGCGGAGGAGGGTGACTTTTTTGACCAGCTAAAGACACAAACAAAACCGATCTACGTACCGGAAACCGAATCTCGATTTGAGGAAGGCGTTCCTTTGTTGGATGACACCCCCGAATCACCGGCCAAGCCAACTGAGCCAGAGAGCCAAATCGACAATTTCTTTGCTGGAGACGAAGACGAAGAGGATGGCTTTTTCAAGGCCGTCCAGAGCTCTGCCCCTCCGGAAGAGTCTGAGCCATTTGCACATATCACGCGCAAGAGCACGTCCCAAGTCATGGACTCCCTCGGTGTTTCACTAGATTCTCCGATGAGCGATGCGGACCCTGCTGCACAAGAGTTTGACGATATCCTGGCTGCTGCCGCATCCGAAAACAATGTGAAGAAATCGTCTTCTGATGAGGACTTGGCCGCCCGTTGGGAGGCCGAGCTTTCTGAAGAACCGGTGGAAGCTGCTCCCTCTGAAGACGACCTGGCTGCACGGTGGCAGATGGAATTGGATGATGATGACGACCTACTTTTAGAGGACGAGGTCAGCCGGGGGCCTGCAGCAGATCAGGGACCCGCTTCTCAAAGTGTCAACGGGGCTCCCCCGAGCTTAAGCAGTCCCTTTGCCACTCCGCAGATCTCCACCGCTGCTTATACGCCGCATCAACCCTCTACCTCGGATCTACTCCAAGGGGTACCCTTACCAGGTGCAGGTCCTCCGGCAAATATTGCAGCGTCTGCCGACTATTTTGGGCGGCAGCCCCCGCCGAGTGCCGGCGCAAGCAAAGCAGAAAGCTTTGCTGAACGGGCGAAAGAAGGTTACAGATCCCCATATGACCTTCCGGAAGATCTTGCGCGACCCCGACGGCCTGTTGCCAGCCATAAGCCAGTGGTTACACAACCTGGTAGTACTCCACCTCCCCCACGAAGCAATAGCATTCCAGTGCCTCCAGTGTCAGGCCCCCCGATGAGCACACCCCCGATTGGAACATCATCAACTGCAGCAGTGGCCGCTCCGAAGAACTTCTATGAAGAGCTTCCCCCCCCACCTCCCCGGACGCAGTCTCGGCAGGCCTCAGGCCGGTATACACCTGTTGCCAATGCAGTGCCGGCTGCGGCATCTCATCCGCCTGCGCCGCCGGCCAATCCATATGCCAGCCTTCCGGTTGCCACCACGCCGGCTGCCGATGCCTATACGCCCCCCCAAGTTCAGCAGCCAGAAAGACTGGATCCGTATGGAAGCCTGTCGGCTCCCAGTGCGCCAAGCGGTCCATCTGCCCCGCCCACTACTTCGAGATACTCACGGAACCCCCCTACTCTGCAAGCCGGGATCAAGCCGCCGCCGTCACCTAGATATTCCCCGGCACCGCCTCCGGCCAGCGCACCTCCGACTCGCAATCGCTATGCTTCCCAACCATCCATTCCGCCCATCCAGGGAACTGCGCTTCCGTTCCAGCCTCGCACTTCGAGCCCTCTGGCTTACCATGAGAAGGTGTCTTACCGTCCCCAAGAGAATATTGACCAGCAAATTTCCGTGGAGCCACCCGCTAGCATCCCTCCCATCGAGGTGCAGGAGCAGCCGAGGAGCCCTGTGGTAAACTCTCCCACTGTGGCCGGATTTGCAGTTGATCCAGAGACTGTGGGCGTGGATGCCAGCGTGCATCAATTGTCCCAGCAACCAATGTCTCCTCCCCGGAATCAGTACGCTCCTCCGGACTATGTTGACGAATTTTCGAAACGCGTTGCCCCAATTGGCGGCGTTCCACCAGCGCCCGTAGCACCGGCCGATGATTCGCCGTTTGTCCCTCCGCGCAGGTCATTGACACAATCTCCAGGTCAGCAAACGCTAGGCCCGAGGTTGTCTGTGCCCTCTGTCGATCCTCTTCAAAGGCCTGCGTCTGTTCATGGCGCTGGGTCACCCACCAAGACTGTAAATCCCTACGCGCCAGTTCAAGTTTCGGCACACAACCGCGTCGCCTCTCAGACTCTGGATTTCATCCCACCCACTGATGACCAACAGTTCGATCCCCTTGAACGCTGGAAAGGGGCCCCGGTTGTCAAGTTTGGATTCGGTGGCGCGGCCCTCTCCTGTTTCCCCAAACACATACCTCGATACTCTGCGGGCCAAGCCGCCCCGAAGATCAAGTCTAGCCCTGGAGAGGTAAAGATTCTTCAGCTCACCGATTGGATCCATACGCCCGATACTATCGTGCGACACCCGGGACCTCTGAAATCCAAGTCTAAGAAGAAGGACTTGGTTTCATGGCTGTCCAGCAAAATCGCTGCGTTTGAAAACGAAGGTATTCCAGAGGGTTCTCAGTTGCATCCAGACTTCCACAAGAGATATGATGAGAAGATATTGTTGTGGAAGGTCGTCCGTGTCTTGGTTGAACATGACGGTGTCTTGGAGGGATCCCCGGATGTTCAGAAGTCCTTGCGGCAGATCATATTCCCAAACTTGCAGGACGGCGAATCCGAACAGCCCTATGGTGGCAACTTGCCATCCTTTGGCACCAGTCAGCCTCTGGATACTCCTTCTCGTCCGGATGCCGTTGATCCTCAAGCGATTGAGAATCTTCGTAACAACCTTCTCGTGGGTGAGCGTGAAAAAGCCGTCTGGGGCGCAGTGGACCACCGTCTGTGGGGACATGCCATGATCCTAGCGTCCACAATGGACAAGTCTGTCTGGAAGCAGGTCGTCCAGGAGTTTGTGCGACGCGAAGTAAGGTCTGCCTCAGAAAACACCGAATCCCTTGCGGCTCTCTATGAGATCTTTGCCGGGAATGTTGAAGAGAGCGTTGACGAGCTCGTGCCTCCCTCCGCTAGGGCTGGGTTGCAGATGGTCAGTAAGGTCAATGGACAGGGACCCTCGAAGAATGCACTGGATGGTCTCGATAGCTGGAGAGATACCTTGGGCCTGGTGTTGAGTAACCGCAGCCCTGAAGACCATCAGGCACTATTGGCCCTTGGCCGGCTTTTGTTATCCTATGGCCGGACTGACGCTGCGCACATTTGCTTTATCTTCTCTCGAGCTGCTGTATTTGGCGGCGCGGATGACCCGCAGGCGAGTGTGGTCCTCCTCGGGGCTGATCATCAACACTTGTCTTCTGCTGCGTTGCAGGATGAGGATTCCATTCTGCTGACTGAAGCATACGAATATGCTACATCTGTTCTGTCGGCTTCCCCTAAGCCTGTGCTACCCCATCTGCTTGCATTCAAGCTGGTATATGCTTGGTCTCTTGCAGACCAAGGCCGCAAGTCGGAAGCTCAGCAGTATTGCGATGCAATTGCCGCTACTCTGAAAGCAACCACCAAACCATCAGCCTATCACCACCAACACCTGTATTTTGGAGTCGATGAACTTTCGGCACGTCTGAGACAAACCACCAGCGACGGTGGATCCTCCTGGATCTCTCGACCCAGCATGGAGAAGGTCTCTGGCTCGATGTGGGCCAAATTCAATAGTTTCGTTGCTGGGGAGGATAACGAGGGTGCATCTGCTGGTTCCGCGAAGGCTGGCGACGGAGATATTGGGCCGTTTGCCAAGATCGCCGGTACGCCTACAGTGAGCCGCTCACCTTCCATGTCGGACATTTACACACCGTATGCTGCACAACCGACCTATGGCAGTGGCTCGTCACGGTACCAGCCAAACAACCAGTATGCCCCCACGTCTTCGCCTGAACAGTTGCGCGGCAGATCATCCCTCGACTCCCAGAGGTCCTCTTCATATGGGTTCGGGTTTGGCCAGCGACGGGGATCGCAAGAACCTTCAACTCCGGTTGAGAGTACTATGTATCAAGGAGGAATGCTCTATAACTCTCCGCCCGCTACTGGCTACCAGTCGACCCCTCCTCAGGCTTCCTACATGCCTCTTGCACCGGTCAAAGAAGATCTGGCCCCTCAGCCTCATGCCGACGCCTCAACTGCCCCAGCACACGAGACATATGGCAGCGGATCTCCCTATCAACCAGCGGGTTACGGCTCTTTTGGTCAGCCATTTATGAACCAGGCATCCGAAACTGCACCTTCAGATGCGGCTGGTTATATGCCCCCCACTGGGGGTGGCGGCTATGAGCCTCCCGCTAGTGAAAGTCGCGTAGAGCCTGCAACGGCCATGTTGGAAGAGACCAACGAGGAAGAGCCACCCAAGAAGAAATTCTTTATGGATGATGACGACGAGGATGATCTGGCCGCCCGTGCTGCTGCCATCCAGAAGGCTGAAAAGGCACGCAAGGACCGTGAAGCGGATGAAGCCTTTAGAAAGGCCGCTGAAGCGGATGGTGAGTACTCTTCGCTATTTCTAAGGAAATATCACTGACATATTTGTAGCCCAGAGACCTGCACCCGCTAAAAAGGGTTGGTTCGGAGGGTGGTTCGGTGGCGGTGCTGCCGGCGGAAAGAAGGAGGGCGAGATATCCAACAAACCTATTCGGGCCAAGCTCGGCGAGGAGAACTCGTTCTACTATGATACCGACCTGAAGAAATGGGTCAATAAGAAAGACCCCGGCAGTGCTACTGCAGCCCGCGCCACACCGCCGCCGCCGCGAGCTTCGGCGCCTCCTAGCCGAACGGCCAGCGGCAGCAGTGCAGCACCACCTCCTCCGTCAGGGCCATCCCCACTGTTGTCTGGACCTAGCAGTCGGCCACCTTCTACCACAGGGATTCCACCTCCCCCTGGCAGTCCAGGTCCCTCTTCACTGGGCCTTCCTCCCCCGTCCCTTCAACGGTCTGTCTCTACGGGTGCCGCCATGCCGACACCACCCAGCGGGTTGGCAGCGCCTCCCCGGCCGGCGACTTCTTTGAGCAATGCCAGCTCCATCGACGACCTGCTTGGGGCGCCACAGGCTCGCAAAGGCGCCGCCGCTAAGGGTAAGAAGAAGGGGCGGTATGTTGACGTGATGGCCAAATAATCGCCCTGTCCGGTCTTCCTCGGCCCGAGTGTCTGACTTGCCTGTTTTTAATTATTACTTTCCTATACTCTGGTAATGTCTAACGAATCTCCCATTGAACTCGGTTCTCCGTTTGCATTGGCATATGAAGCGGTCCTGGCTAGAGCCTCTGCCCAAAAGTCTCGCATGTCGTCTTCTGGGCGTTGTTCCATGATCACTTCTGATTATCATGTATCTTGTATTTATGCATATATGTTTTATTTCTTTGTTTTTTTTCCTTTGTTGTTGAGGATGATGTGGCCTGGATGACGATCTGTCAGAGGCGAGTGTACTATACTATAAGGCTTTGAACGATTAATAATACATGCGATTATGCTATGTTATGAGGATTGTTAGAATTTCTTAATGTAATATACACGCTTGAACATAGCTCCATACCCTAGATAGTATCATTCCAATGTTAATCTACAACTCGCCCAACTCTATACCTTACTCCACCGCATAAGAATTGAGATAATACTGCAGATGCATTAACGTCAGCCTACCTCACCCAATAGATAAATAGAAAGAAAGAAAGAAAGAAAGAAAAGAAATAAACTCACCGTCAAACACGAATCCTCCTCATTCCAACTCCCCGGCAAAAAAACATACAACACCAGCGCCGTCTCATGAATAAAGGCTAATAATCAAAAAAAAAAAAAAAGATTCATCAGCCTTAAATCAATAAGAAAGGAAGGGGAAACACATACAAGCCACAACCCTGGGATTCAGTCTCCCCACACTCAAAATCCGACTCCAATCCTTCCCATCAATACGGACTCTCGCCCACGCGGCCTCCTCATCCTCTGGGATCCCTCTCATCCGTTCACTCGGTAATTGCTCGAGTTCTCCCTGCGCAAGCTGTCCCGGATCTAAACTCGGATTCAGCAGGTCCGTCCACGTACTCGAGATCCGGAACGCGTCGGTCCCGATACTCATTCGGAGAGATCCGTGCATGGTTGCCGAGAGTTCGAGTTTCGGGGATGGGCTACTACTTGTTGTTGTTGTTGATGTGGTTGTGGTGGATTTGGATTCGGTAGCGAGTTTGGTAAACCGTTCCGAGATATTCTTTAGTTGGAGTAAGCTTGGGAGGAGGATATTCACGTCTGGATCGCGACAGCGTGGTTGGTGGAGTCCTTCCACGGCGGACTCGTGCAGCACTTTTACGGGGATTTCTTGCGTGATTACGGTTTCGCGTTCGCGGGGGCCGGTGCTTCGGTCGGTTGTTGTTGATGTTGATACTGCTGTTGTTGGGGATGGATCTGTGGTGCTGGTGCTGTTGCTGGTATCAGGAATGCCTAGGGCATTATTCCCCGTGGTCCAGGACGTGGCGCGGATGGTCAGCGCCAGGAGAGGCACATTGCCTTTTTTGGTTAATCGTAGGTTGGTGAATTTGGCGGCTACGGCGGAGCGGAGGGCGCGGTGGAGAGAGCCGATGGGGACTTCGAGGTTGATGACGCCGGTGTTGGATTCGAGGATGTAGGAGTCTTCTTCGAAGATGGAGTCCTGGGTTGTGTTAGTAGTTGTGGAGAGGGGGCTGGGGGGAGGGGGGGACGTACGACGGGTAGTTGGGCCCATACTTGCGTGCCTTGGTCCGGGATGATGGTGAAGCGGATGAAGCCTTGTTCGAGGCGCATCCAACATACCTTGCCCAGGGAGGAGAGCGAGGCGGTTAGTTCTGTATACTTCGTTAGTGGGTTGGTTTGCGGGTTAAGGATTTGTTGGAGAGTGGGACACGGTTGGAGGTGACTACTGGGATGGGGGAGGAAATGACACGTACTGGAGAAAACTGACGCGTTGGAGAGTTGTGTTCGGAAGCGCATCTTGAGTCGGTTCTTAGTTTGATGCTGGTGGAGGGAAGCGATCTATCGAGGATCAAAGTCGAGGTGCTTATCGATGATCGGCCGTGGCTGTGGGGATCTGCCGTCCAATAGATGCTACGGCACAGCGATGAACGCTGGCCCGGCGAGCATCTGGCGGGTGGATACAATCGCGTGGTTTTGGTTGGAGTATGGAGTGTAAGCACACTTTACAGAGATGTTGTCTAAGTAGCTAGTCTGGTCATACAGGTTGGTTCAATAGCTGGCAATTCAGTGAAGAATTGTTGTTCTGGTCTCGGTTACGTGTCTTCAACCGGAGTTGAACAGACATCTCACACCAATCATTTCCTTAACGCAGTATGCAGTGTCGATATGAACATCTACAAGTTGTCATGGTTCGATGGATCTCATGCGGATAATAGAGCTGCTTCTGCATATTAACTCCCAGAGCAATTAAACTTCCTGTTCTTATTTCACTCGTAGCCTCAGAGGAAGCTAAGCTTACATGGACCAATTTCAGTTGTCATCGCGAAATCATTCTTTTTCATGAAGCTTGTCGATCGTCATGACACTCATTGCTGCATGATAGGATTTATGCTCTGTATGCCTGATCCTGCGAGGCAGAGAGACCAGTGCCTCTTGACAACTTCGCGCTGAGTGAACTGTGGTGAAACCTTTCAGACCAGCATCCTACAGCTCGCCGGATAGCTCGGGGTGGCGCTCAGCCTCTGGCTTGACTGTCACTGGACCAACCTCCCATCCTTATCCTAGCCGGTCTATTGTCTAGACCATTGTGCTAGGATCATCTCCTTCGTCCGCGACTGCATGAAACCCTCCTTGCGGATGCCGAGTCAATGGGATAACCGTTTGGAAGCTGTGGTGCGCCCCTGGTATGTTTCCGCCAGATGTCTCCCACGTGGTTCGTAACAATTTGCTTGACGTTCCTTACGTTCAGTGTGGCCTTGCTGACCCAAGGTTTGCCTAGGTTCCTGAGTTAGTAGATATACGAAGGGTCGCCATGTCCCTTGCTCCTTGCGAGGGGAGCTCATGAAGCTTTAATATCCCTGCTAATGATTTAATCTTAGATACATCGCTTATTCGCTGAAGGTAGACGAGGTTGGCGAGATCGTTTCACAATCACAAATTTCTGCTTCTTGGCTTGAGTGCAGTTGATTGGTGCAGTTGATCGGTGCATAGTGCATTCATACTCTCCTATTGTCTGAGGCAAGAGTTTGAAACAATAAACGGCACCCGGTCGCTAATTGGCATATTTACAAAGGCAGCTGTTAACATTGGCACACCAATTGCTAACTGGAAAGACAAAAGGTAGTGACCAGGGTGTTGCTGGGACCAATATAACGGCAGCCGACACGACCCGTCGTGGGCGGTGGAAAGGTCAAGGGTGAGCGCGATGGGATATGCAAGGGAGGGGCGATCACTGATCTACTATCCGGCCTTTAACTCTCCGCCCGATCAATCAGAAGAGAGCACGAAAATGACCATTACAGCGCGGTCGATGTGACGGCGCGGGGGCCAAGATGAGGATGATGCAATGGAGAGGATTATTCCACGGAACAGGCGGCATTGGCCACGGCTATTTTATGATGACGGCCGTATAAAGAGCGGATCATTTGGGGGGCCGCGCTCCGAGGGAAGCACTGATGCATGGGACTGGATCCTCGTGTGAGACATTCAGGAGGGGATATTTTCTGCTGTATGTCGCACAGGACGTCTGCAGTTGCTGCTGACAGATCTTGGTATGGACAGATAGCCTGCAGCGGTGGGATAGTTGTTTGAAGGATGGGAGAATACTACGGATGAGTCTGAACCAGACCAGAGCAAGGAAGGGAACCCAACGCCGCCCAGTATTACCTCTGGATGGTACCTCGGAGAACCAGGCAGCAGCAGCAGCTATCCAGATACCCGACAGACAGACCATCCCTCCCTCGGCAATGGGCCAGCATTGCCCAGGCTGGTCATTTGCCTACCGAATAATGACAGGAATCATGACATCCCCACAGCTACGTAGGTTCGTTTAAGTGGAAAAGTCCGGCCAGGTCACGACCGGGGCGCGGTATCTTTAGTAACGGCAGCCCCTATTGGCGCGGCTCCACCCTTTTCTGACGGGCCTTTCCAAAGTCCCAAACCGCGCGCCTCCGTCCACGCCATCACCAACTCACCTGTGCATATCCCCGTCTTCGAATCATCGTCGCCACTAAGTCATTCTCTTGGGTCAGAGCTGGTCTTCTCCGATCTCAATCATCCCACCCTCGTTATCTGGCTCGCCCTGCAGCCACCCAACTTTCTCTTCCTGCAACCCCCCCCCCCCCCCCCCCCCCCCCCCCAATCCCTCAGCCCGTTTGAGGCCTGCAGTGTGATCTATCATCACCCGTCGAACTCTCTCTTCAGAGTTCTTATTCCCTCTCATTTCTTTTTTTCGCCCTAGTGTCCTCTCCATTCTTTCGTCAACTTCCCGGCACTCTCTCAGCCTGCGATTCGATATCACCCCAATCCGTTCCCTCACCTCCGCATCGTTCCGTCCGGGTATCGCGACTTGCCCAGCCCATCTTCCTCCTCCCCCGACCCTTTAGCTGTCACTTAATAGCTTTGGCGGGATCGCGTCAGCATGCTTGCTCTTCAGCTACACACACTCTCTCTCACACTTGATACCGCAGCTCGACCTCCGTCACTCAGAACCCGTTATTGATTATTCGCGACTGACCTGACCCGGTTTGCTGGGACCCGTCGTTCTCCGGGAGGTTGCCGTTCTATCCCGACATGGCCAGCAGTCGCGTCACCCCCCTTCCAACTCGTTTCACCACCTCGGCGCGGTCCCAATCACCGGGCCGGCCGACGGTACCCAACTATCAGACCATCGATCCTCTCCTCGGCAATCTCTCCCCCGAATCAACTCTCCAGGCCCTCTCCTCAACCGACGCCGTGCCCAGGAACGAACAAGTCGCCCACGATATCCTCTCGAAAAGTATCTCCCAGGTCTCTCCAGCAGAGCGTGCCCTCGGGATTCGCGCAGCCATTGCGGCTCAGAAGCTCAACCTATGGTACAAAGAAGTTCAGTCTTGGGTTTGGCCCAAGCGGACCGATGCTCACCTTGGGAAGGGGTTCGTCCCCCCTTCCGGCGCTTCCGACGATGAATATTGCGGAAGTCTTCCCGCGGCCGTGGTGGAGGAGCATGAAAAGCGGATCGAAGAGATTCGGGATGGCCTGGAAGTCCTGGACGTGGACGAGCTTAAGGAGCACGTTCTCAATGCCCACATTCCAGCGCGGTCTCGGCCTTCGTCATCCAATAGCACCCTATCGGTGCCTCCCCCGCTCAGCTATGTGCAGCTGAGTGACTTCACCGCCGTAATCACCGCCACCATTCTTCGTGCCCTTCCTCTTCTGTCCCGTCTGAACAGTCTCCTCGCTACCTGGGATGTTCGATTGCTGGTTCTGCGCCAGATCCCCGAGCTGCTCCGGAGACTGCGACTGGCTCGTTCGGAATTGGATTCTGCTCTGGATTTGTTAAAGTCACCCACCCTCCCTGGCGAGACAGATCCCTTGTATTCCCGCTCCAATTATCATGCCAAAAGGGCGATTTTAGAAGCAACTGTTGTGTCCGCAGGCCGCCAATTGGACCGCGTACTCGATGCGCTGGAAGGACGGGAGGATTCCCTCCCCGAGAGTTGGATTGACGATCTGGAGGGTATCGAGTCCGAGTTTGGCACGTGGGTTATGGAAGCTGAAAGGCGCACCGTCGAAAACGAATGGCGGATGACGATCAGCACAGACCAAGGTGCCAAACAGGAAAACCCGCAGGATACGTCGACGCAGCTGTCACACGAGAGCAGGGATCCCGAAAAACTATCCCTTACCACGTCGGGGTCCGTGCCGCAGACTAGTCACCTATTCCCTATGGAGACTATTGCCGAAGAGGAACCCGTCAGTCCCACTGAGCCATCGCCTTCGAATGAAGCTCCAATTGAACAAATTATCGCGGTCCCGGAATCGGTTGTCATTCCTGCTTCTCACACCCCCGATAGCGCCGTCTCATCTCCCATTCCATTGGCTACGACCGATGCTCTAAATAAACCAATTCCAAACACCCAGCCCATTCATGCTCCACAGCAAGAGTTAACACCCCCCTCTTCGGTTCCCACTTCGAATGCCTCCTCGAATGATTTAGGCGAGGCTGACTTGGCCGACGAACCTCGGGCGACCGAACCAGCCAGTCGGAAGGTTACCCAGCCTACAGAGGCATTGGACGATAGCATCATCGCGAGCGTTTTGGACAATTTGCCGCTTGAGGGGAACACTCTCGAGCGTGGTTCGTCGTTGCTGGTTGGAGAACAAGCGAATGCGTCCCTTCCTTCCGCCGGCTGTGAGACACCTCTCTGTTCACAGGAAGATGCAACCCCGCGAGCGTCTCTAGACATTCAGTCAGAGGCCGATACTTGCCGTCCTTTCCAGGCTATCGCAGATGCGCCCGTATGTACTCCAAAGAAGGAGCTCGCAGATCCCATGTCGTTGCTGCAGTTTGACAAATATTCTCGTCACTTGTCACCTGCCAGCCCTGATGCGCCGTCATCTGATGCCGGTAGTGTAATTATACGGCGACGACCGAGTTTGATGCAGTCGCCCCTCAGTCAGCAGAAGGGGGCCTCAGATGAAACGACATTTGAAGCCGAGAGCGCTCGTCCTTTGATTGAGAGCTTTGATCAAGGGCAGCCCGCTTCCGTTGAACATCAAACAGCCAGTCCGGCCAGTGTGACGGCTCAGGCTGTATCCACTGAAGTCCCTCCCGTGCCAGACTCGTTCCCGTTGCTGCCTGTCAGTGATTCCCCTGAGTCACCAGCAAAGGCGGCAATTTCCAACAAGGATGGGCAGTCTCCAATTCGCCCTACGAGTGTCGCGCATCAGGAGCCTAGTGATGGTGGTACTCTCAAAAAGCCCCTGGAGAGCCCGATCAAACTGTCCAAAACGCGACCAGCGCGCTTGTATCTTGAAAAGGAGAAATCGAAGTCTCGGGGCCGGCGGACATCTGATGCTTCGTCTCTATCAGACTATCCATCTCTAGTATCGAGTCCCGAGGTTCATGAACCTCATACATCCTCTTCTGATGGAACGCCTCTGCTCCTTGAAACACCTCCGCCATTTCACGATGCTTATCAGTCATCTGACCCCATGCCACCTGGTAGTGACCATACGTTGCGAGAAGATCGTCTATTCCGCCTCGACAACCAAAAGCCATCGCCACGTGCCAATTTCGCGCACAATCGAAACCTCAGTCTTCCCCTACAGCGTTTCATCAACGAAAGGTTGGAGATGAATTACGAAGACGAAAGCGGCAGTGATATGGATGGCCCTGCTCACAACAGAAAATCCACTGATGTGTATGCGGATTTGCGCCTCGGCCAGAAAAAGGCACTGTTGCCTCCACATCACAGCAGAGCCTCCGTGTCAGCCAACAATCCACGACGTTCTGCAACCCAAATTCTCGATGTGCCTCGTGAAGAAAGTCCTAGGCCAGTCAGCAATGCTAGGACGAAGGTTTTGTCTAAGGCTTGGGAGCACAGGAAGAGTTCCGTTCCGAAGAATGCGAACAGCAGTGCTCTGCAGTCCGAACCACCTGCACATTCGACTACCACGCGCTTGAGGAGACAGTTAACTGCGCATCCTAGCCTTGAAAGTATTGGGGCCTATAAATCCAACGCTCGATCTAGTGACGAGGCCTCTTCCGTTACCGCCTTTTCTAAGCCCGGGTCTCGGCCATCTACGCCGGGCTCTCAGTTGAGGAGGCCCAAAGATCATCTAGACGAGAAAATCACTTCTATCTTGTCGACCCTCCCTACTCGAATCCATTTGATGTCAGTTGAGGATAAGGACTTCGATGGAAATTCTGTGGCGACATCGATTCCCTTGAAGGCCAAGGAACGGTTCCGTTCCATATCGCCCCAAGGCATGCCGTCACGTAGCAGCACGCCCACCCCGTCCTTGACCCTGACACCTGCGCCCTCGCGCCGCAGGTATTCTCATGCACACGCCCCCGAGGAGAGCTCCGTGAAGCTCTATCATCTGCATCGGGGTGGAAAGACCGCCCCGACGAAACTTTTCGTTCGCTCGGTGGGTGAAAGCGGAGAACGCGTCATGGTTCGGGTCGGAGGTGGGTGGGCAGACCTGGGGGAGTACCTGAGGGAATATGCCATCCACCATGGCCGTCGGCACGTCTCGGACACGCCTCGTGTTGAGGTCCAGGGCCTGACGACCCGTACCTCCCCCACATACTCCACAAGTGGGCGCCGCACTCCATCCCGACCGCGATCTGTCATTAGCAATCGGCCATCATCTTCGTTGGCTATGCGCAAAACCAGACGTACGTCGAACGTGTCTGATGTGACCGAGTTCAGGGCAGGTGGAGAGATGCTGAATGCTTCGTACTCACCTATATCGACGGTCTCATCGCGCAGACGACTGTCGGCTTCATCCAACGCCTCAATGGGCGCGGCCTCTTCCGCGAGCGAGTTCCGTCACGGGTCCTCATGCTCTCCGTCTACCACTGCTGCTGGTGGTAGCTCCCATTCGATCCCGCTTGGCCTGGCTGGGCCGAAGCCACGGCCGAGACATGTTACCATCAGCCCAGAGAGTGAGGCGTGGGTTGAAGATGTTCTCGGCCAAGCTCGGAGGAGCTCATCTTTAAGGCCGTACAACTATGTACCGCCCCTAGACCAAGAGCCTGCATCCAAAGCTCCCACCATTCCCAAGTCCCGAAGCATCAGTGACCTAGGAATGGTCGGTTCTAGCAGGCGCGTCGCACTACGAGGACTTGCCAAACGCTAAGCCCTCACCTGATCCTAATCCTAATCCTTGATACCTTGACCTCATCTACACTCTTTCTCCCACCTCCGTCCCTCCCTGCTTTGTCTACTAGTACTGGCGTTTGCCGTTTGCCTGGTGTTTCGGTTTGGACACGGGGTACTAAAAGTGTTAGACAGCATTGTCCGTTTTTCCTTTCGGTTGCATTGCATTCTCAGGGCGAACAATCTTTTTTTCTTCCCCTTCTTCTTTTCTTCTTCTCATACCAGACATACACGTCCATTGTTTGTCTTCATTTACTTACCAGTGCATCAGCCGGATTTCTTACCTTTTCCATTCTTGTCCTTCATCTCTTTCTCCATCCCTTGTTGCTGGAGATCGCCTGATTGATTCCTTTTAGGTCCTGGTTGACCGCCATCTGTTTTATTTCATCTTTCTTGAACTCCTGTCTGCTTGTTACTTAGCCCTTGTGATTTGTATGTAGATAGATACCCTTAGGTAAGGTTGGGTCTTTTCCTGCTGCTGCTGTTGTTGTTGTCGGTGATAGTGGTGATGGTGGCGGTTCTTGTGTGGGTGTTTGCCTTACATGTTGTTTGTGTCTATACCTCTTTTCCGTTAGGGGTAAAAGGATGGATAGGCATGATTGATTGATCAGTAAATAGGAATTGATCTGTTGATAAATCGTATCGATTGTCATGTGTGTTTCTGTACGGTGTATCCTACTTATAGTATGTGAGAGGTGGTGGTAATAAGTCCGTTTTACCTACTTCGAAATCTCATGATGACGGTGTTGAAATCAATCATGATTCTTACTGCAAGATAACAAGCAACAGGATCAAAGAGCAGCAGCAGCAGCAGCAGCAGCAATATGGCCGAAAAAGACGAGAAAAAGAATCAACGCCGCCATTCCCATTCCGGACCGACCAGCAATATCCAAATGTCCGTCCATCACATCATACAAACGAGCAAACGTGAAAGAGCTGCGTACGTAATTAGGGCATAAGTCGTGGTTGAGCATGTGTCAACAGGGTAGCAAAAAGAAAAAAAAAAAGTCAAAGCAGTCTCTACGAGGTCTCTCCTTCTGCAGATGACTCCTGCGGTTTAGGAGCTGGTTTTCGTGCCCATGGAACGTTCTTCTGGAATAGTTCTCTTAGTTCCGGAGAAATGACCTTGGTCTCTCCGTCATCGCCTGGCGCGGTACTGGGGCCAGCGCTGACGCCGCTGCTGAAGGCGGTGCTTTGCGGTCGTTGGGGCGATTTGCCTTTGTTTGGGCTTGCGGAGGAGTCCTGGGTAGGCTTGCGTTGGTGGGCTGCGGGTGCAGGGAAATTGTTCTTCTTGTCGATAGCCTGGACGGCCCGCTCGAAACGGTGGAATAGCGACTCCGCGCGGGTGAGGATCGGGACGAGTTCCATTGTGTTGGAGAGCTCGTTGACTAGTGATGTTAGGATTTGTTCTTAGGATTGCAAGGGTGGTGGGCTTACTGTATTTTAGAACCTCGTCAAACTGCTTCAGATGGTCCATAATGACATCCCGATGCTTTTCAAGGATGGCAAGTGCGATGAAAAGATGGAAGCTGCTAGAAAGGTAATCGGTCCAGAGCGTTTCCCAGAGACGCAGGACGTCGACCCATTCGAACTCGCGCTTGTACCAGACTAGGAGCATTCGGAAGAAGAAGAAAAAGTTCGTGCTGTCAGCGGACTGGAGATGGAGGTAGAGCTGGGGATCCATGAGCTGCACAAGATGGTCCAGGGTGAGTAGCTGCAAACGCATGCCGGATTGGTCACGAAGGAAGTTCCGTTCCTGTGGGAATGCATTAGTACGGTAGGTATCGGTAGGGGTGGCATTTGTATTACCATTCTGTCCATGAAGCCAACGAACGCCCAGAAGGCAACTGCATCGTCCTGCATTACGGCGTAAATTGGAGCCAGGAGATCGCTCATGCCTTGAACATAGCCCAGGTCAGGATTGTATTCGTTATACGTAAGAAGCATATCTTTCATTTGTTCAAGATGCACGTTCGTTCCTGTGTCTGCAAAAGGCGAATCCGGGTCTGGGTGGGGAATATCTTCTCCGGCAAACAGGGGTATCGTGCGGTCTGTACGATGGACATCTTTCTCTGTTGAAGATGTGAGAAGAGGCGCAGTGCCTTACGCAGCGGCGAGGCTTACCTATTCTGTTTCTCTGCTCTTTCCACCAGTCAAACTCTTCCGTCGTAGAAGTGCCTTCGATCATTTTCTCCCACCAGGCACCTTTCAACCGGATGTACTCATCACGTTTTGAGTTCATCAGCGCTTGCCGTTCCTCATGACTGCTATCCCACGGATACACCCCAAGGAGGAAGAGCCATGCTTCTTTTCTGACTCCGTCATTGGGATCTAGACCCCCATGGAATATCCTTTCCTTGACTTCTTCAACGGTTAAATGCATTCGTCCGGTAGTTGGGTCAAAAAAGCCCTCCCACTCCTTCAAGGTGACTGTCTTGCGGCGTTCCTGAATGGACATAGTTCCCGTCTCGAGCTCAAGGATCTCAAACTCCCCGACAGAGCTATCCTCCATGCTAAGAACATCCCGTGCGGTCCATATCCGCTGGTTCCTTTCGCGTTCACTCTGCTCGGAGATGCTCATAGCCCATCGGGCCAAGTACAACCTAGCGCTATCAAACTCATCTTGTAAAGTTTGGATTTCCGGGGTCCTCATCAGGCGACGAACTTGCGGAGGGATCCGGGGATTGTCGGCTAACTCATTAGCCGTGCGCCTAGTGAACGTAGTAATCTTGCTCAGCTGCTCAAGGACTTTCCACCTTGTCTCCTTGAGCGCTTTCACAAAAGGATCCATCCCAGCATCCCGTTGTCCGCTTCCGCTCGCCAGTGCAGGTTGATCCTGAGCCTTCGCCACCGAGCCATCTGCAGTTAAAGGTCGTCCAAACGATATGCGATCTTCCTCAGACGGATTGATCAGATAAACACTGTTGTCCACGGCGGAGCGCTGGACTTCCGCATACTTCCGAAGCCATCGCAAAACCTCATCGCCTCCCCAGAAGACACTCCCGTCTTCACCGAACGGGTCAAAGCTCTCCCTGGTTCTCTTCTTTTTCTGCAGTATCGTCGACTCGCATTCAGTGTCATGGAAAAACAGCGCGGGGAAGCTATCACCAGCGCGCGTGTTGATCACAAGACTCCCGAACCACCAGCCCAGACTCGGAGGTCGCACAAGAAGTGAATAGATCTCAGATAGGGGCACAGCAAATGCGTACAGTCCTATGGGGTCCTTGAATGTGGTTGTTGTCGGAAGAGCAGGCACTAGATACTTCTGCCGCGGAGGGGAGGAATCGTCTGATAGATCAACCTTGACATAGGTGCTGTAGGCATCCCCCAGGGAAGATTCGGGGACCCAGGCTAGGAGGTAGGAGGAGAGGTCTGACGGAGAGTTGCTGGAAGCGGTATTTGTGAAAGGAGGGAGGGGCTTTTGTTGGATGAGGGCGATGAATCCGGGGATGTTATCTTTCGAGGAAGGAGTTGGATGAACGTAGACCTGCGATACTCGGGATTGAATGGGTTAGCCAATAAATCATACAAATGGCTATCTGGTAATTTACCTTGCTTTTAGAGAATAGAAGCTTAACTCCTCTGCGCGAGGTGGAATGAGATATCGTGTTATACTCATCCTCCTCGTCGTCACTGACGTCGTAGTACGACGCCGTCGGGGAAGGCGGCGAAGGAGGAGGGGTGTATTTGATTCCGTTGCCTGCCATGTCGGAAGGGATGAGGCGAAGGGCTGAGTTCCACGGGGCCGAGATGATCAAATCCTATTCATAATGCAAGCTCGATCCGGAGCTTGTTTTTTCTGAAGCAGGTCTGGGGGACGGGCAAGTCAGCCACCGGTCGGAGAGGAATTGCGGAGGGAAAGCGAGTCACGGCCGGAGGTCACGACGTAATCGTGGGGTCCACCGCTTCCATGTGATCCCCTCTTCGCCTCCATCCCCTGCAACGCTCAACCAGAAGAACTACTCACATACCTTGCACTGGGCTTCTAACAGCGTATCTCGAACAAGTCACCCAGGAGCGTGGTGCTGGGAGGGATGGGTAGGCAGAATGTTCCTTGAGAACTCCATTGCCACCGAACCCAAACAGTGATGACTGAACTGCCCAGGCAGCAACAAAACTTCATCGAGATAATCCGATTATCCGCATTCAATCACCGAAAGGCGACTAATAGTAGCCTGTCAGATGGCTTGTGGTTGCAGCTCTTATCATTTACGCAACATTCCTTGGGCGGCTACACTCTGCAAGCGCCTGGATGATCTCGGATCTCGTCCCTGGGAGCAATCTGCACAATATATGGAACGAAGCATCGATCTATATCTTTTCCCCTAGCCATCAAGGCGAATTAAAGGTCGAATTTACTACAGGGGTTACTTATCTCTAGTTATGCCAAGCAACATCAGAATCACCAGGGCGATCCTACGTGTCAGGCTGTCAGAACACCAACCATGCTTCTGCAAGGGTTCCATATGACTTGTCGACCCTCGATCATTCGCCATTGCCGAAGGCGTCGCATAAATCTGGTCTACTGACGCACAGGATTTTATAGCCTGTTCAGGAAACAATTCACCCGTCCAATGAAGGGCTGTTCTCATACTTGCAGATATGCAGTCTTCGCTAGACTCTTTAAATACCTCGAAGAGTGGCTTGATGCCGTCTGTAGCCATACTGCATCATATATCTCTAGTCATCTTCAGCTTACACTATACACAATGTCCGAGCTCATGCGCACCTTGCCAGCTTCCTGGTATCGTAGTCTGCCTCTCTACCAGCTTGAGCGAAGAGCTATCTTCTTGAAGGTGAGGTGTGAATATCCGCGCGTAAAATTATCACACTAATATTCCTCTAGTCCTGGTATCTCATGGGCCCCGTTACCAGGTTCTGTGATATAGGAGCCAAAGTCGAATATGAGATAGCGCAACGATCTATCCATGTTTTCAGAAGCTCGGGAGATGAGCCCTTTCCTGGACAAGATGAGATTCGAGTAGTTTGTGCACAGAGTGTATGTCCAGCTCGGCGCATGCACTGAACCGAGAATGCATTCTTTCCAAACCCCGAGTACCGGTTCAATCGAGCTGCTGATATTGACCGAGGCTCAGGAGCGACCTTTACGACACTATGTCACGCCCACGGGTCTCGTCTTTGCCACTCTATCAGAAGAAGCGCCCAGTTTCAACGAGTATTTCCCGGACTTGGAGCCATTACTTCAGAAGGTGAATTTCACCAAGCTCCCGTACAGACACAGCATCAAATACGAAGGACGATTTAACTGGAAGACAATGTATATGGCACTTCCTCGTATTCGGGAATGATCATGTCTCCTGACTTGGACAGGGTCGACGGTTACCAAGAATGCCTGCATTGCCAATATACCCACCCGTCATTCTCCATTTACTATCCGCCAACATCTTACGCGGTGCACAATCACCAGAATTTCTCTCAGCACATCGCGGACCCGGAGAAGCCCGGTGATGGTCTGTTTCTCTATTTCTTCCCGAACTGCACTTTGAATGTCTATGGTGGAGGAATGTCTTCGTTCCGAGTCTGCCCAACCGATGACCCGAATGTCACACGGATGGAGTTCGACTACTACCACATGGAATCCGGCGAGAAGTTTGATGAGTATTTCCGGTTTGTGCGGCAGGTGGCTATGGAAGATTACGAACTGTGTGAGAAGGCTCAAGACAACCTCACTAAAGGCATCTATAGTGAAGGGATACTCAACCCAGAGAAGGAGAGCGGGGTCTTCTGTGAGTACTCCAAGGCTGTTTTATTCCACTCGTGAGCTGAACCAAGCCAAGTTTACCAGGATCGCGTTTTTGAATTGGTGTGTCAGCAGCACGCGGCAGACAAGCTGGAAAAGGAACGCAAAGAAACGGAATTTGATAAGCGAAAGACGGGGCCGAAGGGTGTCACAACAGGCGCATGAGACAAGGAAACAGGTGCCGGGAATATGCACGTTCTTATCAGTGACGCGGGAGATACATCTACATAAAGTCTGGCCCATGTAGTGCTTTATGCATGTAGCGATAAGGTGTCAAGTGACTTTCTGGTGAGGATCGGCCAAAGCACCATTAAGGTCCATCATACTGCGACTCGCCTTTGACGCATGTCGCTGGAAACTCTCACCATATCTGGAAGGTCAATACAGGCTTTCTTGCTTTGCTGCATGGCCATCGGCTGGCAATGTGCTCGCTTACTGGACAAAACAAGGGCACACATGCAAACTAGCGGAGCCAACAGGGTCAGTGCTCGGTCTCTGGTGTTGCTTGCACTTGTTTTTAAGAAGCTTCCACAGTAATATAAAAATGGAGAGGTTCCTGTTAGCAATTGTGGCTCATTAGTCATTGCCAAAATGATCACTGAAAGACTGAGCTCGGCTCTCTCCTCGGCATTGTCAGCCTCGATACTGGTTGCACTGCTGGTGGGGTTAGCTTCCCTCCTCCACGCCTTATACCGATCTTTACTTGATGGACACAAGTCACGGCTCAGAACTGAGTCGAAGGAATCCAACATAGGACCTGGACAAGGAGACAACGAGAACGCTGTCTCCAAGGAGTCAGACTTTCCACAAGACTGGTGGACTGGCTCTAGTGTGTTTGAGCTGGAACGACGTGCTATCTTTGCCAAGGTATGTGCTTCACATCACTGACAAACATTAAAAATCAATCATTCTGCTCACCTACGACTGAACTAGAAATGGATATATCTTACACATCGCAGTCGATTCTCCAAAGCCGGTGACTACCATTCGTTTGACGTGGCCGGCATTCCCATCTTCCTGATTTTAGGGAAAGACGGCCTCGTGCGGGCATTCCATAATGTCTGTCGCCATAGAGCTTACACAATCACGAGAAAGGAGTGCGGTTCTTCTACGGTTCTTGGGTGTCGATATCATGGTTGGAGCTATAATACTCATGGGCAGCTTATCAAAGCCCCTCACTTTGACAGCGTGCCAGGCTTCGATAAATCGCAAAATGGCCTGTTTTCAATCCACACCACTACAACACCTACGGGGTTTATCTTTGTGAATCTCGACGCATCTCCCTCGGTGCGTCCTGTTGATACAAGTTCTCTTGATTCCTTTGCGAGAAGACACGGCATTGGAGGACAGTCTACTTGGCTAGGAGGGCAGACAATCGAAGGCCAGTTTAATTGGAAATTGGGTTGTGAGTTCTTCCTACATATCATCGTGCTTCAGGTGTCTAACATATTGAATTTCAAGTGAGAGCTCAGAGATTCATCGACAGTACGAAACTCCAGCACGAACCCCCACAACCAAAGTATCGGTTTCTGTCGTCGCGCTTGTTCAATTCTCCGCGAAGGTGCTCGGAAGACATCAGGGTCTTTCCTTTTACGACCTTCCATACACTCGAGGGGGCGGCGATTTGGTATTCTTTGAGCTTTGTTCCCATATCTGCACAAAAGACGTCAGTTCGATTCGACTTGTACTCACACCGAGATATGGGCGGTCCTAGGCGTTCAGCAATACAAGATGATCTATCTAGCCGATTGAAAACCGACATTCAAGTACTGGAGGTAGAATTTCAATCTTATTTCGGGAGTCCGACGTACGTCCCGCATCCATGTGGCTAAATGTAGGACTAATGGATGGATTACTTGTCTAGGCTCCCCGCTGTTATTTCTTCGGCATCAAGCCCGGATGTTGCAGGTAAACTGCCGGATGAGCAATGCAAGTCTTTCTCTCACTGAAGAACATTTCAAGCGAGTTTTCGAATAGGCACACAGAAAGCGATCCTCGATATCCTTAAACGCCACTCGAAGCTGGAGAAACAACAAGGGACCGAGGTATTTCCTGCTACAAGGAATTCTAGAAGAAATGCAAGATTTGAGCAGGCTGAACAGCGTCTGTTAATCCCCTCCTTACTAATTCTATCTTGCTAAGCTTGGATCGCAGTCTGCAAAGACCTCGAGTGCCAAGACACTTGGAATCGCAAAAGTCTCGCTTGGTGAGTATGCATGGAATAATACTCCGTAGTTGCAGACTGTGCGACCACATGAGTCAGTCGTATATGAATTGGGAAACCCGGTCCCGCTTGCCATTTAATCATAGTTGACAAATTCGGTTTTCATATTCTTGATACTAATTTGTGCAATGATAACATGGGTCTCAAAGCAGCCAGCTGGCTGTTTCATGTTCAATTCGGCTCAGGGCATTGTTTCAGGCTGTCCGGGTTCCTCTGTCAATAAGACAAACAGTGGACAAGCAAGGGGCTGCAGGGGATGAAAACAAATCCCGAGAATTTTGGACAACTGGAAAAGAATGGCGGAGAGCACATGTGAGCTTGAAGATGAATGGACCTGTCGTTTGGAAATGCTTCTTGGAACTTACCGAAAGATGTGGGGTGGATCCGAAATCGCAGGGTCCAGCACTCGAGTGGCAGCGTGTCAACCTTCCCTTTTCTCCCGCCCCCACCGTCGAATCAGACCCATCGTTTTGATCTGGGCCTGCCCCAAACGTATAAGACGCTCAAACCCGGACTTGACAGGGCAGACTCTGTATTCATTATTGCTGACTCTATAATTCGCTTTCACTCTCACTCGCTTGCCATAAGTCAAACTTTTAACCCCCGGAACCACTGCACGTCTAGCGTGATCGATCTAAATTTCCGAGACGTTCTAAGCCATCGTTAACCCTTTCGAGGTAATCTCCAGGACGGACCAGATCAACTCATTCCTGCCACGTGGATCAGAGCTAATATCAAGTAGGCGCATCTAGTCCCTAGCAAAACCTAGTTTCGAATCTGTAGGACACACGTCGGGTACCTGCTATGGCTTTCCCTCCGATAGCAAGGGCGACCTTGCAAGCTGCGCTAATTAATGCCGGTTCCAATGTGCTGGCACAGGTCATTGGAGCGTACAGGGATGAGGTACGTCGGTTTATCCCTCAGGTCGCATGAAACCCTGGGATTGCGGGATCAGGGTACTGCTGTATACGTGTGAAATATCACCGGACTGACAGGTGACACGGCCGATCGGCAACCCATGGGGACGGTATCACTATATGCCTCCTTGGTTGCCGATAGTGCGATGTTTACAGAGACCCTTCCAACTGGACAATCAAGCCTTGTTTCAGTTCACAACCTGTGCTTTCATTCTCTCCCCGTTGACCTTCCTATGGCTCGAAGGACTCGAATCGAAATTCCCCGGCTACAATGATAATTCTGCCCCCAGCCCCAAAACGGAAAAGCCGAAGCAGAAGCCCAAGCTCAATGTAACCAATACTGTCGCCAAAATCGTCATCGATCAGATTGTTGGAGGTGCCTGGAACACGGCAGCCTTCATCATGACCATGGGGTTTCTGCGCGGCCAGGACTGGGAGTCTATTGTGCAGCAAATCCAAAAGGTCTGCTTTGGCCCCCCTGTTTATGTTTGATACCGGATTGCTGACCCAAATCAGGACTTCTGGCCCATCCTGGTGGCGGGGTTCAAGCTGTGGCCGATCGTCTCGATCTTGAACTTCACGGTTGTACCAACAGAGAAACGCCTGCTTGTTGGTAGTCTGTTTGGTGTACTCTGGGCTGTTTACTTGAGTTTGATGTCGGGTTGAAATTCTTCGAGATTACCCCAATAGCCGTTGCAGACACGTGCCCAAAACCAACCTAATTAGAACTTGGCTGGTTAACAGGACCCTACAAGACTCGGACACTCTCTCTATTAGCTTAGCAAACCATTAGCTAGACGGGACCATTATCCTGAATCGACGGATCGTACCACGCTAGCCTGCAGGTACCTGCCCACTGGGGAAAGTAGTAGATAATCAACCACCACATAGGTCCACAATACAAGTAATAGGAGCTTCCTTAAACCAAGCGGGGAAACGGCGGCACGCAACGTTGAGGAAACTGTTGGGCGATACGTTCCTAACCTGGGCCTCCTCCATTTGGCCCCCATAGTTCATTCACCTCCCGGGCATCCGAGAGCTGCAGCCTAGCTCGAACTGGCTCAAGGACCCCAGGCCCCCACCCAAGCTATTGAATTATATTTGATTGAGCTTGTATTGGTCTTACGCTTGGGTTTAGCTGTATGATCAGGATGAGAAGTTACTGATACGAAGATAAGGGACGGTGGACAACATTATCGTGATCATTATCAAATCACATTAAAACATAGTGCAACAACTAATGAAGAGTGAGTTACTGCAGCATGTTTATTGGAGGAAGTAGAAATTCTTCTTTTCTTGTACGTGTATTAAACAATTGGTAAGTCAAGCGGATGTAGGAAGGACCATGAATTTTGTGGATTGCGGAAATCTACGCGTCTTCTCTTGTTCTTTTTGTCGTCCTTGGCTTTGTCATGTTCTGAGTGATTCATATGGCTTGACCAGTGTATTGCAGGGTGGGGTTCTCTGTGTCTTGCAATCATCAAAATAAGATTGGTAGGCCTTACACCTCTCCGCAATGCAAACGCACTCTATGATAAGACTCAATCACTCGCCCCGCGATCTTAGTACTGGATACTCCTGTGAGATTGGATACCGTCCTTTCTATAAAGGATATGGTAACTTGCCCAGAAAGTTGACGGATATCCGTCTCTTTCCAAGAAGACCTCGTGACAGTCCGACTTCGATCCTTGGTACGGATCGCGGACGGTTCTTTCCACTGGTCTTTCGAAGTAAACTTACATTAGAGTCGCAGTATCTTGTTGTGAGATTCTATTGTCTGAGATTAGCTGCATGAGAAGTCCTCTACATCATTGTCAGCAGACGGCGGTAGTGAACCATAACCTTGTGTGAATGCCACATCAGGAATAAGAACCACACATCCTACCTATATAAGACTGGCGTTTTATCATCCCGCTTAGGCTAAGCGATATAGGGAAGTTCTTGTCAAGTAGGCGATTACGCTAGTCCTGAATTGGAATGTTTTTTCGTATGTTGGTCATCTCTCCCATGGAGCAGCGTCGAAGCCAAGTTGCATCCATCAAACCAACATGACTGTGCCACACATACAACAGTGATATCAGGGACGGATGGTCGAGGTCAGAAAGTCAGTCCGGAACTTAACATGGAGTACCTGCAGACTGGATGAGATCGAAATCCGCTTCACGTTTCTGAAGCCAACACCGAATGATCGTGGTACTGCTACCGGGTAACTGCCAGTTTCAGTATGAGGTAGGTACTACATGCAGGCGGCATAGGCGTTGATTGTATGATACATCCTTGCAGAAGGGCAGTTTGAGAGATTGAGCTCATCTAAGCTGCGAGATCAACTGTTGGTTCAAACACATTCACATTGACGTTGAGACAGTGAACGCAGGAGAGACAACGGCTCGCTGACGGAAAGACCTGCATAAGCAATGATGGTTCGCATGATGTCCTCGAATCTTACTAAGATAACCCCCCCTTCGTTTAACTAGCTTTTACGCGCAGATCGATTCCATTATCGCATGCAGGAGTTGTACTCCGAAGTCCGAACGCCCGCGACTGATTGATTCGACCATCCAGGTGCGTGCCCACCTGGTTGCATGGACAGGGATACAGCGTACGCAATGGGTCGGTGAATTGTGACCTCACTCCTATTCTTATTGCCGGGCCTATTGATGAAGCACTGCCCGGGCACCCAGCCATGTTGAATGGCTGCTTTTAGCGTCTGGGCTGGTAGAGAAGCCCGTTACGGAGTACTGCCGGGTAATTAATAGATCAGGGCTGTGGCTGCAGTCTCCAGCTGCACCATGCGGACGGCAGAAATTCGGGATGGTCACAGGGATAGATCCCTGAAGAATGGTGATCAAGGAGGCTGGTGGATGGCGCAGCCAGAAGGGATTTTCTCTGTGGTCCCTTTTTCTAGATAGACTTGAATGATCAACTCGAACCTTGTACTCCGTAGATAAGGCGTGCAACCGTGCAAGGCATATTACGATTTCTGCTGAGGAACCATGGGAAGATTACGCTTTTCCCTCCATTACGATACCTGACCGGGTGTGGCACTCGGATTCGGGCTAGTCGCACGGGCTAGTTTTGGCCCCCGCGGTTTAGCCCAGGCTTTGCTTGACGGCTCTCTCGAGGCGATCCATTCTTCGTCCCACCCTCCATCAATGCGAAAGATTCTCCCCTTCAGGCTTCCCCTCGACCTATCGCGGCGCGCATACCCCTATTACTCCATAAATTAGCTGGCGTCATGTCGCCGACTCCCCGGCCGGTTTCCCTCCGACACCACAGGGATATGAAAAGCGTCCCCGGCACGTGGGGAATGTCAGATCTCACCCATTCTTACTTAGGTCGGACCTCAAATGGCAGACATCATCCCTATCTACTCTCACATCCCATCTTCGCGCATCTTGGATCTCTTTGTTGGTAGCTCGTCATATGGTCCGCCGCATTTCTCTTTCTTTGTTCGCTCCCGCGACGTCGGCTATTAGAATACCAGCCCCTAGCATTGCGCTATTCATCGTCGCTTTGCGCTAACCTTATGCGACAGTCGGGTGGCACGTTTGACGATCCCTGTCACTGTTGCTGAAAGGATACGCACAATCCAGGAGCAGCGTTCGAGACCGATTTTCTCGGGATTGGTTTCCAGCAGAACGGTTCTGCCTTAGCCCGTTTGGGCCTCGAAAGTCCTTCGGCTGGGCTGGCTTCTAAATATACGAAAAGCACCGGAAATAACATTGTCGACGGTGGCAAAGAGAGCAACTCAAGTATATCGCCTTAGACCATGTTCATGATCAGAAGCACACGGATGCACTGTTCCATATAACAACGGACGTTGTGTATAGGTAGCAGCCAATTGTCTTAACCAACAAGGCGCCCCGGAGGTTCCTGTTGCCCCGACTTGGAAGACTCAGCTACCTCGAACCGTCTTTGAACATCAAACATAGAGCTATATAAGAAACTGGAATGCCCGAGATGGAGATACTACACTTGCCCGATCACACTCCATCCGGTGTACAACCTTTAGATGTCTCAATGGAATCGCAAGCTCATCTTTCGGAACACGAGATATCAGATAGCGCAGACGTGGTCGATGGTGACATCGATGAAGAAGAGGACGATGTCTCGATTTCGTCTATATCTGACAAACCCCCACCATGGTCAGGAACTCGTTGGGCTCGTTTCTTCCCTGAGCTGTCCTCTCATTTCTCCTTGACTTCTCCGACGAACGGTGCAAATCCTTTCTCCCATCATCACATGAAGGGCGCACCTCATGTGGATAGTCAACTACAGCAACCGGAGAGAAGTAAAGGGCGTTCTTCTTTGTCATCCGACGAGGTGGCGGATAACAGATCGTCGAGTTACACCAGCAGGTCATCCTTAACGAGTCAGGGATCCGAAGCTACATCACCAACCCGTAAATCGGCCGATGGCTTTCACATATCATCTCCCGCTGTGGCTGGCGCTCTGGGGGAGTCAAATCCTGAGCAGCAAATTCCCCATCCCTTACAAAAGCGGCCTTCGATTGCCCAGTCTATAGACAAGCCTCTTCCTCAAGAGCCACCGATCGAGTTGACTCCCCTATCAATCCGCCATAAGACGTCCCAAACGCGGGATTGGGAACTGGATCACTATACCCGCTTGAAACCTCCGCCGCGCTCAATCACGAAACCAAGCTATCATCATTCGACGCTGTCGCAGGCGACCAACGACCTGGAAAGGACTTTGGCTGGACTCACCGAGCAGCGCCAGGTACCAGAGCAACTTTCACCTCGCAGTCCTCTTCAGGTCCTCGATGGGCCTTTGCAGATTAGTAGAGGCAACATGGACATGGTTGCTACGCGACCAGCCCCTCGCCCCCCTGCTAGCGCGCATGAAAGCCAACAGATCCGCAGAACCACATCCCCCGAAGACACGAAACGAACAAAGAAACCACATAAGACCAAGCCGCCGTTCTCCTTTGCAGTGCCAAGCTTCGGTCGGAAACTTAGCCGTGCCCATCAGCGATCTACTAGCAGCTCTAGCTCAAAATCAGAGCCTGAGTCATATCGGGCCAGTGTCCTACATCCGCCAGTGGTTGCGGAACTCGAAGACTGTGGAGTCGCTGAACTACAAGGGTCTTCAATCAATGGCTTTGGGGGAAGGCCGGCATCCGCAGGCGGGGAGAAAGAGCTTCGGATGAAGCTTCCCCGCCTTCAAACAAAGGAAATGGGGACACTTCGCCGGGCAAGCATAAGGCGGCCTTTCAACTCGACGGGAGGTCATATCCACACCACTCGTGAACACTCAGAACCGCATCAAAGGCCACTCGAGAGAGCAAGGAGCGTGTCCCTCGGCGAAAAATATTTCGTGTCATACAGTAAATCCGGTGAGACGTCATCGATCTTTACGCGTCAAGACCAACAAGTTCCCACAGCTCCAGGGACTGTCTATGAACTGGAGGCCAGTCTCCCATTGCCGCCAGCTGAATTGCAAGGCGATATTATGACCTCGACCTGTGAAACTATAGGTGCGATGCCTGCGATGCCTGCGACTCTGCCTGTTCGCGTCGTTCTGTCGATCTTGGAGCAGGTCAATTCACTTGATGAGCTTTTCAACGTTGCAGTTCTTCGCAGAGATTTCTATCGCGTGTTTAAGCAGCACGAGCTGAGGCTCATACGAAGGGCGGTTTTCGCAACGTCTGCGCCAGCGTGGGAGTTACGTGAGATGAGCCCTCCATGGGACGCCGAATGGCAAATTCTGTTCGATCCTGATGCCCCAGTGCCAGAGTACACTCCGGCCTGTTATCTCAAGCGCTATGCCCAGGATATCTACACGCTGGCACATCTCAAGTCCCTTATACTAGCTCGGTGCGGGACTTTTCTGCGTCCAGAAACGATCCGTGGGCTGTCCGGCATGGATGATGTCCGTGCTACGGAGATTGATGACGCCTTCTGGCGTGTTTGGACGTTTTGCCGGATTTTCGGATCTGGGAAACATAGAGAGGGAGACATTGTGGGCCAGCTAGATTGGCTGAGGGGTGGTGCCATGGCTATGGGCCGACGTGTGTCGGTGGTCACGTCTATAGCTGATCCGTATGATGCCAATAGCGTCTTGTTCGAGCCCCCTGCCGGATTCGGTCACGGTAACAAGGGTGGTTTATCCAAGGAGCAACTTCATGATATGACCGAGATCTGGACTTGCCTAGGCGTGCTGCTTCAACCAATGCACGGTAAGTGTAGTGAAGCGCGAGCGGCTGGCATCTTCGATGGGCACGATGTGGCAGTAAATGATCCTGCAAAAGAAGAGGCAGTTTTAGGTGAGTGAATTGCATCTGTTGGAGGGCTGTCATTGGATTTGCGCTTTTGCCGAGAAGCTAATACTCTTTACAGAAGAGTGGACGTACTATATCCTCACGCTCGGGCTTTCGGCGGTCTTGATACTCGGTTCGATTCATGCCTATGATGATACTGCTGTGGTTTTTCAAAGGGCTCGATCAATGGGCTTGACAAAATGGGAGCCTTCTGACACTGGTGCGAGCCGTTGCACGTTCCTCAGGGAGGCTGTGTCAAAGGCTTGTCAGCCACGGCGAAGTATCCCATCTCAAACATCTCTACGCTCTCCTAGCTTCAATTCCCAACCATCCGGGTCATCGCTCGTCAGTCGGGAAGGCTCTCCAACGACCAGCAGCCCCAGTGAGAGAATGCCTTCTCCTGACTTCCACCGCCGACGACAAGCCGCCTATTCTGCCCAAATAAGGAACCAAAAGCAGCAGCAGCAACTAAGTCCATACGGTGTTATGCTTGCGGAAGAACGGCCCTTATCTCAGTACGCAACAATCATGAGCCGTTTGGAAGCTCGCGCGCCCGCGCCACAACCACCGATGTCTGTGTCGAGGATGGCAACGTCACCTACTATCCACTCCCATGTCCCGAACGTTCATTATATGCAGGCGCCCCAGCCGGTCACGCCGGTCATGCCGGTCTATCGACCACAGGTCCGAGATCCTGTTGATCAGGCCCTCGACACGATGGTCCGGGAGCTTGGCTTTGAAGAAGAAAAGGCCAAATGGGCCCTTAAAGTAACCGATAATGGCGAAGGGATTAACGTAAATGCAGCAATAGCGTTGCTTATAAGGGAACACAAGAGCCACGAGCAAAATCATAGGGGATTCTCCTTGAGAAAACGCAAGAGCTTTCTATCATCTGTCATTAACAGTCCGGAGTCGCGGTATTCCGGCTGGAAATGGGCTTAAGCAGCTGGTTATTCCTCCGCAGGTGTTGCGGTAACTCTTTCCGACGTTAGGGTTCCCAGCGCCAATGACAACAACAGATGCGGCTGCAGTGTACATTCCCTCTCATATTCTACCTTTCGCCTTACGGTCTCTTTCGCTTGGTGTTTCCCTGGATTCCACGACTTTGTTGTTTTCGATACCACTTTGTACCATCCATACTTTACCCATTTCATCTCTGCTGTTAGCGTGTACGACTATTTTCCATACATCCCTAGATCATCGGCTAGAAGGCCTATGAAAGATGTGGTTCTAGATTCCTATAACAATTCTTAGCATAACCTTTACCAGGGTTTTCCCATACCAAGGTCAAGGGTGTTCTATGGTTGCTTTCACAGCCTTCTCCCTACCGAGGGATGTTCTCCCTTGAAATGGTCATCATTCCAGCCCTGGGCTCATGAGGCCATAGCATATTGACATCCCCCTTCATGGGGAGGATGCCCCGCGACTTATAATAGTATACGGGGGACGGAGAATTCGAAAAGGATGAGGCAGGCCTCTCGTAAGCTGTTTCGCCAGGAGCCCTTGAATGGACCAGAAAGGCATCAAAGTGCTCGACGTTCGCAGATCGGCCCTTTACTCCGAGAAGAACGCCCCATTGTTCCCTGCCATCCACGTAAAACGAGTCCTTACAGGCCAGCGGCCACGCCGAACCTTCTCGGCCCAACCTTCCCTCCCGTCCACGAAGCCATACTCGGTCGCGGGTGTGGAATGAACAGCCATGGCATCGACCAGAGGGGGGCGAAAGTTAATTCGATTCGGGACCTGACAAATCCGGGCCTGAAACACACTTCCACACTATTGTCTCGGACGGCCTCGACGCACATCGAACCCTTTTTCGTCGTGGTTCTTCGGGCGTTCTATTAATATTCTAGTTCGCGGGGTCCTCCAGGATCCGTTCTGCAGGCTGTCATGAACACGGTGAGGTTGAATGGATCCGATTGCACGTACGGACGTGCCCCAGCTGACAGTCCGCAGTTCGAGCATAATATCCATTGGATATCCTGGCATTGACATGTCCCTAAAGCTTGTCGACCGGCATGGATATTGCTGGAACTATCTCGTGGCCCAGCCAATTATTGGAACCACCCTGACGCGTTTTGTGATGTGTCAACTTCGGGACGCGGACGATCCCCGAACGAGGACTTTGTTGGTCTGAGCCTCGGACTCAACCCTGGCGACAGATATGACAGGTGATACGCCAATGGCATTGCTTGAGGAATGAGATGAACGGGCCAAGAACAAAGAAACCGAAAGGAAGGATTGGATATGGATATATCTATGCCTGGACTTCGGGGGCAGAGATTATGCGGTGAGGGCGGAGAAACACGGATATGGTGGTTTCTCCCGCTCGTTGGATGCAAGGGGGCCGGTGCTTTATTGAAGGGGAGCGAAACGAGGGGAAGCCCGGCGGCTTCACTGACTGGTTGCAGTTCGTAGAATCAAAAAAATGATGTTAGTCCGAACCGACTGACGGTGATGATGCAAAGAAGGAGGGCCAGCAAAGCCTGCCAACCGACCCTGTCGCTCAGTTCATCCCTCCCCGCGGGCCCATCAATCCATCGATCATTCAATATATCACCTTCTGCTAAACTCAACCGCCGCCGCCTCTCTCTCCTTCGCAAGCTTTGTTCCAGACTAACATGCGAGGGATGACACGCGTTAGCGCCAGAGGGGACAACTTCCTTAGTCTCTCCAAGGAACCACCCAGTATCTATGCGGCACCGCCGTTTACTTCTAGACGAGGCCACCGGTTCACCTGCATATGTAGTATGTGCGCCAACACGTCCAACAGCTCATTAAAAGTGACGCCTCATCCGGCCTCTGAGGTTCTGTTTCCCTCCGACATCTGCCTGGAGCATCCTGTCGCCAAACTTCGAGGTTGTCTTCCTTCCCACTCTCTTGTCCTGGTGCATCCTCTTCACGTCCCTCCAACATGACTGCGGAACCCATTTCCGACGCTAACCCGTCGGTCTTGAGGTGAGTTCCTGAGTTCCCACATTCCTTCACTTTTCATAGATGCACTTCCATCTGGGTTATTGATCACTAATGAGCGATACGGATCGATCAGAGATTTCGGCGATCCCAACGGCCTGCGATCAGAGGCGAAGCGACAATTTGAGAACGAAATTATCCTAAGAACTCCGCTCCGAGGCGCTCCCACCAGATTCGAGGCGAAAGGTCGGATACTAAGAGCCTCGGACGTGTTATTGTCATTAGTCGGTAGATCTACGAGCGGTATGCTGCCCTCCGGCTACCTACATATCTCTGCAGCCTGTGGTTGGTGTTGCGGCGACTAATCCGGAGTTAACCTGGGTGACAGACACGGACGATGCATACCCCGGTGTTTCGAGCCCTCAGGAAGCTTTACGTCTTTTCCCTCCGCTTCGCAATGATGACGGGCTTCTGTTCAGTGCAGTGGGTGTCGATTGTCCTGATTGCGATGCGGTATTCTCTTCGTTGTACGGCCTATCTTAAATCATTCCCTGAACGAGCCAGATTTAACAGGCCATACAGAGACGAGCTAAAGCAACATTATTTGACGAAATATTGCCCGGGGACTGCAATTGCAGTCTATGTGATGACGCGGGATCGGTATCTACTCCTTCTTCGGCCGATGTAGACAGGAGCACTGACTGATCTACTGTCCAGTCTGATCACAAAAGGGTACCGCGTGGAAAAACACTTTATCCCTATTAACTCGCGCCCCATCTGTTTCTTCTGTGGCAACTGTGAGAGGCCTTTTACGTTTGGTGATGGCGAGGAAGGGCTTGATCGGCAGCGAGGTAGGACCTTTTACTTCCAATGTGACCGATTGAGTCTAACTGAATACCAGATGCGCCCTTCATTATTGACTGCAAACATTGCGGAGAGCAGTGCAATGTTTCGTTAGTTCCTCCCCATGAATGCGCCTCTATGTGCGCAGTCGGTAGATTCTAATGTCGAATTCTAGATATCAGCCAATCTTGAACGATCCGCGAGACGGCGCCGTTTTGAAAGGCACGCCGAGAGAAATATCTAGTGCCAATCATAGCCGAAGTTCCAGTTTCACGCAAAAAGGGCCCGTGAGCTCCAAACTCCCATCATCGTCATCAGGGTCTGTAGAGCAGTCATTATCGAGAAAGGCCAGAAAGTTACGGGAGTCATGGTCATTCCGAAGTACGTTTGTGTTCCAAGTAAATTTTTAAAGTTTCGGTACTGACTCTGATAAGAATTCTCGCCGGGTGAGGAGGACGAGCTAGTTGCGATCGGTTTTTCGGGGCTATATGACCTGGAACGAGGTATGTCCCAGTTTTAGGTCCATCTCTAGATGCTAATCCTGGCAGCACACGCTCCCAATGGCGTTTATCAACCCGAGGACAGCAATGAGCCGCGCAAGGCCCAATCAACAATGAGCTATGATCCGAGTGGTACATAAACTAGCGATTTAATTATCACCTGCTGGTATGATCCCCAAGCTGACTATGAAATCACAGGACTTTACGGCGAATCGATTAAGATAAAGCGGACACGTTGTGAAGAGGAAAGCGAGCACCCCAGAAGTGCCTTAACAGATTCTGAAAATGAACTGTTGGATGGCCAGGGAACCTCGCAATCACAGCCAAGACCCTCTTGGAGACAATCATTCCTGCAGAGACTATTCGGTCGAAAGGTTCCAAAAGGTTAGTATGTGGAAGCCAAGGATTGAGCTAGCGCTCACTGTTATAGGGGTCTCTCGAGCGCGGTCCACCTCAGAACGAGGCAAGAAATTAATCAAGAGAGCGAACACTATACGGTTCTCATTTGTCACCAAATACGCCCGCAGCGAAGGAAGAGCGACTACGCGGAAAAGCGACATAATATCGGCAGATGCACGAACTCAGGCAACGGACGCTACACAGGAATCTATCGCAGATACCGAGTACATGGCCTTGTTACGGGGGAGTCAGAACATATTCATTCACACGCAACATATCTCAGGAGGAGCAATAGTCCACGACGCATCTGGGCGCCAGAGGATACTCAAAATTGATGAGATTGCGCAGCTGTTCCTGCATATGAAAGACGAGCTCTCGGCAGCAAGCATCTGGGCTCGTGTCCTCACCACACAGATGCGCGCCGAGACTGCCCTGAAACAAGGGAATCTCAAGGCCGCCGTTGTCGAATACCATACTGCCTTGAGGATGCTCGATGAGACACCAGCACTAGATATTGACAAGCAGTCACGCGCGACAATTCTACATTCCCTGGGACAAGCGTATCGCGATCTCGAAATGACCCAAGAATCGGGGGTATGTTATCTCAAGGCGCTGGGACTATTCAAGCGGACGTTTGGGCGCGACCATCCTACCAACTTTGCGATTCTACACGACCTGGGAACATTCTGCGCCAAAGACGGATACGCCACGGAAGCATCGGCCTTATATGAGCGCTCGTTTGCAGGTCGTCTAAAGACCCTGGGTCACAACGCCCCAGAAACCCTCAGAAGCATGCAGGATCTTGCCACTCTGAAAGTCTCACTAGGGGATCTCGAAATGGCGCTCTTTCTCCTAGAGAAGGCAGTCCCAGCCCTCGACACGGTGTTCGGGTTGCAGAACGCAACAACGTTAAGCGCCAAAAACCAACTGTCTCTCTTATACCACAAACTCGGGTTCAATAAGGAGGCGCGCACGATATGCGGCCGGACGATCCCACATTACAAGACATTCTTTGGCATTACCAGTCCCATCACAAGAGAAGCAGTTGTCCGGTACCTCGAGTGCTCGGATAACTTTGACTTCCCCGTCGAGATCAAAGATATCCTCGACCAATACCAGCATTCCCATGATCCCGACGCGCTACGGGTCATCCAGCGTCTAGGACGATCGTACTTGAATGCTGGTCTCATCCACGATGCCGCAAACATCTTCGAGACTCTCTTCGAGGAATTCCTGGTCGTGAAGGGACCTGAAGCAACAGAGACATTTGACGCTCTGAATGCCCTCTGCGACTCACACGAACGGCTCGACTCTCTCGATAGAGCTATTCTTTCTTACAAACAGCTGGTCACTATGGCGCGAAGAACCCCCGGGGACCGCTACATGCAGAAGAGAATCGTGTTCGCCGAAAAGAAGATCTCCGATCTCAACAAGCGACGAGACATGCTCGTAGCAGAGAAGAGCCTGTGGGCATGGTTTGAACCCGGACCGTGTGAGAAATGCAGCACCCCTACGACCACCCTCTGCAATAGTAAGCCACCCCCCACCACCCACCTCCTCTCTATCTTCCTCACATACAACCCTAACCTAACATACCAACCCCCATCAGCCTGCAAGATCTTCCGCTTCTGCAGCGACAAATGCCACAAGTCCGCTTCCCCCACCCACGCTCCCCAATGCATCCCCTCCGTCTCATTCCTCGAATCCAAATTCCTCCGAATGAAACACACCTGTCCCCCTACAGCCCGCGACCTCGCCATCGCCAAAATCCGCCAACTCCACACCACCAAACCCGCCATCAGCATAACCTCCAGCCAAGCCGTCCACCTCGATTCTCGCAAATTCACCACCTTCCGAATGCGCCTCAACCCAGCCGTCAACACCGTCATCGTCTTCTCCCAAGACGCCGACATCCGCTACACCACCATCGACCCCTCCTCCTCCTCCTCCTCCTCCCCTTCCACCAAAGAAATCCAATGGACCACCCCCGAACGTCAAGAATCCATCTGCCACACCCAACACGCCAACAACGACTCCGAATCAGAAGCAGAAGCAAAATACCTCCTCGTCGCCCCCGGGAAGAAAATGCTCCGCGCCATGATCGACAAACGCGTCCGGGTCCGTAGCGGCGGCGGCGAAAAAGAACGGTTCCAATCCTTAAATATCCCTAACGAAGATCTCATTCAATATGCCCAGGGTCTTGAACTCAATGATTTTCTTTTTGAACCCTTCATGTATATTTTTGAGTGGGTGTGGAAATAATTCATGTGATTGTTACCTTCTTCTCTCTTTTTGTTCTAGTTGTTGGAATGTTGATGTTGACCTCTCGGGATTGCTTTTCTTTTCTTCTTCCTTTCTTATTTGTCTTCTTCTCCTTGGGTGATTGTATACTTGTGTGGTGTGATTAATTGTATGATGATTGGGGCAGATATACATATTATTTACATATCGCTAACCTCAAATTCACAAGTACTAGATTTAGTGTCCATAGTCTATTATATTGAAGTAGTAATCAATATCGAGATACATTGAGCTGTCTTGGCTTTCTTTTTTGTGTTTGAGTGGTGAAGTGGGAAGTGAGTGAGAAGTGAGTGAGAAGTGAGTGAGAAGTGAGTGACAAGTGAGTGACAAGTGAGAGAGATGTATAAGAGGAAAACAAGAGGGAGATAAGAGATATACAAGGGAATGTCTTCACTTGATGTTCAAAGTAGTATATATGTCTTTTGCTGGATTTATTTGTAGTTCCCACACAGATTAGGCTAGTATGCATATGTACAGGGCGCGCTGAATGAGCTCAGAAACAGATGCAACAATTCGTTTTGTGTCTAGCAAGATACATGAACAGAAGTCTAATTCCTATTGATACAGCTTGGAAGACAAAAATAAAAGACTGGCACGGTCTAGACTCCCGAAACCAAAGTGATCGGTAGCTCTTGGATTCAGAAACGGCTTCAGACCAACATAACAATACACGACGCCGAACACCATGCATGCATGCATCGGGAAAGAATGATATCGCGCAAAAATTGAGCGCTCGGTGGCGAGGATTGTCTATGAATTGTAAATAATATCGTGAGGTCGTAAAGATTATTCTTTTGTTTATCTTTATTGGAACGAGTGGAGGCCCTCACGGGCCGGAGGCTTCGTCGTCTGACTTGTCGCTGTCGTCGCTCTCGCTTTCCCAGTCCTCGGCCTCCAGGGAGCGGCCTCGGATCCCGAAACTCAGAATGAATCCAACAAAAGATACGGCGGCGAACACGCCGAAGGGCATGGCTTCTCCCTTGTGCTTCAGATTGGATGCTAGAGAGAACAAACTGCCAGACAGGAACGGCCCGACGGCTCGGCCGGCCGCGGAAAGTGTCTGAGCAAGTCCGTTAAGGGATCCCAAGACAGCATGATCCGGAGCAGAGTTTGTAATCTAGAGTCAAATGTTAGTTTGGATTTCGCAAACGTCAAATATAGCAGCTATATACCAGCAAAAGTGCACTTGTCAGCCCGCCAACCGATGCGACCGTCTTGACCAGCAGCGCAAAGCACAACTCGATGGCCACGAGCGCAGTCTTGCCACTGACTCCGTTCCCGGAACCATCACTCTTATACCCGACAAAGGGCATGAGGATGAAGGAGAGTACGAATCCAAACAGACCGGCTCGGTAAGACCAACGGTTTCCCATCTTGTCTCTCAACTTGCCGAAAATGCAGATCTGGAAAATGATCGTTACAAACCCGGAAAATCCTTGCGCAAGACCAATCTCGGACGGGGTAAGACCACGCCCAAGCGGGGGAGAAGCCTGCGAGAAGATGGGAAACAACGAGTTGAATGAAACGTTGCACAGAGCGAATACCAGGTAGGTCAAGAGGAGCAAGACAGTATCCCGGTTGAAAATCTCACTTCTAGTCAATGATTCATGGCGAGTCGGGCGGGTCTCCGATACCTCGGACGCCGAGTCTAACTCGCTGTCATGGTCCTGGCTGTCGTCCGATTGTGTACGAAGATGGCGATAATGGGAGGCATGTGGCGGCTTCATCCGGCTCGCGCTCTTTGCAGAACTAGTCCACTCCCACAGCCACGTGAATATGGCACGAAGTCGTTGCTTGAAATTGGGGATTGTGTCTGCGTCTTCAAGACTCTCTTCAAGGAAAAATATCGATAGCAGAAAGTCCAGAACAAGGACTCCAGCGGCGAGCAGATTCGGGGCGAGATAGGGAAAGGGATTGCGCTGGCTTTTATCAAAGGGATTTTGTTCGAAAATCAGCAGGCCTCCCAAAAGCGGCCCAGTTATGCCTCCAATGCCATAAAGAACAGGAAGATAGGTAAAAGCCTTCGACTGGTTGCTTCGATCGGTGATTTCACCCAGACAGGTGGACACCAAACCCTGGTTGCCATTGACGGCGCCCATCAAAGCCTGCACCAAAATCGCCTGGTAGAGCGTTGTGCAAAATCCAAAGGCAACAAAGCATGCCGCCGTGAGGATTGTACCCAGTAAAATGACCGGCTTCCGTCCAACTCGATCAGATAACCAGCCCCAGAAATAATTGGTAACAAGCTGTGCGATGGCGAATGCAGTGGCAATGGCTCCAACGTATACACCGACCATATTCGGCTCGACCTCGGGAAACGATGACGCCATGTCGGGCAGGTAAGGGCTAACGGAGTTAAAGGCCGTCTGCTCGCAGAGGGATATCATCGCGAGAACCGCCATCTGCTTCTTCGGGAGAGGCGATCCGTGCCCCGGTCCATGGTGAGAATCGGTAGGTTGGTACTGCGAGTCATCGCCCGATGATGCAGATTGACCAGAGTTGGGTCTCCCACGAGACTTAGGCGGCGGGGTATCAAACGTCTGATAGTGTAGCGTGGACGAATGTCGCCGGTTGAGAGGGTTGTGCTCGTCCGTCCTCATCTTCGCGACACAGGGGCAACACGCAACCCTGTGGCAGCCTTCAAAGTATTTCCAACAGAGAGCGCAACGGATACCGTGGCTGGGCCTCACTAACGGTTCAAGCAGTGATGACAGGGCTCAATGGCCACTACCTCGTTCGCGATGCGGGGGGCGTTGGAGCCCCCAGAAAACAGGATTCGAAGTGGATCTGGGGCAACAATGACAGGCGATAATCGAAACGAACGTCAACACTGTACACGTCGGAGCCGGATCGGGTCGGTGGCGTCTGGGGAAGGAAATTCTGGAGAAAGAAGAGGTCGCTCAGTCTAAGAGAAAGTTCAGAGGAAAAGAGCTCCTGGATAGTCAGGTGCGGAGGAGCACCGGCAAAGCCATGCAGATGATGTAAGCGTTCTGGCTGCGAGGCCGAGGCGGCTGAGTCATCCGGTGGCTATCAATGTCCAAAAACCCCTGGCAATATGCGGTTTGTCAGATGTCACGAGGCCAGATAGGGATTGCCATGGCCAGGGGCTGGTAGATACCGGAAATTACGTGGCCTCAGAAGTCAGCAATTACCTCGTTACTGTTGTGGTGGCATTCCGCGGAAAACAACGGGCTACGGATGATACCGTCTGCTTGCTTTACCTAAAAGGAAGAGGAACAAGAAGTGGGGAATGTCGGCTTTCTCATAGAACCAAGTTTCCTATTCTTTGCAAAGTGATAATGTAGATTGATGTGTAAATATGGGCCAGACGAGAAGCTTAACACGCGTTTTGCCTATAAGGCAACAATTTGCTACAATTTACATCAAATAGGCCTGCTGGCCCAATGGTAAGGCGCTTGACTACGGATCAAGAGATTGCAGGTTCGAGTCCTGCGTAGGTCATTATTTTTGGTTTTTTCGGCTCCTCGTGGAGGTTGAGAGCTTGTGAGCCTCCTCCGAATTTGCCAGTATCATATACTATGGTACATGTTTCAAAATTAGTCTAGTGATTCAATTGTAGACCTTGGCACGTTCTTAGAGAATCGCAATATACTCATGAACCCGTTAAGTACTAGATAGCCTAGTTTTCCAACAATCCAGTCCGTGGTGTTACTGTTTACATGCCTGGGATGACTGGATCTGATCCGCATGTCACTCACTTCATCAGCAAGTTGACAGCCCAAGGAACACTCAGTCCTCTCAGGTCACCGTAATGCTGGCCAACTCCCAAGAATACGATTGGAATGCCCGTAGCATGCACCATGCTGACCAGCGTACCCACCATGTCGCCAACTGTATCGCATTTACTGATGATAAAGCCGTCGAGATTTCGCCCGGTGCCGAAAGCCTGGTTAAAGTTGCGCGCCTGCATCACACTGTCGGTGCCGACCAAGGCTTCGCCAACCATGAAGATCTTGTCTGGCTGAGCAAATTTGGCGAACTTCTCCAGCGAAGACATGAGCCGCTGGTCGTTGTGGCGACGGCCAGCAGTATCGATCAGAACGACGTCAAACTTGTTGGCAGCACCGTATTCAACAGCGTCCTTGGCCACGTTCGCTGCATCCTTTCCGTAGCCCTTCTCGTACAGCTCAACTTCGCCAGCGTTTTCACGGGAGCTGAGCTCCTTGAGATTCCGTGCATGGACACGTAGCTGCTCCACGGCTCCGGACCGAAAAGTATCGCATGCAGCAATCAGAACACGATATTTATTCTGCAGCAAGAAATAGCATATTTTGCCCAAGTTCGTAGACTTTCCAACACCGTTCACACCAACGATCGAGATGACGTAAGGACGAGGAGTCTGCTGCTTGCTGGTGGGAGCGGTGACGGCGTCGATCTCGCGAAGTAGATCAAGAGAAGATGTAGGGGTCAGAATTTTCCGCAGGGATGACTCCATGGCTGAACGCAAAGCTGCATCCACACTCTGAAAATTTCCTGTCTTCTTCCCCACGAGTTCCCGTTGGACACCCTCGCAAAGCCGGACCGCTGCTTCGCGTGCAACATTCTTCTTCAACAAATGATCCTCCATGGTCTTCAAAGGCTTCTCCAGATCAGCCTCCGTAAGAGTCTTTCCGCCCACGATGTTACGTAGGAGGCCACCAATGGCATTAAATCCAGAGCCAACGAAGCCAGTGGAAGGAGCATCCTTTGCTTTGTCGCTCTCTGCATTTTCCAAGATAGAATGCACTTCGTCCCCTAGGTCTTTGAGGACGAACTGGCCTTTACCGGTTCGGTGTCCCCAGGAATCTTGCGACACAGCTTCCACTGCCGGAACTGCGGCCTCTTCACCGTCAACAGGGGCCGAGTAGTCGAGAATCCGACCGTCATCTTCATCGGCAAACCCATCTGCGTCCCACTTGCGCATCTTCTTCGCATTCTTAGGCGTCTTCCCTTTGCGAGTGTTCTCGTCACCCGAGGAAACATTGGCGCTGGCATTAGCGGCCTTGCGTGCACGACGTGAGACTCGACCGCCTGGCCCCCCCTTGGCAGTTATGATGTGGCCCGCAACAGGTGTTGATGACCGGGATGTATCTGGTGTATGCGGTGGCGTACTCTCGTCAGAGGTCGCCCCGGCTAGCGCAGCCTGATGCTGCGCTTTGAGGGTGTCAGCGTGGTTAATAGGGTGAGGCGTGAAGAATCGCACCTTTAAGAAGGCCAGGCACCGGTGGTGGAGGCGGGCCGCCATTGTCAGATGAAACAAGCGGATCTTTCTTATCAACCGCATGAGCCACAAACGCCTCCGAAGAGATGGGTCCCGAATTGTCCTCGAGCTCTCGAACTTGCTGATCGAAGTACTTGTCAAAAGGGTATTGTGTTATTCTCGCGCGAGAGCTTTTGAGTTGATCCTTGTACAAATCGATGTAGAGGGTGGAGATGTTGTCCAAAAGTTTATCGATCCAACCGAGTTGTAAGAGAGATTGGTAGACGGCCTAGAGTAACATGCGGTCAGAAACAGGGACCATGAGACGCCGTCGATGACAAAAACATACCACGAAGATCAAGTCAAATTCCTTCACCCTTTTCCACTTCAAAGTGTACTTCTCCTTTTTCAAAGATGGGGCCGCATTGTTGGCTGCCTGAAACTGCACCTTTTCCTCGATGAAGACATCATTGATAAGGCTGTTAACAATATGCGCTCCGACAGGTGCGTATGATTTCGACCACAGGACTACACCCGAGGTAGTCAAGATCTCGAATGCTTCCAACATAATGGGAGGGAAGGATATGCTTGTGGTGGCGATATTAGATGGTGAGGGGAGTTATGATGTTGTAGTCATGGCCAGATCCGCGCAGTGGGGAATTTGCGGGCGGCAAGCTGATCTGTCAGTGATCGGAAGGGAAGGACTTCAGCCACGTATAAACACACTTCACCTCTCCCATACTACACTACAATATCCCCGATCGCCGTCTCGGCGCCCCTCGAGCTCTGCAATACAATCCGTGACTCTCGAACTCCCTCCGCCTAGTCTCATCAACTCCAGCCATCATGTATCGCCAGTCCTTCGCTCCACCCCCGGCGCAGTCCCCTCCGCTTCACCATCCTGTGCCTCAGCACGTTTCGACGGTCCCCATGATGCGCTCGCCGCCTCCTCCAGCACCCCAACAGCCTCAGACGTCTGGCTATGGCAATCCGTACCAGCCGGCCCCTGCGCAAGGTGGCAGCGGAACATATGCTCCTGGTTTCGGCGGGTTCATCAATGATCCTACCGCGCAGATGGGATTTCAAGTCGGAAAGACCGCGATGATGGCCGGGCAGGAATATATGGAGCAGAACGTAAGCAACAAGGTCAAGGGGATCAATGGATGAATACGCAGCTAATGTGCCATCAAGTTCAATCGCTACGTCTCGATTCCGGCTTTGAAACACTACTTCAATGTCTCCAACTCCTACGTGCTGAACAAATTGTCCCTTGTGCTCTTTCCTTGGCGGCACAAGCCCTGGTCTCGTCAGCAGGCACGTCTCACCACGGCTTCAACGGGCCCCAATGGCCAGATATCTCAGCAGCAGTACTCGTCTATGTTCCTCCCTCCGCGTGATGACCTCAACTCTCCGGACATGTACATCCCCGTCATGGCGCTTGTTACATACATCCTCCTCTCAGCTATGCTGGCCGGGTTCCGCGGCAACTTCCATCCGGAGCTTCTTGGTTCAATCACGACTACCGCTATCGCCGTCATCCTCTTCGAGATCATGTGCTTGAAGCTGGCCATGTATATCCTCAGCATCAACAACGAGTCACAGCTGCTGGATCTGGTGGCATATTCCGGATATAAGTTCGTTGGGATTATTGTCACTCTGCTGACGTCTGAGATCCTCACTCCGGGGCGAGGAACCGGCGGCTGGGTTGGCTGGGTCGTCTTCATCTACACTTTCCTAGCTAATGCCTTCTTCCTGGTACGTTTTACCATCTGCTTCACGTTTCTGCCATCTGCTTCACGGCCGTGAAACTAACCGCCTCGATAGCTCCGTTCCCTGAAGTATGTTCTTCTTCCCGACTCGACCAGTGATGCGTCCATGCGCACTGGATCTATGCATACAGTGGCTCGCTCGCAACGCAACCGTCGCACCCAGTTTCTGTTCATCTATGCCTACGTCATCCAGTTCGTATTCATGTGGGTGCTGAGTCGCGAGGGCCCGATGTCCATTGCTTCTAGTGCCGGAGCCAGTGGTTCATCATAGGTTGGGTCGGTACTGCACATAATGATATAGACGGACCTCATGAAAGGGATAGGGATATTAGTTCATATTGTTGTACGCTTTGTGGAGACCAGCTAAAATATTTTTATTATTTCACTGTTGTAATAAAATGGAGACGAACTAATAGTAGCATGGAATAATCGGTCTTCCAGCAAATTGATAGGCGGACAAAGCGCACTATGTATAGTTCACGGCACCTGCGAGCTAGGGAATAAAGATATCAAGTCTATCAAGAATCGCTCCGCAAAAACCCTACAGTTCGAGGTTCTACAAGAGAAGACATGTTTCTTAATGAAGGATTCAATTCCATGATATAGTTCTAACTATGACTAGGGCGATCAAAGCTCGCATGTTCGGAGGCCTATGAATCCACGAGTTAGACATCGATCAAACAAGAGATGAATGACAATTTCGTAGAATGAGTTGTTCCTCAGAGATCTTGGTGATGAGAGAAATTTCATTGCCAAGAGGCATCAACTACTATCTAGGCGTGATAAGGTTTTTAATCACTGGAGAGGGGCAGCAGAAGAAAATGTGCTGGCAACGTACCGAAGAGCGAAGCTGATCGACAGAGGGGTGCGGAGTAGATATGATGAACCTAGAAGTCTTCGACATGTTAGCAACAAGACTCCATGTAGAGATATGGTGTCAAGATAACAAGATGAGAATGGACATCAGAATATGTAAGAAATTGAATATCATGCGCGAGCGCTGTATTGAAACTCCGGCGAGAGCTCACAGTCGCAGGGTCAATCGCAAATTACCGCATCATGTGAAGTGAAGTGGAGGAAGAAATAAAAAGGTATAAAACCATACCAGTTAATGTGGAGAGTCGAGCTTGCTAGTCGATTAGTAGCAAGATGGCGGAGTAGTTCTAGACAGAACGACATTTGTTCTGATGATGCATGGCAAGGTCTGGACCTTGAGCTCTGCAGGAAGTAAGAGGAACAAGCTACAGCAAAAACTTGAAGCTTAAAAGCAAGAGGATCGGAACGGAAAATATCCGACCGCCGATGGAGCGCGCTAAGGCCCGGAGGCAGCCCTAGGCCGCACGCAAACACCCCTGGGTGGGCTGCTACTGGCTGCTAAGCGAGACTCTTGTGGGCGAAGGGCCGCAGCCACCGAAATTCGCTATCCAGCAGCCAGAGCGACTTGTGCGTTTCGGACGACTTCGACAACCCGACATTTCGACAACAAATTATCAACACCGTCCTCCCGGAGTCTGTCGACCGTGAGTGATTGTCCGCCCTAAACGTGATCGCTGAATATCCACTAAGACGTCCATCTTGCTGTTTTTATAGGAAGCCTTCGCCATGGCCGATATCGATGTTCAGGTTGCTCAATGGAAGCTGGTTGAGGTTGGCCGCGTTGTGCTGATCCGCCGCGGTCCCTTCACCGGCAAGCTCGCTGCCATTGTTGAGATTGTCGACCACAAGCGTGTACGTTGCGCCAGATCCGGAATTGCGGTGGAAAAATGGGATTTCTAGGAGGACGCGATATTGACAAGGCTTGCCCCCGATTAGGTCCTGGTTGATGGTCCCTCCACCGAGGAGCAGAAGATCGTCCCCCGCCACGTCCTTCAACTCTCTCACGCCACCCTCACCCACTTCGTCATCCCCCAGCTGCCCCGCTCCGCCGGCACTGGTCCCGTGCGCAAGCTCTGGCAGAAGAACGAAATCGACGGCAAGTGGGCTAAGAGCAGCTTTGCTCAGAAGACCCTGAGCATCGAGCGCAGAAAGAACCTGACCGACTTCGAGCGCTTCAAGGTCCTCAGACTCCGCAAGCAGGTACGTTTGGGAGATGCGATGTTGATATGTGCATGGAATATCGGAATATACGGTTATGGGTGATCGGGGGGGGGCGTTTGATTACCGGGAAAGAGCTGGGAAACGATGCGCATGGAATCAAGGAATTGACGGATTTGGGCTGACATATTGGATTTACAGGCTCGCTACGAGGTCCAGAAGGCCCACGCTAAGCTCAGGGCTGCTGCTCCTAAGTCATAGACGGTTTATGAGGCTCGGTGCATAGTGTGACAGGGTGCCTTGGGACGGGTTTATTTGCTGAGGGTTTAATTTATTTCAGCAAAATGGGCTGTACGCATTATTGACAGCATAAAAATGATTCAAGAACCTTTGATATTCTGACATGGGTTATCCTCGTACGTCATGAAAGATGAAGGACGGCACGGAACGCCTTTCAATTAGTATATGGCAAATGGTATCTCTGGGTATTAATGATCTTGACATGAATGGGTCACCACATAGACAAATCCAATCCACAAACACACTTTCCTGTAATCGCAACGTAGACTTGAATATCAGGAATGAATTGCTGCAATTTAACCAGGGATCGTAGATAGATCGGAACCCCATCGATGTTGGTGGTTGTACGATCTGTAGATGCATGGCTTCTGTGTGTCCGGGGTGAGGGTCCCAATAAGCTCGCTAACGATTTTCGGCGGGATGACATTCACACAGCTTTGCGACTTCCCAACTCCAACAAGGCAAAAAAAACCCCCTCATCCACCACAGTCCTCTGTTCCGTGTCTAGGTAAGTGGAAATGGAATTCTTGGCCGCGAAGTTCAATTTTACGGTCGATTTTGGCGATTTCCCGCAGATTTGTGGGTGTACCACGGTCTGAGGGGTCATCTTCGAACCTCTCAGTTCGAGCGACCAGTCATGTCCCACAGTGGCAGTTGCTGACCATCACCTCTACAGTTTTAGACTCACTCAATTTACAAAATGGCCGACCCCCGTGTTGAAGAGCTCCCCGATGAGGAGGTTCCCAAGACCAACGTTGAGGATGCCGGCAGCTCCTCCGAGTCTGAGGCTGGCGATGAGCCCACCATCCCCGGCGGTGCCGCCGTCACCATCCACTCTCGCAACGAGAAGAAGGCTCGCAAGGCCATTGGCAAGCTCGGCCTGAAGCACGTTCCCGGCATCACTCGTGTCACTCTCCGCAGACCCAAGAACGTATGTCGGTCCCGTGCGACGCTCAACAAACCCTGCATTTCCGAAAGCTTTACGAGCCGCCAGGACGGCAGGGACCTGTGAGTTGCAGAGGCTAATGTCGAGTATAGATCCTGTTCGTCATCAACCAGCCCGATGTCTACCGCTCTCCCTCCAGCAACACCTGGATGTATGTGTTCCCTTGGACTATGACGAAATGATGGTCATATCATGCTTACACGCTGCAACAGCATCTTCGGTGAGGCCAAGATCGAGGACCTGAACGCCACCGCTCAGGCTACCGCTGCTCAGCAGCTGGCTGAGGCCGCTGCCAACGAGCACGCTGGTCACGACCACGAGCACGACCACGGCAAGGGCAAGGCCCCCGAGGCTGAGGCTAAGAAGGAGGAGGAAGAGGATGATGGCGAGGAGGTCGACGAGTCCGGTCTTGAGGCTAAGGACATTGAACTGGTTATGGCCCAGGCTAATGTGTCCCGCAAGAAGGCCGTCAAGGCTCTCCGCGAGAACGACAACGACATTGTCAACTCCATCATGGCTCTCAGCATATAAACACCGCCGAAATGAGCGTATGAATCAGTGGCTGACGTCTCTTGGCCCTGCTGGCAGGATGGATTTTGGGAGCGAGGTCAGATCGATATCCCCTAGGATGCATGTACTGTCAGGCCCCATAGTGTAAATCATTTAGCCAAAAGCAGAATTGAATGATGCAAACACTATTGATCCTAAGTTTATACCGCAAAATCTGTAAACAGAAGTAAAAGATAGTTTATTCCGTATACCCGAAATTGGCCTGTCAGCGTGGCTCCGGATCTATATACACGCCCTTGCGCTCACTGTGTAGTGGCCGTTCGGAACACGGGAAAGTTGAGGTCACGTGCGGCCATCCCCATTCCAAATCTTGCCGAGTTCAACCCTCACCCTCCCGGAACCTCCAGCTTCGCACGTTGAACTCCCCTCTCACCCCCAACCTTCTCCGTTCCACATCTCAAAATGGCCACTGTACGTGGGGTTTGCCTTGTTCTCGTCGAATTGTTTGGTTGCAGAGAGGAATGTGTCCACTGACTGCTTGGTTTACAGCGTAGCGCCGCTCTTAAGGTCGACTGGGCCAAGTTGACCAGCTCCCTCGGCCTCCGCGGCCAGACCGCTGCTTCTCTCCAGGCCTTCAAGAAGCGTAACGACGATGCGCGCCGCAAGGTTCAGCTCCTGTCTGAGCAGGCCCAGACCGTCGATTTCGCCCACTACCGCAAGGTCCTGAAGAACCAGGCCATCGTCAACGAGATCGAGAACCACTTCAAAACCTTCAAGCCCGCCACCTACGATGTCACCCGTCAGTTGAAGGCCATTGACGCTTTCGAGGCCCAGGCCGTCCAGAGCGCTCAGGAGACCAAGGGCAAGGTTGAGGCCGAGCTCCGCAGTCTCGAGAAGACCCTCGAGAACATTGAGACCGCCCGTCCCTTCGACGAGCTCACTGTTGTATGTTTGATTACTCCTGGGTTGTGGTACCGATTGATTAATTTCTCTTTTAGGACGAGGTTGCCGCTGCTCAGCCCGAGATCGACGAGAAGACCGCTTCCCTTGTCTCCAAGGGCAGATGGATGCCGGCCGGTTACAAGGTGCGTTATATGATCCCTTGAGATACTTTCGAATAAAGAAACTAATGATTGTTCCACCTATAGGAGCGCTTCGGCGACATGTCCGTTGTTTAAACGGTCACATCTCGTGTATCTTTTTACGTCTCTCTTAGCCTCGACCAGTATAATCACACGAAGTTCCCTTTGTTGAAGCATATTGGCCAGCTAGGATACCCTTGCTCTCTGGCAGTGATGTCGGTTGTAGGGTCATGTATAGAAACAAGTTGAATTTAGATGGTTCCATCGTACCGAACAGTTGTATGTCCACCGATACCTTGTCCACATCCGCAGCGAGCCGAACCGCCTGTATGATTGCATGTCCAGTATGCCCATTCATCCGCGGTGAAGTTGTAGCAGACCGCAAGGAACGGGACGGTGTTCTAGCTGGTGGGGAGAAAACTCAAATAAGGCTTATACTTGCCAAGTGATTGGTTTGGTCGGTTAAGAGTTGTCATGGCTGCCACGCTAAGTCAACAGTTGGTTCGGTGTGGTTGGGATGCGACGTGATTTTGACTCCGACCCCGAACCAGGTACGGAGTAAACTTTACACACCAGGGGCATCTAACTTATCAACGCCGCCAAGTCCCACATCGACACCTTGATAGATCAATTATGAGCGACAAGGCTAATTTAGCTAATCGCAGGGATTAGACCACCTGTCGACTGCACCCCGTCGACACCCGATTCACCCACCCCACATTGCTACCTCCTGTTCTTCTGCCAGAGTCGCACCCCTATTCTTGCTTGCAAGCAGAAAACTGCGTGGGCTAGAACATTTCTTGGCTATCTATGAAAGCCAAGATGGCTCTGTGATCTAACGCTTCTTGGTTTCAGAATGGTGGGGATACTGTCAATAAATACCTGAATCTCTCAAGCTGTCCTCCCGCCGTCCCGAACATTAAATATCCCCCCTCCAGTGAGGGAGGATAATCAGTCCATGCCCAACACCTCGCAACCGGTTCCAGCCGGATCGACACTGGAGAGGTTACCAGTGGAAATTATTCAAGAGATCTTCCTACACTGCCTGGAGGTCAACCTCCCGCGAGCCTCCATCACCATCGCCAGAGCTCTATCAAACCCCGTTCTATACACCTGGGTGATTCGATGTGTTTTCAGCAGCACGAACAAGAGCTCCAGACATGGGATTTTCACGCCCGACTTTCTTCCAGCGCCTCTGGACGTCTTCTCCATCTCCCCCAAGGAACGAAGAGACTTGCAGAATATCATCCTCGGCTGTCGCTGGTGCACATTACCTCTAATGCGCAAATGCCAACGAGAATACGTCGAGCACGCAGTCCATCGCAAGTGCGGCGGGCTGGTCTTTTCGCCTTCAGATCGCGAGATCCTCGCCAACCTAGGCAATCGATTCGAGAACATCGACATCCACCGCGATGAGCCTCACGGCTATCGCGGCAAAGGCGAATTGATCCTCAAGGGCAAAGTCCGGAAGACGAACGCAGACTGTAAAGTCGCATTATGGTTCAACTTCGGCGCGCTTCAAATCCGCGCATCCAGCGACATCTATACCGAAACGGACATCTTTCGACTGCCATGTTTCACGGTCGATCTGCCCGTTCGAGTCCCGGACAAATTACTTTGTCCTCCGTGGACCGAAGCCAAGTTGGAATTTCTCCAGTTACTCTCGATGGATGCGTACATGGATGATGAAGCCGATCATCCGCGTGCGAAACGGGTCCTTCGACAGGTGATCCGAGATCGTGACCTTGAAACCTTCCAGCGGTTACTGAACATGTCCATTCGGGTTCCGTGGTACAATTTTCCTATCCGTTGGCCGGTCCTGCCGAATCACTTCTACGTCGCGTTGAAGTATGCGGAGGAACGGGATGATCCGTTTGTTCATTTGCTGGTGACGCAGCGATGGGACGATATTCCACCGGATGACTTTCGACTCAAGATGGAATTGATGTCCAAAGGGGGGAAAGGTCGCTAGATAGATACGATACCAACATACCGAACCCATCTACCTCATTTACATATTACATATCACACCTCAATAAATTATAAACCATTCATTCTTCCCAATCAGAGGTATTACATAAAAAGCACAGGAACAAGATCCCAAACTCCAAGCAAGACCCATAATCATCATAATTCATAACGCTTCCATCATCATCATCACCCTCCTCCTCAAGACCAGGCCAAGGGTTCCCCAGCTCACATCACATCATCATCCCATCAGACCCTTGACCTCCGCGTTCTCCTTCTCCGTCCTCCACACGATCCGCAGGTCAGGCACGAGATGATCACATCGAAGAGAGTCACGATGCCATCGATGATTGCTTTGCAGACGGCTCCGATGGTGTTGACGATGCCCATGAGACAAGCGCCGATGGCGTGGAAGATGCTTGCAATCTGAGTAGGGTTAGTTGCACGCTAGATTAAATAAAGAGAAGGGGAGGGGGGGAACGTACACAAGAAACAACAGCACCCATTTTGAATGAGATTCAATACGGTACTTCTGTTAAGTGTTCTCGAGAGGTAGCGTTGGTAGAAGTAGTAGCGTTGGTAGTAGTAGCGTAGGTAGTAGCAGCGTAGGCAGTAGCAGTAGCAGTAAACTTGAAAATTATTTCCCCTGTTTCGTTCCCGTAGAATTATAACTCGACGAAGCAGTCGTATGCGTAGAAGAATCACTAAACGGACGCATGATAGTAAAACCCTTTAGTACCGCAACGTCTTCCCAGGTATATATAACACTCCTTTCACAGGAACAAACCAAGACCAGTGAATGAAGTATGATGTATGTGTGTGTGTGTATAATCCCAGTTCAGAGGAACTTGTGATCGTGATCGACAACCCCCAACATCATAGTATCTATTTAATATTCCCTATCCAACCAAGACACCACCAACCCTGGAACCTACCACCTGGGATGCCGTCATATCTACGCCTCTAGTATCCCGATAGGGGAAGAGGGCCCGTGGATCAGGGTCCCGGTGACGATGATACTACATACATAGTATCTTTTTTTCCCGCCTTGGGTCCCGCCCTGGAAGATACACCGTAGAAAAAGGAATACGGTATTGGGATTGCCACTTTGATAAGGCTGATTGTTGTTGACGTGGGTTGCGTTACGCCCCTGGCGCGAAGGGGGGTTCGGAGTGGTGACGTCATGCGTTACGCGGGACGGGAGGGTTCTGTTCTGTTCTTTGATGAGAGTGGAGTGGTACGGGCGGGCTGTAAAGGGGTTAGTGGTAGGGTTTGGGGGGCCTGGTTGGGGGGTAGGGCTGAGTGAGGTGCTGGGTTGGTTGTTATCTACGGTGTAGTCCTGTTTCAATTGTGTACTGTGTAGTCAAGGTGATTTTGAGTGTGGTGTGAGCGGCTAGGTGAGTATTTCATGTGGTAAGGAATCAATGAACGGGTTGACTGTATTGCAGAACAAGCGGGACATGATGTCTATTGTCGAAGCAACGATGATAGAAGAGTATATGCATGCCTCATTATTGTTGTCAAGTATTTTACATAGAGAATATTATAAACTAGCACTAGCTCACATATTCGTCAACAACCGCAGAATCCCACTCACCCTCCCCCCCAAAGTAATCTGGTATCCCGTCTCAACTACACCCTTGCACATCTCCCAAGCACCCGTTCCATCCTGGCGGGGACCATCTCCCTTGCGAATCGGATAGTCCACTCTCGGCGGAATCCGTGTCGCCATCACCTTCGGGAACCGGTCCACACAGACAGCCTTGATGTTGCTAACACCACGCAGGCCCTCTTCGCCAGCGAACCGACCGTATCCTGAACCCTTGACACCACCAAAGGGCAATTGAACCGCGTAGTAGCTGCCAAAGTCGTTGACCGAGACCATTCCGGACTTGATGTTTGCAATGCAGTTGGCGATGTCGGTCTGGTTGTAGCCAAAGACGCTGGCGCCGAGGCCGTAGTCCGTTGAGTTGGCGATGGCGATGGCGTGGGGAACGGAGGATGCGCGCATCATGAGGAAGACCGGAGCGAAGAGTTCGTTCTGTGCGATCCGCATGGTGGGTGTGACATCGGCGAGAAGGGTCGGGGTGAAGTAGTGGCCGAGGGGGTGATCCGGGTGGTGGAAGCGCTTACCGCCACAGATCAGACGTGCGCCTTGCTTGACGGCGTCTTCAATGAGGGATTCGAGACGGTCGAATGAGGCGGGGGAGATCATGGCGCCTACATCAGGGGTACCGACTGTCTTCGCGTCCAAGAGGATGGAGCCGAGGCGAAGGGTCTTGATGCGGGAGGAGACGTTTTCGAGGAGTTTGTCGTATACGTTGGGGAGCGCGATGATCCGTTCGACGCCAATGCAGTTCTGTCCGGCGGATTGGAAGACTCCACGCATGAGAATGGAAGCAATGGCTGGGATCTCACTAACGGTTCGGGAGTCGTCGAGAATCAGGGCCGGATCTTTGCCGCCGAGTTCGACGGTGACGGGGGTCAGGGCCTTGGCTGCAGATTCGCACACCTTATGAGCGACGGGCTTGGATCCGATGAACGTCAATTGTGAGATATCCGGGTGGGAGGTCAGGTGGTCGGCGACATTGGGGAGGCACACGATGCTCTGGACGAGGTCTCGAGAGTGGCCGCAGCTGGAGAGGGCGCCGCGAATAACCTCAAGGAAGAAGGCAGAGGACCAGGCTGTCTGTTCAGAGGGTTTCACCACGACTCCGTTTCCTGCAAAGATCGCACTGATGACCGGGGAGATGAAGTTATGAAAGGGATAGTTCCAGGAGACGCAGGCGGAGACAACACCGAGAGGCTCGTAGGTGACCATGTTCTTCTTGTACATCATGAGAAAGTTGGTCGGGCGCGATTCGGGTGCCAGCGCCTTTTCACCGTGGTCGAGGGTCCATTTCAGTTTCTCAGCGGTGACGAGGATCTCTCCGAACGCAGCATCAACCTTGGTCTTTCCGGAATCCAAGCAGCAGGCGGTCACAAGTTCGTCTTGGTGGTCGAGGACGTATCTGTTGGTAAAGCGTCCGGTCAGTTATGATTCTCGGTGGCCCGCCCATGTTGAGTGAAAGCTGAATACGCACTTCAACAATGTCCTCAGAACCTTCCTTCTCTCCGCAAAGCTAGTATTGGCCCATTCCATCTGTGCACTCTTCGCAGCCAGGATTGCGCGGTCGACGTCTTCAGGAGTCGCAGGTTTGATTCCGTTGCCGAGTACTCTTCCGTCCGCGGGACAATAGCTCATGATCAGGTTGTCGTTCCATTGCTGCAGAGCAGTACGAATTAGTATTTTCGAAAGTATTTGAATGTAAAGAAAAGGGATTGAGCAGACTTACTCCGCGCACTTGTCCCTCCACTACCTTTCGCCCCTCTCCTTGAAGACTGTCCCATTTTTCTCCTTTCCAATTGGCTCGAATCTCAGGGGGAATGGGCACATTGAACGAGACAGCCGCTTCTTTTCTGCCCAGGAGGAAGAGATAACCCAGGTATGCGGCACCGACCGAGAGCAACGCGACCCCGAGCAATGGGCCCTGAGCCCGGAGATGTCCCACTAGAGGCAGTAGAGCCGGAGGGATGAACGGAGTGAGTGAGTCCATGATGAATTGGCGCAAGGCAATTGACTCAGCGCTCTGCTTGCCCGACCCTTTCTGGACGTGAGGACTCCGAGAAGGGTGGCAGGGAGGACAGGGGACTGCGGAGTGGTTCGATCGTTTATCGAACGCTCCGAGATGCGGGTGCACGTGCCAGGGCGGTCCGGCTACATTTCCGATGATATGAGGATTGGCAGGTGGCCATACGGTAGATATGTGAGAACTGAAATGGATAAGGGCCATTGTATGAAAGAATATATATTTAAAACTAGTGATTATATCTGTCGTCTCAAATCTATGTTGCCCCTCAAAGAGTGTAGTATCCACGCATATACAAAAGCTCATAATGATCTGTGAATATATATTTAAGTGGTACCCCACCACGCGACATCTCTAGATCGAACAGGGGATCATTCACGCCAGTTCTATGATGAATGAAAAATGGTGTTAACCAATAATTAATGATACTACTACAGGCTGACAGAGTATGCAGTATTGCGCAGTCTCATTCTTATTCGATGTGGCAATAAGCTTACTCGTCATGCAGGTGTTACGTGGCACGCTTACAATAAGCGTTAGTGTTATCATAAGACAAAAATTCTCAAAGCACAAGTTCAAGGTCTATAGAGCTATTCGTGACATAGGGTATCTCAACCCTCATGGTCTGATAATACAAGCAAATAGCCTCCCTGTCTATCTCACCGTCTACGAACTCCGAGACTCCAGACCACAAGATGTCATGAAATGGTATCAGTTAGGCCATAAGGTCATAATCATGCGTGATCAGCGATGTTATGGATGCTGATGTCCATACGATCCTTCACCTTAGGAGGCTCTTCTTCCGCATGCTTGCGAGTGGTGCAGACGCTGACCTGGGGCACTTCCGACTCACTGGGGTCCAGCGCCGGGATGATGTTGCCCTTGTCGTCCAGCTTGACACCGTTGGCAGCCATCCGGAAGTCATTCTCGCTGGCGAAGCCATGGGTGACGGCCTCCTTGGCACGGTCCAAGGCCTTGATTTTGCGACCTTCGCCACGGAGCTTCTCGAGATGGTCGAAGTAGCCTTCCGCGACCGGGGTAACGTAGTTACCACAGAACACACCGATCTCGAAATCGCGCGGCTCAGACAACCCATTCTCCTGAGCAATCTCAGCACAGGCGCCCTTCAGGTCATCCAGCGTCTGGTAGATCACATTGTCAGCACCAATGTGCTTGGCAATATCCTCGACGCTGCGCTGGTGCGCCACAAGCTCGGTGGGAGACGCCAGATCGATACCGTAGATGTGGGCATGTCTATCAGTGGTCAGCAATGGGAACGATGCAAAGTTCGCGATGGTAATAACTTACGTGATCTCCGGCGAGCAACTGGCAAAGTAGACCTTCTTCGCACCGGCTTCCCGGGCCATCGTGACGATCTCCCGACTGGTGGTTCCTCGCACAATACTATCATCAACCAAGAGGACATTTCGGTCCTTGAACTCGGCTTGCATAGCATTCAACTTCCGGCGGACACCCTTCTGGCGGGTCTTCTGCTCGGGCATGATGAAAGTGCGGAACACGTAGCGGTTCTTGACGAAGCCCTGGCAATAAGGCTTGTCCAGATAGCGCGCGACCGCTGCCGCCGACGTAGTCGAGGTTTCTGGGATGGGAATGACGACGTCGATATCCTTGACCACTTCCGGTCCAAGGACATCGAGAACACGGGCAGCGAGGCGATCACCCATGCGCTGACGGCTACGGTACACGCTGATACCATCAATGACGGAGTCAGGACGTGCGAAGTAGACGTATTCGAAGATGTCAGGGGCGTAGGCCATCCTAGGGGCAACCTGGCGGAAAACAGGCTCACATCCCTTCTCGATGATGACAGCCTCACCCGGCTGGATGTCACGGAAGTTGCCGAACCCAAGCTGGTGCAGGGCAACCGACTCAGACGCCATCATGTAGTCGGTCCCCTCACCGTCCAGCGAAGGCCTTGAGCCGAGGACGAGAGGACGGATACCGTATGAGTCACGGAAACCGAGGAGACCGAAGCCCGCAAGCATAGCCGTGCAAGCCCAGCCACCCTGACATCTTTCATACATGCGGCTGAGACTGGCGAAGAGGTCTTCGGTGTTGACACGGGCCTTCTTCGTCTCGCTCAGCTCGTCAGCCCAGATGTTCAACATCAGCTCACTGTCGCTGTCAGTGTTGATGTGACGGTGGGCTTCGAGATCGAGATATCTCTTCAGCTCAGGAGCATTGATCAGGTTGCCGTTGTGAGCCAGGCAGATACCATATGGACTGTTCACATAGAATGGCTGAGCCTCGGCGTTGGCACTGCTCCCGGCAGTAGGGTATCTCAGATGACCAATTCCCATGGAACCCGGGAGGTCTGCTACCCTGGCGCCATCGTTGAAAACTTTGGCCGCCATGCCGTTCGACTTCAACTGATAGATGCGACCACCGGTTGCGCAAGTGGCAATTCCCGCTGCATCCTGACCTCTGTCTGATCGTACGGACCGTAATTAGCCGGAGTTCGCCCGGAAGCCGATGGTCTGCTCGCTGGGATGGACTCACGTTGAAGCAGGTAAAGTGCCTCATGAAGGTCGATGGCAGCGGACGACGATGGGTTCGCCTGAATCAGAGCAATGATACCACACATTGTGTCGGCGGTAGGATACTCTAATGTTGAATAAGATCAGCATGGGCTCCAGACATGAAATGAACAAGGCCAAATTTAAGAATATGCATGTGTAGTCAGATCGGAAAATATCCGCAATGATGCTTAGGAAGTCTAACATCTATAAAAAAAAAACCGAAATTCATCATAGAGAGAACAAAGATGGAACGAAGATCAAAGCCAACAAAGTAATCATATACTCACATCCAAGAAATGGGTAGAGAAAGTCGTGGGACACACGCACACACAGTGTGGAGGGGTGGGAGAAAACGGAAATGGTCACGTGGAAAGATGGGATAGAGCCGGAACCGTCTATCGAGACATAACACGACTCATGCAGAGGTAGTAATAGATAGCGGTGGCGGGGGATGGCCAATGTCACGCCCACGGAGGGATCAGTGAAGCGAATAACATGGTTAAAGGAGTTTTTTTAGGAAAGGAAGAGAGAGAAGAGACGGCTCTCATCTTATTCTCCTCCTGTTCTTCTCCACTGCCAACCGAGTTAAAGGGAGAAATTTTTGCGGGTGCCGCTAAACCAAAGAAAATTTCACAAACCGGAGAAAGCCCCGGCCTTCCAGTATTGCCGATGCCGGACCTGACTCAGCCCCCGCCCGTCCCTGCCATTGGTTGATCTGGGGTTGCGGGCTCAACCACTGAGATAAGCCCGCATCCCACCTGACCATTAGGTAAGGCCGGACGCTGTAAACGAACCGTGTCGGAGGGCGTCGGGGCAACCTAGTACTGACAAGCCGGCCACTTCCTCCGGTGAGGATTTCTGTGATGGTGGCCTAGTGCTGGTGCCGTTTCAATGCCAGACCTGAGAGGAGTCTTTGGTGGGTGTGTGCACGAGACCCGTGCGGGACCTTGTGGGTGTTGGAGGACTCACGCACAGCCGCTTCTTTTTGCCTGCCCGGAATAGCTTCATGTGACTAACCCCTTCTGGACGGAACATTCTACCATCACGGTTCGCTGCATACTAACACCTCAAATTCGCGTGCTGCACTCCCATTCTTTGTCATGCTTCGTTGAGTGCTTGTGTCTGCCTGACAGTCAATTGGACCTCTCAAGCGTTTAATTCATATTCTCAGCGGGCATCTTCCATTTGTTGTAACCTATATAAAGACTGCGAATCCTCACCATGTTGTCCTCTTGCTCGACTTCGTGTTACTTCTCTCTCACATCCTCCAACTTTCTCCTCCCCCCAACTTTCTCCTCTCTCCATCCTTTACTCTTGTCATTATCACCACTTCTACATTTGAAGGACAGTAGCTTTAGCTTAGTTGTGCTACCACGGAGCTAATACTCATTACTCTTATTGAACTATCTCTAGTCTGTCCTCTTTCTACCCTTCACGATGGCATATAACCCCAGGAGCTTTCGCCTCCCCGAGAGGCACCCCCAACTCATCGACATCACCGATGACTCCGACTCAGATGTCACCATCGACAATGACCCGGATCAGGTGCTGTTCATAAGTTGCAACCCAAGACGTCGCGACACCTCAGACGCTGAGACCATTATATCTACTCAGGAGGGGTTCAACGACAGTGACTATCTCACTGATGCAGCCTACGAGAGGCTGATACGGAACTGGCACGGCAATAGCCCGCAAGCTATTCCCATTGATGAAAGACCCATAAGACGTGTCCTTGATGAGGTCTGTCTCGGCGGCATTGTATACACTCCCGGACAGTCTTTAGAGCTTCATAATGGGACGTTCATTCGAGTACAGACCATTCTTCAAGGCGCGGCCGGTGAAGTGTACTTCAACGGACGACGCTTGCTTAGAACTGAACAACATCTAGGGACCTATGTGCCCAAATGGCCCATGGAACTGGTCTGGATCGTGAACGAAACCGGTGACATTCCATTTGAGTTTGTCAGGCGATTTGTGAAGATAATCTTCACCAACTATTGCCATACTGATAAAGATAATCAGAAGCACCGCCGTCCACATGACTTGTTTTGCCGTCTAAAGGAACACGTTAGCTTCCATTCTAAAGACACAGCTACCCTGGAATATGTATCGTTCAACGAAGCTGATGAAGGCTTTCGCCATCACCCAATGGTTTTACGTCAGGCGTGGAGGGGCGATACTCGTCCATTTGGAGCGGCCGATTCCCCTCCCATTATCACCCTCGATGATCTGACTGACGAGAATGTTATTCGACGCCAGTACACATTTGGGGATGGATTCTGTGGCGCAGGAGGAGTCTCGTGCGGCGCTCGCTCTGCTGGACTGCAACCTAAATGGGCATTTGATAACTCACCGCACGCCGTAGCGACTTATCGTCTTAATTTTGACAACACCGAGTGCGAGGGTTCCGATGTATTTAACTTTCTTACCAACAACCACGACTTCCTCAAAGTCGATGTTACTCATGGGTCGCCCCCATGTCAAACCTTTTCGCCGGCCAAGACGATTGAGTCGGCCAACGACGATGCGAACTCCGCATGCATTTTCTCATGCTCGGATATGATAAGAAAGGCTAGGCCCCGGGTTCATACCATGGAGGAGACCAGTGGTCTCTTTGAACGCCACAAGGACACGTTTCATCGCGTTGTCCAAGACTTCATCGAGATCGGTTATTCTGTTCGATGGACCCTCTTGAATTCTGCAGATTTTGGGGTACCCCAGCTCCGAAAAAGACTGGTGATCATCGCCGCTGGGTAAGTTTCGTTGTCTGACTCAGCTGGGAGCCTACTGATGGTCTATATAGTCCCGGGGAGAGGTTGCCTCCGTTTCCTAACCCGACTCATGGGCACCCTTGTTCTGGTCTTATCGACTATACCACCATTGGTCAGACCATATCCCGGATCCCAGCGGGAGCGCAAGATCATGATGTCGAAGGTGCTTTGGACAGGAACGCTCGCCGCAGAGCCCCGTTCGATGCTAATCAACAGGCCCGCACAATTACCTGCGGGGGTGGAGAAAAAAACTACCACCCCTCTGGCGAGCGCGGCTTCACCAACCGTGAGTTTGCATGCCTGCAGACATTTCCTATGAGATACCGTTTCGGGGCCCGGCAGGTCCGCAGGCAGATTGGTAATGCAGTCCCTCCCAAGCTGGCAGAAGCCCTTTATCGGGCGATCCAGGAGTCACTACGACAGACTGATGAGGAAGAGGTGAGAGCAGCCATGTTCCAGTGACGCGTTGACTTCGATCTGTTGCTTCCTATCATTTTGCTTTCTTTCGTCTTTTTGTTATCTGGTACCTTCATGAGTCTCTATCCAGGTCTCTTTCTCTCAATCAAGGCGTACATCCCAGGGCCTCTCTGTGTCATCAATTCGGAGGCATTGGTGTTTTTCGCGTCCTGCCTCGGTGGTGTGGGTAGCTTGTGGTGGTGGAGCCCCGACTGTCATGGCGCCGAGGCCAAGAATCAAGAATGGGGAGGATCCGCCGCGAGATCCACCGGCTCCCCTCCGGATTGATAGCCGCGGGAAGACGATGCCGGCCGTCCGCGGGGGCAGGGCAGCCATCATCCCATAGACCACCGTTGATGTATGTATCTTCTGCTTAAAACAATGGTATAGACGTTGACAGGATCTTGGCGGGATGATCAAGGAAGCTGGCGGGAACTGGTGCGTCAGAGATGCATGATCGCTCAGCCGTAGCCAGTAAGCAAGGCGGTCCGCCTGCATGATGCTAAGTCAACTAAGTCACTAGTTCTCGACCGGGCATTCTGAGGAGCATTCAGCCTTCATTCCGTTGAGGGGTGGTCAGGAGAGAAGTCTGGTTCAGGCACCGTCCGGACTGAATTTTCAACTGACCATTTGAGTTTCTGAATTTTGGGACCGCAGGCACGGCCAGGATTGACTTCTCCGATTCATTGAGGCTTCCACCGAAGGGCATTCGGTGCACTGCTGAATGCTCGTGTTTCCTCATGTGCCTTCGGGCAGCCGGCAATAACCGCCTCCCCCCGGCAGGCAAACGGCCTCGGCTCAAGGCCGGGCGGTATGAGATCAGGGTGATCTTAGCTCACCGTCCCCGTCCCTTGCCCCCAGTCGTACATCCATTGTTTCCGCCCTTTCTTTACCCCCATTCTTTTTTATTTTCCCCCCAGCTCTCCTCTCCCCTCCTCTCCGACCAGGCGGCATTGCTGCATTCTCCTCCATCCATTGCATCTCTTGAGTATTGCGGCCTCTTTCTTCTGCATCATGTCTGCCTCCTGTTCAGCGCTGAGACGGCTGACCCACAGGTCTCCCCGCACTTGGCCGTCCCGCATCTCCTCCGTCTCCAGGCCTTTGTCCTCTTCCCCCTCCCTCGTCCGTCCCAGCCTCAAGCCGTCCTCTGCTCTTCCTCGTGTGTCTCGCTTTACCACCATGGCATCTCTTCAGCATGCAGCCCCCGTCATCCCCGGTGATAAGCCGTACGATCCGGAGATCAAGGACATGGCCGACTATATCCACAACTACAATGTGAACTCGGACTTGGCGGTATGAGCTTCCTTGGTGATACAATCTGTCCCACGCTCTGTGACATTCAGCGTGTTGGGCGCCTTTGTCACGAACTGACCTGACTGATGTTGATTTACAGTTTGACACCGCCCGTCTGGTGTTCCTCGATACGTTGGGATGCGGTCTGGAGGCCTTGAAGTTCAAGGAATGCTCCAAGCTGCTGGGCCCCGTCGTCGAAGGCACCGTGGTTCCCAATGGCACACGTGTTCCAGGAACTCCCTACCAACTAGACCCCGTCAATGGCGCTTTCAACATTGGCGCCATGATCCGTTGGCTTGACTACAACGACTGCTGGCTGGCCGCCGAATGGGGCCACCCCTCAGACAACTTGGGTGGAATCCTGGCTGTCGCTGACTGGGTCTCCCGCACCAACCGTGCCGGCGGAAACATCGCTAATGGCAAGATCTTCACGGTCAAGGACGTCCTGGAGGCCATGATTAAGGCCCACGAGATCCAGGGTGTGCTGGCGCTGGAGAACTCCTTCAACAAGGTCGGCCTGGATCACGTCGTCCTGGTCAAGGTTGCAACCACCGCCGTGGTTGCCAAGATGCTCGGTCTCAGTGAAAAGCAGACCGCTGATGCTATCACCCAGGCTTTTGTCGATGGCCAGTCTCTCCGTACCTACAGACACTCCCCCAACACCATGTCGAGGAAGTCCTGGGCTGCTGGTGATGCCTGCCAGCGGGCGGTCAACCTCGTCTTGAAGGTGCAAAAGGGCGAGAGTGGCGTGCACACTGTCCTGTCTGCCCCTGTCTGGGGTTTCTACGATGTCCTGTTCAAGGGTAAAAAGTTCCAGTTCCAGCGCCCCTACGGCAGCTACGTCATGGAGAACGTTCTCTTCAAGGTTTCCTACCCAGGTAAGTCTTCCTCGAGCCTCCAATAGCAAGAGGCTAACCCGACAAACCATAGCCGAATTCCACTCCCAGACTGCGATCGAGGCAGCTCAGATGGTGAACGTGAAGCTTAAGGCTCTCGGCAAGACCGCTGCAGACATCAAGGAGATCAAGAACCGCACCCACGAGGCATGCGTCCGTATCATTGACAAGCAGTTCAAGGCGATGGATAACTTTGCGGATCGCGACCACTGTGTTCAGGTGAGTTCACTGGAATTGGAGAATAACTGTCATACAACACGCATACTGATGGTCACTAGTACATGGTTGCCACCATGCTGGTCTTCAACCGGCTGACTGCTGCCGACTATGCCGACGGCTCCGAGGCTGCCACCTCCCCGCTTCTGGAGGACCTGCGCAAGCGCATTTACTGTGTCGAGGATCCTCAGTTCACCACGGACTACCACGACCCTGCCAAGCGCACCATCCCCAACGCCCTCACCGTCACCCTGAACGACGGAACGGTGCTCGACGAGGTGGTTGTTGAGGCACCCTTGGGTCACCGTCTGCGGCGCGAGGAGGCCAAGCCTGAAATTCTGGCCAAGTACAAGCGTCACCTGCAGGCACACTTTGACCAGGCTCGCATTGACCAGCTTATCGAGGTCGGCTGGAACCGCGCCGCTCTTGAGAGCTACGAGGTCGACAAGTACGTCGACCTGTACGTCAAGGACAAGATCGTGGCATCTCAGTAAACACCTTGCATATGCAGTTGGACTGTTATACCATATTTGGAGTTGGAAATACGATGTACGAAATAAATGAATTTACACTGGAAATTTCCCGATAGCGGAATAGCATCATCACGAATTAAGTGACTGTCAGCTGCCAATTCTACCAATACCACTAGCCACATTGATCAGTTACAATACACCGCCCATCTACACTGCTAAAGTACAGAGGAGCCATCGCCATGATAGCATAGCATACCTATATAGGACTGACGCATCGAACTTCCAGTCCCCAGCGATAGTAATTCAATCTCTCTAAGGCATGGATGATATACTTACTGGAAGAGTACTTGGGTATCAGCGTCCAGCATTTTATCATCCGCATCACATCGACGACGGTCACGACATTAGGTACTGGTCTCAGTGTCCTCCGTGTCTTCAGCTGAGGACTTTGTAGGTCTCTTTCTGCTCACTCGGCGGCCTGATTTACCTGCTGATGTAGGAAGGGGAATGAGAAGGCTTGTGATGGGACTGTTTACCCATTTAGATTTAAGTATGGTATTGTATGTCTATCGATGAGAGCTCTGGGTTTTATTTAATCATGTATGGCCAAAGTTGGAGAGGATAGTAGATGTTAAGTACTATTCATCCGCCTCCGTCTCGAAATCCGCTTTGACTTTCTTCGCGAATTCGTCGTCAACTAGGATCTGACACGCCACGACGGCCATCCCCGCCGCGCAGGCTAGACTGCGTTGATGTGCCTCGGGCGATCCCGCTCCGTTTGTGAAGAGGGGGGTATGGTTGACTCCTTCGGCTGGGATGGTGAAGAGGCCGTGGAAGCCGGGGACGGCGTAGGAGACGTTTCCTGCAGTTCACAGTTAGTCAGGATTTGTGTATGAGGAGATGATGGGGTAACGTACCCATGTCTGTAGATGCTCCGGTGAGCTTGCTAGCTTGTCCGGCATTGTTCAGCAGAGTATGGTGGCCCATTGCGCGCATGACGGAGACATAGCTTTCGCAAATGGGGGTGTTGGTTTTGAGGTCGTCGTAGGAGATACCCCTACTTCGTTAGTACACGGTTAGGGATTAGGATGGGGGTGGAAGACGTACCACTCAAATTGTACACCACATCCAGTTGCTGTTGCGGCTGCCTCGAAACACTTCACTACCTTTTTCGTCAATGACTTCAAGCTCTTCTTCGTCGGTGATCGGATATAGTAATCCACTGTAGCCGACATCGGAATCACATTTGGTCTATCCCCGCCGTTCACAATGACTCCGTGAATCCGCTGCGTTGGCAAAATCTGCTGTCGTAATAGCGAGATGTTCACATACGCTGACACGACTGCATCCAAGGCATTCACCCCCTCCCATGGTGCTGCCGCTGCATGCGCTGGCTTCCCCGTAAATGTCACCGTGACTTTATCATTTGCCAGAAAACCTCCAGGTAGGGTAGTCGCAATGCTTAGCAGCTCGGGATGTCCGGGTGCCATCGGAACAGGATGCACCATCAAACAGGCGTCGACGTCCTTGTAAGCGCCATTCTCGAGAAGACGCACTTTCCCACCCCCAGATTCCTCTGCCGGTGTGCCAAGTAGTCGGACGGTGTAGCCATGGTGTGGAGGTTGGGCTTTTAGCGCTTCGCAGGTGGCAATGAATGCGGCGATGGAGCTTGTGGCAATGAGGTTGTGGCCGCAGGCGTGGCCGATGCCTGGAAGGGCATCGTATTCGGCGTTGAAGACAACGGTGCGTCCACCTGTGCCATGGGTGTAGGTGACTTCAAAGGCAGTTGGGAGGCCATAGGCAGAACGTTGGATGTGGTAGCCGGGGTTGGTGGATTGGAGGGTGTCGAAGAGAGCGCAGATGTTGTCATGAGCTTGGTGTTCGGCGTAGCCTAGTTCGGGCGTGGCCCAGATCTGAGATGTCAGGTGTGACAGATAGTGGGTTGAGAGGCCGCTTACCTTCTTGTTAATGTCTTGGAGCTCGAGGGCATGCTTCCGGAGAGCATCTTCCACGCTGGCGATAAAGCGTTGTTGGGTTGCTTGGAGGTGCATGGTTATGGCGGGTATAGGTTAGTGGTGGATAGCAGGAACCTGGATTTGGCCGGGCCAGGCGGACCGGGTTCTGGCATGAGCAGCATTTTATAGACAGAATGATCTTGCATCATGGTGGATGGTTCTCCGCAACCAGTGCGGAGATACGAAGGTGCTATCTGATAGCGGTATCTGAGGTTATCGCCATGTCTCGGCTCACGACTGCCGATGAGATCACCTGACCGCTGCCGACGCAGCCAATCGGCGGGCGTCTCTCGGCAGGCTGCGGGCCGGGGCTTTTCCGGGGCATCGCCTTTGGGGAATCCCCGCTGCTTTCCCTCTCCTTGCATGTCTTCCAGTTGGTTTGTCTCGGCTCAGTCGACGCCAATGGACCTGCTTCGCGCGAGCTTACATGCCGGTCATACATGACGTCCATGACGGAGGCACCGCCAAGTGGAGCATCAGCAAGACAATAGACGATAGACGATAGACGATGCATGAGCTCGGCAGGAAGACTCGGTCCAAGACCGGTAACGATCCCCGTTGCTGTCTTGCGCCTTTCTAGTGTTCCGAAACGGTCCGACTTACTGTAACACAGGCTGCCGCACGTGTAGAATTCGCAAGGTTAAATGCGACGAAGAGAAATTGTTTGTCACTGGCCAGGAGGAGCCGCAATGCAGGCGTTGCGCAGCGGCCCGGATCGTGTGCGAGTGGAAGGGGGGCCCAATTCCAAGGGGCCCAGCTAGAGGTCGCCCGGTGAAAAGACGGACAGACTGTCAGCCTGTTCCATCCCCTGCACCTTCCCTATCGCCCACAGGTGGCCCGGGGAATAGTATCCAAGCGGCCAACTCGCTCGTCTTGTCAGTCTTTGACCGTTCCTGCTTGAGTTACCTCCAGGATTCCGCGCTGGTCGTGATTCTTGGCAAGCACTGGCCCTGGTCCACTGTGTCTTATGCGTACCACAAGATCGCGGTCAAAGAGCCTATGGTCATGAGCATGATGCTCGCGACTACGTCTAGTGAGGTCAATCGATCGCGTCTGTACGACCGGGACAAGGCGGAGGGACAAGGCTCGATTGAGAGCTTGTCCGACATGGATAGTAGGCTGCATTACGGCCAAGCTCTCTCAAGCCTCCGGGAAGTGCTGAAAGAGGACGTCAAGTCCCCGGAACAGATCGAAGCTATCTTTATAACCCTGTGGATGATGATTGACTACGAAAATCGCTTCGGGAGCGGGACGGCCGGGATCAATATTCACATCCGTGGTATCAAGAGTTTACTCTTCAACCATGTCGTCCCGTCACTTAAGCAGTTGGAACCTCCGTGTACCGCAATGGCAGCAGGCTCAACAGGCGTAATATGTGGCCCTGCAGACAAGACTCCGTCTGAAAGCCTAATCCAACGTCCGGTGCCACGGCAGGCCATGGAACTTTCTAAGAGTAGGCTTCGACAGACAGCGGTACCTCTGTTTCTGCTTTGGACTTTGTACTTTTTCACCCCTGGCGCTTTGCTGTCTGGCCCCGGGGCTGCAAGGCTCGATGCGGATCTATTTCGGTTCTTCATGCAGGAAGCCGGATGTGTGGGAATGAGTCTGTCCGAACTCTACAGAATTGGAAGACAATCACCGTCTCGATTCTGGGGGGAGACGTACCCCACGACAGCTCAGCTAGATGATATGGAAAACCTCCCTGGCTTGACACTGTATCACAAGAGCCATGTAATACAGTTCCGGATTACAGAGTTGTTTCGACAAAGCACCCCCTCGGAGAAAACGTGCCAGGATATCATTGAAGAACTCATCATGTTATCGGATGTAAGTGTCTGCATGCGACTCGTCATGTTTCCACCCATGGCTTGACGGGGACTAATCTGATCATCAGGAATACGACATCTTGCTGGCCTCCGCCAAATCCGCGCCCTCATGTGAGATTGTAGGCGACGGACGTCGCGTGATGGAGACGGTCTTTTGGGCATCCATCACCTATTACGGCACGATTGTGTACTTTCACCTTTGCTTCAAGGATCTTTTGGCCGAAGGATTGCAACGTGCAGATTTGATGACTCTGCATGACGCCGTTTGCCAGGTTTTGGAACTCTCCTTGAAGCTCCATCGCAGCCGCCCGCACTTGATGGTGCGGATCATCTGGCCTCTTTTTATTGCAGGGATTGCCACGGCCGACAGAATATACCAAGATTGGGTGTCCATCCGGCTGCACGAGCTCGGTCGCTATGGGCTGAACTATAGCCGGGTCAGCGCTCGCTTCGACGAGATTATCCAAGGAGGCGATCCATTTGCACACGGCCAGAGACCATTATGTGTATAGTAGCTGTCCATTAGACCGCCTGCGTGTGATCAGACAAGATCTAGATCTGCCGTGTCTATGATTATGATGTTACAGAAGCCCGAAGGACGACATTATCTGCGGCATGCCAAACATGGGTTCTAGAAACTTCTGGAGTGGAGAGACTCTCAGACACTCGGCTGCTACGTTCCAGTGATGTCAAGGTACAACATCGCTTGGGACTCTTAGGACTTCTTATTCGCAGTTATGCTTGGTTTTATGACGTGACAATGCGTTCGTGGAGATGACCTCGGAGAGGCGAGGCCGGTGGACCTGAGCGAACTTAGAGTTTGCCAATCATCATGCTAGCCTTGGCACAGACATCGTCCAGAAGACAAGAACCCATTGCTGCCACTGGCTACCCAGCGGAATATTCTGTCTGACAAATCGGGCATTTATGCTGATGATACTGGAACCATGCCGAGAGACACGAAGCATGGAAGACATGGTGGCAGCGATTGAGCACCAGGATATTCCTCCCTCCTATTGTGTCATGCAGGTTGGATTCATTGTGGGGTGACGATGCGATGTGGGCGGTCTCGGGGAAAGGGAGCGTATCTTGGGAGGGTGATTGGGAGGGTGCTAGACTCGACAGGCAGATGGGACTACCAAGAACGATGCATCAGTCCTATGGATCACAATCGGGCCAAGACTGCTACCGGCAGTCCGTCCCCGCATCTCGGCCAAGCGTTGGCGTAACCAGGGATGGGCAGCCTTACCAGGATTCCTGAGCATACTGGCGGTCGCTGTGGTCCGCGTGTGTCTGCTCTTCGAGCCATCGCTCCACTGACACCTGCCGCATAATGCCGCCCTGGGTGAGGTTGCGGAGTTCGCTGTCCCGTCGGGCGATTGTCCGTCGACGATGGTGCCACATCACAATGCTGTTTGATCAGATATGCGTTCTCCGCCAGACACGGGGTGCAGAAGGTGACCTGCCAATAGGGGCTTGTGGAACTACTTACAATGGGACCATACTCATGGCCGCAAACAACAGCACGGCCCCCACCACCACGCCCACGATCCCGGCCTTGTGGGTATCACCGGCCATCAACCACACGACAGAGAGAGAGAACAAAGAAGAGGCAAGGATGGACAGGTCAAATGCGACTAGAGGACGCGTCGGGTATATCGGCAGGCAGGTCGCGTTGGTTCCGCTACGACAGCCTCCGCATCAGCAGGGAAGAAATGTAGGTGGGGGAGGGTTGCATGAGGGAGACCGGAATCGGATCCATCGCCGGCGGGGATGGAGCCTCCGGGGGGACCGCGACCGCTGCCTTTAAAGCCGGCTTGCGACTGGCTCTCAGATCTCCCCCCCAGCTGCCCGCCAAGGCCTTTCACCTTCTCAGACGAGCAGCCTATCCGAGGCGGGATTGCCCCCAAAAGGCGCCAAGTCTCCGCGCTTCGGAACACCTTGGCGTTCCGCTGGGGCGAGACCGCCGCTGATCCAATCACAGTCCTTGTAGCCGGAACCGACTCTCGGCTGGGCTCACGTGGGCGACGTTACTGGTCGTCTGCGTCATAATCCAAGAGGCGAGACGTCGCCGACTTCGCGCCCAAGGTTTGTGCCAAGAGGCCTGGACCGAGCAGCTGTGATTGGTGCTTGGCTGGCTCGGCATCGTGTTGGCCTCTGGATATAGAACACGCCAAGAGATATTCACCATCGCGGGAAAGTCTATAAAGGGGAGGGGTTATCCCGGATCCAGTTGGAGGTCCAACCGAATCTAGATCTTGCGTGCTCGAGTGTATGGACTCTCATTCTATAGAGGATACAATCTACATGGCACCGCCGTGACTTGATACCCGATAGACCAATATCACTCAAAGAACTACATACTACACCATGGACCCTGAGAAACAAGCTCAGCCGTCCTCTCAGACTCTGCTCTCCGCCCCCGCCCATACCCTCTCCGACACCACTGTCCTGCACGAGCTCGCCGTCAACCCGGAAGACGGTCTCAGCAGTCAGGAAGCCCAAACGCGACTACAGAAATGGGGGACTAACGAGCTCGAGGGGGATGAGGGCATCTCCCTCGCAAAGATAGTCATCCGCCAGATCGCCAACGCCATGATGCTGGTACGTGCCAACCAACTCCTTGAACCCTCTCTAAAGTTCTTACTCACACATTCGAACAGGTCCTCATCATCGCCATGGCCGTCAGCTTCGGCATCCAGTCTTGGATCGAAGGCGGGGTGATCGGAGCCGTGATCGGCCTGAACATCGTTGTGGGTGTGTACCAAGACTACGCCGCTGAAAAGACCATGGATTCGTTACGGGGACTCAGTTCGCCGACCGGAGTCGTCACCCGCGATGGTAAGACGGGCACCATCCCGGCCATCGAGATCGTCGTGGGTGATATGGTAGACTTGAAAGTGGGAGACACCGTTCCGGCTGATTTACGGTATGCCTTTTCCCTTTCGTGAATAAGCTCACGCTAATATTTGGCAGACTAGTCGAAACCATGAATTTTGAAACCGATGAAGCCCTCCTCACGGGCGAATCCCTTCCCGTAACCAAATCCTCCTCCGCCACCTTCCCCGCGGACACTGGCCCCGGCGACCGTCTCAATATTGCGTACAGCTCCTCCACCGTCACCCGGGGTCGGGCGCGCGGCGTGGTGATTGGCACTGGCATGGGGACGGAAATCGGGGCCATCGCGGCCGCTCTTCGTGCGAAAGACCACCGGCGTCGTCGGCCCGTACGACGCGGACCCGGCGGCGAGACTAAGAAGCGGTGGTATGTGGCGGCGTGGACGTTGACCTGCACGGATGCCGTCGGCCGGTTCCTTGGGATCAACGTGGGGACACCGCTGCAACGGAAGCTGAGCAAGTTGGCGTTGCTGCTGTTTGGGATCGCGGTGGTGTTTGCCGTGGTGGTCATGGCCGCCAATGGGATGCACGATGATAAGGAAGTCATTATCTATGCGGTGGCCACCGGGCTGGCTATGATCCCGGCTTGCCTGGTGGTCGTGTTGACAGTGACCATGGCCGTGGGGACCAAGCAGATGGTGCACAGGAACGTGATTGTCCGGAAGTTGGATTCCTTGGAAGCCCTGGGCGCTGTCACGAACATCTGCTCGGATAAGACAGGCACTCTGACGCAGGGACGCATGGTGGCCAAGAAGGCCTGGGTGCCTGGGCTGGGCACGGTGTCCGTGGGCGTGTCCAAGGACCCATTGGATCCGAATGAAGGTGAGGTGAGGGTTCGCGATGCCATGCCCGGTGAGGGCGACGAGGGGGAGGCGATGGCCCCTCAGGACATGGTGGCCGACAATGCCCTGCTGCAGCGGTATCTGGATGTCGCGGCCATGGCCAATCTGGCGCATGTCCATCGGTCCGAAGAGAACGGCCGGTGGCAGGCGCGCGGCGAGCCCACCGACATCGCCATTCAAGTCTTTGCGGCGCGCTTCGACTGGGGCCGGGACCGGTGGACCAAGGGTGAGAAGCCTGCCTGGACCCAGCAGGCCGAGTATCCGTTCGACTCGACGATCAAGAAAATGTCGGTGATCTTCCGCCGCGAAGACGACGCCCAGGACTTTATCTTCACGAAAGGTGCCGTGGAGCGCGTGCTCGATGCCTGCTCGTCCATCGCCTGGAAAGCTGACTCCGCCCCGGTGCCCTTGTCCCAGGACATGCGTGACACCATCCTGCAGAACATGGAGGCTCTGGCGCGCGAAGGACTGCGCGTGCTCGCCCTCGCCAGCCGGACCACCTCTGCATTTACCGACATCCCGTCCCGGGACTCCATCGAACAGGACCTCACCTTCGCGGGGCTGATCGGTCTCTACGACCCACCTCGCCCAGAGACTGCAGGTGCTATTGAAGAATGCCATCGCGCCGGGATCTCAGTACACATGGTGACTGGCGACCATCCAGGAACGGCGCGCGCCATCGCTGCTCAGGTGGGCATCATCCCGTCAAACATGCAGCATCTGGCCCGCGACGTGTCGGACAGTCTCGTAATGACAGCCAGCCAATTCGACGCATTGACCGAGGCAGAAATAGATGCCCTTCCCACGCTCCCCGCAGTGATTGCCCGCTGCGCCCCCCACACGAAGGTGCGAATGATCGATGCGCTGCATCGCCGTGGCCGCTATGCCGCGATGACAGGCGACGGAGTGAATGACTCACCGTCGTTGAAGCGTGCGGACGTGGGCATCGCGATGGGACAATCCGGCAGCGACGTGGCCAAGGATGCATCGGAGCTGGTCCTGACAGACGACAACTTTGCGAGTATTATCAACGGCATCGAAGAGGGTCGACGCATCTTTGACAATATCCAGAAGTTCGTGCTACATCTGCTAGCCGAGAACGTTGGTCTGGCACTGACCCTGTTGATTGGCCTGGTCTTCAAGGACGAGAACGGCCAGAGTGTGTTCCCTATTGCGCCAGTGGAAATACTCTGGATTATCATGATTACGTCCGGCCTGCCGGATATTGGGTTGGGTATGGAGAAGGCCGCGAGTGATGTGATGGATCGACCACCGCAGAATGTATGCCTTCATCCCCCTTATATACTGCCCCCTCTCCTAGAAGATAAGACTAATGAACATATAGAAAAACGGCATCTTCACCCCCGAAATTATCATCGACACACTAGTCTACGGCGTCTGGATGGCCACCCTGAGTCTCAGCGCCTTCGCCCTCGTCCTCTTCGCCTGGGGCAATGGCGACCTGGCCACAAACTGCAACAGCAGTTACTCCCACGAATGTGATACAGTGTTCCGAGCCCGCGCCACCACCTTTGTCTGCATGACGTGGTTTGCGCTCCTACTGGCATGGGAGATGATGCATTTGAGACGGAGTTTGTTCAACATGCATGACCACGTCCCTTCCTCGGATACTCCCACCGCAACATCAACCAAGAAACTCAAATATATGGGCTGGATGACCGACATTTACACCAACACCACCCTCTTCTGGGGCATCGTGGTCGGATTTCTCCTTACTTTCCCGGTGCTCTACATCCCTGTGATCAACGACGTCGTGTTCAAACACACGGGAATCGGATGGGAATGGGGTGTGGTCTTTGTCGAGGCGGGGTTGTTTTTGGGTGGTGTGGAGGTATGGAAGTTCTTCAAGAGAGTGTATTTCCGACGTGTGGCACAGAAGCCGAGAAATGCAAGAGATGGCAATGGCGAGGAGGAGAAGGAGAAAGGGGGCTTTAGTCGATTCACGACGTTGAGTCGCGAGGAGGGGGTGTTGGTGGGGGTCAAGGGGAGGGAGATGGTTTGAGCCCTTATGGGACTATGGCTTCTTGTAATTTTTGTTTTTGAGGCGTCTAGTTTGTTGATATAGACATCTTAGATCGTTAGTTTTTCACTTCCACCTCTATAGGTAACTCTGGTTACATGACACTTCTTTTCCCACCTTACTTAGTAGGTATAAATCGAGACCAATAAGTCAAGGCGATAACACGAGACAGCCAGCTGACAACATCCACCACCGCATCCTCACCATCCACATTTCAGACGATATGTTTCGGCGCTTTGGCGGCCAGATCACCGGGAAGCTGAAACTATTTCTTCCATCCTCTATGTTTGAGAACAGCATGCCAAGGGCCTGTATGAGAGCGTGGACCCAAACATTTCCCGTGCCGACGATGCCTCGGAAGTCTGGCGGACTCTACACTCCACCCGTCCACTGTATCGGTCCACTGTCCACTGTCCACCGTCCGCCTCCACTCCGCCTCCACCTCCACCAAGCAACTTTTTCAGAGCTCAGACAGTGCGATAGACGGATAGAACTCCATCGCATGTGTTCCGCAGGACACACTTCGGAGCGACTGTAATATGAAAATGAAATAATATCCTTGATGTAGGAGAGGGCCGGAGCTCTCTTCAATCAACCCTGTAAAGATATACGGGAGTAGTAGTTTAGTGACTAACCATCCAATCATATATCTCAAATACTGGAATATTGTGTTTGGTAAGCATAAACTACACCGTCATGTGATCACAAATTCATGGCCAGGTCAATTTGGGCCCTGCCCATACATTAGAATATAACTGATCCTCCAATATAAGGGATCTAAATGGTGCACTGAAATAACTGCTTAGATTAGTGTGTTACTGTAGCAGAGAGCGGGTGATTGAACTGTCATCAGTACCCAGTCTACCCCGCGAACTTCTTCCTGTCATCCCTCGAAAAACCTCCTCCTAACCATCACATTTTCTTCAATCCACGGCAAAAACCACACCCCCTCAAACAAAGTAGACATAACTAGTCCCCAGATACAGCTATGTTCAGACGCGCGAGAGAAACCGAGCCCGATCGGTTTTCAACGCGACTGAGCAAAACCCTCCACCCTCTCCCTATGATCCCCTGGGGAGCGCTCGCAATGTGCTATCTGGGCGTCCCCATTGTTGTTGGGGTAATACATACCCCTAACAGTAAAATACAATCCCATTTATCTCCCTACTAATATCTATCTACCATTCCAGGCCTCAATGATCATAGTCCAAGACACCGACTACCCAACCGCAATTACGAAGCTCGAAAGCGCAGGCTTCATCCGAACGGTTCCAAATCGTGTCCCTCCGCCGGAAATCATGGCAGATCATCCAAACCCACAGCAAGTGTTGGAGGAAATCAATGCGGGCTATAAATGTCTGGATCGGTCGTGCGCGGTATTTGATTATCCATGTGGTAGGCCGGAAGAAGAGAACATGCAGGTTTATTTGTTTCCGGATTCGTTTGCGCATGGCTTTCTCCCGTCGAATGGAATTGAAGATGCGGCGCGATATGCAATCTACGACAACATCCACTACCCATTGGAACCGACACTAGTGGAAAGTTTCGTCAAGGCTGCGATTGATGAAGAACGAGAGACGGAGTTTTTCTGCGTGGGACGAGTCGCTGAGGGCCTGGGTCGCTATGATGACGGGGTATCTTGAGGTGAATAATGATATCCTGGATCAGTGTCCGGATCAACAGGCAGTGGAGTGGTATAGCCGCAACTTTGGGCGGATCCGGGAGGCGAAGTTCGGGCCTATTGATCGACGCATTTCGAAGCGTCTTGGCTCGGGGAGAGAGATGCCGGTGGATATGAGGGGGAACCCTATTTAATCGGGATCTTGGTTTGGTTACAGCTGTTGGGTATGCTAGTCTACGTATGGAGTACATTGGGGTCCTGGTGAATGCAACGAAGCAAAATGCGGGGTTGATGGATTAGGCCGAGATAGCTCCAAACTTTATCAATGCTGTCGCACGGTTATCTATCCTCTACTTTAGGCAGATAACACCCCCAGCTGCGGGATAAACATGCCAACCTTGATTGGTCCGAAGATGATCCCCAACAGCCGGTGTCGCGCCCACTCCGCACCGCTCCTCTTCCTGCCTCTTCACATCGACCGACCAGAGGACAAGTCGGTAACCTCGCTATCATGGGAGACGTGTATACCGCCACGGCGGATCGTCCGTTTGCCTGCGATCAGTGCACCAGGTCATTCACGCGCAGTGTAAGCATCTGAAGCCCGCCTGCACAGTAGCGAAGCTAACCGGCCTCAGGAGAACCTCCAGAGACATAAGCGGACCCGTAGGTGATCCATCCATTTGAAGGAAAGAGAATTAACATTCGAGGGTGCGGTCGGCAAGGCCATGGGGGCGTCTCCTCCAGAACCTTTGGATGTGCAAGATGCCATGCGCAGTTCTCCAGAAGGTCTTCTCTCCCCACCACTGTGCAGCTGGCATACGCGCTAACGCTTCACCCAGTGATGTGTATAAACGGCACAAGTCCCGGTGCCGAGCAGCGCACCAGCCCGTCCTACCAGAGGAGAGCCTCAGCGAGCCTTCGTGGGTAACCGGGCACGAACCGGCCGAATCTCTGTTAGTCACCGCCGAGGGCTCCTGGCTGGAAGGACGTTCATTCACCAACGACCACCTTCCAACACCGCCCCCTGTGATGTCTCCCGCGGCCTTGTAGGCTTTATTCTTCCCTCCCCGACAACCCCCCGGTGCTGCTGTGATAACACCTAACCTGGACAACAGACCTGCCGGGGAGACGGTGGCTACCCATGTCAAGGCGTATTTCGAGCATTTTCACCCTTCACTGCCCCTGTTGCATCGCCCTACCTTTGTCCTGTCTTCCACACCTAAGCTACTGGTCAATATTACCGCCGTGATGGGGAGTCTCTACTCGGTGCACCGGTCTCCGGGGGGTGCCGATGAGGCTGAGAGGGAGACACGCGCCCAATGGCGGCAGGAGGTCTGGCAAAACGGGCAAGCAGAGCTTCAACTGCTGGTCAGTGATTCTTTCAGAATATACCACCATCACATCAAGTCAGATGTCGAAACTCACGGCTAACCCGTTGCCACAAAGGCCGCTTCAGATCGGAAAGTGATGCGAAAGCCCTGGGTCCTACAAGCCTGGCTGCTCTCTATCATCTACGGATTGTACACGGGCGAAACCCGCTCGTTTGAGACAGCGAGGCACAATTTGCGTACACTAGTTGATGTCTGCCCTCTTTACTCCTCCTCCCCAGCTTCATGCTGATCCTCACCCGCAGATTGTGCGCGAGCTGGGTCTATCTCACGAGAGCATCACGACAGCCGGGACGCCGTCCTGGATCATGCCCCCGATGGAGACAAACGTCCCTGGGGAAGACTCACAGACGCTGTATTCGCGATGGATGTCGTACATCTCCATTGAGTCGGTCCGACTGGCACTCTACACGATGGTTTTCCTCGATTCCCATGCCTTTGCGGCAACCAACGCCCGCCCATTGATGTCTCCGTTGGAGTTTGGATGGGACCTGCCGTTTCCCAGCAGCCTGTGGGAGGCCCAGAATGCGTCTGTCTGGCTGCAGCGGGTCACCGAACACTTTGGCGCCTCCGGTTCGACCCTGGCGGGCAATCTCCCTTACGCTCCGCGCGGGCTGGCGACTGCCTCGTTGTCCATCGCAACGCAGCAACTGATGACGGACTCGCCCGGCCCGGAGCTGCTGGCGGCGCTAGTTGCGTCGCCCTTTGCCCTCCTGTGCGTGCTGAGCAATCTCGGGGTGTTGGTCCGAGATTTCACGCGCAGCTACTACCAGATGCCCCCCAGTCTCCCGGATCCGTCCGCCTTTCATATCCTCACCCAGTCGCAGAACAAACAGATTCACGTCGCCGTGCGATGCATCCGGCAGATTGTCCACGACCAGGCATACACGAGGGACAGCCCCCATTACCTCCTCTGGCGATCTGTCGAAGTGCTCGCCGCCGCGATCCGAGTGGACCTGTGCCGGCCAGACCAGATGCTGGTAGGAGGCATCGTCGACCACAGCCTGCTCGCGGGGCTGGCGACGTCTACCCAGCTGGCCCTGGGCAGCTACGTAACTGTCCGGAGATCCGTGCCGCTGCTGTCGCGCCAGTCCAACCGTGACGAGGACCTCCTGGCCGTCCTGCACGATCTCACGGCGGCCCTCGCTCGGATCGCCGGCGAGGACCGAGAGCAGGCCTTTGGCGAGGCGCCCTGGGTGACCGTGACCAGCTACCACCTCCTGCTGTGCATCTGGCGGGCGCTGCGGGGCGCGTGCCGTGACATTCACCAGCACCTGGACACCTTCGACGAACTGCCCCGGCCGGCCGAATCCTGCATGCTGATCTTCAACACCCTCCTGGAGGCCGTCCTGTTCGCCCTTGGCCTTGAGACTGGGCGTCTCGACCGCGATCCCCGGCTGTGGTCCGTCGACCCCGCTGGCTTCAGCAGTCTGCTCGATGACGCCGAGCCATTCTTCGAGGACCTCCTCCAGTCATTCTGCAAGCACCGACCTTTGTGGGGGATCGGCCCGGCTCTGGGCATCCTGCTGGACGACATTCTTGCCACGGGCTCCACCGGCGCCTAATTAAGGAGTCTCAGTGGAGCTCCACCAGCTTATCTTCGAGTATCCACATCATGTCTATCCCCTATATCAATCTCCAAAGCCAACGACAATCAACATGCATAGTGCGCCTGTCGTATGACGGATCTTCGCCAGAATCCTCATCCAGTGTCACCGAACATAATCGACCACAGAGATGACGTCGCCTCTGCACATGGGCTGGGTAGGTGTTTGCGTGGACGTGGTTGTTTGGACGCCCTGCTGACCTCGTGCTGGCAGTTTGGCCTCGGATCGATGGGCTTGGGCATGGCGATGAACCTGCAAAGGCATCTTGCGACACAGGGCGGGCCCCCGCTGCACTACAGCAACCGCAGCCTGGAGAAAGGGCAACCGCTGCAGGAGGCCGGCGCTGTGCCCGAAAAGGACTTTGCGAGTCTCGTGCGCCAGTCCGATGTACTCTATACCATGGTCAGTCTTCCGTTCCGCTCGGGTGCTTGTCGACTGGCTGACCGAGGCACAGATTTCCAATGACGAGGTTTTGCTGGACCTAGTGGACCAGGCCCTATCGACAGACGTCTCCTTGGAGGGAAAGATCTTCGTCGACACCTCCACGGTACACCCCGACACCTCGGCGCTGGCCGCCCAGCGGCTCGGCGAGCGGGGTGCGGCGTTTATTGCCTCGCCCGTGTTCGGGGCCAGTCGCGTGGCCGCTGCCGGGAAGCTCATCTTTGCAATGGCCGGGCCTGCTGCAGCACTGCAGACGGTCCGTCCACAGGTTGATGTCATGGGCCGGGCCATTATCGATCTGGGCGAAGATGTGCGAAAGTCGAGCCTGCTGAAGATCACGGGGTGTGCTTCCTTCTCCTCATGCATTACCAGCAACTAACGAACCGATGTGGTCAGAAACATCCTCGTCATCAGCTTTATGGAAGTAATCTCCGAAGCACAAGTATTTGCCGAAGTGACCGGCATCGGCAGCCAACAGCTCGAGGAATTCATCGGCAACATGTTCGGGCCCGTGCTCGAGAGCTACTCGCATCGGATCACAAGTGGTGCGTACGCGCCACCACTCGAGACACCACCCGGCTTTGCCGCCGCCCTGGCGTGCAAGGACATGAAACATGCTCTGTCTCTCGCCGCCGAGCATCACACGCGCCTACCCACCGTCGAGATAGCCTCGAGCCGGTTAAACGCCGCGCGGGATTACGCAGGTGAGAACCTGGACAGCGCTGCCCTGTACGGGATTGCGCGACAGGAGACGGGGCTGCCATTCTGGACGGCCAACAGTCGACAGGGGAATTAAGATGGACTGTGAGACTCTGGTATAGCCGGCCCCATCGGATACAATGGACGGGGTCATTCATAGCCCGTCACTGTGCTTGAGTTATAATACAATACAATACCCAGTCAGAATACAATCCCACCCGCAAGAAACAAAAAAAAGGAAAACCCAATAACCCACCCACCTAGCCCATCTAACCAACCACCACACCCCCATTCATAAGCCTGGCAGCAGCCAATCGCGATCCCATTCCGCATCGGATAGAAGTATTCCCCTAATCATCCACAGAGTAAAAAAAAATAACACCCTATACAAGGATGATCATCTCATCATGTCAAGAAACAATATGAATCGTACGGAGTCTTACATGGGTGATCGACCATGGCGAAACATCCGAATAGGCGGATATGGGTGGGATTGAGTGCCGAAGTGCCAGATTAAGCTTTCTTATTATTATCAGTTTGGTTCTTTGAATCTTGGGAGATGAGCTATGCATGATGTAGTGTCTATCATCTATTAACAGCAGGTGGGGTAGAGGGTACTAAGTCGTACTCATTCTAAGCAGGAGAGAAAACAGGGCATGTTCATTGCATCAACCACTACCATGGAAGAAACCCTCTACTGGTATACACTAGTATCGATTCTCCTATACGTAGGTCAACCAATTCCATCCTCATCAACCTAACTCACAGCACCAAGGCATCCCTCCTCGCCATCCACCGCCTCTACCTCCACTCCCTCGCCAAATATCCCGGCCCGACACTTGCCACCCTCACCAGTTGGTACGCGGCCTATTATTGCCTGGCGGGGCGATTTACATCGGAGACATTACGCGTGGTATAAGAAATACGGTATGCCACGTTAGTTACCTACCCCTGACAGAATACTGACCCGACCAACCCAGGCAACACCGTCCGGTATGAACCGAACGCAATCGTCTTCCACGACGCGGCGGACATGGCTGAGATATACGGGGTTCGGGCAAAACGTGCGCAAGGTGGATGGGTATGCGGGCGTTGAGTGCCAGTCGACGGGGGTTCGAATACGTTGTCAGCGGTGCGGAAGGAGGAACATGCGTTTAAGCGGCGGGTTTTGATGAGGGTGTTTTCGGTCCAGGGGTTACGGGATGTGGAGGGGCGGGTGGTGGGGAGGATTGAGGATTTTGTTGAGGTGATTGGGGAGATGGAGGAGGAGAGGGGTGGAGTCCGGTGAAGGATGTGGCTCAGGTGTGTACCTGGTTGACAATGGATGTTATTAGTGAGATGGCCTTTGGGCAGCGGTTTGAGATGCTTAACTCGTCGGAGATGAGATGGCTGCCTGCGGTCTTGACTAAGGGTATTCGTCGGAGTACTTTGGTATGTTGTGATGGTGGATCAGTAGGGAATGTGCGAATTGTTTGCGTATGGGAGTGTCTTGCACAACACTCTATCTACCGATACAAGCTGGATCGTCTGCTCCTCCTGTCCCTGCTGCCGGAGATCCGAGCTGCGGTGAGCTGGATGCAGGACCGCATCCAGGCGCGCATCCAGCGGGGAAACAATGTCCCAGAAAAGGACTTTTTATATGCCATGATGAATACCCGGGATTTTAAGACAGGCCGGACGTTGTCGTCCAAGGAACTCTCGGTAGAGGTGACAATGCTGTTAATGGCTGGTCTGTTTCACCCTTTGGTTCTCTTCATGTCTGACTCCGAAAAGGCTCCCATACCACCAGTAGCAGAATGAGCGCTGTACTCTTCCATCTGCTGCATACCCCCCCACGCTCTGGCCCGTGCGATTGCAGAAATCCGAAGCACATTCAGCGCGGTGGAGGAGATCCGCCCAGGCTTATTGAATGACTCCTGTCGCTTCTTCCAAGCGTGCATTCACGAGAGCATGCACACCCTGCAGATCTATGGGCCTTACTGTTCTTCCTGAATCAGTGTCCGCGTTCCAATACGAGTTTTATATATCAATATATACACTAAATCATCATATATATATACTTTACCCTTGATTTCCGTACCAGCCAGTACAAACATAGCGCCAGAGGTCAGGAAGTAAACACGAAGCTAAACATCTGCTACAGACTCTTTTCCAACACCACCACCTCATCAATCGGACCCAGAATCTCCGGACTCAAAGTCCCCACCGTCGAGTTCCCCAACGGACGGCGCCCCCGCCCAGACCCATACCCAAAATAATGGGCAACCACCGCCTTAACACCAGCAATACCCACCTTAGTAAGAGCCCAGTCCGCATGACTCAGAGTCGCCTGCAGCGCCTGCGCCGCGGGGAGGTCCCCCGCACGGTAGCGACGCAGCAACTCAACATGGACCTTGGGCGCGATATTAGCAAGCGCGGCGACAACGCCACGGGAACCGGCAACCAGCGCCGGGAGGAAGAAATCCGATTTCCCCCCAAAGGCGGCAAATGTCGGCCCCGACACAGCGGAGGCGACGCGCTGTAGTTTGCCCACGTTCCCGCAGGTCAACTTGCAGCCGACAATGCGTGGGCTGGCGCGGGCTAGGCGGATGAGTGAGTCGGAGGTGATGTCGATGCCTCCGGTCACGCCGGGGAAGTTGTAGATGAGGAGAGGTAGGGCCGATGCGGCGGCGACTTCGAGGAAGAAGTTCTCCAAGACGGGAGCTGTCATCGCTGCTGTCCAGTAGGCTGGGGGCAGCACCAGGGCGAAGTCGGCGCCTGCATCGTGTGCCTCGGTGATGTAGATGAGTGTCTCGCGTACGCTGGCGGCGCCGCAGCCGACTATTAGTGTCGTGTTGGTGTGGCCTTGTGCGGTGAGATGGTCGCGCACGGCGCGCACTAGTGTTTGGCGCTCGTGGTGGTCGAGATGTGGTGCTTCGCCGTTGCTGCCTTGCAGTACGAGGCCGGTGACTCCGGCAGCGGCCATGCGGTCGACGTGGGCGAGGGTGCTGTCGGTGTCGATGGTCTCGTCTTCGTGGAAGAAGACGACCACGGGGGTGTAGACGCCAGAGGGGGGAGTGGAAGTGGTCATATCGGTGGATTGATGTTTCACAGAGCTGGGATATACTACTCGTAGATATGCTTAGGTGTATATATAGCTATATCGGTATGGAAAGAAGTCTTTGTGGTGGTAGATACCCGGTGGAGCTCCACCAGTAACTTGGATGCTGGCTACTATTAGTAGTTTTGAACACAGCCTTTATCAAGTTAAGTATTATCATTCAAAACGACCTCATCAGCTCATTTTACTTTATATACGTATATTTCTGCTCCCTTCTCAACCGTATTTCTCTGTCTTATACAATGACATCGTCCTCCCTATTCAACGACGTACCTTGCACCCCCCCAGATGCCATCTTCGAGCTCACAGCACTCTACCGGGCAGATTCCGCCCCACACAAGGTGAATCTCGGACAGGGCACCTACCGGGACAGCGAGGGCCACCCATGGATCCTGCCAGCGGTGCAGGCAGCCAAGGCACGTCTCCAGGACGCCGACCACGAGTATCTGCCCATCCTCGGACTCCCCGCTTTCCGCACGCTGGCGTCGGCTTTGGTGCTGGGCGATGAGTCTTCTGCCGTGCGCGCCAAACGGGTCTGTTTTTCACTTTGGTTCCTCTATTTCCTTCTTTCTTTTTCCCTGCCTGCTTCTCATCACTGACCCCCGTAGGTGGCCTCCTGCCAGGCCCTAGCCGGCACCGGGGCCCTGCATCTGGCAGGCAAACTACTCCACCAGACCCTGGGGGCCGCGAATCCCGTGTACATCACGACACCCAGCTGGTCCAACCACCAGCAGGTATTTGAGTCCGTAGGACTGCACGTACGCGAGTTCCGCAACACCTCCACTACGGACGGTCGCCTGGACCTCCCTGCAGTGCTGGCCGCCCTGCGCGAGGCACCCCCCCGCAGCAGCTTTGTCTTTCACGCCAGCGCCCACAACCCGACTGGCTGGGATCCTAGCCCGGAGGCATGGCGGGAGATTGGCCTCCTCGTGCAGCAGCGGCAGCTCGTACCGGTCTTCGACGCGGCTTATCTGGGACTCACCTCGGGGGACTACGCACGTGACTGCTTTCCCATTCGGCATTTTGTCGATGATCTTGCCCTCGAGGTGATGGTCTGTTTGTCTTTTGCGAAGAGCATGGGGATTTATGGTATGTCTGCCTCACGTAACTGGTTGCCTTTGCTAAAATTTGCGATGCAGGCGAGCGGGTCGGTCTGTGTGCTGTTGTAACGCGCACCAGTACCGTGGCTGCGGCTGTCGAGTCCGCTCTGGCGCAGCTCATCCGCGCGGAAATCTCCAATCCGCCTGCATTCGGTGCCCGTGTTGTTACTGCGGTGCTGGCGGATGATGCTCTCCGCGCTGAGTGGGCGCGTAATCTCGTCACCATGCACAGCCGTCTGGTGGACATGCGCTGCCGGCTGGCTGCGGCATTGCAACGGCGCGGCACGCCGGGAAACTGGACGCGCATTATTGAGCAAAAGGGCATGTTTACGATTCTCGGGCTGACCTCCGCTCAGGTCCGTCGTCTACAGGGTAAGCTGCAATCCATCCCTCGTTCTCACTGTCTGTGTCTGTTAATGTCATTTTGCGCCGTAGAGGAGCATCACATTTACATGGCGGCGAGCTCGCGAATTTCCCTCGCGGGACTCACGGCAGGCAATGTGGAGTATGTGGCGGAATGCATTGATCGAGTCGTGCGGGGATAGCTTAATTCACCATCCACTAACCCCTCCACCCTCCACCTCCACCAAATCCCCCTGCTCCACTGGTGGACAGAACGCCGGTGATCCCCCTGTCATGCCGCTCCCACCAACCAACCAACCCCGACAGACTCCAAATGTATTCATTATGTGGGGAAGATAAGATAGATAAAGAGAAATGGGGAGATAAGGTGCCCCGATTTCCCTATCACTGTCATCGTGCGGACAAACAATAAGTAGCCCTGAGTAGTCATGCTTTGCACTCAACCCAGGGGCAGCCTTCTATTGTAGCTAGCCAGTCCACCATCCTTGTGTACCCCGCTCTCTGCAGCTTTCTCTCACTCTTTGTATCTGTCCCTTTCTCCTCTCTCGCCTGCAGCCCATCATGGACAAGTCTGCAAGCCGTGACGAGCAGCCTACCAAGGCCGACCTCGCGGCAGGCGAGATAATCGAGAGTCCAGCGGTAGACCCAGCACTGCTACTGACCGGAGGCACCGTGGTGGAATTCACCCCCGAAGAGGAACGACAATTGCTGCGCAAGATCGACCGGCACATGCTGCCGCTGCTGTGCTGGGTGTACCTGATCCAGTTTGCGGACAAGACGACACTCAACTACGCCTCGCTCATGGGTCTGCAGACCGACACGGGCCTGCACGGCAACCAGTACAACTGGGTGTCGAGCATCTTCTATGCGGGCTACCTGGCCTGGGAATTCCCCACCACGTACTTCCTGCGCCGCCTGCCCGTGGGCAAATACACCGCGGCCAACATCCTCTGCTGGGGAGTGGCCCTCGCCGGGCACGCAGCCGCCTCTAACTACGGGGGTCTCCTCGCCTGCCGCTTCCTCCTCGGCGCCTTCGAAGCCACCGTCACCCCAGCCTTTGTGCTGATCACCGGCATGTGGTACCGTCAGAACGAACAGGGCCGCCGCATGGGCTACTGGCTGTCGTGCAACGGCGGTGCCCTCATCCTGATGAGCGTCATCGGCTACGGCCTGTCCGCCATCGACCACGCCGCCCTGGCCCCCTGGCGCATCCTCTTCCTCCTCCTCGGCCTCCTCACCATCCTCACCGGCATCGCCTACCTCTGGTACCTGCCCGACAGCCAAGCCACCGCGCGCTTCCTCACCGACCGCGAACGCCTCGTCGCCCTCGAACGCATCCGCGACAACTTCCAAGGCGTCGGCAGCCCCATCTGGAAATGGGCCCAGTTCCGCGAAGCCTTCCACGACCCCCGCACCTACCTCTACATCCTCTACTCACTGCTCATGAACATCCCCAACGGCGGCATCACCACCTTCGGCTCCCTCCTCATCAAATCCTTTGGCTTCGGCGACCGCCTCGCCCTCCTCCTCAGCGCCCCCTCCGGCCTGTTCGACATCGCCGGTAAACTCCTCTTCACCTGGCTGTCAGACCATTGGCTCGACCGCACCGCCGTCTCCTTTGCCGCCATCATGGTCGCCTGTCTCGGCGGCATCCTAATGGTCGTCCTCCCGGACACCGCCAAACCCGCCCTCCTGATCGGCTACTACCTCGTCAGCGTCGCCGGCGCCTCCTGGGGTCTCCTCATGACCGCCATCTCGAACAACACCCTCGGCTACACCAAAAAGGTCACCGTCAGCGGCCTCCAGATCATCGCCTACGCCGCGGGCAACTGGATCGGACCGCAGACGTTTCCCGCTACGGAAGCCCCGGAGTATCGCCGCGGCAAGCTGCTCGTCGCGATTATGTATGGTCTTGCGGGTGCGGTGCTGCTACTACTAAGGTTTGTGAATGGGCGTGAGAATCGGCGCCGGGATCGTCTGCAGGTTGAGGCGGGCATCGATCTTGCGAATGATGAGGTGGCGAGGCATGCTCTTGAGCGGTCCAAGTTTATGGATTTGACCGATTTTCAGCAGTTGCATTTTCGATACGTTCTATGACTTATATCCGGATTGACATTTTTTCAGTACATTTATATACGCTTGAATGATGAATGTGTATTTGCTAGTATACTGCTTGGAAGGTAAACGACATCCCTGGATCATGTGACCTCATTCCGCCAGGCGTGATTAGCGGCCATCGTGTAAAAACAATACTTGATTCAAGACATATTATTAGCGAGAACGTGAGAGCCCAGCCACAACTCTTATCCTATGCTTGATATCACCAATACCCCAAGTCCCATTCCATTTTTTCTTACAACCCTCCTCCTAGTAGCAACACGGACCAGTACTTTCACCTTCGATGCCAGATGACTCCCATCCCAGGAGGGTGAATATCCAAGCTAATCGAGCAAACTATCTCGCGTATCCATGCCAACCAGACCAAAGCCTACAGCTGGGTGAGAGATGAATTATCATTTGTTCACAGAATATAATCACCCCTCATACTAACAAAAGCACACCATGTCACCGCTTCCCTCCTTCACACGGAAATTCCCCTACTGTAACGCGCAGGGCCGGCCAACTCTTACCCCGTCAGATTCTCTCCTGCATGGATTTTAGGAGCTGAACAACAATAGATCTTTCTTTCGTTTCTCTTACGTTTGGATACATTTCATACACGACATGATGTATCTGCCCGAGACGCGTCAAACGCATTGAGGCCTCTATCTTGAGCGCACTAAACCTGGGAGTCCGAGCGGTTACGCTCAGAGCGCGACACACACCTCGGACTCTACAAAGATAGCACACATCCCAGCAATGATCCTGACCAGTGGTGGACGTCACCCCCGCCTATCCCTATTCCCACTGCTGCTTCATAAACATATGAAACTCCTCATCCCGTAACTCAGGCTGCACATCCTCCTCCCCCTCCCCCTCCAAGTATCCCAAATACCACGACAAATCCCGTCCGTCGAACTCGCGCGCCGCGAAGCCATTGCCTAAGTACCCGAATCGGTTGTTTGTCCCCACATACGTAAGATGATAGTCCTCCCAGCGGGGCCTCTTCATCGTCTCAAAGAAATGGATCCGCGAGCCGGGCCACATCATGATTTCCCCGTCCACGGTCCCCTGTTTGAACCAGGATCGGCAGGGCGAGGACCATGCCGTCCGGGGGAGGAAGGTTCGGCGGTGTTCGGTGAAGTCCGCTACTGCGGATTCTTTGACGTCGAAGGTTAGGATACCTTCGTCGGAGAGTTTGGTGAGGATGGAGAGGAAGTGGCGGGAGAGGGTCTCGGTTATGGGGAGGAAGCTGCCGTGGCCGTAGGGGCCGAAGGGGCCGTTGAAGACTGGTGAATGGGTGTTAGTCTGAAGGGAGGAAGAAGAGGTGGTGGGGTGAGGGGGGGGGGGGCGCGGGGATACTTAGGTAGTTGGGGAAATGTGGGACCGTAATGGAGAGGTATGTGCTGGGGGCATCGGCCCATTCTTTGCTCAGACTACGTCCCTCGCGGCCGATGGTCGGGTAGGCGGGTTTCCAGCTCACGTCGAAGCCCGTCGCGCATACGATCACGTCGACCTCGTGTTCGATCCCGTCGGCGGTTTGGATTCCCCGGGGGGTGATCTTGGTGATGGTTTGGGATACTACGGTTACGTTGTCTTCACATAGCGCTTCGAGATACCCGGCTCCGGGTGTTGGGCGACGGCACCCGACGGCGAAGTTGGTGGGGATGAGTAGGTCTGCCAGCTCCGGCTTTTTGGCTAGTCGGGTGCGCATGTCATGCTCTGCCGCCTTAAGCTACAGTGAGTGCTGTACTTTTTTGAAGAGAGTGAGAAGGGAGAGCATACCGCACGGGCATCGGCTTGCTGTTTCGACCCGTTCAGAATGAATTGAAATCGCGAGTTCAGCTCCGACTCAATCTTCTTCCGATACGCGAGGTATTTCTTGGGATCATTGCGAAACACCTCCCTTTGCTCTTCACTGTCTATCCGCGCCGAAGTCAGCTGCTGATCTAGACTAAAGGAACGTTCACGACTGACATTGGAAATTAGTGCCTCCTTTGCCCGCAAACCGCTGCCCGAAGCTCGCCGTGACCCACGACTGACTGCGGATGAAGCACGTCAAGGACTGGACGATGGGCTGGATGTTGGGCACAATCTGCACGGCCGACGAGCCAGATCCGATCACCGCCACCCGCTTGTCCTTGAGCTCGACTGTGTCGTCCCAGTTGGCGCTATGCAGCATTGGGCCTTTGAAGGTTTCCCGGCCGGGAATCGCTGGCCACTTCCACTTGCTGTGACGATGTTAGGAAACGGACAGGGGTTGAATCAGGAGCACCCACTTGAGAACACCACTTGCGTTGATGAGAATGTGCGCACGATCCTCAAAGACCGTGCCGTCCGTCCGTTCGATTTGGAGATGCCACTGAGCGCTCTCCTCGTCCCAGATGGCCCCGACCACCCGGGAATTCAAACGCATATACTTCATCAGACCATAGTCTTTCACCACCGTCTTGAAGTACTGTAAGATCTCACCAGCGCTAGAGTAGCTATGGGATCTCAGCTTAGCATGAGCCATGAGGGGGTGAAGAACACATACAAGCTGGTCCACTCCGCCGACGGCGCCCAGGAAAACTGGTAGTTGACCGAGGGAATATCGCACCCGCATCCGGGGTACTTGTTCTCGTACCAGGTGCCACCGATCGAAGGGTTCTTGTCGTAGCAGACCAACTCCAGGTCCAGCGAGCTACTGTCCACCTCGTGCGCAAAATTGATCGCGCTGGCACCACATCCGATGACCACGATCCGGATTCTGCGTCCCTGCCGACTGGGGTACTCGGATACTTGGTAGGGGGTGTGTTGGACTGGAGAGGGGCCAATTGATCCCATGGTGGCAGTGGTCTGTCCGGTGGCAACAAGGTTGTCTAGAGATTGGTTTGATGGTCTGGTGAGGGCCGTCCTTGGACCTTTTTTATTTCATCCTGAGACCATGCCCCTCGTCCTACTGATCGGAAGCGAAGCGTGTGCGGCGAGCATTCCAATACAAGACCCGGTGCTATCTGCTCTGTCCTGTCCACCGGTGGACGGCTCCACCAGGAGGGGTGGTGATGGAGCTCCACTATCCGCGCGTATCTCCGATGGGGACGAGATTCAGCGCAGATAGATAGCGATGGATAAGAGCGAGCAGTCATGCAAACAAGTTATTAAACCCTGGCAAGGGAAAAGATCACCAGAGAATCCATCCCCTCTGCCCGCTATGCCTTCCGCTCTTCAACGACGGCTTCGGATCTCGATCGGTGCGATTGCCCTAACCTATCAGAGCACGGAGCATGCTAACGAGTGATCCAGATCGAGGCGGCACCTTCACCGACTGCGTCTGCCAAGTGGCAGGCCAGGAGGACATTGTCGTCAAGATCCTCTCCGTCGACCCCCGCCACTATCCTGATGCGCCGACTGAAGCCGTGCGGCGCGTGCTCGAGCAACACACAGGCCGAGTGATCCCGCGGGGTACCACACTAGACCTCAGCGATGTCGGTGAGTTAGATGCTATTCTGGCCCTCAATTCACAGACACACGCTGACCCAGCAGAATGGATCCGGATGGGCACCACCGTGGCGACCAACGCCCTGCTGGAGCGCAAGGGCGAGCGCACCGCCCTTCTCGTCACGGCCGGGTTCAAGGATGCGCTGCAGATTGGGAACCAGGCGCGCCCGCACATGTTCGACTTGGCCATCCGCCGGCCGCAGCCGCTATATGATGAGGTGATGGAGGTCTCCGAGCGCGTCGTGCCAGAGCGCTGCCGTGACTCGGCCGTCCTGCGCAACAAGACCCTTGCCTACCCGCAGGCAATCGTCTCGTCCGGCGAGTCTGGTGAGACGGTGCTCGTGCTCCGGCCCCTGGACGAGGCGGCCACGCAGGCAGGCCTGCAGCAGCTGCGTGCCCGGGGCTTCCGCTCCATCGCCGTATGTCTGATGCACGCGTGCGCCTTTCCGGCCCACGAGCTGCGCATCGAGGCGATGGCCCGCGCGCTGGGCTTCGAGCACATCTCGCTGTCCCACCGCGTCTCGAGCCGGCCGAAATTCGTGCCCCGTGGCAACTCAGCCGTCATGGATGCCTATCTCACCCCGACCATCCGCCAATACCTCGCCCAGATCCAGGCCAACTTTCCCACTGGCCCCGCTTCCACCCGCCTCGAGTTCATGCAGTCTGACGGCGGGCTCGTGCCTGCTGACCGGCTCTCCGGCCTACACGCCATCTTGTCCGGACCTGCAGGCGGCGTGGTCGGGTATGCGCGCACCCTATACGACCCCGAGGCGGCAGCCCCCGTGCCATTGATCGGGTTCGACATGGGCGGCACCAGCACCGACGTCAGCCGCTACGACGGCCGCTGGGACTATGTCTTCGAGACCACCACGGCCGGCGTCCCCGTCCATGCGCCCCAGCTCAATGTCAATACGATCGCCGCTGGCGGTGGCAGCATTCTCACCTGGACCGGCTCACTGATGGCGGTCGGTCCAGAGAGCGCCTCCTCGCATCCGGGTCCAGCCTGCTACCGCAAGGGAGGGCCCCTGACTGTCACCGATGCGAATCTTGCCCTGGGCCGGCTGCTGCCAGAGCATTTTCCTGCTGTCTTTGGCCCTGAGGAGAACCAGCCCCTAGACCGAGAGATTGTGCTGGCTAAATTTCAGGCCCTGACCGATCTTATCAACCGCGATACGGGCAAGGCCCTGACTTGGGCTGAGGTGGCTGACGGGTGAGTCTTGCAATTATCCCCTCTTCGTTCTCTTGGCAATCATTTTCGGTCTCACTAATAAATCTCATTAGCTTCCTGCAGGTTGCCAACTCGGCCATGTGCGGGCCCATTCGCAGTCTCACCGAGGGCCGCGGACATGATGCCGCAAAACACCATCTGGCCTCCTTTGGCGGCGCCGGTGGGCAACATGCCTGTGAGATCGCCGAGGCTCTAGGCATCCAACGCGTACTGATTCACCGGTATTCTTCCATCCTCTCCGCCTATGGCATCGGCCTGGCTGAGGTGGTGCACACGGAGGAGCGACCCTGTGGCAAGTCCCTCGACGAGACTAGCGCTGGGGGCATCATGGCTGATTTGGCGGCCCTTGCCCGCACCGCTGAGAGTCACTCGTCGATGCACGGGTTTGCCCGCGTCGACACCCAGCCTGCCCTCTTCATGCGGTACGACGGCAGCGAGACGGTTATGATGATCGATGCTGTGGTCGGCGGTGATGCCAAGCAGGCCTTCATCCACGCCCACCACAAACAGTTCGGCTTTACACCCACCGGCCAAACCGTCTTTGTTGACCAGATCCGCGTGCGTGCCGTCGGCACAAACGACTTTGGTCCCAGAGAGCCGCCCATCGTGACGGCCCAGAAAGAGGCGGCCAACGCTGCTGCCTGCCCGCAGCCACCGACAAGCCCAGCGCCTGATGGGATACGTCAGGTCTACTTCCGGCGGCTTGGATGGGTGCAGACCCCCGTCTATCTGCTCGGCTCACTGCCGGTGGGCAGCAAGATCCCCGGCCCGGCTCTGGTGGTCGACCGCACGCAGACAATCGTCGTGACCCCGCAGAGCTCGGCCACGGTTACCAGCCAGGTGCTTATCCTGGATGTCGTTGGGGAGCCGAAAATGGTCAGTGCCACTGAGCTGGACCCCATCCAGTTGTCCGTGTTCCGGCACCGGTTCTACGGCATCGCCGAGCAGATGGGCCGCGTGCTGCAAAAGGTCAGCGTCAGCGCCAATATCAAAGAGCGTCTGGACTTTAGCTGCGCCATCTTTGCCCCGGACGGTGCTCTGGTCGCCAACGCGCCCCATGTGCCCGCTATGATCGGCAGTATGGGCTTTGCTGTGACCTCGCAGATCCAGCACTGGAAGGGCAAGCTGCGGGATGGGGACTGCCTGCTCTCCAACTCGCCGGGTATCCCCGCCCTCTCATTTGTTTAATCTACCTTTCCTGTTGTACTAACATATCCTTTAGCATTTGGAGGAGTTCATTTGCCTGACCTAACGGTCATCACCCCGGTATTTGATGCCCAAGGCAAGGAAATCATCTTCTGGACGGCCTCGCGCGGACACCACGCTGATGTGAGTCTCTATCCCACTGTATCTTATTTCCCCTGTCATCCTATTAACTATCATGCATATTGCAGGTCGGTGGAATCCTGCCCGGGTCCATGCCCCCGTCATCTAAGCGGCTATGGGAAGAAGGCGCCGTGTTCGACTCGTTCCTGTTAGTGCGTGACGGCAAGTTCGCTGGCGACGAGCTGAAGCGGCTGCTTTGCGACGAACCTGCAAAGTTTCCCGGCTGCAGCGGGTCCCGGTGCTTCCAGGACAATGTCACGGATATCAAGGCTCAGGTGGCCTCCAACAATTGTGGGATCCGGCTCGTTCGACAACTCATTGAGGAGTACACGATGGATGTCGTCCAGGTACCGACCCCGATATTGCATCCTGACCCCGCTAACCATTGGTAGATGTACATGAAGGCCATTCAGGATTCTGCCGAGCTGGCGACCCGCAATTTGTTCAAGAAAGTCGCAAAGGAATTCGGCAGCGGCAGACCCATGGCTGTCGACTACATGGATGATGGAACCCCAATTCAGCTGGAAGTCATCATCAACCCGGAAGATGGCTCCGCTGTGTTTGACTTTACCGGCACGGGGCCGGAGGTTTACGGTCAGAACAAGGAGCCCATTCCTTTAAGGATAGAATGACGCTGACTGGCCCAAACACAGGCAACTGGAATGCGCCGATCGCCATCTGCCACTCTGCAGTGATCTTTGCGCTACGCTGCATGGTGAGCTCGGATATCCCACTGAATCAAGGATGCATGAAGCCCATCACGCTAGTCATCCCGGACCAGTCCCTCCTCCGACCCAGCGTCGAAGTGGCCGTATGCGCCGGCAACGTCCTTACCTCCCAGCGCATCGTCGACGTCATCTTCAAAGCATTCCGCGTCTGCGCCGCCTGCCAAGGCTGCATGAATAACTTCACCTTTGGCATCGAAGGTGAGGGTGGCTTCGGATACTACGAGACCATCGCCGGCGGCAGCGGTGCCGGTCCCGGCTGGAACGGCACCCACGGCGTCCACACCAACATGACCAACACACGCATCACCGACGCGGAATCGCTCGAGCGCCGCTACCCAGTCATCCTGCGTCGCTTTGCCTTCCGTCCCCACAGCGGGGGCCAGGGCATCTGGCACGGCGGCGACGGTATCATCCGCCATGTCGAGTTCCGTCTCCCCATGTCCGCCTCGATCCTGTCGGAGCGTCGCAGTCTGGCGCCCTACGGCCTGGAGGGGGGGAGCGATGGCCAGCGCGGCCGGAACACCTGGGGTCAGTACACGTCCGGCGGCGTATGCTCGCTGGGCGGCAAAGGTTCTGCATTGGTTGAGCCGGGCGACTGGATCGTCATTGAGACTCCTGGGGGTGGGGGGTATGGAGTCCCTACAGCTATGCATGCTGTGGAGGACCTCTCGCAGACTCGATCTTCGGCTTTTGCCCATGTAGCTGTCGCCAATGGAAGTGTGGCCGAGACCCGTGCTCTGGCGGAGCAAGTCTGAATGACACGTGCTTCTTCTATCATGGCAACGTGTTTTTTCTCTAGATAGATAATTATGTAAATGCCACCCATGATCAGTGCTGTATGCATCCTTTTATCAACATAATACCATAGTGCCGAATGAATAATACATTCCCAGTCTGTGGTCTATCTAATGTACCCTATTCGTAATATCTGACCCTATCCTACAAAAACGAGAAGACTACTAATACAATAGTAGTTCAATACGATAAGTACTCCGTCCGTGGACCTCTATATTCTTCTCAGAACAACTAGCAATAAGTATATCAGTCGTCATTAGATCAACCGTCCTATAGTAAAATATATCTTCCAACAACCTCCATGCATTCATTCCTTGATTCATTATATTTATTGCCGGGCGAGAAGTAGTACGTAGTACTAGTCGAACCATACACCCATCATACCCCATACACTCTCCAATCACGGGTATAGTTCCAATAGATAAACTGAGCCAACCAAACCAACTCAACCGAGCTAGAGTCTAGTCCTCCCTAGACAGTAGTCACAACACATCCACATCACTCACCCCCATCCCGGGGACAATCCCCACCCCCACCCCCTCCACCTCCGCATGTCGCGCCGTCTGGCCCCGAAATGTCTTCCGTCCTCGTAGAACCCAATCGAGAGCAATAATCACCGCCACGACGCCGTATACTGCCGATACGTAGTTCATGTCTGTGCCATTAGCCATCCACCACCCAGGAAGAGGGAAACCGGGAACGGGAAGAAGAAGAAGAAGAAGAAGAAGAAGGAATAACATACTACTCGTCGTAACCGGATACACGACCGGAAAGGAATAAATCACGAGACAGAACAGCGTCCACGCCAGAAGAACAAGATTACATACGAGGCCGAAAGTCCCCAACCAGAACGGGCCGTGCGGGATATTGTCTCGGCCGCGATGGAGGAGGCAGATCACGGGGACTACGTAGGAGGTATAGAGCAGGACGATACAGGCCGTGACCATGCTGTTGAAGGCGGTGGAGGAGCCGAGGTAAAGAAGACCCAGGAGGCCGACGATGAAGCAACTCGCGCTGTGGGCGTTGAGGGGCACGTCTAGCGTGGGATGGATCTGCGCGAGGAAGGACGAGCCCGGGAGACCGCGATCGCGGGCAAAGGACCAGCAGAGGCGGGATTGCCAGGTATGGCAGGCGATTTGGCAACCGATGCCGGTGACGAGGATGAGGGATTCGAGGACGATGGCGGCAGGTTTGTGGTGAAGGGCTTGGTAGAAGAGGGCGAGGATGGGGACGCCGGTGGGGGAGGTGAGGATGGCGGTTAGGTCGGTAAGGCTGAAGAACATGGAGATGCAGTAGGTCCAGGAGGTGAGGAAGCCGATGGCGACGGTGGCAAGGATGGCGATGGGGATGCTGCGTTCGGGACGGTGGACTTCTTCGGCGAGGTGGGTGGCGGAGTCGAGGCAGGCGAAGATCCAGTTGGGGTTGATGAGGCCGACGAGGAAGGCGATGCCGTCGGAGGGCCAGCCGGTCGAGTTGACGAAGTGGGCGAAGACGAAGGAAGGGGAGGCGTGGGTGGGCGCGGCGGCGGGGACGGTGATGAGGATGACGGCGAAGGAGAGGAGGGAGATGTAGAGGGTGGTGGTGGCGACGGTGGGGAGGAGTTTGCCGACGCAGTTGAAGAGGAAGGCGAAGAAGTTGATGAGTTGATAGGCCACGACGGTGTGCCAGGGTTGGGGGGTGCTGAGGTAGTTAGATGGGGGGTTCTGATCTGGGTAGGGGAGACATACAAGTCCGGATGGGAGAGCTGCCACATGCCGACGCCGGCAGAGGCCAGACTTAATGCAACGCTGGCGCAGGTGAAGATGGCTCCGGACCAGGCCAGCCAGCCGGTCAGATAGGATGCGAAGGAGGCATATTGGCGCGGGGCAAGCTCGCTGGCCCAGAAGTATTGGCCGCCGGCATTGGGCATGGCGGAGGCCAATTCGGAGAGGGTGACACCCACGCAGGTGGAAATGAGGGCAATCCATGGAATGCCATAGATGGTCAAGACGGTGCCTCCGGAATTGATGCCGGTGATCAAAGAGGCGGAGATGCCGAACCACGAGTTGGCCAAGGAAAAGGCGACGCCCAGCAGTGACAGCACCGAAAAGTTCCGCTGCATGTCCTGCGTATAGCCCATTTCCGCCAGCTTCCTGGCATCGTCGTCGAGGCCGGCATACTCCTCACTGACCGGGCTGGCCGCAGACACGTTGCCCTTGGTGTGTTCCATGGTGTACGGTGAAAAAAGGACAATCGGGGACTTCTCTCGAGTGCGGGGGAGCCCCGGATATAGTCGCGTGGAGGACAGGTGGGATGCGAGGGTTACAGCAGCCCGCCGATCTCGATGACGATCTCGACTGCCTGCCAGTGGCGGGCGCATGCAAAAGGTCAGCTTCAGGCACTCGGCAGGCCCCAAGACTTGCCCCGCTCGGGCTGAGAGTCAGACCTAAGGCTTGGCTGGATATTCATCGAGATTGGGCGGAACAATGGAGTGAACCGTGGACGCGTGATGAACACAGACACGTGGAGAGCATCAGGCATAAGCAATGTGCATTCAGCAAGCAAAAGTCTACATCTATATACTCGTCAAGCCTCATTAAGCAAAGCAACCAGCCAACCGTCTATCAAAAAAAGAAAAAAAAAAAAAGAAAACAAATCTAATCACACCGCTGCGATGCAAGAATCACAAACAATCATTTACTCGGCCTCGTCGTCGGTATCCAGAGGCTTGGGCGTGCCCTTGGGCGACTGCAGCCATTCCAAATGACGCAGGCGACGACGCGCCTCCCGCTCCTTCAGCTGAGCGCGCGTCAACTTCTTCTTCTTGCGCGCCTTGAACTTCAGCTCGGCCGGCTCCTCCGCCCCCGAGTTGACCGCCGAGGCAGCCGCGCTCGTCACGGCCGAGTTGACGGCCGTGCTGCCCGGCTGGGGCGAGCTGGCGGCGCTGTCCTCGAACCGGTCGAGCGCGACGGCGGTGTTGGTCCGCGACACAATGCGACCGTCCGCCACGTGCAGCTGCTCCGGGCAGAGCGCGCCCACGAATTCTTCGTTGTGGGAGATCATCACCACACCACCCTTGAAGTCACGGATGGCCACGGCCAATCCACCCAGCGAGTCACGATCCAAGAAGTTAGTCGGCTCGTCCAGGACGAGCAAGTGGGGGTTGTTCCACATGGCACCCGCCAGCACGACCTTGACCTTCTGGCCACCGGACAGACCGGAAATCTCGTTGTGGTTGGCGATCTCAGGGTCCAGACCAACATCCTCAAAGTGCTTCGAGATGACCTTGGGGTCCAGGACACGGAAGCCGAGACCCTCACGGGACGCCTCGTGATCGTCGAACTCCTGGATCAGCTTGAAGAAACCGAGGTTGAGCAGCGTCTCACGAGAGATCATGGTGTTGTGCTTAGGCAGCAGGCCAACCCATTTCCTGGACGAGTTAGAGGCAGTAGAGCGGCAGGGAGCAGAATACTTACACTTCGTACTGGAAGGACTTCTTCCACTTCTGGCGACCAATGAGCGCCTCGATGCGGCGGGCACCGCGGCCATCGCCCAGGTCCACGGGCTTCTCCAGCTGAGCCTTGTCCTCCTCGGTGAGGATACGGGTCTGCTTCATGTGCACCTCCCGGTCGTCACCGTTGGCGTAACGCCACTGCAGGTACTGGCTGGGAGTCTTCTCCAAGTGCATCTCGACGTGCTCCAGGGCGTGCTGCTTGATGTATCCGATACGCAGGTTGGGGTGCTTCTCCACCTTACCGGTCTGGGGGATGGTCTCACCCGTCAGCATCTTGATGAAGGTCGATTTACCGGCACCGTTGCCTCCGATGATGGCCACACGGGACGACAGCGTCAGCGACAGGGAGGCATCCGTGAGAGACGGCTTGCTGGCGCCGGGGTAGGTGTAGGAGCAGTTGGTCATGCGGAGAATTGAGCGGGTGTTGGACTTGATACCCGCGAGAATACCGGGAGCAGGGAACTTGAACTGCACAATACTGGCCGACAGGGTGTAGTAACTCTTGGCCTCGGGCTTGACCTTGACGAAACTGCGACCGTTAGCCGAATCCAGACAGGAAGACGGGAAAACTTACTCAGCCAGATTACCCTTGTAGCAGACCAGCTTCTTCTGTTCGTAGTGGTAGATGTCCGTGCAGACCTCGTCCAGGAAGCCGGAGTCGTGAGAGACGATCAAACTGGTAATGTCGGTGTGCTTCTTCAGGTACTCCTGAAGCCACTTGACGTTGGCCACATCCAAGTGGTTAGTCGGTTCGTCCAGCAGCAGCACATCCGCCTTCTGGAGCATGGCACGGGCCAGGGCCAGCTTCATCTTCCATCCACCGGACAGCGATCCCACGCGCTGGTTCTGGCGGCCATCGGGACCGTCGGTGAAACCGAACTCGAGCAACACGCTGCGGATGTGATCCTCGCCTTCGGCGGCAATCAAGGGGTCCTTCTGGACGTACTCGAAGATGCTCAGATCGGCATCCTCGCCCTGGTTGTGCTCGACAAAGCAGGTCCGGACCTCGCTCTGGGGCGGGAATCCCTCGAGCTTCTCGTTGGCGATACTGCGCATGAGCGTCGACTTACCGGCACCGTTGCGACCGCACAGACCATAACGGTGTCCCTTCAGCAGGCGGAGGTTGGTGTGCGACAGCAGCAGCATACCACCGTAGGCCAGAGAGAAGTTGGCGTTGACAATCTCCACCTCGTTGGGGTCGTCCGGAATGGGCTTGCCGAACTTGCGGTGGTCCTCTTCGACGAAGTGTTCCTGGACGGCCGCGGCGACTTCGTCGTGCTTGCCATCCTGCAGCAGACCACGCAGGTAAGGGGCGATACAGGCGGGAATCCGGTCGTGCATGCGGCAGTTGACATCCTCCCGAACCATCTCGGAAATGTAGTGTTTGCCCAGGGCAAACAGAGTGGCATCCTCCGGACGAGCGAGACCACCATGTTCCTGGATCTTGGCATCGAGAACCACCATGACCTCCTCGGGGGTGACCTTGACAATGACACCGGCGGCCACATCCTTGTCCGCCATGGCCTTTTCAATGACATCCAAGGCACGGGTCGCAAGCTCACGGACTTCCGGCAGAGAGGCACGGTCCTTGACGCGCTGCACACCGGGCTTGAGCTTGGGCAGGAAAGTACGGGCTTCGGCGGGGTCGTGGACGAGCTTGGTCAGGTTCTCGACGACCACAACGGTCTGGCGCAGCGTCTCCTGGGGCGTGGTGGGGGCGTTCAGCGACCGTTCGAGCAGGGGGGTCAGCAGCGCAAGGACGGGAGAGGTGACGATGGCGACAAAGGTAGTCTGGGACAGGGCATGGATGGCCTTCTGCAGGGTCTGCTCGGAGGGCTGCTCCATGGTCTTGATGAGCAGGGGAATGCGGGGGGCCACGTCGTCGTTGGATAAGAGAGTGGTGATGGCGTTCATAGCCTTGATGGCCTTCTTGGCCACCTCGTTCTTCAGATCGTGCATGCCGGACTCGACCAGCGGGATCAGATCCTTCAGGGTCTTGCCCATGGCCTCGCGCAGGACGTCCTTTTCGCGCTCCTCCTCCAGGGAGCCGGTGCCCATCTGAGCCTTGTTGGCCATCTTCTCGATCAGCGAGTAGGCGCCGACGAAACCCTGCCACTTGGCGGTGTTCTGGCTGAGATAGGCGGTGATGGCGGGGAGAAGGGCATTGACCAGGGCCTCGGCCTTGAGGCAGGCGAACAGGGCATCGATGGCATACTGGGCGGCATCGCGCACGACGGCGCCCTTGTCAGCCAGGAGGTCGAGGGCCAGGTTCAGAACGCCGCCGTCCTGGAGGAGGAAGACGACTTCACTGAGCGGGTGTTCGCGGGGGAACCGCTCGAAGAGGGCGCCCAGGATGAGCATGGCACTTTCCCGACGAGCGCCATTCTTCTTATCGGTGGCGGCCTTTTTGATCTCAGGGAGTAGGTTGTATCTTTGGAAGCCGGCGCAGCCGACACTCTGGATGAGCAGGTTGGTCAGAGCGTAGGCGGCATCCAGCGACTGCTGGGAGGTCTCGGCGTTGAAGACGGTGTTGACAATGGAGGCGATCTCCTCGGAGGTGGGGGGGATGCCGGAGGGGGTCTTGGAGACGACGGTGGCCATGGCTGGGGTAGGGGATTCAGGGTGAGGCATGATATCGTGTGGGTGGTGGTCCAACTGGTCCAAGGCTCGCACCGGCCGGGCGGCGTGGGCCTGATGAATGGAAGAAACGACAAACAATGACAAGGAAAGCAAAAACTTTTAACAGGCAATCCTCGAGGGATGCGGAACAGCACAACACAGGGGTATACAACAACAAGAAGAAAAGAAGAGGGGAGATGTGGGAGAGAGAAGGAGAGAGGGGAGGAGAGCGCACAGGAAAAACGAGATGGAGGCGGGGCCGATAACAAAAGCTGAGGATTTTTAGGCGGCGGGCGATTGGATCGGGCGAGAAATCTCTGCCTGAGGCGGAGGATGATAGCCTATCAAGTCCGCACGGCTGGTACTGTGGCGGTGCAAGCCCAATGCTCGAAGCCTGATATTTCGGGCTTCAATTGATCCCTGGTGGATGCCTGAGGCCACAGTTACTGCCTGAGTCACCTGAGAGAAACGTTGAACGGCTTACCGGATTGGGGTTACCCCGCACGGGGCCCACCGGCGCCAAAATGGGGGAGTCCACTGCATCCACTTCACATGGGCTTCTCACAATGCACTGAATGTACGAGTGCAACTCTGTCCATGGACCGACGCGGCACTGCTCGGGCCATCCATCTCATCGGCTGTATGGCTCTGCTTCATCCCCGAGGTAGCCTCCGCATGCCGCTGTCCCAGATCACCCCGAGGACGGACGGGCGGGATCTGCAGGCGAAGAATCTAATGACACCATGATGAATACTAAAGATGCAGCTCCAGGCTCTACTGCAAACTAGAGGCGACTAACTGGCCACCGGCTCGGGGCCCATCGGCGGTGAGAATGTGCATGGCTGATGTTGACCTCCGCATGCAGCCGTGCCTTGCCTCGGCCTGTCCAACACCGCGGCCAACCGGCGGCCACTTCTCCCCCCGATGATCCCTGGCCTCGTTCCTCATTCCCCCCCCCCCCGGCTGTACTCCGTACATAACTCTGTTGCCCGCTCTTTTATCGTACATACACATTCAATTTATTTTCAGCATGGCCCTCACGATGTCTATACGCCCAACAACTCGCCATGCCTCGCGGCTGGCCAAGGTACGCCTCCATCCCTGTCTCTTCACCCCTGGAGTAACACTGACTCTCTCAGACCCTCCGCACCAGCCGGTCTTACAGCACCGAACCCGACCTCAAAACCACACTGAAATCCGTCATCCCCGCCAAACGTGATCTCTTCCAACAAGTCAAGGCCCGCGGCGACACCGTCGTCGGCGAGGTCAAGATCGCCAACATCATCGGTGGTATGCGCGGTCTCAAATCGATGTTGTGGGAGGGCTCCGTCCTCGACCCGGAGGAGGGGATTCGCTTCCACGGCAAGACCATCAAGGACTGCCAGCGCGAACTCCCCAAGGGTACCACCGGCACTGAAATGCTCCCGGAGGCCATGTTCTGGCTGCTCCTGACCGGCCAGGTTCCTACCACCAGCCAAGTGCGGGCCTTTTCGCGCGAACTCGCCGAAAAGTCGCATCTTCCGGAACACATTCTCGGCCTGATCAAGTCATTCCCCCGCAATATGCACCCCATGACGCAGCTGTCAATTGCCGTTGCGGCGCTCAACACCGAATCGTCATTCGCCAAGGCGTACGAGCGCGGCCTGAACAAGGCCGAATACTGGGAACCGACTTTTGACGACAGTATCTCGCTGCTGGCGAAGATTCCCCGTGTCGCCGCATTGGTGTTTAGACCGGATGAGATTGACCAGGTCGGACGACAGGCCCTCGACGCCACGCAAGACTGGTCGCACAACTTCGCCGAGCTGCTGGGCAAGGGCGGGTCTGAGCACGCCGACTTTCACGACCTGCTGCGTCTGTACCTCGCGCTGCACGGCGACCACGAGGGTGGCAACGTGTCGGCGCATGCCACCCACCTCGTGGGCAGCGCGCTCAGCGACCCGTTCCTCAGCTACAGCGCCGGACTGCTCGGTCTCGCTGGACCACTGCACGGCCTGGCGGCGCAGGAAGTCTTGCGGTGGATCCTCGCGATGCAGGAGAAGATTGGCACACAGGTCACGGACGACTCCGTGCGCACATACCTCTGGGATACCCTGAAATCGGGCCGTGTGGTCCCAGGATACGGCCACGGTGTGCTCCGCAAGCCTGACCCACGCTTCGAAGCCCTAATGGACTTTGCCGCGACGCGAGAAGACGTGCTGGCGAACCCTGTCTTCCAGCTCGTGAAGAAGAACTCGGAAATTGCCCCAGGTGTACTGACCGAACACGGCAAGGTAACCCCTCCCCCCTGTCCCCTATATATATATAATGGAGACTGATGGCAATAGACGAAAAACCCCCACCCTAATGTGGACGCAGCATCCGGCGTGCTCTTCTACCACTACGGCTTCCAGCAGCCGCTCTACTATACCGTGACATTCGGCGTCAGTCGGGCCTTGGGGCCATTGGTCCAGTTGATCTGGGACCGGGCATTGGGACTGCCGATTGAGCGACCGAAGAGTATCAACCTGTTGGGATTGCAGAAGTGATACCTACCTATCTATACCTGATCTGATGAACACTTGGAGATCTGAACACTCATCTGAACATATTGGATTGATGATATCTAGCAAGCATTAGAGTCATTCCTCATTAGTTGTTATCCTACCATTACCTCACATTCTTCTCCCATATTATATCCATGGAATAGAAGAGACAGAAGAGAGAGCAAGATCACTCCCTCTCAACCCTCACCTCCGTCACCTTCTGAATCTGCAATCCCCTCCCACTCCCACACCCACTCACACTCCTCGTAATCCCCCTCCCCCCTCCCATAAGACTCCCAAACGGAAACCCCGTCCCCGCCTCCAACATGCCCCCATCCTCCCCTGCCCCTGCTGCAAAGAACCCAACCTCACTCCCGGTCCTCGACTCCGCCGTCCTCGCCCTCGGCAAACTACTAATGACTGTCGTCTGCGCACTGCCCCCATCCCAGACCCCGCCTCCCCCGATGCCTCCGACCCCAAACCCAGGACCAGGACTCCGACTTCGACTCCTACTCACACTCCGAGAAATACTACCACTCCGCCGAACACTCAAACCGGGACTCCCACTCCTCGAAACAGCACCCTCCCCCTCCCCCCCCAAACCCTCACTCCCAAACAACAACCCACTCTCCAACCCCACCGCAACCCCAAACCCCCTCGCCACCTCATCCAACGACGCGTCCGCCAAATCCCGACTCTGCTTTCTCTTCTTCCGCTCTTTTTCCCCGTTCCCTGTCCCCGTCCCCGTCCCTGCCTTCCGTAACTGATATGAATGCGGGGACGTCGATGACCCCGGTGATCCATTCTCGCCATGAAAGGTATAATTATTCCGATGTCCATAATGTTGATTATACGATGAAGAGAGGGATGATGCGAACGCGTGGAAGAACGGTCCGTAGGTCGGGATGCAGGTGATAATCACGCCGAGGGAGATTTCCACGTCGGACCAGAGAACGATGGGTTGGCTGTCTGTGTAGGTTTTGAGGTTTTTGATGGTGAAGATTCGGATGATTTGGATTATGGTTATGAAGAAGCCGAGGGCGAAGACGCCGACTAGGACGATCTGTATTGGTCTTGGGTTAGTGGGTTAAGGTATTAGGGGGGGTTTTATGGGGGGGTACCTTTTGGCGGAGACGGAGTTGTAAGGTCCAGAGGACTGGGAGGGGGAGGGCAATGATGATGATGTCGAAGCCGAGGCTGGTTCCTGTGTCTATGTATCAGAGTCGAGTCTGGGGTTGGGGGGGAGGGGGTGGTGTGGTGGGTTACCTGCGAGAGCTGGATCTGTTAGTTTTATTTCAATTAGAGATTAGGGTTAAAGGGGGGAAGAAGGTGGGGGGAATACCGTAATAAGAAGCAACAGTATCTATACACGACCCTTCAATCGTCATATCCCATTGTCGAGATACCTATCCCATTAGCCCATGTCATTTTGAACCCTGAGATTGCATACCGGATCACATGCAAAACACAACAGAAACGTAAAGATCAACTGATTGCACACCACGGCCACAATAGCCACGATGATAATTGCCCGGTACACAGACACGAACCCCCCAATGCGGAGGTACGATGAGAGCAGCGAGACTTTGAACCCCAGCAGTGCCAGCGTGTAGATCGGCCCGCCGGCATATTGGATCTACATGATTAGCATCGACCAGATACGCCGAGTTATGTATATATACCTTGCTGAACATGACCACGTTCTCATCCGGAAAGTACGCGGAATCCAGTCCTAATCCCCATCTTGTCTCTAAACCCATTCGTCATGATCAGCCTGATTCAAGATGGAAAAGGATACGCACGCGCAACTGCAACCCCCCCATAGGCCATGGCTAACACGGCACTCCATAGCGACGCGAAATCATCCACCCAGGCGGACCGTTTCATGTCAATCCGGATGTACAATCGCATCGCCACGGCCAGACAGGCCGTGATGGAAAAGGTCAAACAGACGGCAATGACGCGGGGAACATGACTGTGCGGATCAGGGACGGTCAGATTATGGACCCAGCCCATGGCGGCATGCTGAGACCAGTCTGACGGAGATTCAAGTTGGCTGCACAGTGGTATAAGTATAGACAACGTCCCTACCCCTGCAGCGACAGACGAGAAAAAACAAAGCCATGCAGCAGATAAACGGAGGGAGAGTGCTTACCGCTCACAAATACCCTCGCTGTACGGAGTAGGCTGATGTGTCGAACCAGACTCGATCCAAGGCCACAACTTGTCGGGCCCGAGAACCAGGCCTGGTTCGCGGATCGGGAGAGGCTAAAGAGAGTTTGGTAGTGTCTCATTGCTTCTGCTGGTGGTGTCAATGTCAGGAGGCATGGTTGTGATGAACGAGCATGTGCCTGCAGCTGCCTGCAGCCACGCCACATCCGATAGGCTCGTGGGCAATTGGTCTATGCCATTGTGTGTCTCTAGTGCCGTCGGTCTCTGCAGTAGTCCGTCGAGCGTGCCCGATTGTGGTCCAAGCAGTGTCCTAGTGTGGTCAAGCAGTGCCCTAGTGCTAGTCATGGTGCATGACGAGGATCGTGGTCGTAGTCACCCTCAGCAATTCTGCACCGCCAGACAAGTCTGCAATCTCCAAGGTGACAGCGTTAGATCCCCATCTCCGAATAAACCCATCCTCCCACCCAACACCCCGGGCCATCAAACCTAGAGCCCATCAAACATCATCCCCCCTTTTAACTTCTCGATCCACCCCTCTAGCTTCCGGGTAACCCACGGTTTCCCCCGCCTGATGATTCATATCCCGATCGCAGCATGTCAGGCTCACGAATCACATCCCCTGCAGAAACACTCACCAGAGTCGGTGTGGCCGGCGGGGACCCGCCAGGATCGGGCCCTGGTCTAGTGGCAGCGCCGATCGCTCTCATCCACGGGTGCTCCGGAGATCGCGGTCAGGTTATTTTTGTGTTTCGGGGTTGTGGTCGGGGAATCAAATTGCCCCGTGCGAGTGGGTGGGTGGGTGGTGTTCATGTGCGTGAGGATTTGTCAGGATGATCTGTCCGGATCTTGGTGTCTATGCGCAGTTGGGAGTGGGTTATTGGTAGGGTTGTTTGCTTTTGGTACTCTCGGCAGTCCCCAGTTGCCGGGTTGGCACGAGGGATCGGACATCCTGGTAATAGTGTGTCGCCAAGGGATGATGGCTGGATGATGGCTGGATGATGGCTGGATGATGGCTGGATGATGGCTGGATGATGACAAGGATGGACTGAGGTCGGTGCAATCTCACGGTTGCTGGACGGACGAGGTACTGTGTAGTGTGTAGGAGACGAGGAGACGGCGGACCCGCAATTCAACTGTGGTTCGACGTGTGGACAGGCCACCGCTACCACCAGTCAACCTTCAATGTCCGTAGCCAAAATTACATTTCTTTAAACAACAACAGATCTATCGACGAATTATACAAGAAACCCATCACACCCGACACAATCGCCCGTCCGCATACACCCGCCACTCATCCGATCCCACCGCCGTCTGTGCATAAAACATATCATTTGGATCGTATTTCGCCTTGATCTGGCGTAATCGCGGATAATTCACTCCGTAAAAGGCCCGCTGGAAGTTGGGTTGTCGGAAGTCGCCCTGCATGCATCAGTCCCGCCGACATACTCCATGCATCAATCCCTATCGATGCACTCACCTCGTTCATGTAGGCCCCCGAGTTCGGGGCCAACTTCTCCAGCAATGGCAGATACTCGTAGGTCATCTTGTATTGCTCCACCAGCATGGCCTGTCGCTCATCCCATTCCCATGGCGTCGTGAGCGTCGTGTCGATTAGTGCGTCGCGCCATGCCGGTAGCACCGAGTTATACACATCTCCTACCAGCGCCTTCGACACGTTCAACCCTACCCCGATGAACGTCGCCCCGTCCTCGGTGATCTGCCGATACGCGTCGGTCAGCGCTGTGTTATTTTCCTGTACGACCGACCGCGGGATCAGCCATCCGCCGTACTGCGCCTCGCCCACTGCTATGTTCGGCATCATGGCGTTGAACTCGCTCAGGTAGGTGGGGAACTGTTCCGCATAAAAGGTATGGGCAATGCCCATCTTCTCCAGGCCGTCTCGGAAGGGCTGCACCAGCGCTTCCAACTCCTGCACCGGGATCCCAGGTCCGGTGAGCGGAGCGATGGCGAAGCTGGTATTCGTGAAGAACCAGATACTCATGGCTCCGGCGTCGACAATCGAGGGCAGAATGGAGTGGTACAGGCTAACAGCCTGGTAGAAAGTATCCTGGGAGATATTGGTGCTGGTAAAGGTCAGATTCAGCCCCGAGGTGGGCGTGCTCGTGTGTAACTTGGAGGTCATGGACCAGACAACACCGTAGGTGCCGCCGCCGCCGCCGCTCAGCGCCCAGTATAGATCTTTATATCTATTGTCGCGTGTTGCCGTGATAAAGTTACCCTCGCCATCAATGACCTCCCATTTCAGGACCTGATCCGCCGCCAGCCCATACCGCGATGCCAGAGCTGAATGTCCGCCGCCCTGGCTGTACCCCCCGGCGATCCCCACGGTCGGACACTCACCCCCAACCACCTGGTAGCCGTGCGCATCGGCCACCTCGTAGGCTTCGAAGCCCTGCACGCCCGCGCCGAGCTTCATGGCTTTGCCCGTGTAGTGGGCGTCATGGTAGTCCTGGATCTCAATATCTTTGAGATGGTGCGTCCAGATGCCCAGGGCCCCGGCGCCAGTGGACTTGCCGTTGTAATCGTGGCCGGTGTTGCGGATGACCACGCGGAGGTTGTGCTTGGTGGCAAAGGCGAGGGCCTGGGAAATATGGGCAGGTTGGCCAACATTCACAGCGTAGGCAATGTAGTTGCCCAACAGGCAGGGCTTGGCAATAGGGTGAAAAGGGTCGCAGGAGCCGTTGGCGAACCAGGGGGCCATGACGGACGACGACGACTCATAACTTGACTCGGTTAGCTCGTCTCCTTGCTGTTTTCCGCGAGGCTGCGAGTCAGGAAGTCTCACTGGATCTCTGGCTGCGTCCACCGCTCCCGCAAGTAGTCACACTCGTCCGCCCGGTAGAAGGGCGCGTGGCAGGGCTTGCCCAAGGGAACGGTCGCGATCAACCGGCCATCAATGGACTCGTTGAAGCGGGCCCAGTCGGTCAGCGAGGGCCAACATGGCTCCCCGGGAAAGCAACGGCAGGTGGTGCTGGGCGTGTAGATCGAGACGGCCGCATTCCCCAGGGTCGACAAGACCAGGAGACTGGTCCAGAGGAGGCCGCGTGAGAACATGGCGAATCGAATGCGGATGGAGTGACTCCGGAGAGTGAGGACCGGAATGCCAGCCGATTATAAGAGACGTGGTGCCCCTGTGCCAGCCATCGCGGGAGCGTGACAGGGGCAACCGAATGGCCCACGCGACGAAGCGCTAACTCCAGGGAAAATGCCCGAGCAGCAGCATCGAACAGCCTTCGACGTCGAGCATGTTCCCTTCAAGGCCATAGTCGGACTGTCTGCGGGTGGATCCCGAGGGGTTAGCGGGAGAAGCCAGAGCCTAACGAAGAGGGGAGGGCGATGAGGATTAGCGGGTGAAGCAACGAGGCGCTGTGCCACTCCGTCGCTAGTCCTGCTTAGGGCGGGACCATCTCACCTTCTGTTGCATTTCTCCCCTGCACCGTGCAGCATCCCATGCGTGGTTTTCTTCCCTCGTGGCCCCCTGTTCCTTTCGCTAGCGCATCCGACCGTCCCGTCCAGGTCGTACCCGCATCTTCATAAATGACACTGCAGCCAGGTTGCGGTCAGCAAGCTTTTCCGTGGATTCCCCGGCGAGCGGGGATTCGCGAGTGCCTGTCCACTTCACACCCAAGAGATACGATCCGCTGGTCGTTTCCCGTCAATGCTGGTGGACCACGGGAATCGGACGTTGCCTCCGAGCAAAATCACTGAGTCATGACTGACAGAGGACCCCCGGTCGGTTGCTACGCTGCAACTTTCGGTCACTGGCTGGATGCGACCGCAAGCAAGGGTGCCAGTATATTGCTGATCGCTGAATTGCTGGCCAAGTCAGAGATCAGGCGTCCCAGAGTTAATGGTCTGATAACAGGTCGTCGGGTTTTAACGCGTCCTGATGAACAATGGTCGACTAGGGCACGCATTGGACAGGTCACTTCCCCAGGGTAGTCGCTCCAGTTGGCGATCGCGATCGGGTGCGATCGCGCCCGGATAATGGCCGGCCTGATATGCCATTGGGGAACAAAGCTCACAACGAGCATCGTCGATGAACGCTTCATACAAATATGTAGGTATTTACAACTTGGCTCCACCCCCCGTCAGTCGCTTCCAGTCACTCCCGCCAAACTCAACGTATCCCTCCGCCCCCGGAGGCAGCCAGTACAGCCGGTCGCTCCGGCCCTCCGCCACCTTGGTCCCCAGCTTCGCCGGGTCTATTCCCTCGTCGCGCAACGGCACCTTGTTCTGTTTGTGGTTGTGGATGTGCGCCGGGTTCTCCAGCAGACGCAGGAACACGGGCACCGCGTATCGCGGCAGCTGGGCCCGCGCGAAACTCGCCAGCCCTTGCCAGTCAAAGCTCCCGGGACTGCGTGCCTCAGGGGTCAGCTGGAGCGCCGCGCAGCCGGCACGCCCTTCGTGGTTGGGGACCAGCACCCCGTAGACGTTGGCTTCCTGAATGCCGGGATACTGCCCCAGCACCTGGGCCACTTCGGCCGTGGATCTATCCCTTGCATGTTAGCCTCATAATTATCACCTAGCCCCGGGGGAACCTACACGTTCTCACTCTTCCAGCGAAAGGTATCGCCCAAGCGATCGAGGAAATACCATCGTCCATCCGAGTCCCGCCGCAACGCATCACCCGACCGGTACCATAGATCCCCCTTCTGCAGCACGTCCTGCAGGAACTTCTTCTGTGTCGCCTGATCGTTCTTCCAGTATCCCTGGAAGGCCTTTTCGTCCGGCACGCGCACCAACATCTCCCCGCCCTCGTCGTATGAGGCCCGCTTGGCCAGCCCCGTCTTGGGATCGCGAACTGCATCCCCGGTGGTGGAATCAATCACTACCGGCACGTACGTGTTTCGCAAGGCCCATCGTAGCAGCAACCCATGGTGTCCCACACACCCCGCGGTGAATGGCCCCCGGTTGAGATTGAACAGCACGAATAGGCCCTCGGTGCTGTTGAAAAACTCGCCGACTTCCGCCACCCCGAACCGCTCCCGGAATCGCTCCCACACGTCCGGCCGCAACCCATTCCCATACATCATGCGCACTCGATGCTGGCGGTCCAACGGGGACGGCGGGGCCGCCAGCAGGTACCGGACCACTTCACCAACATAGACAAACACGGTGGCTCCCGAGTCACGGATATCGCGCCAGAAGCCGCGGACGCTGAATCGAGGCGCGATGGCGATGCTCGTCCCGCCCAGAACATTGCTGATCAGCGTGATGGCCGACGTGCCATGGTAGAGTGGCATGGCGCTGTACCAGCGGTCGCCATTGGGGCCGGCGGTGTTGGTCGCGTTGCTGTCCCGGGCTTTTAGCACAGTGTACAGCCGGGATATCGTAAAGGCACAGCCTTTGGGCATCCCGGTGGTACCGGACGTGTAGAGGAGGATGGCCGGAGAGGACCCGGGCACGTTGTGGGCGAGACGGCCATCTTCGGGGATGGAGGCGGGCAAGGCCAGCAGCTGGTTGGTGAGAGCGCCATCCACGGTGACCAGTTCCATACCCAACTCTTTCTCAAAAATGGGTCTCCGCTCTTCCATGCGGGCAACGCACTCAGGGTCCGAGTCAACTAGGACCAGCTTGGCTCCGCTGATACCCAGACAGTGCACCAAGGCATCCCCTGCCAGAGCATAGTTGATGGCGGCCGGGGCACATCCGATGCTCCAGAGACCCAGCCAAGCAAACACGAACTCGACCCCGTTCTGCAGATAAAAGGCGACCAGGTCGCCTTTCTGCACGCCTCGGGAGCGGAAGAAATGGCCGTACCGCGCCGCAGCCGTCAGGGTCTCCCGATAGGTGCAGGAGCGTTCTCGCGTCCAAAGACAGACCATATCGGGGTATTTGGCGGCGGTGGCCGTGAAGATGAGCCACGGGCTCAGCTGGCCCTGAGCGGCAGCCTTTTCCGTATCGCGGAGGGCCCTCCGCATGCTGCGGATACTAGCGACATCGCGAGTGAGGTGAAACTTGGCTTCGAGATAGGCGGCGAGGGCAACGGCACTGGCGGTGGCTGCGAAGGTCAGTTGCGCTGGTTCGCATCGAAACTGGAGGGGATTTACCTATCGCCATGGTCGGCAAATTCGAGGCCACAAGCGTACGGATGAGGGAGGAGATAGACACCGGAGGTGGAGTGGAGGCGGAGGATTTCAGGGAGGTTTAGGCTGAAGACTGGGAGGTGATTGCCGACGACCCTCGGCCCAGCAGGCAGGCCTCCGCATTCAGCAGTGATGATCTGCTTCCAAAAAAACAAATCACACCCACTGCCAATAGTTCCCTGCGGAGTCGCCTCGAGGTCGCAACCTCGGCTTTTGGCTTGCTGGGTTCAACCTTTTTTTTTGGAACGGGTGGGTCGGGGATGCTCCACGACCCAACATTCAGCTCAACCGAGTGAACCGACGCGCCATGCGACCAGCCCTACAGCACACTTGCAGGCCTTCCTGTCGCCAAACACGTGTCGATCTACTGAGGGGATGACCTGTCAACTTGGGCGGTCGTTGGTCGGTGAGCCGGACGCAAGGGGGAGGGCATTATCTTGATGGCTACAAGAACGACCGTTTGAACTTTTGCTCCATTCGCGGAATTACCACCCGCTGGGTCACTATCAGTCTCATGCAAAATCGCGAAACTCTCGCCCGGGCACCAAGCGCTCATGCACTCCCCGCTCGCCCAACCGGTCGGTTTTCCACGCCCACGCCTTGTCTTTCTCTGGACCGCTCGAAACCCCGTGCAGCACGTTGACCACGTATTTGCCGATCGTCGGGAGGAACTTGTAGCAGTGGAAGGATCCCCCCACCGCGAAATACAGGTGGGACAGCCGGTCGTCGGGATGGCGCGTGATAAGCGGATGCTGGCTGGGCGAGATGGCATCCCAGCACAAGCGCCAGTAATCTGGCTGGCGGTGGTCGTCCAAAATCTGTGGCAGTCGGGGTTGAATGGCTCGGATATGGTCTTCCTGCAGCTCTGGTGGGACATGGCTTTGATCTGGAAGTGGGACCGAGATATCGTGCCCTGTGACGGTGCGGATGGTGTTGGTGAGCGACGTTGCGTTGGTGAATTTCAGGATTCCGTCAGCAGTGGGAGGAATCACCTCGCCTGGTAGAGTTAGCCCAGTTCCCCCGCCTGCGTTCACTGCACCACCCACCTTGCCCACCGTAGACCAACACCGGCAGTTGTGAGTATCTGGCCTTTTCCTCCGGCGACAGCTGGAAGTGAGAGACCATTACCCCGGCGGCAGATACCTGACGCTCCACGCGGTCTTCCTCAGGAAGATTCCAGTCATCCTCCACGGACGACATGAGCTGGCTCGTCCAGGCTCCTGTTGCCAACAAAATCTTTCTGGCCTGGTAGATGGTTCCATCGGCTGTTTTGACCCCCAGAATGCCCTTCTCTCCGCACACAATCCGGCGCGCTTCCCCAATCTCATATCGGACGCCCAGCCGGATCGCCTCTTGGGCCATGAGCTGCAAGGCTTTCCCTGCGTCTGCCCAGCCGGCGGAGGAATTATAATAATACGACCCGAACGGAGAGCAGTCGGTCCGCCCGAGGAGGCCTCCCCAAGCCTGACGGACCTCTTCCTCGCTCATGTCAACCAGGACGTCGCCCCGGCCACAGTCGCGGAAGTTCTTTCGAATCACCGCGGGGGCATCGCTGTCCTTTTCGTCCATGGAGATCCATCCGGATGGATGATAGACACCGGCATCCTGAAGAAACGATAGCGATTTCCATGCGTCGATGGCCTCGAAACCGAGCGCGACGTACAGTGGGTTGGTATAGTCTGCCCGGATGATCTTGTTAATGTCAGTGGATGCTGCAGGGGTGGACGGAGGTGCTGCGCGATCCAACAGCACGATCTGTGCCGATCGGTCGAGTTGTTGAGCGAGATGATAGGCCGTGCTGACACCGAAGATCCCGCCACCAACGATCAGGAAATCAGGGAGGTCCTCCATGGGAGTCCGGTTGGAGGGGTGGTGCGGCGGTAAGGTGCTGGGAAGTGAGAGGTGAATATCGACCGGGTGAGGGGGAGTGCCGTGAGGGGCTGAAGAGGGGACAGGCATTCACCAGCCGGCCAGCCTGGCCGCCGGTTGGCGCCCAGGCAATTAACACAGCTTCGGCCTCGCCCGCCGGTTCATCACGCGCACCGCTCACCTGTTATCGCGGATTCCCTGCTGCGGGCGGATGCGGTGATAGCATAAGCATGAGGACTGCCCCTCCCTGACGACCGCTCTCCTCATGATTGTCAGCCTCCTTGTTATCCGCAACAGCGTCACTGTCTTTCTTCTTTCTTCCCCATCTTCCTCGCCAGTCCCCGGGGTGCTCATCCAGTATCGTCACATCGGATCCTCCAGCAAACTGCATCGCACAGTCACCAGGTATGAGACCACGCAACATGCCATGTTGCAGCCCCTCAGCTGTCGTGGCCTTTCCTTCACAGTCCCTTTACCCTCCTAGTTCTCCGGGGCTTTCACTGCTTCAGCGAGACCTACATCTTGAGCTCGCTGCTCCTCTGTTCTCTTCTCCTCTTCCTGCTGCCCAGCGTCGTTGTACCACCTCTCTCCTACCGCCATCATGTCTTCGTCCCCTCTTGCCCAACTGACTGACATCCTGAAAATCTACCCTGCAGAGGATCATCATTGCTTCGGGACTTCCAACTACTACAACCGTCGCTGCAACAACTTGACCAATCATCATAATCGGCAGGTAGCTCTTGTGCTGCTCGACAGGGGCACCCGCCAGCTCGCAGCCACCCCCTTCCTGGCTTCCTTCGATAACCTTCTTGACCAGCTCGCTCCTCTTCTCCTCTGTCCCCACCTGCATCGAAGCCAGGCCCCGCGTCTGGTTGCCCAGTGGAAGGAAAAGCTGCAGCGACACTTAGATGAACACTTACCAGCAGCACCTGCGACGATGAACAACCGGATCCTCCCCAATCCTGGAAACAACGTCCTCTCCACCGGGGGTGTCCTGACTATCTCCAACCTGGCGAACCACGTCTCTGCTTCCCCGTCCATCATCGCCTACCAGCATGGCAGAGTCAGCATGGGTGCCAGCCATAGTCGAGTCGAGATCGGCCACCCAGGGGTTCATCCGTCTTCATCTTCTATGACCACAGCAATGTCTGCGGCTGCTTCTCATGCCCATCCCCACACATCCGCTCTCCATCCAGCGACTCCCCCCTTTCTGAGGCCCTCTGATGTTCATCCCCACCAGCACGACCACGACCACGAGAGCGACAGCGACTCCTCCAGCATAGGCAATTTCCCCGTGACAAAGGCTTCGGAAAAGCGCCGCGTCAAGCCGCGCCCCGTCGATGGCGACTGCGGGATCTGTCTTTTGCCGTACTTGGATGAGAGAATGCGATATGAGATGTCCGAGGACGAGGAGATGGAGGACGTGGACGACGCGGACGACGAGGAGGGTGCATGGGAAGAGATGGAAGGTAGGTTTCGATCACATCTCACCCTAGATGAGATAATGGCTAGGTACTCACCACCCCTAGATGATGACCTCGCCGGACCCGACTACGATCACGACCTGCTGGTCTGGTGCCGGGCGTTCTGCGGGACCAACTACCACCGGGCCTGCATGGAGCAGTGGATTGACACCTTCGATGTGCACGAGCCGACCTGCCCGACCTGTCGGAACTATTGGATTTACTAGCGCGGGGGAGTCAGAATTGGGGGGCATTGGGATGGGGATTGCATGACGGGAGTTTCGGGTTTTGTTGTAATGGAGGATACGAGATGGGATGGATTCTACGCCGAGGAAGGCTATGATTTGGGACGGGGTTCGGGAGTTCAGACTGGGATATGACGCATGGCTTTTATTCACGAGATATGATGTGGTTTCCTAATGCAGCTAATAATATGTACAGCATGTGAATGATATGCAACATCTCGCTTAAAGTCTGGCCGTTCGCTTCTCGCTCGCCAGGCTATTCAACCAGGCCTGGATGGTCTCAACCAACCCGTCAATCTCCTCGACCGTGTTACCCGCGTGCAGACAGACGCGCACCCGTTCCTGGCCGGCCGGGACGGTGGGTGACATGATGGCATGCACGAGATACCCTTTGCGCTGACAGACGGTAGCCAGCTGGCGAGGCACCGGGCTGCGCAGGGAGAAGATGGGGGAGCGCGGGAAATGGTCGACCTCGAAGACGGCGGGATCCCAGGCCCCCAGCTCTCCGAGCCGGGTGTGCAGGTAACGGATCAAATGTTGGAGGTTGCGTTGGAGCTGTCCGTGTTTGTCAGTGACGTTCTCCCATTCCCCCGAGTCAGCGACCTACCTCTTCAGTTTCGCCCTCGGCAAGCAGCTCATACGCCGTTCGAATGGAAGCCAGGAAAGGGAATCCCAAGGCGGTGGTATAGATGAGACTGCGGGCATAATTGATGAGATACTCGCGGGTGTCAGGACAGCAGAGCACGATGGCTACACCGGTTAGTTCACTACCATAAAACAAATCCAAAACAAATCCAGATAATATCAAATAGAAAATCAATCAATCAATCAATCAATCAATCAATCAATCAACCACTTACCCCCATGACTAGCCAACGCCTTCCCAAACGTATGCACGCGAATAAACATCCTCTCCTCGACCCCCAACTCCTGCACCACGCCAGCGCCCCTCGGCCCAAACGCCCCCGTGGCATGCGCCTCATCCACAACAAAATACCCATTCCCCAATGGCAACAGTCTCTCCACAACCTCCACGAACTCCCGAATAGGCGCAATATCCCCATCCATACTATAAACCGACTCAATGACGATAAACACATTCCGGGAGCCATCGCGGATTCTCTCGTCCGTGGAAATCTCCCCCTGCAGGACCTCTTCTAGACTTGAGGGCGAACTATGCGCAAAGGGGACTTTCTTGCCCGCGCGGGAGAGGCGCATGCCTTCGTGCGCGCTGGCGTGGATGAATTCATCGTGGACGAGTAGATCGCCTGGTTGGGGGATGCAGGAGAGGACGCCGACGTTGGCGTCGAAGCCGGAGTTGAAGAGCAGGCCGCTCGGGGCGTTGTGGAAGTCGGAGATGAATTCTTCGAGGGCTTCGGCGTAGGGGGAGTTGCCGGCTAGGAGACGTGAGCCGCCGCTGGCGAAGGGGTAGAAGGGGGGGGCTTGTTGGAGGTGAGCTTGGTAGCGGGAGCGGAAGATGGGGGAGGTGGAGAGGGAGAGGAAGTCGTTGGAGGAGAAATCCACGGAGGTGTCCGGGATGAGGGTTAGACGGCGTCGGGAGAGCTTGGTTTCTCGTCGGCGGAGGGCCTCGCGGAGGGAGTCTTGTAGGGTTTTGGGGGGCATGGTGGGTGGATGTGGGGGATGAGGGGGTTCAATGGGGTCAATTGGTTAGGGGGGGGGGGAGAGCAGAGGATGGCATAGAGTATGGATAGCATGATTCCGTCCTGGGCGAGGGGAGGGGCCATTATAATGCTGGATAGCGCGATCACGCCGGGCAGGCGTGGAGGGAATTTCGGCAGTGACTATCATGGGTGGATCAGGCGTGCCTGGCGGAATTGGGGGGCTCCGATAGTGATTACTGATTATTACTCCGTACTTAGTGAGTGGTGACTGGTGAGAGCCAGTAGCCTATCGCCTATCTAGTGGGAAGCTGGATCGATGGGATTTCTGGCGGCGTCTAGCGTGTTGAAGGATTGAATAATAGAAACTGAACCCCAATACGAATCAGCGTCTCAACGGTGGGGGGCCTGGCTGCCTGGGCCGGGTGCCTGGATCCCTGGCGGGCTGCCTGAGTGCCTCATTGCCTCGGCTATTTTGCCTTGCAGCCTCCCGCAGCTGTCATCCTTATCTCCATACTTAGTATCCCCTCACTCTCCCCTCACTCTCCCTGTCTCTGCTATTTGCTCGTCGGCGTCCCTACAAAACTCTCCTGCATTGACTGCCTGCAGTCTCGGTCCCCGACCGTACTTTTATTACACCATGCCCCCGGTCGGCGCCGCTCTCTGGCGCTCATTGCGCGCTCACCAAGTCTATGGCGCCAACACCGATGTCGGCAAGACTATTGTGTCCACTGTCCTCTGTAACGCAATCAACCAGCAAAAGTCCTCCCCAGCAGCCTTCCTCAAGCCCGTCTCGACCGGACCATTGGACGAGGCAGATGATCGGTATGCGTTGGCACTTCCAATCGGAAAGGCTTCCACCCGCGCTGACATCCTCCTGCAGCCACATTCAGCGCTACGCCGCCGGCACTCTCACTAAATGTCTTTATCAATTCGACGAGCCCGTCAGCCCACACATTGCAGCTAGACAAAAGCAGGTGACGGTACGGCAACAGTCTTACGGGCCTTCGAACGATTGGCTACATGGCAGCTGACAGCAAACATTACACCTAGATTCCCCGAGATGATGATATCGTTGCCTCCGTCCACAAAACGCTGTCGGAGTGGGCGGGCAGCGGGATTAATTTTGCCCTCGTTGAGACGGCGGGCGGCGTGCACTCGCCCGGCCCCAATGGCAATTCCCAGGCCGATCTGTACCGGCCACTGAGACTCCCTATCGTTCTCATTGCGGACTCTCGACTGGGCGGCATCTCGTCGTCGATCTCGGCGTATGAGTCGCTGTTGTTGCGTGGCTACGATGTGCACTCGGTCTTGTTGTTCCGGGATGATTACTACCAGAACCATGAGTATCTGCGCACCTATTTTCAGAAAAAGAGCATCCCGTTGGTCCCGCTCCCGCAGCCCCCGGCGCGACCGCAGTCGAACGATGCCGACTCGCTGGCTCGTGACGAGGAGGCCATGGCGACTTACTACGAGCGTGTTGCACGGGGGACGGATGTGGGCGGATTGTTGGAGGAATTGACGGCCAAGAATGTCCAGCGCATTGAGCGCTTGGAGGCCATGTCCGGTCGGGCTCACAGCACCATTTGGTATCCGTTTACCCAGCACCATGGCATGGCTCCGAAGGATATTACAGTGATTGACTCGGCCTACGATGACTTCTTCCAGACCTATACCCCTGAAACAGCCTCGCAGAAGGGCGAGCTGCGCGCGACGTTCGATGGTTCTGCCTCGTGGTGGACGCAGGGCCTGGGCCACGGAAACCCCAACCTGGCACTGTCGGCGGCCTACGCGGCGGGTCGCTACGGTCATGTCATGTTCCCGGGCAACATTCACGAACCGGCGTTGTCCTTGGCCGAGTCGCTTCTTGAGACCATCGGCAATCCGCGTCTCCAGAAGGTTTTCTACAGCGACAATGGCAGCACGGGGATGGAAGTGGCCATCAAGATGGGTCTGCGGGCGGCGTGTGATCGGTATGGCTGGGACGCCAGTCAGGAGCAGATTAGCATCCTGGGTCTTAAAGGGAGCTACCACGGCGACACCATCGGCGTGATGGACTGCTCCGAGCCCTCCACCTACAACAAGAAGGTGGAATGGTATCGTGGTCGCGGCTACTGGTTCGACTTTCCCCAGGTGCGCATGTCGCAGGGTACCTGGAAGATCGATATGCCGGCTAGTCTCCAGGAGGCGCTGGGACCGGACCAGGAGTACTCGTCCTTGAATGGGGTGTTCGATCTGGAGGCGCGGGTCGCCTCGGAGACCGGGCAACGCTACAAAGAATATATCCGGGGGACCATCGAGACCCTGGTTCAACAGGGTATGAAATTCGGGTCGGTCATTATGGAGCCGGTAATTCTAGGCGCGGGTGGAATGCTCTTCTGGTAAGTTCTCCCGGTGTGTCGGGAGCGCCACTAACACATGCCAGTGATCCCCTGTTCCAACGGTGTCTGGCCGATGTTGTCCGCGCCCAACCCGAGCTCTTCAGCGCCGACGCCACGCCAGGGACGGGCGCGGGGTCGTGGTCTGGACTCCCAATCATTTTCGACGAGGTGTTCACCGGGCTGTACCGATTGGGTCGCCGATCGTCCGCGTCGTTCCTGGGCGTGGACGCCGACATCGCCGTCAACGCGAAGCTGCTCACGGGTGGACTGGTGCCGTTGTGCACGACGCTGGCCAGCAATGAGGTGTTCCAGGCGTTTTCAAGCCCGCACAAGAGCGACGCGTTGCTGCATGGGCACAGCTACACGGCACACGCGGTCGGGTGCCAGGTTGCGGTGGACTCGCTGCGGACGATGACGCAGATGGAGCAGGGTGGGTCCTGGAACAAGTACCGGCAGGATTGGCAGCCCGCGCTGGAGGCGGACAGGACCAGTCCAGAGGTTTGGAGCGTGTGGTCGCACGGGCTGGTTCACGAACTGTCCCACGCGCCGTCGGTGGAGGGTCTCTTTGCTCTGGGGACGGTGCTGAGCATTTCGCTCAAGGACACCCAAGGCGGAGGTGAGTATCGTGCTGTCCGCGGTGACCGAGAATAGCCGCTAACATGTGCCTGCAGGCTACACGTCGACAGCCGCCCAGGGGCTGCAGCAGCGCCTGGTGGCGGGTGGGGCACACTTCCAGGTGCACTCGCGGGTGCTGGGCAACGTGCTGTACCTGATGGCCAGTGTGACCTCGACACCCTCGGCATTGCGGGAGATTGAGGGAGTGCTGCGGGCAGCGTTGTGTGGAGCCTGATCCTACGATGATGAGTCGTGTATCCAGGGTGCTTGCCGATGTGGTGTGAATATTCTATCTTATCTATCTTCCTCTGCAGTCTGCACAGTACGGACTACGGTGTACTAGTACGGAGTATCTAAAACTATATTCTCGAGTGCTCTCATGATCTACCAGGATCTGGACGTGCCTGTTCCTGTGCTGACAATCCATTGTTTCACCGACGGCCCGAACAGTGCGCTACCGTAGGATTCCGCCAATCAGCGGGTGGATAAAGGCGACCGGGGAAAGTCAATGGCAAAGCACTGCATCGCAGCTCCCTTGGTCCGATCCCGCTGGTGGGGAGGTTAATGGCAGGATGCCAGGCTGCCAGATGCTGGATCTGCACGTTGGCTGCAGCCAAGCCAGCCAACCAATTCCCTCCGAGGCACTGATCAACTGCGCCATGGGTGGTGATTCATGGAGCCGATCCAAGGCGCGGATTCCCCTTCAGCATTCAGCATTGTCGTCCTCGGCGCACTGGGTCGGGGGTTGAACTCGTGTTGAACCAGGCTCCGTTGGGGTCAACCAGGCGGTCCCATCAATGCTTAATTGCTCGGAGGGCGGGGCGGACAGGATGGGTGAGTAATGCCCATGATTCTGTGGCCAGCAGCCGTCGCCGTAGCCCGGCACTAGTTCCTGTGTTAGTCGCCCACTCCAGATCCTCACCGTCACGCCCCGGTGAACTGCCCCTCTCTCACCCGAGGTAGCTGCCATCCCCCTCTTCCCCAGTGTCCCTATTTCATCCATCCAACCACCTCCTACTAGTTACCATCTGCTCCTCTACCACCACCCATATCCTCCCACATATACACACCATGTCGCTTCCTCTCCCCCGTACCCTCCGGGGGACCCTCCTCCTCCGCCGTTCCTACGGCACCGTCCACTCCACCCCCAGCGCTGGCGCTCTGGCCAGCCGCATCCCGGCGGCCCTGCGTGAAGCCACCGCCGCCACGGCACCACGCACAAACTGGACTCGCGAGGAGGTGCAACAGATCTATGAGACGCCTCTGAATGACCTCACTTACGCCGCGGTAATTCCCTTCCCCCCAAGATCCTCTCCTCAACGACAAACTAACTCCATCAGGCCGCCATCCACCGGCGCTTCCACGACCCCGCCGCTATCCAAATGTGCACGCTCATGAACATCAAGACCGGTGGTTGCAGTGAAGACTGCTCCTACTGCGCACAGTCCTCCCGCTATGATACAGGCCTCAAAGCCACCAAAATGTCCCCCGTCGACGAAGTCCTCGCTGCTGCCCGCACCGCCAAGGCCAACGGCAGCACCCGGTTCTGCATGGGCGCTGCCTGGCGTGACATGCGTGGCCGCAAAACCTCCCTCAAGAACGTCAAGTCCATGGTGTCGGGGATTCGGGGGATGGGAATGGAAGTGTGTGTCACACTCGGCATGATTGATGAGAACCAAGCCAAGGAGTTGAAGGATGCGGGGTTGACGGCATACAACCACAATCTGGACACCTCGAGGGAGTTCTACCCCTCGATCATTACTACCCGGTCATATGATGAGCGGTTGAGGACGCTGCAAAATGTGCGCGATGCGGGCATTAACGTCTGCTCGGGCGGCATTCTCGGTCTCGGTGAAAAGGACGAAGATCGGGTCGGCTTGATCCACACGATGGGCAGTCTGGAGAAACACCCCGAGAGTTTCCCGGTGAATGCTCTCGTTCCGATCCCGGGTACACCTCTGGGCGAGAGAAAGATGATTAGCTTTGATAAGATTCTCCGAACGGTGGCTACGGCGAGAATAGTGCTCCCGGCGACGATTGTGCGGTTGGCTGCGGGACGCATCTCCCTCAGTGAGGAGCAGCAAGTGCAGTGTTTCCAGGCTGGTGCGAATGCAGTCTTCACGGGCGAGAAGATGCTCACGACGGACTGTAATGGATGGGATGAGGACCGGGCCATGTTTGGTAAGTGGGGATTCTACCCCATGAAGAGTTTCGAGGCGGAGCATTTGGTCGAGGAAGCCAAGGAGTTCGAGCAGGGCAAGGTGGAAGAGGTGGTTGAGGAAAAGAGCACTGCGCAGGACGCAGTCAGGGCGTAAACTGGTAGATAGGAATATATTACTGTTTGGCCAATTTCTAATTCCCTAGGTTTAAATTTCACCCGAGTCATGCATATACTTCCACAAGTTCCCAACTACTAAACGACCCAATCCTTCCCCTCCACACCCCTTCTCAAACATATCCCCATTCACCGATCCCTCACTCAGCCCCTAATATTCCTTAGATATTCACATCTACACCTTACCACCTAGCCCAAACCCTCGCAGAGCGGTGCTCAGTCTTCCTCTGACCGAGGTAATAGTAGTAGTAAGTCGTATGAATATCAATCTCCTTTCAACTGATTCCTGATATAGAGCATCATTAACAGCATTCCTCATGGAGCTTCACCTATTACATATTGTTCACTTATTTCCTTCCATCTCCTCTTTTTGTTTCTTTATCCTCGTTTCACTGTTTAGTCTCGGGTTGCCTGGAATGCTCGTCATTCTTGTGTATGTATATATATAGAATACTAGTAGGTCGTGGGCGCAGGCCAAGACCCTCCAAACCATCCTATACGCATCTCATTACCTAAACACCCTTTGATTTCTGTTAAAGTACCTCATCGAAGACCTACTACGAATTAAAGGGCTGCTTCTATCTAAAAGGTCCCGGTAAGCCCTCCTAAAGGACTCTCTCTATCACACATCTAGTAAAGACCGTAGTACTTGATTCCGACCACGACCTGGATCTACGTAGAGAGCTGGTTGAGATTTACAGTCTGGATATACGTTTTCACGGGTGGTTTTGAGGTTGGGGGGGGGGGGTTGGTCAGCCATCTAGGTCCGTCTTCCAGACCTCCCTCATGGGAGAGGGTGAATCGGTGAGTAAAGAAAATATGAAATATTATTTATGCCATGTTAGGGATGTTGAGATGTGATCATCAGGAGGAGGCTAGGCGATATTTGTGATTCTTATGGATTAATAGACGCCTGGGAGGGGTGAAGTTCAGGTTTCCTTACCCAGGAGGGTCTTGTATATTGCTGGTTATCTCTTGGTTACGATGTTGGATATCATATTGGTGGGGAAGGCAGGAGTATTGTCCTATTGTCATGGTTGTGCGTATACGATATAGTCTGGGTGGTTAGGTAATATATATCGGGGTTAGGATGGTGGATACAGTTGGCGTTGTCTAGGTATGATCCTGGCTGTAGTCGTCTTTGAGGCTTGGATACAGGAAGCGTGATTATCGGAAACAATGATGGCATTCCCGTTCGGGATCTCAGATAGCCTAGCCCGAATCGAGTCCTCAAAAGGTAATATATATCCGGTCGACGCTTGTCAAGAACGAGCTTCACGAGAGCCGACATTCCCGGCTCGTTGTTTATGGCTGATCCTATTGCCGACAAAGCGATCTCTACCTCGTTCCCTCGCTGCTCCAAGAGACCTTCCATAACTGCTTTTCCTTGCTTATAGTTGCTTGCGGCTGAGAAAAAGCACGCTGTCGTCTATCCTGGTGTCGTCGTTCTGCTGTTGGAGAAGAAATTTCATCATTCGTGCTCCGTCGATCTTGTTGAACGCTGCCTTCTCGAGAATGTCCGGGGTTATAGTCATTGCACCGCCACTCTTGTCCCAGAGCAGCGACATCAGGCTAGCGCTAGATTCTTGCGCCAGTTTCATGAAGAAAGCTTCATCGAGAACAATAGGCTGGTCTGAAAGATGGTTCAAGATATATTCCACCAACTCCACGGTCTCCTCGTCGCAAGTACGTATATGCTGTAATGAACCAGAAACAGTTCTACAATCAATAAAATAAAAAAGTAGAGATATTGTGTTCATATCCTAGAGTATAAATAGTTTAAAGATTATTATATATCTAGGCTACTCACTTGTTACTTTGTTAATATTTATGTTATACTATATCTAAAAGATATGCGGGTTAAATGCAGCATCTGTGAGGAGCAGTTGGAGAGTAAATCAGTATTGATGAACTATGCTGAGAGAAAGTATGGAACTGTCTTATGCCGCCCATTGTCCGCCCTCGGCCCAATTTAGATTTCCAATACACCTGCGACCTAAAACATCCGTGGACCAGGATCCCCCTCTTTGCCTTTGATGACGCTGCATATCGAGGGCTGGTACCTCAATAATTTCCTTTATCGGCGCGTTTATTTTGTTCCGGTGCGCTGAGCGCTGTGCGCGCGAACGTTTGGATTGGCAGGGGGTCAAGATGGTAAGACAATACTCGTGGAGAGTGCGGTACCCTGTTTAATTAGTTACTGGAGTGACCATTAAGCAATGAATTTTTCTTTGGCAGAAAAGGTTCAAATAAAGGAAAAGTGACACAGAGAGAGAGATGTTACTGGACCATTCTTTAGGTTCAGAGTAAATTTTATTACTGCAAAAAAAGATAAAAAAAAAACTAGCAGATTGATTCTATTATAAGCACAATATAGGTGCAAGAAACCAACCACTTGATTTCACTAAACACTACCATTCTATGTCAAACTATCCAATACATCACAAATGGATCGACGCATTCTTCTTCATGGAGTAACAATATTGAAGTTAGGATCACCCGGATCAAGCAACGACGCAAGCGTATCCAGCGCAGTAGTATCTCCATCAATGTCAACGCCGGCATTCACCAAAGCCTCCGGATCAGGCCCATACACAGCCAGCGCAGTCAACTGTTTAGCAGTACCAGACAGAGTCACCTGAGCAGCGTCCGACTGGTCAGCGGTGCTGTAGACGAGTGCCCCGTTAGACAGCCAGGAATGGTAAGTTTTATTATCTTGATCTGAAACGACGAGGTCCATAAGCACCTTCTTATCCCACGCCTCAGGCCCATTAATCTGGATCGCGAGAGTGTCCAGGACCATATCTGGGGTGAGCTGGCCCGCCACATCTGCCGAGGCCGTCTGTGTAGGCGTGCCAAAGTTGCCATTGCGCAGCTCAGTCGCTCCGGACATGTAAAAGTTTCTCCAGGTGCCGTTTTCGGCGCCGTATCCCAGCTGCTCGTACACGTCTGCCAGCTTGTTGCAGGCATCCTGGTTGTCAGGGTTGTTGAAGACGGCATGACTCAGAAGTTCAGCGGCCCAGCGGTAGTCTCCTTTTAGGTATTCCTTGACACCCTGTTCGATGATCTCATCCTCCCCAATGAGTTTCACGTACCTTTTGGCCTTCTCGACGGGGCTGTGTTCCCACAGATGGGCGGGGTTGCCGTCGAACCAGCCGACGTAGCGTTGATAGATGGCTTTGACGTTGTGGCTCAGAGAGCCGTAGTAGCCGCGGCAATACCAAGACTGATCAAGGGCCGGGGGCAAGGTCAGCATTTCGGCGATCTCAGGGCCGTTGTATCCCTTGTTCAGCAGGCGGAGGGTCTGGTCATGCACGTATGCATACAGGTCACGCTGGTAGGTGAGGAACTTCCGGATGTTGTCGTTGCCCCAGGTTGGCCAGTGATGCTGGGCGAAGACGATCTCGGCTTTGCTGCCGTATCGGTCAATGGTCTCTGTAAGGTACTTCGCCCAGGAGTGCGGATCGCGGACGACAGCGCCACGCAGGGTCAGGATGTTGTGGAAGGTGTGAGTGGCGTCCTCGGCCGCACAGAGTGCGTTAAGATCGGGGAACCAGATGAGCATTTCGGAAGGCGCCTCGGTGTCCGGTGCCATCTGGAACTCCATTTGGATCCCATCGATGGTTGTCGTTTCGCCTGTGCTTTTGATAATCATGTTGGGTGCGATGAGCGTGACGGTGCCGGTGGATGTAGTCTGTCCCAGACCAGCACCGATCTGGCCTCTTGGTCCCTGCTCGAGGGCAGCACCGTACATGTACGCGGCGCGGCGGCTCATTGAAGTGCCAGTGTAGACGTTCTCGGAGACGGCGTGCGCCAGGAAGCCCTCGGGGGCAATAATCTTGACGTCCTTTTCCTCGACATCCTTTTCGCTGACGAAGCCTTTGACCCCACCGAAGTGGTCAACGTGGGAGTGCGTGTAAATGATAGCCTTGATGTCTCTGTTGCTGCCACGATGTTTCTGATAGAGGGAGAGTGCAGCAGCACCGGTCTCCAGCGAAGTGAGGGGATCGATAACAATGATGCCCTCGTCACCCTCAATGATGGTCGTGTTCGAGAGGTCGAGTCCACGCACTTGGTAGATGGGCCCGGCGACATGATATAGTCCATCCTTGCGAGTAAGTTGCGACTGGCGCCACAGACTTGGGTTGGCTGAGAATGGAGCGTCCTCCTTCAGGAAATCATAGGCCTCGTTGTCCCACACCACGCCTTGATCATTAGTAACCTGGTTAGGGCGGAGGTGACCTCTCCAGCCCTGTCTAGCGTCGTCAAAGTCCTGCTGGTCATCGAAGGGTAGACTTTCTTTGACCTCCTTCCACTGCTTGATGATGTGGAGGCTTGGAGGATGCGAATCCTTAGGATTGATGGTTGGCTGGCTCATGATGTATATTTAATTATTGAGGTTGAAGTAGTTTCAAATCTTTTTGAGTTCGAATTCCAAAGAGATTGAGTGATGTTTTGGGATTTTTTGGTGATCCACGGCTCCATCGGACCTTGATAATGTTGCCGGGAGGCGAATTTCCCCCTCATCTCGTATTGGCAGAAAGACGTACATATGAAAACTGACGACAACGACTTTGGTGTTTAGAATCGTTTCAAGGCGGGGTTTGCTGTGTGGATGTGACCATTGCTTGCATGCCAAGACGCTGAATACATTGAAGATAGATTGAATGACGTAGATGGAACAGGGTTCGCCCAAATCCGACTGGTGAACAACATGTGGCCACTTGGGTCAGGGCCGACGGCGCCATCCCATTAGCCTGCATAAGCTTCACTCGGCTGTTCAGCATGGACTTCAGCTGAGGTGGTGATGCACCTGGAAATGGAACCTTTAAATGCATGCCAAGAACAACCCCTCTTAGACGAGCGAATGAACGAAGCCACGGTGATCAGGATCCTACAGCAGCTCATTTCAGTTGTGCTCAGCCGTGGTGGATCTACACCCATCCGAGGTGGCAGGTTCAAATTGAATAGCACCACTTTCCACTCATCGCTGAGAAAATAACAGCAAGGGCCCCCGCGTCCAGTCAGCCAATTGGCTGCATCTCGTGTCATCGCAGAGTCCTGCTAGACGAGATTCTGCATCATCTCCGAAGAAGAAAAGAAGGATCATGCATATGAGATGACGAATCCTAGTACGTGATAGATAGTTAATGACCCATTTGCCAATGGGACTCCAGTCTCGCCACTGGCTGGGACCCCCAGCCATGCCGAACCTCGCACACCTTGATCGCCCGTTACACAATCGTATCTCATAATTGCGCCGATTAGTCGCCGCGTCGATCAGCTGGATCTTCAGCTTTCTTTTTCTTCTGATCACGTAGGATATATCAATGGTGTCTGCGTGGCGAGGAAGCTGAAATCCTCCGACATAAATAGGGCCACCGCCCCTCCCTCTTTCCTATAGAATTAAATACATACTAGACGCCGGCTACACTTTTCTCTCCAAGTCAAAGCCTCTGACGGACCTTTCTCATCAAGAAAAAAAAAGCATAACGCATCACTTCTTTGACCATGGACCAGCTCAACAGGTAAATATACTCCCCATACACTTGGAACTCTTCTCCGAGGAGCAACAACAAAATGCAGAGGGGAATTCTGACATCCCACCCAGCAAGCAAGAAATCAACGACGCCATCGCAAAGCACGGGTCCTTCGTCCTAATGTTCACGGCCGTGTGGAGTGACGTCGGCAATATCACCAAGGGCAATTACGAGAGGTAAAGCAGCACCCTGGTTTCCTACCCTTGTGAGGTTTCGAACGATGATGCGTTACCTCGTCTCCAACTCTTTCGTTGCTTGATAGTAACCCAAGGATATTAGAATCGGTGCCAAATACCCTACCGTGTACATGGCCTGGGTTAGCACCGATGACCATCCCGAGCTGGCCAAGGAATGGGGTTTTACTGCTATTCCGGCTACTGTTGCATATAAGAATGGCACCAAGGTCGACTACTACGTCGGACCCCAATACTTGGACGAGCAGGTTGAGGAGTTTATCAAGAAGACGCTCTAAGCGGGTGGTAGGCCGTGTCGTGGCAGTCTCATGATTTCTTTTGGTGGTGGCAAGTTATTTTTATCTAGATAGATGGAAGTTAATGGGACCCATACCTGCTTCCCCGAGCCAATCACCAGGTCTTGCCCCTTGCAAAGGCCTCCGTACTCTTGTATTGAGATGACCGACAGCTTACCCTGAACCACTAGGCTTAAACAGCACGTCCGTTTGCTACGAGGTTGGGTTTGGCAAATTGCGCGGAGAAGAAATTCTGGAGGCAGCTCGTCAGCTAGATCAAGGAGCACAGAATGAGGAAAGACCGGCTCACCAAGACCGTCGTGATAGGTATTTTGGCGTACAACTATCAAGAAGATATTATAGAACCAGAATTATGGTTGTTTTGGCTCTAGTCGCTCAGGCCAGTTAGTAAGCCAGGGCGAAATTTGTGGAAGAAGGCGGGATTTACACGCAGAAGTATTTGAGACGGGGGAACTTTTAGTTCAACGTATCCCAGGAATCGGGGGAAATAGTGATATAGGATACCACATATCAGGGAATCATGTCCAGTTTTTTACATGAGCTAGCTCAGGAGGATCTCACTTCTGCACCCGTTCGCAAGTCAAGACTTCGCCCGCAAAAGGTGAGCATCAATCGCCGGTATTTCTGACTTGATTACGTGAATAAAACAGCAAGCGACACTATCTATAATGCGGAGCAAGCAGACCCCAGACCAGACCTCCACCTGGATTACCTGCGCAACTTCAACACAACGCGGTTCAAGACACGGATCGGTAGAAGAGCAAGAAAGATTAGGAAATACAGAGAACTTCCCCGTCATTAGTCACAAATATTTCCATCAAATTTCCTTCATCATTTCACCCTTTAGACTATGCCTATACCAATCAAAAGTGAACCCAATTTGCTCAGGCTCACCTGAAGAAAGCATGCGAAGAAGGCCCCGTTTTTCCAGTTCTTGACAAAATTCCCTTTTCGAAGAAAATTCCGTACCCAAATAGTTATGATCTATTTCATCGCAAGAATCGCAACTGGTTCGCTCAGTGGATGCTGCCTCGCTGTGGAAACCCAGTGATAACAACCTCCGCCACACTCCAACACCATAACATATTGCACTAATTATGCGACCCATGACCAGACGCCATCGTTTGCTGAAGATTGTTGTAACAAAGGTCGCCACTTTGCTGTTTTCCTGTCTGCTTTCGTTATTCTCCATCGCATCGGCTCTTACTTTCAAAAGTGTCTTTGTGTGCGCAGCTAACTCCGAGACCGTTGCATATTTGTGATGCCAACATTTATCGATGATAATATCGATCAAGGGATCGCCATCCAACTTCGGAAATTCCATGTTCTGTAGTAATTCCACGACCTTAGGACCGTGTTCGTAAGGATCTCCAGTGAGACAGCGATCTCCATAAACCTCAAAACCGTAGTTTATCAGGTAATACAGAGAGCCAAGGGCGAACAGTTCTGTTCGAGGGCCTAGAGAGCCAGAAGTACCACACTCTCCTTGGTCGGACTCGTTGCTATTAAGTATTCGGCCATATGGAGCCATACAGGCTTCGTAGTGTGTTCCAATTCTTGCCGTACAATCAAAATCGGATAGCTTTAGTCGGTTGCGATCAAGTAGTATATTTTCAGGTCGCAAATCACCATGAGCGAGGTCAAGGGATTCTAAGAAAGCAGCGGCTTGAGCGAGATCATTCATCCATTCTTTTCGCAGAGGTAGAGGTTCCAGCTTTTTCACTGTGGTAACCACCATAGATTGCTGGTCTCGAGTGTGATTTCTTTGTAGCCTTGATGAAAGTGACATGTCTAGAAGGCACATCAGTTAGTATTCTTTAAATTGTAAGTATGGACTGCACCTCTCATATACTCGAGGAAGATGCCATCATTAGAAAAGTAAAAACACTGTACAATAGAGGGACAAGGTTGGTTTTGCGAGAATATTTGATATATCTTAAGCTCTTTATTAAATTGCTCTCTCTCGAAATCTCCAGACTTCGGTATTTTGACCACGATGCGCGGGTGGACCTCATAAACGAAAGAGATGCCTCCACCCCAGATCCAGTGGACACCAGGAAACTGGCGTTGGATATCCATGGATAGAAACTATGGCTCGAGAGTGAGAAACGATATTTGAGAGAAAGCCGCAGAAGCAACTCTCTTGTATTTAACAATCGAAGGAGTGAAAGCAAGTTGAAAGGGGGGCGCGGCTCCAGTGGACATGAACGGGATCATCAGACCTTTGCCAAGTGAAAGCCATGCCGACGGCGGGCCAAAAATATTTTTGGACCTGGTCGAATTCAGGTGTATCGACGTTCACAGCTCAGGGTTCAATGGAACACATGAACGACGACAATAATCAATATACAGTCAAGGCCCTGTGAATAGACCTGAAGTCATCCAAGTCCAGTCTCGTAGGATGTCTCCATACGAGGTGTGAGATCCACTCCTAGACATCGGAATCCGTCACTTTACCTAACTCTTGCGTTAAAGCGAAGATGCTCAGCATTTACATTGAGTTTAGACAATTAAATGAGAGGTCATCACCAGGTGTCAAGTAGATAGGGTGCTGGAGATGAACCTGTTGAGACTGCCCACTTTATGTTCAGTTTATGCCATTATGGATGTAAGCCAGCTACTCATTGCTGGTGCCTGGCTGGTTTCGGGTGGGTGCGTCCCACCGCAATTTCGGCTGGTTGTGCCGGCGGATCCGTCTCATTTTCTCAAGGACCTGGATCATCTTTTGCTCAGCGGCAGAAAAGTGTATAGGGTATGAAGAGTGAGCAATTCTCCGACCGTCAGTTAGCTTCCTTAGTCTGGGGAATGGGGTGATGGAAGGAAAGGAAAAGACGGTCCAGATCGTGATCGACCGCCGTCGTCAGCCGGGGGATGGATGGCCCGTGATTGGCGGGCGGTGGCTCGGGAAGCTTGAATGGCCTCGCATCCTTACTCTTTTCATGCCCGCTTCTCCACGTCTCTCCCTCCCCTTTTGCCGCTGGTCGGACAGCTAGCATTCTTCTTCTTCTCCCTTGTGGCTTCCATCGTTTGCCTCATGCACCTCTTCCCGTAGGCACCATGCCGCTCCCTTTTCGGGACCAGTTCAAACACAACAAGACTTCCTCTGGCAGGAAGTCGTCCCAGCAACAGCGCTACACCCCTTTGCACGAATCCATCCCCGAAGAGGTCCACGATGACCGCCGCTACTCCGAAACCTTTACCCTCTCTGACCTCTCCGATCCCGAACTCGATGATACCCAGATCAAGCCGCGCCGTGCGGACAACGCCAAAACGTCCAGCCATGCCGATGCCTACGACAACCGCCGATCTACCGACGTCGAGACCTATTTAGACAGGATTACCGAGGCGGAACAGGAGCTGCTGGCCGCCGCGAGGCATTACGAGCTCACCGACGATAGTGACGACCAGGACTATGTCGTGAAGAAAAAGGGGCATCGACGACGAGCGTCGTCCTTCAAAAGACACACGCCGCGCACCGGATGGCGGGCGTACTACTATTCCCGGTGGTTCTGGCGGACGCTGGTCGTCATCTTCGTCGCCCTGGGTATGATGGTGTGGGCATTCTTGAATGTGGCGTGGTCGGGAGGTGACACGGAACGAGTGGGTTACACAGACTTTGAGTGAAGCGTTGCTGATGATGGTAGGACATGACTCCGGCGGAGTCTTGGTTTCCCACTCCCAAGGGAGGCGCCCTCGAGGATTGGGCCGAGGACTACCGGAAGGCAGAGATGCTAGTCCGGGAGATGACCCTCATGGAGAAGATCAACATTACAACGGGCATTGGCTGGCAGATGGGGCTTTGTGTGGGGAATACAGGTATGTCGGGCAAGATTAGCATGAATGACGCTGGAAGATGCTGACAGCGCAGGCTCTGCGGAACTGGTCAAGTTTCCCTCGTTGTGTCTACAGGACGGCCCTCTCGGATTGCGTTACGCGGACCTCATTTCTGCCTTTCCCGCCGGAATCACGACCGGAGCGACCTGGAATCGAGACCTGATACGGCAGCGTGGTGAGGCACTGGGACAGGAGGCACGGATCAAGGGGGTCAATGTACTGCTGGGACCGTCGATGGGCTCCCTCGGGATGATGCCGGCGGGTGGTCGCAACTGGGAGTCGTTTGGCTCCGACCCCGTGCTGCAGGGCGTCGCCGCTGCGGAGACTATCCGTGGCATCCAGAGCAGCGGTGTCATGGCTACTGCCAAGCATTACATTCTGAACGAGCAGGAACACTTCCGACAGCCGCTGGAGTGGGGCATTTCCTCCGCCATGTCATCGAATATCGGCGACCGCGCTCTGCACGAGGTATTCGTGTGGCCATTTGCCGAGAGTATCCGGGCCGACGTAGCCAGCGTCATGTGCGCGTACCAGATGGTGAACAACAGCCACGCGTGCGAAAACAGCAAGCTGCTAAACGGCATTCTGAAGGATGAGCTGGGTTTCCAAGGCTTTGTGCAATCCGACTGGTTGGCTCAGCGGTCTGGCATCAACAGCGCCATTGGTGGCTTGGACATGAGCATGCCAGGCGACGGTCTCCACTGGGCGGACGGCCGGTCCTTGTGGGGGCCTGAGTTGACTCGAGCCGTGCTCAATACGTCCGTTCCAATGGACCGGTTGAACGACATGGTGACTCGCATCGTGGCGGCCTGGTACCATCTCGGCCAGGACCTGTGGGCACGGCCACCTCCCGAGGGCGACGGGGGCCCCAATTTTTCCTCGTGGACTAACGACGAGGTCGGATGGTTCCACCAAGGGTCTCCCGATGATGAAGCCTTTGGTGTTGTAAACCGGTTTATTGATGCCCAAGGGCAAGGTGAGGGCGCGCACGCGATCATTGCCCGCAAGGTGGCGGCGGAGGGCATCGTGCTGGTGAAGAATGACAAGAACACGCTTCCGTTGTCGCGTCGGCCTACAAGCCCGTCCGGCGGTGCCTATCGGGTGGGTGTCTATGGCGACGACGCCGGCCCAGCCGCAGGACCCAACGCCTGTCCCGACCGGGGATGTAACCAGGGTACCTTGGCTATGGGCTGGGGAAGCGGGACGGCGGAGTTTCCGTATCTTATCAGTCCGCTGGCAGCATTGGAGACCGCCTGGCAGAGTGAGGTTGACCTGCACGCGTATCTGCGGAATGCCGTCATGCCAGCGGACGCAGCCGACAAGGATCTGTGTCTGGTTTTCGCCAATGCCGACTCTGGGGAGGGATACATCTCCGCGGGCGGCATCAGCGGCGACCGCAACAATCTGTTCCTGCAAAAGGGCGGCGATTCTTTGATCAAGACGGTCGCCAGCAACTGTGGCGGGCCGACCGTGGTGGTGGTGCACGCCGTTGGCCCGGTGGTGGTCGAGTCTTGGATTGATCTTCCCGGCGTGGAAGCGGTTTTGTTCGCCCATCTACCTGGACAGGAGAGTGGCAATGCGCTGGTGGACGTGATGTTCGGAGAGGTCGATGCCAGCGGTCGGCTGCCCTACACGGTGGGCAAGAGCCTGGCCGACTACGGGCCGGGCGCGCAGGTGCTGTACGAGCCCAATGCCCCGGTGCCCCAGGTGGACTTTAGCGATGGGCTGTACATTGATCACCGGCATTTCGACCGCTACAACATCACGCCGCGGTTTGAATTTGGCTTTGGACTGTCGTACGCGACGTTCGAGCTGGGCGAGCTGCAGGTGAGCGCCCTGCAGTCGAAGTCGCGACTACCGGCGTCGCGGCCTCCTGCGACGGTCTCGCCGCCGGTATACGATCCGGAGCCGCCGCGGAACGAATCCATCTTCTACCCTGCCGGCTTCCATGCGGTGTCCAAATATATCTACCCGTATCTGCCATCGTTGCAGGGGACGACCCCTGCTAATTACACTCATTACCCCAAGGGCTACGACAAGCCGCGGCCGCTGTCGGAGGCAGGCGGTGGCATGGGCGGCAACCCGTCGCTGTACGAGGAGATGGCCAAGGTGGAGGTGCAGGTACGGAACACGGGACCGCGAGCGGGCCAGACGGTGGTGCAGGTGTATGTGTCGTTCCCCGACGAGGTGACGGAGGAGGGCGACTGGGTGGAGGTGCACGAGCAAAGCTCCAAGGTGAAGCTGGAGCGACGGCCGGAGAGGATCGACTTTCCGGTCCGAGTGCTGCGCAACTTCACCAAGGTGGCATTAGAGCCGGGGGAGGGCCAGACGGTGGGGATGAGCTTGAGTCGGAAAGACTTGAGCTATTGGAGTGTGCGGCACCAGAATTGGGTGATGCCGGAGGGAGATTTCGAGATTTACGTTGGACAGAGTTCGCGAGATTTGCCATTGCGGGGGTATTACTGATGTAGATGCATGCACCGTCCTGTATGCCGAGCTACGTGCTATCTAGATGTTTTTCATCGCACCCTCTACTCCAAATTAATGTACGCGTACCATCACATGAAGCCGTCTGACTTCACGGCCAGGCCGGTTCTCCCCCTCACGCCATAAGCATGAGATCATGTCCGCGGCAGCCCTGCCGTGGAAAGGAAATCCTCTCCGACGTGCAACCTTCACCTGTTACACTATTGATCTTATGTTCAGTGGAATACCACCCCGGATGACTTCAGAAAGAATCATCAACGCATGCCAAACATGTCAATATAAAATCCACAGCCCATCCCTCCTCCCACCCGTGCTCCATCCACCACCACCGCAAGACCAACGATAAACAAGACCAAAACCAATATACCCAGGATGAAAATCAACCTCCTCACCCTCCTCTTAACGACCCTCTCCCTCCTCCCCCACATCCACACCCAAGAAACCCCCACCTCCTCCGCCCCCGCCGCCTCCTCCACCTCCAACTCCACCACCTTCACCGTGACGTCCGCCCGCTCCGGCTCCCCCATCCACCTCCTCCAACTGACCATCTTCTCGGGCCGATTCTACCTCGGCGGTCGCACCTCCTCGTACTGTCCTCCGGGCGTGGCTCAAGAAGGCGGATGTCCTCCGGGCAATGAAACCGTGCTAAGTGGTGGAAATGGATTAGTACTTCTCCCCTTCCCCCAAACCCCCCCCACCAAAAGCTAACATACATGAACCCGAAATAGGCAGTCGCCGTCCCCGGCGGGCAACAAATCTACATCCTCTCGACGGGCGCCCTATCATTCACCCCGCCCCACTCAACCTACATGCCACCCGGCTCCATCACCGGTCCCCTCACATACACCCCCGGCACCCCCTACGGCCACTGGAACTATACCTCGGGGTTTATGGCGTGTCCGGTGCGCGGTAACGCCAGTACGAGTAGTAGTATTACGGTTCGACCCACGTCTACGCCTACGCCGACACGCACGTCGGGATCTGTTACGCCCTCGCCGACACCGGGGTCGGGAGGTAGTCGGTGGCAGGTTTATGTGGCATGGAGGAATGCGTCCGTGCCGGGGGGGAATGTGGATGAGTGTTTGGGGTTTGATCCGTTGGCGTATCGCTGGGGGAGGGGCGTGGGGGAGGTGGCGGCTTGGGAGTATATTTGATTCAGCTTGCTTCTGTGTCTTCCTTTGGGCGAGAGCGGGAGGGAAGGGTTTTTAGGTTATTGGCTAGGCTTTTCTACTATATAAGGGTGATTATTTCATGAATTAGGCTGGTCGAACTCGAATTCAATCATGGAGCTATATGAATCGATTCGGATAAGCCAATGGTATCTGCCAAGTGAAAGAGTACTGATTGACTATCAAAGCATCATACTATACAGAGTACTACTAGCACATTCAACTTGTCATTTCGCAACGGATAATTATTGTGGACATTGTCTAGTTTATGATACCTCTCACTTTACTTAAGTTACTACCCCAGGTACTGTGTGGTCCGTTAGTGAATAGCAGTATGTATATGGGTGTGATAGGTAGGGTTACTGTAGTACGGGTAAATGGAAAACAGAAATAATATTCATCCATTCAATCCGTAAGATACCAGTTCCAGCCTATATCCTACTTCCCTCCCCCCATTCCATCATACCATATCATATCATACTAATGTACCAAACAAAACCCAAACCCCAAACACCCAATTACCAAACCCCACCTACCCTCTACCTCAGGTTTACTTACAACTTAGCAGCCGGTTCCGCCGCCCCCGCCGACGAAATCTCATTATACAACAAACTGGTCAAGAAATCCGCATACTCCTCACCGGTCACCTGACCCGCAAAATACCTCGCCGCAAGCTGGTACTTATTCCCCTGGGGGCCCTTGCTCGCCAAACTATCGGCTTGCTCTTGCAGCAGACGAAGCGCGTACGCCTTGTCGACTTTCTTCCCTTCCGCGGTCGTGATCCCGTGGTGCGTCCATTGCCACAGTTGACTGCGGGAAACTTCGGCGGTGGCGGCGTCTTCCTGTTCTTGCTATCAGCATGTACTCATATATTGGATGATATGTAGGGATGGGGGGAGGCACGGTACCATCAAAAAATTAATCGGAATACAGCCCACACCACGCAACCACCCCTCCATATAAGAGAGCCCAATGTTCAGATTCTTGCGAATGCCCTCCTCAGTGATCTTGCCCGGCACGTTGGTATTCAGGAGATCGTTAGCCGTGATGTTGACGTCTTCGCGTCGCACGAAGAGCTGGTTCGGGGTCGGCATGTGCGTGTTGAAGATCTCGGAGGCGATGGAGGCCAGAGCGGGGTGCGCCACCCAGGTGCCGTCGTGGCCGGCGCGCACTTCGCGCAGTTTGTCGGCGCGTACGCTTTCCATTGCTTTGTCGTTGGCGGCGGGGTCGTTTTTAATTGGGATTTGAGCGGCCATGCCGCCCTATCGTATTTGTCAGTATCGTGGGGTTCCCAGGTAGGGTAGGGTTGGAAGGAATGTAGGGGGGCGTACCATAGCATGCACGCCTCTGCGATGACACGTCTTGATCAACAACTTGACATACGCATCCATGAACGGCACCGTCATGGTAACATCCGACCGATCGGGCAAAACAAAGCCACTATGTTTGCGAAACTTCTTAATAAACGAAAAGATGTAATCCCAGCGCCCACAGTTCAAACCCGAGCTATGTTCGCGCAGCTCATAGATGATCTCATCCATTTCAAACGCCGCCGTGATCGTCTCGATGAGGACTGTCCCGCGGATCGTCCCCCGCGGCAGACCGATGTAATCCTGCGCTAGGTTGAAGACGTCGTTCCATAGTCTGGCTTCGAGGTGTGATTCCATCTTGGGCAGGTAGAAGTAGGGTCCGAAGCCCCGCGCCACGAGTTCCTTCGCGTTGTGGTAGAAGTACAGACCGAAGTCGAACAGGCCGCCCGAGATGGGGGTCCCGTCGACGGTGAAGTGTTTCTCGTCGAGGTGCCAGCCGCGAGCCCGCGCGATGAGCGTGGGTAGCGTGCGGTCCGTCCGCAGCTTGTATTCTTTGTTGCCTTGCTTAAAGTCCACTTGGCGCCGGATGGCGTCGTACAGGTTCACTTGCCCGTTAATCATGTTTTCCCAGGTGGGGGCGCTCGAATCTATACTTGTTAGTATCTTACTCCCGTCTTGGTGAAGGAAGAGGGAGAGAGGTAGGGGGCATACCCTCGAAATCAGCCATGTAGGTCCACACATCCGAGTTCAACGCATTCACCACCATCTTCCGGTCCGTCGGGCCTGTGATCTCGACTCGGCGATCGACCAGCCCCGGGGCCGGGGGGGCACCCTTCCAGGCATCGTTCTCCCGGATGTGCTTCGTCTCGGGCAAGAAGTCAGGCAAATGGCCCTTGTCAATCTCGGCCTGACGGTCAATGCGTCGCTGCAGGAGAGCCTTGCGAGTGGGATTGAAGGTGCGGTGCAGGATGGCCAGAAAGGCGCAGGCGTCTTTGGTGAGGATCTTGCGGGCGTCGGCGTTGACGGTGCCGAGGATGACGACGTCCTTGAGTTGGGAGTCGACGGAAGCCATTTTGTCTTATACCAGTCCACTGATTGCTGTAGACAGTTGAGGAAAGGAGAATAACACAGACATCTAGCTACGAGGATGAAGAGGGTTTATGTACTCCACTACGTCAGAAGCCATCACTACCGCGGTTCATTCCATCCCTCCGACCCCGATAAGCCTCGCGCGAACCCAAAATGAGGGTTACTCGCACGTGACTTCCCCGCGGAAAACCCCCAACTCGGCCGATTGAGGGCGTGCCCCGCCCGGGGCGCGCCGGCCACCGATTCCGACGACGCGCGATAAGGCCCATTACTCGATCGATTCGCGCAGAGGGTATATTATCGGGGGTCCCGCCATGGAGGAGACCGGATGGGATTTCTTGTGCGGTCGGTAGTTGTTGGCGCTGGTGCAGCTGCAGCTGGGCTGGACCGAGGGTATCGATAAGCTCCTAAACTCCCCGCAGGCCCGAGAGCCTTCCTCCCAACCGCGGTTCAACGTCACTTGTGGAGAGCTCCGTCCGTCCTGAGCTGCTCCTGCGGTCCGTCTGACCGATTTGTTCCGATGTGATGTGGCGGCATCACTGGATGCGGTGGATTGGTGGTGATGCGGGATGGCTTGTTTGATCCCTGAATATATTGGCAGTGGATGGTGGCGGTAATTCATCGCTGCACATGCTCTAGATACAAAGATGAAACAAAACTGACAGATACCCCATGGACATGTGAATGCATGTGACAAGTCACTCTAGCTTCCGGCTTCCTCCCGATCCAGTGGTGCCTCGTCCACTTCCTTGCTACAGCTGCAGGCGTCGGTCTGGACCACCCGGAACACTCTATGCCAGCCTATACACGAGCTCCTTCTATCCGGTCATACCGTTTCGATATACCGTCTCACCTCCCTGTCGATAATCAGTATCATATTCAAGCCCAGCCAGGGCACTCACCAATCCGTTACGGCCTCCTCCCACAAGCGCAGTTCATGCTCCCGCGTGCCCCCAAAATGCTCCACGAATGCATCCCCAAAGACCTCCCGTGCGACACTGTCTTTGCGCATAAACGCCGTCGTGGCCTCCCGCAGCGACTTGGCTAGGCGGACTCCCTTATCGCTATCCCCGCCCATGTCCTCGCCCTTGGACAGGGGCGGAACTGGAATCTCCAGCTTCTTCTCCACACCCCGCCAGCCCAATGCGACTACTGCAGCCAGAACAAAATGCGGGTTTGCGTCAGCCCCAGGCACACGTACCTCTAGCCGCGTCGCCTTCGGGCTCGCGGTGGGCGGCGTGATCAGCCGGACTGATGCCGCCCGATGCTCCAGACCCCAGGATACTGTAACCGGCGCCCAGAAGTTCTCCACTAGCCGCTTGTAAGAGTTGACCGTGGGCGCCACCATGGGCATGACGTCCGGAAGGCCGGCAAGGACGCCTGCCAGAAAGTGCCGCCCTAGATCGGAGAGATGAGCCACGTCAGGGTACGGGGGAGCGGGGTCGGGGGTATCGCGGAGAAAGGCGTTCTTCCCGCCCTTTGAAACTAAGGAGATGTGCATGTGTCCGCTATTCCCGGGCAACCCCTCGCGTGGCTTGGCCATAAATGACGGCGTGATGCCGTGCTTTGTGCCGATGGACTTGACGACGTATCTGCGGGGGTCAGTCTGGCCCTTGGTCGCTGGATGCACTCACTTGAAGAGTCCAGCTTTGTCGGCCATCTCCTTGGCCTCTCCAAACTGTAGTGCCTGCTACCGTCAGCGGGATCAACACCGTGGCAGGCCACTCCTACCGCCTCATAGACCCCCGGACCGCTCTCTGTGTGCCACCCCTCGATCTCGCAATTGAACTGCTCGCAGGCGTCAAAGACCCCATAGTAGTAGTCTTGGTTGTGGACCGGACGGGTCAGGCTGTATCCGAACATGCCCTCTGTCAGCGAGGGGAGGGACTCGACGGGGTTTTCTTTGAGGAAGGCGGCTGTGGACGACGCATTGCGCTCGGGGTTTGGATGGGTTTCTGGCGCGCGGAACTGATAAAATTCATACTCCGCTGGAAAGACAGTGTCAGTTGATTCCTCAGGGAGATGGAAGTACTTACCTCCTGCCATGGCCTGGTAGCCCACCGCCTCCGCCTTGCTCAGGGCAGTCTTTAACAGCCCTCGGGGACAGGCGCAGACCGGCTCATTTGTGTCCGGATCGAAGAAGCTGACCAGGAAGAACGGCACGTTGTTCTCCCAGGGAATGCGACGGAAGCTGGTCAGGTCCGGGATGGCGACGAGATCGCGGTAGCCGTTCTCTTTGTTGCTGATGGTCAGTTCCTTGAAATAGGTGCGATCGTGCATATCCCAGCCGAAGATAACAGAGCAAAACCCGAAGCCATCGGCGACGATGGAGAGGAACTTCTTCTTGGAGACGAGCTTGCCGCGGAGCATGCCGTCGACGTCAACGCCGGCGAGCTTGACCCGGGTGTCATTTTGGAGGACGTGAGCGACGTTCTCGAGGGTGACTTCGTAAGGAGGTGTGGTGGAGGACATGATGGTTGCTCTGATGATGAACAAAAGGTCGCCAGCTTGACGCAGTCTGCACTGGCGAGAGTGCTGACCGCAGCTGCATTCAAGGAAAGGGAGGAATGCGAATGACGCCAGCCACCGCTTATCGGCGGCTTATCAGCCGGGCGTCACGGGGCATGGCCATGGCGGATCCGGAGACCCCGTGATTGGGATGATGCCATTCTTATCAGCTGCATTCAGGATCGCGATTGGACTGTAGTAAATAGCAGATAGAACAGCAACCGCTGCAGGCACACGACCATTCTGCTGCCTGCATGGTGCCTGCGTGCCTGACTGTTATCGGGGCATTAGATAAGCGGGCCCGCTGTCCCGCATTCCACAGCATCCCTGTCGTCATCTGGCTCTTTTGCTCTCAGCTGGATTCAATTGCTGCTGCTCCGATCTCTCTGACCCTCCATCAGCATATAGGATATACTATTATCAGCCATTTTCAGGTGTGTTTTTATAATGCGAGTGTCTTGCCTGTCTACCCCGCACGAGACTAACAAGCTAGACATGTCTGCTCCCAGAGGCCGTCTCCAAGGCAAGAATGCCATCATCACCGGCGCCGCAGGGTACGATTCCCAAATTACCTAAATGATAAATTCTGAGCAGCTCCAGAGGCATCGGGCTCGAGACCAGTATCCTCTTTGCCCGTGAAGGGGCTAACGTCCTCATGGCCGACATATCCGCCCCCGCTCTCGAGAAAGCCATTGCCAAAGTGAAGGAGGTCGTCCCTAGCGCCCCCCGGGTTGAGACAATCAAGTGCGATGTGTCGAAGGAATCCGAAGTGCAGGCCATGGTCGAGTCCCAAGACAGCTGGGGTGGCACGGACGTCATCTTCAACAACGCTGGTATCATGCACGCCGATGATGCGGATGCCATTGATACCCCCGAGAAGATCTGGGATCTCACGCAGAACATCAACGTCAAAGGGGTCTGGTTCGGATGCAAGCATGCTGTACTCAGTCTACGTCGTCACAAGAAGACTAAGGGTAGTATTATCAACACGGCGAGTGTGGTCGCTTTAGTAGGCAGTGCCACACCTCAGCTGGCCTACACGGCTAGCAAGGGTGCTGTGCTGGCGTTGACGCGCGAGCTGGCCATTGTACATGCCCGCGAAGGGTTCCGTTTCAACGCGCTATGTCCGGCTCCATTGAAGTGAGTCCCAACCCTGGTGTGAAGATGCTTACTGACAACTTAGCACCCCGCTGCTTCAAGACTGGCTGGGTGATGACAAGCCCAAGCGCTTCCGCCGCGAGGTGCACTTTCCCACCGGCCGGTTCGGGGAGGCAATTGAGCAGGCTCATGCCGTGGTTTTCCTGGCTAGTGATGAGAGTAGCTTCGTCAACGGCAGTGATTTTGTAGTCGATGGTGGAATGTCCAAGGTACGTTCGATGCCGTGTTTGGTGAAAATGCTAATCCCACTAGGCTTATGTCACGCCGGAGGGGCCCGCCACTCCTGCTCCTCAGAACTTGGGCCATTAGAGTCATATTGATACGTTCTACCGCCTTACAATAATCAAGAGTCATTGAGTTGTGCTCCTAATCGCTGCTTTATCCATAGCATGGAATGATCGTGTCAGATTCCAATCATTGGGAATGTCAATTAGTTCCTGGTTCCTGACCAATCATGCGTTGACACTAGTCGGGCACCAGCAGGCCGGCTTCTGGCCAATGCTGGCACTAATTTAGCTGCTTGGGGGCGCTTTTCCTGCGCCGAGCGTGCTGACTCTCTTCAGGCGGAAGATACTACTGCCGTCGCGTAGTGCCATTGCTTTCTCATCTCTGACTCTGTAGTAATCCTGTCAGCACCTACAATTCCTCGACTTCCTGCATAAATTCTCGTCTAGCTTACCGGCTGTCTGACCAATCACATGGAGGTGTCGATACTAATCGTGCACGATACAGGGATTCCGGCTCCTGCCCAACGCTGGGCTAATTTAGCCTGCTTTAGGGCGTGGTGACTTGAGGCTGAGCCGAGTGTCTCCAGGAGGAATTCCAGCCCCGTGCGTCGACCTTGTCTTCTCTGCATCAGTCCCCTGAGTTTCTTCTTCCATTTCTTCGTTCCTCCATCGTCGTACTGTCCCTCAATTGCATCGCTGGCCACATTGTGACGGGATGTTCAATTCAGCCTGGCTGGCTCTACAAGCGATTGAACATGTCCGGCTCAACTTTTGGGAAAAAGAAATGGACCTCAGATTTGCCCCTCAACACCAAGCAGCAACCCCCGTTGGCACATCCAGCGGTCCGAAGCGTGGTCGAATTTGGTCAAGGATCGAGGACTTACAGTGGCGTATCACGAAGGGTCGTCCACATTGCCTGGATGAAGTGCTGGAGGCGTATGACTATATGAGTACTTGGGTTTGTGTGCGGTCGATCTTGATGCGAAGGGCTCGCTTGAATGGGTCGATGACTGACTTGATAACGACGAGATGAATTGCAACAACTGGACCACATATCTGAATATGTATCTAAAGAATTGATGTGCGGCTGGAAATATATATGCAGGAATATCGCGAACGGCAAGGACCGAGCATGCCCTGATATGCTACGATCTGTATTACCTAGGATGAGAAATGCTCCAACATATCTCTCATCAATCTATTTGGTGATCACATCTCTAATCCAGCCAAGCCTACGTAACATATGTCCCATGATAAACAGTATCACCTTTCTGCATCTGCTGCCAACAAGCTAGCTGTCTCTAATCCTCAACTACTGACACGAGTAATTCTGCATTATTGCTAATTAACTATCAAGTCTAAACCCACGATATATAAGTATAACCGATATTTAAAGCAGCCGGACCGACCCATCCTGTGTCCCTCTTGAAATATACGACACATGCATTGTAACTTAAGAGATTCTTATAGCAATCCAAATATCTTCCATAAAAGTAAATCTTATACAACGTGAAAGATTAAAGTATCCTATAGATCTCGGACTTTACAGGAATGAGTGGATTAAATAAGATGTAAGATTATCTAGAAAGCCTTCATAGTTCGAGCCACTGCCAACCTGCTTTCAGTATGTAGTAATCTGCGACGCAAGGTCTGCACAGCGACAACCGAGATAAGATCGTGACGAAACTGAAGCCAAAGTAGCTGCCTAAACAGGAAATAATCACACACCTAATTCATGTATCGGAGACCGAAGCCGTGGTCCCTGCTTTCATAGTGGGAGTCGTAGAGCATCGCTTCATGCCTAGTAAATCCCTAAATGCGCCGAAGGCTTCATTTCATCTTCCCGATTCCCGTCCGTGGCTTGGTGGTGCGTTCCATGGTGTACGTGGTGGCACATAGGGCTTTATGAATCTTGAGCGTTATTTGTAGGGTATAGCTGCTTAGGAATAGAAGGTTGTGGAAAAAGACATTGCAGATGTAGTTGTTGGAATGATGGGGTGAGTGTTGCGTACTCAGCTCATTCTCCCATAATCCGACGAATCAGATTCGTGATGGTAGCGTAAATACAGCGGATAGATTCGAGTGTCGGGGAGAGAAAGGGTGATGGCTTGCAGAATTAACTTCACCTTGGCGGCCGGAATAGTGAAAATACCGGATAAATGAAGACAGAGCTCGTGAGTTGGCCCGGTGGCGTGGAGACTGTGATTGATTAGTGGGCTGATATAGGAAGTAGCTCTATTTTGAGGGACAGTGTTCCAAACTGCTGTCTGAAAGCTATCCCAGAATAATATGATTGCATCTGACTGCAGCTATGTTCTTCATTCCGTTGTATCCGCTTATTGCGGCGCATCAGACAGAAAAGCCAATTCTAGAAAACGGCTATTTTCATTCCACATGTGCGCAAAATATCCAATAAGAGTATTGAAGACATCTGGAAGAGCCACATGAGCCTTCTCATCTGATGGTTTCGTTCCCAGTCTTCTATGACATGGGAACACACAGAGGGTCGCAGTTATATACAGCCAGTTCATCATCCCCCAATTTAGAAATCGATAACTCGATGTCGTTGTCTCGTTGTCTGCTTTCCTCTGTCATGGACGCTCATAAAAGTGCCCGCTATATGTTGGAGGTTTACCCCAGACGAGGCCAACGTTTTGCAGGATTTGTAGACTTCGGCTTGCACCATACCCGACTAGGATCCTGACATCGCTCTCCAACACTGAATCTCACAGAATGTGGATGTCGTGTTAAACAATCAAAGTCTGAGTCAGAAGTTTGCTGGAAGATCTATAGCGACGAGTAAAGCAGGTTACTCTTTTTTCTTGGACCAACAGCATGACAATTCTTCCGTGTGTAGTTATTGCGATGAATGAAGGGCAGGGTTTATTGTTCGCTATCATCAGTCTGTCTCTGTCATTAGCAATTGGCAATTGGTTGTTGGTTGATATATGGACAGCCACTTTTCGTTTTATTTGACAGACCCTCCTGCAGAATGAGAACTGAGCTCTTCAAACCCCATAAGAAACGTATGAATGAATCAATAACAGCTCTCTAGTGCCTAGTATGTCCCAAAGTACACGTGGACCTCTGACCCCTTGGCCGAGAATGCTCTCGACCTGCCGATGACATTTTCCAGAGCTCGTGGCATAGCCACGGTCCATTAGCGGATCGACCACAGGGAGGACCGATTTCACACACAGAGAGGGCTCTCGCTATATGACGAAAGGCATCAAGGCACAAATTTGTGAGATCAGCTTGGACCATACCAGCATGTAAGAGATATCCAGGTCGGGAAAGGTCCCTGGATTGAAGTGTTGCTCATACACGAAGGGGCAAGTACCACATGGAAGTCATAATGAATACCGGGAGATGCTGTTGTCATGCACTTGAAATTCCACCACAGCCATAATTACTGCCTCTTCGTTGTTGACTATCGTCTAATTAACCACCCTGCTTTTCTTTGATGGTAGATGTAGATGGTTGATAACATTTAGTCTCGCGGCGGAGCCAGCATGGGTCTGGTGTCTGTAGAGAATTCGTTCACGATATGGTGAGGTTACGGCGCATTGAATGTATTCCGATCATGTATGTTTCAGCACAAGGATTGACTGACGTTATAATCAGAAGCTGGAGATGCTGATTTGCACTGTCGTCAAGTTCAGCACTGACCCCAGAAACTCCCTGTTATTATCGGTATGATCCTTCCCACCAAGTCGCTTTTCGGGCTCATCGTGTCGAATTCTCTAGTTTTCACAAAGTGATGGTGGTCACGGATGAGGCATTCTGTTTGTAACTGGAGCCTTGATATTCAGCACCCGTGGGTTAGCTCCGTAGTCAATAATGACGCCTAAAATTCGAGACGTTATTGGTGGTATGAACTAGAGAAGAATGATAAATGCGCGATAATGACTAAATTCATTTATGCCAGTATACGCGAGTCTCTGCTTCCAGACAAAAATCGCTCGAGGCCATCAATGTGAGCTTTGTTGTGGATATGGAAAAGTGCGAATTTCGAGGCCATTCGTTAAAGTCACAAGTGGCGTGCGTGTTTGAAAACCGGAGAATTGAGAATTTGGAAAAGCAACAAGTGTATCACGGTTGAAGATGGCAGGCACTGTCTGAAAAACAGCAAGTTCCCAGCCATACCCCTCTCGTGACCATATCCGGTAGAATCTGGGAGGTCGATGATATCGGTCTCCAGTACAACGAGGGAGTTGGCAAGCGTGGAGTCTTGGGTCCCAGTTCTGTGAAACCACCAATCGAGAAGGCAGGCGTAGTGGAAGCTAGGAGCACCTGAGAGATTCAGGAAGCTGTCTCATTGACACCATCATGGCTCTGTTGTAGGACTTTCATTGTGACCAGGTCCAGTTCGTTGGAAGACCGTTTTGGTGGTATACTAGTTCTTCGTGATTCACTGGCAGTCCCAGACTCTTCATGCCGTCTGTCACTCCTCGTAATATCTTTGTTTAACCAGCAGCCGCATCGTCCGCCAAGTTGTAGAGCTCCTGTTGGACCACGGGCGATCAGACTTGTGGCCAGAATGGAGTCATCCCCCAGGCACGGTAGATGGTGACACTCATCCCGGAATTTCAAATGCCGAAGAACAATGTGACACCTTTCCTAGAACATAAGTCGTTTCCCTGCTGCTTAGAATCGACTCTCTGGGTCTACACGTCCTAGTTCTGTGATAAACCGGCGCGGTATATCTTGAGCTCATCCTCTCTTGCTTTCTGTGCTCTCTCTTCCACACTAAGGAACTTCGGAGGACCAAGAGCTTTTCCTTGAATTTGGTTAGAAGAACTTTTGGTGGCCGTTTCTTGTTTGATTCCTGACTGTGTGTTCTTAGTTCCCCTCTTTGGGTATCCGAATCACCTCCCCAGTCTCTTCTATAACTTCTTTTTGGTTGACTCCCTTGTGCCCGTTTATACTATCCAAAGGGATAATACCTGGCAAGGTAATAGGTCATCCAGGTAGAGGATAGTTTCCTGTACGACATGCATGCACTGGTGCTTTTGTCAATGGGTATGATTCGAGGGATGAAGCGATAGCTCAGGTTGTCCATTAAATCAACAACAACCACAATATGGTCCCACGGTGATCACAAAAATTGACTCTCCGTCCTGACGACAACTGTGGGTCCAATAGTGTGATAATTCTTGGTTTTAGGAATCATATTCAGCTTCGATCATGTCTGGATCTCACAGTCCTCCCTAATCGTGCATAGTCGTATCATACCTCGAATATATGAAGCATAGCTAACCCAAGTCTATATTGTGGTGTATTCGATGTAGTTTTCATCCGACACCAGAGAATTAATCTGATCCTTAGATAACGATGGTATGAACTGTCCTGGCTTTCCCAATATATATGTCGCGGCTGAGAGACAAGATAGAAAATTGTTCAAGAGTCACTCGTCCCAGTTACTAGCAAGTAAAGTGAGTGCATCTAGATCAATACCTCGTCGGGTCAACAACCACGACAGCAAGTAAATCTGTGCGACTCCGCATTTCGCGTGCCAGGATCCAATACGCCGTGAAAGCTGGGTACGACAAGAGACGGACGGCTCGAATAGACGTTGGTAACGTCGGACTGTGTCAGTCAGGCATTGATGATGGGCCTTGTTTCAAGTGACCGCAGACAATCTTCTTGTTTGTCCTCGTTGCTGTGCCCATGTTGGGGTTTGATGGAGGGTACCGTACCACTGACAGATAGACCCGGGGACCTCATTCAAATATCATTTGCAGATTCTCCAATCACTGGTGCTGTCGTCACTGCCATTGTGGAATGTACAAGACCATTCGTCCTGGTCTGTCCCAGTGACTTGCTATAGATATCTGTAATATCGCCTGTCGAAAGCATGGACAGGGAGAGTCATGAAAAATACCGTGTTGTGCCATGTCGCAATTTTGCAACCACAGCTATCAGGTATAGAAACAATTACCTCATAGGAAGCGAGGTTATTGACCACGATCGTCTGCAATTCGGTATGAAATCCGATGCTTCCCGATAGCCATACACTGACTGGCAGGGGTGTAGATCCACCACAGTGAGGCAAACAGCATTTTACAGAATTCTCTGCTTTCAACAAATGCGAACTAGTAGACAACTGGTGACAGCATGTGCACGCGGACCGGCTTGTGGTTCATAATAATGATAATAGGAAAAATGGATAAGTAAAGATAGAGAAAAGATAAAGATCGTAGAGTTCCACAGCCAACAGCGGGTATTTCTTTAGCTTATTCACGCTGGGAAACCCGTATGCTGTCCAAGACTCCGTCTGAAGGCCCTGTCTGGCGAAGTCTGTTGACGAACGGGCGATCATTTAATCAATATAAGATATCCTTTAGTGAGTTGCTGCTAACAGTATGTCCCATTATTGGACCGCTTGCTTTGTCCAAATTCCAAGCCAACTCTTGGGTCCTTGATACAGATATTCCATGGACTGGTGAGCTGCATGCCCGGGTCGCTGCAGCACCTCGATATACACGCCAACCATGCTATGCAGTGCGTTGAATTTGTGCAGCACAGATCTGGCTTCCGCGATTTCCTGGTTTTATCTCCTAGGGTTGATCATCGTTACGGTGGCTGTATATGGTGCAGTAGCTCGAGTCTTAAAAGACCAATGTATCTTGTCGACGGTATGTCTAGCATCGCGAAAGACGGTTAGGGGTTGCTTAGTGAGTAAGGCATGGGCCAGATGATCTTTTTCAAGGCGCGGTCAGATCTTCTCATCTTGACATCCAGAGCAGTCTGAACCTCCGTTGGCGAGATGCTTGGCTTGAGTAGAGTAGTCTGTACCCAGCTGCGCCAGAGACAGTTACCGTAAGCACAACAAAATAGTGCTTCGCCATCGTGAGACGGGCTATGACATAGCTCCGAATATGATCGTCTCGAGTTAGCGTATATGGCATAACATTCATATCATTCCCAGTCCATGTCCTATCATGGTTTCCATTCTTTTTCGGAGTCCAGGCCATCCTGGAGCAAGCCGTCCACGTCTTGAGACAGCTTTATATACCCCATCCACTGTATATAGTCCTCAACTAGCGCTTGGTCCCTGCCTTTTTCTTGTCAGTAGGGCTCCACGTACAGCAAGTAGACGCAGTCTCATCGATAAGGAGCGAGCCGTATAGCTTTCATCATGAAGCAAATCGCATGATTCGTCCTCGAGATCGTTCTCGCAGGTCTCATTGTTCGTAATTCACCATACTAACAGTGCCAGGCGGGTCATCATCTCAATCCATCACCAGTCGCTTCCCTCATTATACTTCTGCTCGACGCAAGCATAAGCTCCCATCCCCAGCGCCTCTCAACAAACCTCTCGCTCCTATTCTCAAAAGCCCAGTTGGTTCTTATGCACGTGGCAAGGTGCCAGATCCCTATTAGGCAGCACAATGCAGCGCTGATAACCATATATTTGACCCTGGCCATTCTGTGGCCATGGCTTCCCAGATGGCCTGTGGCATGTGCGTAGCGACAGTCGCCACATCCACGACCAGATGAGGTCGAAGATGGCGAGGCCAGTCAATGTCGGTATAGAAAAATTGCACTGAATATGCACGTCGAAGGCTTCCTCTGAGATCTCTGTATGATTCGGGCGAATTGCGGAATCATTCTGACGACACAATTCAGAATGACGCGGAGTCTGATGGCATATGCAAAGGTGGCTCGATCGATCCCAAAATGCTGCCCTCGGCTATAACAGGGATTAGGAATAGTATATATATATTAAGACATGCAACTAGCGCATCACATAACGCAGGGGCCTAGTTGAGCGGGGTAGTGTCCTATCACAGGCCTTTACATAGATAGAGAGAAAAGAGGAGTTGGATGCAGAAGATGAAGCCAGAAGGGAAAAGAAGAAGAAGAGAAAAGAAGAGAAAAAAAAAACCCCCAGAACCCAGGATAGTAGGGCACATCCGGTGAAGCCACTCCATAACCAGATTCACCCCAACCGACACCAACAAGTACTGGTGACTCCCATCAAGTGGCAACTCCATCACCTAGGATGATACAATCTCAATGAATGAATTAAGCATAATTCCTCCCATCAATCGCCCCTAGAATATTCCCTAGACGGTGAGATGATTCAAGTTTCAAGACAATGTGATGAGTGCAGCAGTGACGTTGAGCGATCGGCAAATCCATCGTATGACGAATCCCGATCATGCCACGGCCGCGGCCACAACCACAGCCACGGCCCACACATCAGGCTACCCCGACTCTCCCTCAGATGATCGGCACCCGTCCCCGTCTCCTTATAAATAACCACTTCCCCGGACTCTGGACTCCTCCGTATTATACCCGCTCTGGACAACTGGACATATTCAACCAACCACCCAAACTTACTAAACACATTCATCCACCATGAACCTCTCCGCCTCATCCGGATCTCCACGACCATTCATCAAGGGCCCATCTCTCCCGCCCGCATTCAAGAGACCTTCTCGGTGGTACTTACCCCCTCCTCCCTCTCATCCACTCACTCCTTAATTAACGAAATCAGGTACCTCCCCCTAATGGGCGCCATCGCACTCGGTAAGTCACCCATCCCCCTTTTATCTCACTCATCTAATGCATTGTACACTGGACAGGCTTCGGAATCACAAACTACTACCAAGACCAAGCCAAACACTACCAATACACCCGAGAAGAAGAAGAACGGCTGCGCAGGAACCGCGCCCTGATGGATGCGTACGGGGATAAAGAGACTGTGCAGGATATTGAGCGCGCGTTGGTGGTTTATGATTTGCAGTGATATGCTTAGGATGGTTGGGATAGGATATGGGTATGGATGGGTATGGGTTTGGATTGGGTTTGATGGCGTTAATGGCGTTGGGATTGGTGCCTGGCTGGGCTGGGCTGGGTCGATTTGGGATGGTTCATCTTGATGATATGGAACGGGGGATTTGGGGAAGGAATGCTTGATGCGTTCCGTTATGATAATGACTATGAGGCAAGCTGGTATTGCATTCATTTATCACCACCACTGGTCAAGGAATTCATTGTTCTATATTCTTGGATGAAGTGATCTTGTCGTATTCATTCATAGGATATAATGAGTGAAGATATTCATAAATACCCTTCACGTGCTCAATTCCCTAGACTGCCAACCGAGTATCCCGATGGAACAATCCCATTGGCCAAACAGAAAGCGCATATGCACGCACGCGTACCCAACCATCTCTTGTCCATCACATCCCATATTCTATCCACTGTCGTATATTCCCATCCTCACATTCCAGAGAGCCCCTGAATTGAATTTCTCGCCGTGGAGTAGACCGACCTATTTGTCAAATGTGCTAATTCAATGGTCCACTACCCAAAACACAAAATAATCCGCGGTAAACGCCGTAGTATCAAACAATCAACTTACCAATGATCATAGCAAAGAACGCGTACTTCATATCGAGGAAAGCAGGTCGCAGTGTTAGGCCAAGGAAGTACTCCGTACACGGTGGCTATGCGGGGTTCGGCATCCAGTCGGATTCGGTAGAAATATTATCCACGACGCGAGGCATAGGGTGGCTGCTCATCGGAAATTTTACTGCGTCTGATAAGGAGTAGACGTGGTTGTTTCCCCTGTAGTCCGGTGCTATGTTATCCCAGAAACCTACATAAAAGGTTAGTAGGACTGGAGTCGGAGTATTGAGATGCGATGGTGTACTACAATAGCGGTATCAGATGGTGATGCGGGTACAAGTTAAGCCCTAAGGATGCTAGTGAAGCAATAAATCTATCTACATCACACCAACTCAATCGAGACATTCTCCCCCCCCAATCGCACCCAGTCATCCTCGTGGATGCTACAATCCATGAGCTGCACCCGCTCCCACCCGAGGCATTGATCCCCCTCCATCCGACGCTCAATCAGCATGAGCAGGGTAATGGTAAACCGGGATTGGGAGAACGATTGGCGTCCACCATGCAAGGCCATAAATGCCAAGGCCCCATCGTCACGGTCCTTCAGCCGCCACTCCTTATCTAACCAGATCGATCCCAGGTGGGGGGCCCATCCCAGAGCGCCGCCCAACGCAAAGACCGAATACAGCCCGTTCGTGCCGTCCGATCGTATCCAAATCGAGCCAATGTGCAGTTTTACAAGACTCGCGTACAGCGAGAGCCCTGGACGGTGCGTCAATTTGCCAGAGATGCTGGTGGGAAAGCCAAACGTCTTCGGATGGTTCTGGTAAATGGGCTTGCGGGGATATGGGGACGGCTCCTCGGGGTGGGAAACTCCATCATGTGGGAGGTTCGGGATAGAAACAGGACGGGATTGAAATAGACCCGGTCCTGCCAGCCCAGCCAGGACCAGCTGGGAAAGGCCCGATTCCGGAGACCGGGATGGTGCCGCTGCGTCCGCCAGCAAAGGGTCTGATCAAAGGCCAAGATCGGATGGCCGTGCCAAATGATCCACCATTGACCCTTCCCGTCAAACCCGCGGTAGGCTCGGAAGATGGCCTGGAAGGCGTCGCTGCGGTCCTCTTCCGTGAGAAATTCTCGCCCCGAGTACTCTTCGACGGCGGCGAGGTACAATCCCAGTCGTTTGTTTTCAAGGTAACCAAACATCTTACCGACGGTCTTCACCCCCAGTCCACGGTCATCTTCGGCAGTGATCCGGGCCCCAGTTGCGCTGTAGATCCCCTTCTGGCACTGCACGAACACTCCCGCAGAGGTGAAGAGAAGGGCTCGGTGCGAGAGGACCATTTCTTGATAGGACCATGCGCGCCGCATCCATGGGGACGATGTGAGCAGGGCTTGAAGGGATCCCTCCGTGTTCACGACCGACGATGTATCCTGGAGCAGTCGGTCATCCGTGGTCTCCGCCGACACGGGCGCCAGGAGACATTTTGCCTGGGCATATATTTGGGGCAGTCGTAAGTTTTGGAACTTTTGGTCCCGCGAATCGTCCTGCATGATACAGAGACAATCCACCCAGAGGAACCGCTCTCCCAGCACCTTGCACACCAAGATCGCATCTTGGACCGTTTTCGAGATCTCCGGCCACGATGCTGTCAAGCCCCCTGGCCTGGCAAGAGTTCGGCGGGTTTCCCGGGTCAGCCGGAGAGAATCGGACCCTTTTGGAACGCACCCCAGCACCAGGTAGTCACACTTGTCTGGAGCGACGACAATGCAGCGCTCCTCAAGATCGATCAACTTGAAAGTTGTTCCCGGGATTGCCACCCACTGGCAAGGAAGCCCTTTGCATCCCGCATGATTGCTGTCTCCTTCACAGTATGCGAGCCAATCTCTAACCGGAGCAAAGTCGATCCCTGCCAGGGTCGACAAAGTGATCAGAAGTGGAAACCCGGGCTGTATATCTTCAGGGGGATTGGTTTGGGCCGATGGGGCTGGTGGGGTATCGATGATGGTCACCGTATTGTTTGCGGCAGAGTCCTCTGCTTCGGACACGGTCTCAGCATCGTTCCATGGACATTGCAAGCGATGATCCGGCCAGAGAGACGAATATAACCGACGCGCTTGGATCCATTCCCCATCATGCCACTCGCCCTCCGAGCTGAAGTCTGTGTATCAGCGCAGATCAACCACCAAACAAAAACACGCACTGGACAAAAAACTGGCTCGGTGCTAGCATATGTGCTCGCAGCAGCAGACACGCGACAATGATGTTGTATGGCTTTCTGGCGGTGTCAACGGACCGCCACTCGGCGGCTTTCTGAAGGCGGAATGCATCTTGATGCTCCTTGTCAACGCCGTTGAAGATAATGCCATGTTCTTCATCCGCCGTGGGGGGGCTGAGGTTGCCGCCGGCGCCAGGGCCACATATGCAGACGTCTGCAGCCTCGAAAATTATCTGGGTGTCGCTGACCAAGGTGGGCCATGCTGAAGTCCACTCTGATGATAGCCAGAGTGCCCAGTAGGAATGTTTGTAACTATACTATCAGTTCAAGCTTTCCTAATGGTTCTTTACTCACGTCATGGTGTTGATATGGCCGTAAGATCATGGATTAACCTCGTAAAGGAGTGTTGTTGATAAAGATAGTACGGGGTATGAGCAGTAGGTATGATGAAATTGATGTATCATAGTTGGAGAGGAAAGATGGAGATGGATGGAGGAAATGGATATAGATGTAGGGATGGATGTGGTCATTATGGCAGGCGCAACAGGCATATTGAGTACCTGCTCCTGCCATTCTCCAATTGAATACGCGGCTCTTGTAACGGGTTGAATGTAAGAAAGGAAATAATTGTCCATAAGAGCTCAAAATACGATGTACGGACAAGAGGAGTGATTTGGTTATGGCCATACAAGCTTCGCGAAGACATCCAGTTTTGCTGCTAGACCTGAAGACTAGGTTCGCTTTGTTCATCAGGCTCCCACGCAAGGACCCAAGACTCCATTTCCTTCAGCTTCTTCTCGACAAGCGATTCCATATCCTGCTTTTGATTGTCATCAAGCAATTTAAGTCTCTCTTTCCACGACTCGTCCAGTGTTCCTGGCCCAAAGAAGCGCTCGTCAAGCTTCTGCCAGAAGATAGCATCAAAAGCAAAGTTCTTCCGCGCTGCATAACTGACCCAAAAGTCTCCGCTCCGCCAGCTCTCCCGCATGTGTCCAGAGAGTCTCTGTTCTTCGCTCAAGCGTCCAGATTCGATGAGTATTTCTTCTCGCTTAGACAATACCTTTAGAAAGGACTTTAGACGATAGTCATAGACTTTGGTCCATTCATTGATCCCTCCTGGCCAATACTCCGGCTGTTCGAGCAACAACCACCAGGGCGGCGCGGCGGAAAATTCAGCCGGGGCTGCGTAGGTGAACTCCCAGTCGATAACACCCACGACCTGCAAATCTGCATTTAAGAGGACATTGGAGGGCCGAAGGTCATCGCACCACAGCTTGAATGATGAATCAGGATGTCGAGCAGAGGCAGTAAGTTGGCGATCGCTTGACAGCTTGCGAAACAGTTGCCGGGCGACGTATTTGCGTCGACAATCAGTGGCCGAGTCTATTGCGTCATTGCGTTGGTGCGTCAGATGCTCCATGTGTAGATCAGCAAGGGCATCGAAATAGGACGAGGCGGATTCAAAGGTGCCTCGTGGCAGACTTGACCGGGACAGAGTTCCTAGCCGCACCAGTTCGTTCATATGGATCGACAAAGGCCGTTGTGTTACCTCGTAAGTGCCGTTATTGACCTGTTCGAGGGACCCGATTCGAGGAAAAGACAGTTTGTTGAGTTGCAGCAGAATTTCTGCAAGTTGACCGTATAACATTTTCAACTTCTCGATGTCAATGTTTGGATCAAGGCGTGGGCGGTCTTCTATGCCGAGCCCAGGCATATTCAAGGCCCGACTCATGTTTGTCTCATGCTCTATGTACTCCATGATGATGAATGGGCCCATCCTAGGAGGACTTTCCTCTGCCGTACCGCAGTATAGGATGGATGGGACGGGAATGGAAGTGTGCTTCTGAATATATCGAATGGCTGCCACCTCGTTACGAATCTTTTCTTCCGGAAACATTGTCGCTCCGGGTTTGGGGAAGCGGATGATGACAGAGCTGCCATCTAGGTACTTCATCCGGAATGAAATGTTGAAGTACCCAGCTTTAGGATCACCCAGCTCCTCAGGCACACCACTTCGGTGCTTCAAGATGAGATGACCGATGGCCCGGAGGGTGTCTTCATCAGCTAGAAGCCATTCCACCCAGCTGTCTGTAATTCTCTCGCTTTCTTCCCAAGCGACGTCGTCAAAGTGCATGCGTGTTTTCATCTTGTGAAGTGCAATTTTCCGATACTGCTAGAATGGACGGAGGAAAGTGAGGGGCAGCCAACATTAATCAAGTTGCATTAGCGCTAGCCTAGCTCACTTCTGTCTGCCTCATCTGCTATTATACGTTGATACCTTGTATACTAAACTCGCCAGAGACTAGACCATCCAAAAAATCACCAGACAGATAATATGATGACAGTCATTCCTTGCAATAGAGCAAAAGTGTAAAAAACAGCGCTGCCTGGAGTAATTCATTCCTCAGCCAATACCTCAAACGGTATAGTGGAGATCCCTCCAACCACACCACAGAGCATCGTAGCATCACTCTTATTCAATAAGCAGTCTCTGGGAGCATGACCATCTGAGCGATACAATTCTCGTATTCCCAAATAGAATCCTCTACGATCATACTTAAGGCCCACCCATCCAACGTCGGCCCTATCGGCCTGATCGGTCCTATCGGTCCTACCGGTCCCATCGGCCCCATCGGCCATACCGGCATCACCATCACCACAACCCAACCCTATAAAACACCCATCCCCATCCCCATCCCCATCCCCATCCCCATCCCCATCTCAACAATCATCACACATCCACTACATCCAATTCACACATACCCTCCTTCCAAACCATATTCTCTCTTCATACAGAAAGAAGAAAAAAAAGGAAAAGCACCATGCCCCTCAAAATCCTCATCACCGGCGCCGGCATCGCCGGCACAACCCTCGCCTACCTCCTCGCCCACTCCCCCTCCCACCACCCCAAAACCACCTACAACATCCTCATCCTCGAACGCTCCCCCACCCTCCGCACAACCGGCCTCCAAATCGACCTCCGCTATCCCGGAATCCAAGTCCTGAAACACATGAACCTGGAGGAGGAATTTCGCGCGATCAGCATCCCTGAACAACGCCTAGCTCTTGTTGATGGAAAAGGTCGACGGTGGGGATATTTCCCCGTGAATGGGAGTGGGGAGGGGAAGCAGAGTTTTACGACGGAGTGGGAGGTTATGAGGGGGGAGTTTTGTGGGTTGGTGTTTCGGGGAAGTTTACGATCACGACCACAACCACAAGGGGATGGGAGTGGGAAGGGGAGTGGGGGCGGTGTGAGGTATGAGTTTGGGATATGGGTTGAGGAAGTACATGAGCTGGATGGCGACGATGGGGTGGAGGTGGTATTGTCCGATGGAAGAAGGGAGAAGTTTGATATTGTGGTTGGGGCGGATGGATTAGGCTCGCGGATGAGGGGGATGATGATGACGGGGGCGAATTATGGAGATGTCACTGGGAAAGAGGGCGTTCATGATCTGGGGGTGTATGCGGGGTATTTTACTGTCAACAGGGAGATGGAAGATGGAGAGGGGTATGATGCCACGGGGTTTATTGCGACGAACGGACGGGGCATCATGACGAGACGGCATGAGAGGGAGAGGTATTTGGTTTATTTGATGTGTAGGGCTGTGGGGGAGGGAGAGGGGATTGAGCGCGGGAAGAGAGGGGATATGGAGAAGGAGAAGGAGATTCTGAAGAAGTCGTTTCGGGGGGCGGGGTGGAAGACGGAGGAGATTCTCACAGGAATGGACGAGGCGGAGGACTTTTATTGTGAGCGCATGGGGGTGGTCAATTTGGAGCGCTGGTCGAGGGGCCGGGTGGTGTTGCTGGGCGATGCGGCTTATTGTCCGTCGGTGATGACGGGGATGGGCACGTCTTGTGCCATGGCTGGGGCTTATATCCTTGCCGGGGAGATGGGGAGGCTTGGAAGGGATGGCATGGTCACGAAGGAGGATATTGAGGGTGTTCTGGCACGGTATGAGGAAAAGCTCCGGCCGTTCATGACTCATGTGCAGAGGGGACTCTTGGACAACAACGATTACATGGGCAAGTTTCCGTCATCGGCATTGGGAATCGGTGTCATGTATTTTCTGATTGCTGTGGCTTCGTTTTTCAAGCTGGATGTTCTGGTGCGGTGGGTGTTGCGAGAGGATACGAATGGCTGGAAACTGCCAGAGTATCCGGATGTGTTTGGCAAGTGAGGTTATTCACATTTGTCAAGATAGTCTGCAATAGATAGGTTTATGAATGATATCTCCACTCTTAGGGTTGATAAAGCAAGTCCTTAGATCCAAATCGTTGCTTCTGCGTGGTGGGCTTACCACTGCGAAAGGACCTGAAAGTCAGAAAAGTCAAAGTCAAGCTCCCCATCATGCACCCAATTGAAATCGCCATCTAGAACCCCGAAGCCATCCAACGAAGGATCCTTGTTGCCTGAGCCGGAGTCAACCTCCGAACTCGTTACATCTGGCACCCTGGCGACCATCTCCTTCAAGATGGCATGAGCCTCGTCCACACTCTCGTGAAGAGTTCTCGAGATGGCCTCTTTCTCCGGCACCCCATTAAGACGAGCCTCCACCTGGGCCATCATGATATTAAAAAAGATATAGATCTTGACATTCGTTTCTCCGTGCCATATTCGGTCCTTAGCATACTGCACCACGGAGCGAGCATCCCGGAGCAGTATCTCCTGGCGAGCAAGGTCTCTTTTCTTCGCGAACATGGAGCTCTCCGCTTCTTGGTCGGCGCCAAATTCCAAGAAAATAAGCATTGCCGCGCGCGTGATGATGTCGCGAAATATGCCACCGCCACAGCGAAGAACGCGACTGTAGAGATCGTCTTCGAGAAGTGAGACAATATCCAACGCTGCCTCCACACCGACGTGCCTGGAATAAGTGTAGAGAGGATTAGCCCTTGCTTTGATGGCGAATGAGTAGTGAAGACATAAGGGAAAGCGACGAATCATGTGGGTGCATAAGCTGGCTGCAAATTGGGTGGGGGACGTCCGAGTAATTGCAACCGCGACATCGCGGCACGCTGTCCCTAGTTCGTTTCCAATATGGAGGATCTGATCGTACGACGGTTCCTCCCGCAGGCAATTGATAACCCTTGTGGCTTGAAGCCGCACAGGGATTGATTTGCATAATATGGGCTGGAAGTTGATCGACTCTCTGTTTGAACCCTCGTCCTTGTCGGGCTCACCACTCGGAGGCTCAGTATTCCAATCCCCCGTCGCAATCATCGGGTGCATTCCCGAGTCCAATGCCGCTTGCAGGTTCAACTCCAGTATAGTGTACCACAGTCGCCGACGTGTCTCCTTCAGCATAGGGTTCATCTCGCCCAGGTATTTCGGATCTTGGTGCAGTCCCATCTGCATGGCCATTCGCATCAACGAGCCTGCCGAGATCCAGATCAGATCGGCCCCAACTCGGTGGACCTGACGAGCGAGCAGCAAAAGGCAGTGAACTTGAATGCCTCTCAATGTCAGGCGGCCCTTTTCTAGCGGTGCAGAGAGCCATGTCTGGGCAGTATGAATCCACGTGTGGGCCTTTGCAGACACATTGTTGCGGACATTCTCATCCTCATGTAAAGGGCCTGTGATGGCAATCACGAGAAGTATCTGCAACAGAAGAGAACTCTCACATGCCTCTGCATCATTTAAAGAGCTTCCACACTCCATCACAAACGATGGATAATGGAAAATCCGATAGCATGTCTCGAACGTGGAGAAATAGAGCCGAATCAGCTCATCTACCAGTTGACGGTCGGGAAGCGATTGATGGATATCAGCCGGAAGAGAGCTGCGACTTGGATATTGACTTTTGATTCTCCGACCCAAAATCTTGCATTCAGCGATTGTCTCTATAATCGGGTTCAAAGGCCCGTTTGGATGCCGGGTGATGGCCTGGTACAGCTCCCCAATGGGCTCCATGATCGTCAATGCTTCCAACTGTCGGTGTTAGTGAGCCATAGCTTCATCAGTCGAGGTCCCTACGTGAGAAAAGGTGTTCATCCAGTGGCCATTCCCGAATACCCTCGTCTTGGACATAGTGCCTTGTATATGCCCTGTTGCGGTTTGAGGCGTGTCAGACGCCTGGGTGACCTGTTGGGCGGTACTAGTACTCTGAGCTCCATCTGGTCGCTGAATGCTATCACTGCTGCTGACTGGATGAGATATCTCGCGAACGCGACGCGCATAACGGTTCTCCTCGTATATACACGTTGTAGCGATGTTGAGGTGCACGCATTGTCTGCAGGGTTTGGCCCGGTCACATCGGACTTTTCGTTCGCGGCACGTGCTGCATGAAACAGGTGTCCGTCTGCGCTTTTGTCGGGTTGATTGGGGGACACTGGACATTGTGATGAATTGAGAAGAGGGAGATGAAGGATGGAGGATTCCGAGTTGATCCGAACAGAAGCCAAGGTGGGAGCAACACGTGATCTGACATGATGGTGGCAGTCAGCTTAATGCTACTGCATATCTTTCCAAACAGATCTTGTCACAATCTTATTACATTGAGGAGCAGTACATGTTGCGGGGAAATAATGAAAGTGTGACGTTACGGACTACGGAGGCCGGAGTTGAAATTTCCGAATATATATCCTGGACAGAGGCAGGTCTTCCAGGGTCACGCCGACTGGGGGAATTGTAACGTAACCAGTCCAAGTCAGTTTCTAGTATCCACAATAAGCAATTGACGACTCTGCTGATGACTCTGGAAAGACTAGTAGAATGCGATCAAAGTCAAGTCAAGAGACGATCACGGATCCTGCAACGGATAGGGTTGCAAGTAAACCCGCTTCCCAGCGCGGCTACCATTTCGTCCTCCAACCCCATCCCTTCACCCTGATCCTAACCCAGAGAAAGGATAGAAGAGCACCAACATAGCTAAGGCCCGCAAAAAGCGCAGTTCCCCGATACCTTTCCTTCCCGCTTGCCGTCACAGCATCCAGAAGGCCCCCACCGATCGGCAGACTCGCCAACACCCCAAAAGCCACTACCGTGAAGCAGCTCGCGTAATATCGCCCATACTCCTGTGTATCACACAGCTGGCCCAAGCATATTGGTGTTAAGCTGACATTGGAACCACTGAAAAATCCAAACAGTGTGACGAATACCACGAAGAGTGCCGTACTGCTTAGATCCGGGACGAGGATATCTGGGAGCCAGAAGCATAGGACGGACACTGTGCAGAAGAACAGCGAGGCGATCATGGTATTATACCGACCAAACCGATCAGCAAGATCTCCAGCCACGTACCGACCAACACATGACGCTGCATTCAGAATGGCGAGCAGCTGATATGCAAAGGCCGCGGATCCTGTTAGTGCTTCGTCCTGAGGTAAATTCTGTCGATCGATATAATAGCTCGGGACATACGTGATAGGGATAAAATAGGCCAGATCTGTAAGTAGGACACCAACAGTTGTAAGTGCCATGGCGCTTGTCCCATCGAGAAATATTCTATGGTCGGGTAATGTATCCCGCCAGGTGGTCTCTGTTCCTTTGCGTGGCGGCACTCTGCTCCGGCAGAATGCTACGCTGATGGCGCATAGAACAAGTAGAACGAAGCCTAGAATGCGAATTGACCATCCCCAGCCAACCTGGGGGAGGAGTGATTGTATCATCAAGGGAAAGAGGACGCCACCGAACCCGCCTCCTATAAAGGCGATACCACTGGCGAGTCCGCGACGCTCCTTGAACCAGTGAGCTACACAGCCCATGGATGGGGTGAGGAGAAGGGATGAACCGATGCCGGTCAGGATGGAGAAGGACAGGAAGATCTGGTAGTACTCTGTATTATGATTAGCCAGCATGTCAACAATAGTAAGCATTCAATCCGAGGGTGTATGGAATCTTGGAAAGATAAATCTTACCCGTACAGACACTCAGTGTAAAGATACCAACCAACGTACAGATCGTGCCCGCCACGATCAATGCACGCGGGCCCATTGCATCAAAGGTCGGTCCGATCTGCACCCCACATACCCAGTTCACAAAGGCGTAGACAGAGAAGATCCATCCAAGGGTAGATGGGGAATCATTCGGCAAGACGACGTTGGAGATAACTGCCTCGAAAACGCCCACTGTGTTATAGATACCAAGGGAAGCTGTCAAGCCACACCATGCGCCCAATACAACTAGCCAGGCATCGCGGCCACCTTCGGGGTAGGTGATTTTCGTATCGGCCGAGTGTGAATTTGGTGTTGGGGTGTGGTGCTGGGGTGTAGAAGAAGGAGTACCCTCGTCATTTATGACGGTCTCCTTATCAGTGGCATCCGAGATGTCCATAGCGGGCACGCTAGTCTCGGACATTGTTCCAATACTGCTGTGACTGCTGGTAGAGACAGAGAACGCGGCTGGAGGTAGACGTAGATTGATGGTTTGAAATATGATATAGCAATCTATGACCAAAGAAAAACCCCCATTCGAAGACCGTTGAATCTGGAAAATGTGATCAAATGGGGAGCATATTGGCATTCAAGTGTTGGTCAGCGACGATAATTGAACTTGTAGTAACCAATGAAACAGCAGCACTGGCATAGTACTCAATGTAACCAATCACCGGTAAGTCTCGGTGGAACCTCTGTTGCGCTAAACCTCAAAAGGATGGGCTGTAAGGCGGTCAGGAAGTGACCGGCAGAATGTGGAAACAACGTCACTCCTTTCACTTTACTTCTGCCACTGCTTGCTTATGTCGCAGCATCATGCAGACAGAAATTTCGAGTGCATCAAATTGTTCCAATATGTATCAAAGTTCCCACTCGCGTTGGAATGCCCTCGCTCACCGCGCCCCCTCTTCGCACTCATCCTTCATCTACGGCGTCAAGTCCACCAATATCTACTGCCGCCCCACCTGTCCCGCCCGCCTCGCACGCAGGGCCAATATCATCTTCTACGACACGGCAGTTGAAGCGCGACGGGACGGCTTTCGTCCATGCAAGCGATGCAAACCGGACACTGCGGAGTTTCTTGGCGAGGGAGAAGAGGTGGTCATCAGAGTTATAGCTCTTTTGAGGATAAAGCAGGATGATCAGAGGATAAAACGCGGCTTGAAGGATTTGGCACGAGACGTCGGAGTTTCGCCAAGCTACCTCTGCCGGGTGTTCAAGAAGACGATGGGGATTACGATAGGCAGCTACAAGAGGGAATTTGAAAAGGAGGCAACTCATATGGAGGCAGAGACTGACACCATAACTGCATCCCCCGAAACCTTTGGCCCATGGGGTATGGATGCTGGGACGGAGCCCACGTCAGACATAATAGCTGAAAGACCCGCGGTACTCGTGAAGGAACCTGACAGCGGATTGGAAGAGGACATGGGAAGCCTTCCAGATGCTTTAAACTTCAATCTGGATGATTGGTTTCGGTTTGAAGACTTTTGGAATCAAGGTTCAACTACTACCAGCGTCGGGTGATTGCCATGTCGGGTTAGTCGCCAATAATGATATCATTAATATCATCATTGTGTCCCTTGATATCATGAGCTGGTCTCAGTATGGTTCGAGCAAGTCACCTGGCTGGCAAAAGTATTTCTTGGCTTACAGGTCGCCATTCGGGTCTTCCGCTGGTTTACTGAAATACTACTCGGCTACTCCGAAGCAGTTAGGCGACTGTCTAGAAAGCTTGAAAATATGTGTTCTGTCGACCTGTCTGAGATCACTCTAGCGAATATTGTGGTAAGCAAGGCGTACGGGACTCTGATGAGGAAGATGATTTGACGGGTATGCCAAGTGACTAGGCTACTTATTCGCCACTTGCGACACCCTGACTTCGTGTAAAAGGGCCAAGGAGTTGGGAAGAGCGACAATGCCTCGGGGAGAAGGTAGAGACTACGGACAGTCCCTATGGGGAGCAAATGGTAAACTCATGTGATACGAGATATAAACTACGCCGAAAGTTACTGAACCTTGCCAGAGATCTACGTACTCGGCCACAGCTATGGGACTAACCGTTGAGACTATGAACACGTTGTGGCCAATGAGAGCTGACCACGAGCAATATACTATTCAGGCCCACCGCACACGAAGTCAATTTTGGTGTTGCAGGGGTGAGCTCATAGTGGTTCATTAGGGCTCCCTGTTGGTGTGTGTGACTGCTTTCTGATAAGCTTAGAAATGAAGCATACTGATATAGAGGCAAGCACGCTTGTTTAGGAAATTGAGTAAGATAATGTGTATGGCTAGTGGGAAGAACGCCCTAAACCTTCCATGTCTGCTCAAGCTGCACAGTGTCTATGAGAGTGAATCAAGTAGGGAAACTTGGGGACATCTCCTTCATCATGACGGAGATACCGAAGTTACCAGGTTTCATCTCGTCAAGAGATAGGCAGCATTGGCTCTAATGTGACTAGATGTCTATAAAAACGCCTAGGTTGACCTTAACAAGGACGAGATGGTTACCGGAGACAATAATCCGTGATTGGATGAAATCCTGTGAGACCAACGAGAACTCGTACAAATCTGTTTTGGATCTTTACTTCTACTTCTTCATGGCCCTTTCAACCTTGGACTACAGTCATTTCACTCTGGGGACCGACGAGAAGCGGGAGACGCTTGCCCATGGTCTTCTCGGCAGCTTTGAAAGAACTGGTTTCGCAAAGATCAAAGGCCATCCTTTTACTGCACAGGAGCTGGAAGAGCTGTTCACTTGGGTAAGACTGGTGATTCCTTCATCTATTACGGGCTGAGCTGTCCAGAGCCACAAGTTCTTTGACCAGCCGGTGGATGTGAAGAACGAGATTCCAAATGAACCCGGACCCAGGCCTATGCGGGGATACACGCCATGGAGAGTCGAGGAAGTCGGAAAGCTTCATTATGATCCTAAGATAAGGGACATCATTGACTCCAAGGTGTGATATCCTCTCTGAAATGCGCGTCCACCTGGCTGATCATTATGACAGGAGCATTTTGATCAAGGCCCTGAATCTGACACGGAGTTTCCCAACAAGTGGCCCACAGCACCTGAGCTGTCAGGCTTTCAACCTTTCATGGAGGTCTTCTACCGCAAGTGCGATGACATTTGTCTAACATTGATGGAGGCCCTGGAGGTCGCTTGGGGGATCAAGGATGGATCGTTAGTCGCGCGCTGCGTGCCCAGCTCCACCGATCTCCGATTGACTCATTACCCTGCCATTCCCGTTGACGAGATGCATTCGGAACGGACCAGTCGCATTGCACCCCATACCGATTTCGGTCCTATCACGCTGCTCTTCCAAGACAGTACTGGAGGCCTCGAAATCGAAGATCGAGCTAATCCTGTCCCTAATTCATTTGTTCCGCTACCCCCGACCGATACATCTGAGATGATTGTCAATGTTGGCGATACACTCACACGTTGGACCAACGGAAGGATTACCGTTGGTGTGCATAGAGTGACCACTCCCGAAGCTATGGAAGACGAAAGTGGTTTGATTATCCCGTCTCGGATGTCCATGGCCTATCCTTCAAGGCAGGTCGCGACGTCTCTGTTGGACCATTGCCAAAGTTTGTGTCATCCACAGCGCCCGCGCTATATCCGGACATGACGGCCCTCGAGTTCCAGAAATGGCGAAACAGCATCGTGTACAGCCTTCATGAGCAGGAATATCCTAACGTTGTGGAACAACTTGCCTACGTACCTGAGGCCACTGCGACGCAGGCGTAATGGATAGGGGTTTGGAAAAGCAACTGATTCTGCTATGGAAGGATTATTGTCATCTAGTATTGGAAATGAGATTGCACATGTCAGAGCAATACTGTGTTTGCGTCGTCTCTCGAGTAGTAGCTGTCACCCTGGACCCTATAGTCGTACATACTAGCATCAGGTTCAACAACCGTTTTTTTTTTATAAATGTGGAAAGCAGAATGTTAAAGGTAATTAGAAATTGAAGAGATTCGCGGTTCGAAAAGGAATCGACTGATAGAGTCCACAATAAGCCATGAGTGAGGAGAGTTTCTTGGCCCTGTGTCATAATGCCCTCTCAGGCCCCCAAGCTTGGCCTTCGCATCTCAACATGCTACAGTCATCCATCAACTACCAACATATACTCCACCTTTCGCAGAAAGACAAATGAGATAGTCCTTGCATTCAACTAGTTGATATAAGCGAAACACAGCGCCGTTTGGCCCTCCTCCCCTCCCCCCCCCCAGCCAGAACCATACCTCATACTCTACTGCTTCACATAACCCTCCTCAAAACAACCAAAACAGCCCTATTCCCCCTCCCCCTCACATAATCCACCCCCTCCCTCCTGAGTACCCTCACCCTCCCCTCCCCCTCCAACCTCCCCACCTCCTCCTCAAACCCCCAATCCACCAAAACCTCCTCCAACACAGTCGCAGCAACAATCCCACCTATCTTAACAACCCGCACAAACTCCCCCAAGGCCGGCCTCGGCCCAACCTGGCCTAGCGTGAACGTCCCCACACATACAACCACATCATATACTTTATCAGGGATGTTAAGATCCCGTGTCAGATCCCCCTGCATAAGGTCCCTGTATACACCAGTCCCCTTGGCAATATCAAGCATAGCGGGGGATAAATCCAGACCACCGATGGTTGTTGCACCGGCTGTGTAGAGCGCTTGGCCGACAAGGCCGGTGCCGCAGCCTGCGTCGAGGATGGTGTTAATGGGGGTAGGGGAGGCGTTGAGAGCGGCGGTTGCGATGAGGGATGGGGCGATGTAATCGTGCACCTTGCTTTGAACTTCGGCGTTGTAGGTTGGGGCCCAGTGGGTGTAGATTTCCATGCAGTGCTGGGTGGTGGGGCTGGTGCGGGGCGAGGTGGAGGTAGGAGGGGGTGGTGGTGGTTTGGGGGGACATTTTGGTGGGATGTTTGGAGAAGGACCGTTGTAGGCGAAAGGATAGTGATGAGGTCTGAGGTAAGTAGGACAGTACTGGCAGTGGGATGTTGTATGGGTAAAGTTGGTCATGGTCTTCATATCGTGTAAACTTATAGTAGTCGCTGTCCCTCGAAAACTGGGTAACTGGGATCAGGCTGGTGAGATGGGACGAGATTGGAAGTCGTTGCTGAAGCTCTGATTGGAGTACGGAGTAGATGAGGTCGGTGGGTAGGCTTTCAGCCCTAACTAGATTTTAACCTGCCAGTTGGGAGTCGGCGCTGCCGATCAGTATGTAGGTCTGATTTGCTAGAATGCGTTCAATAGTATACCACCGGCTCCTAAAACGAACAGAGGTCGACCACATACTCTCTGCATACAGTAACTCATATAGAGAACCTAATAAAGTCTCTATCAGGCAATCACCCACGAGAGGCCTAATCCACGCGCATTAAGTTTCAGCCCTCAGCCTAATATATGTACCAGTCCGTATATCGAGCCTCGCGACTCTTATCTATTCTGCAATCATTAAAAACTCATACGATATCCCATATGTATAGTTTAGATATAACAAATACTTGAAAAGGGTGGCCTGGCGAGTTTATTCATCCAAGGAAGGGCTGCATAGTTCAGGGCCCTCATTCCACCCGTCATGAGGCGACGAGTGGTCTCTCAAGTAGCAAGTCGAAACCGGATCAAATATGTCAAAGCTTGGTATACAAGCGTATGTATATCTTTGAGATCCCCAGTGGAGAATATGCATGTAGCATCTCTTTCCACTTACCACATCACTTCCCTATAGCCCAGTGAAGGAGATTGCCCAGCCACGATGCCTCGTCCCAAAGCAAAACATCAACCCAGAAAAGTACCCTTCTAATTGTCTCTCCCCCTGCCATGAAATACAATCCTCCTACCCCGGACCATACAACTGTCCCCGATGGTCGATACTGTATCTTAGGTCTTCTCTTCCCGTGGGCCCTGACTCTAACCTTCGTAGTCTCCATAGTCATAGAAATCACAGATCCCGATAATACGACTATCATCAAAGGATTCCACATCAACATGGAAACTAACTCACCCCCACAGAAGGAAAAGAGGAAAAGAAAAGAAAAGGAGATGAAAGCAGAACAAGGACGACAATTGAGGACCCTACATGACCATCTTCAACACATTGTAGGGGTTCAACTCACTCGGTTAGGGGAGGTTAAATGGGTCGGTTAACCGGCTTTCACCGTTCCCCGCACCATTTGGGTTGGGGAATACGGGTAAAGGTTGAACCCCCCCAAAAACCCAATTGGACCCGCCGTTAATGAATCCGCCCTGAAACAGAAAAGGAAAAAAAGAAAATATAAAGATAAGATACTGGGTGAATAAGAAATGAAGTAGAGGATAGAAAGCGATTCAGAATGCTGGAATTATTCCAAGGGAAGCCTTGTCAAAAAAAAAGCGACGTGAAGGTGAAACCCAAGTGTCCACGAATGGAAATTGGATGTGGAATGGCGGATCCAGGTAGACAGGTCGGGTCAGATGATGCTATATGAGATAGAGCGAGGCGGCGTGTTGAGCTGCCTGCGGTGGCAGGTAGGGACGGACATTGAATTGTGCGGTCGTGATGTAATGAGAGGACGGGTGGTTGGGATCGGCGTGCTGCTTGATCGTTTGGATGTAGGCTGCTTGGATGGCAGAGGAGACGCTGATGCCCTTGGCCTTGCAGGCCTGGATGATGGCCTGGGTAATATGTGGGGGCACCACCAGCTTCGCGTGGCGACAGTAACCCGCCGGACGACTGCCGAGGTTGGAGATGGGACCGATTCCAGGGCCATGTTCCTGATACGGCCGGAACATCTCCATGATCATCGCCCTCTGCTCGGGGGTGGGCTCATCAGGCACCCCGAGCACCTCGCTGAGGGAGGGCGGCAACCAGGAGGGCTCATCCGGAAAGGTGATCTTTGTCGCCTCGGGAGGAGACACGAGGATGCCTAGAAAGCGATCCCACAGTCGCATAATGCCGGTGCCATCGAGCAAATGGTGGGGAGCACGCAGGATCAATTCAGAAGTGGTGGGTAAATAGTAGAGCGTGGTTTGTGCAATAGGTGGCACTGTAGGGTGCAGCTCATCCCCATCTGTCGCTACCGAGACGATGAAGGTTGATCTGATCCAGGCCTCTAGGGCTGCTCATACCGCAGCTGTATCCAGGCCCGCTTCAGGGATGCCTCCAGGTCGGCGGCCGGCATGTTCAGCTCCAGCTGGAGTTTGTTGAACGTGGTCAAGTGATGTTGGCCATTGTACAGGGAGGCCGAGACTGATGCAATATGGGCGCAGAAGCCATCCAGACCATCGATGCGGCGCTCCCAGCGGCGAGGGGAGACCTGGGACCAGGCCATGATTGTGTTTGTTGATTTAGTGGGTAAAGAGGAGAGAGATGGAAGCAGGGACAGGCAAATGGCTTCATTTGGCCGCTTTTTAAGTGGACTGCTAGATGCTAGATGGAGCTGGTTGCCTGAGCCCTAGATTGATCCCTGCTAGTGCTGACAACCTGACCCGGGGCTATCCCGCCCAAACTTCTTCCGCTGATCCCTCATGCAACGAGCCTCCCAGTGATGCCCTATCCTATCCCGTCAATCCGAGTGGACCGGGGCTGAGCGAACCAACATGCCATCCCCAGCTTTGAATATGGATTGGCATGCTTATTTTAGCCCTTGCCGTCCCCCTCCCTCTTTCTTTGTTCTTGTGTGATCTGACATCCATCCCCATCAATCCAGGCTAACCTCTCCCAAATCTCAACCAATAATCTGCAAAAATACATCAGTACGAACCCTCTTCCCAAGCACCACTCCCCCCAATACGGCAAATTACCCTCCCACCTTCCCATCATACCAAACACAACCCTAACACCCCCTCCCAAACACCACCTCATCCATAAACACCTCCCCTTCCCCATTACCACCCTCACACCCCCCCACCCCAACAGTCAAAACATCACTCGTCCACCTAGCCCTATACTCCCCCCTCACGGCCACCCACTCCCCAGAGGCATCCACATCCTCCGAGACAATCGCCCCCGAGGAGGTATTTGTGCCCGTGTATGCCGAGACCGAGCAGGACGAGATCCCCAAGGTACTGGGGATGAGCACTTGGATGGAGAAATCGTAGGTCGTGCTGCGGGTTAGGTTGGTTAGGGTTTGGGAGATGCTGGGGGTTGTGGTTGTGTTGGTTGATAGGGCGCTGCGTTGGGGTTAGTGGTGGGGATGGGTGGGGAGGAAAGGGGGGGGATGGGAGGGGGGCTGACAGGGTGTGGGTGCCCGAATAGGCGGGGGTGGAGGTGGTGACTCTCGCGGCGTTGGGGGTGTTGGTGTACCAGGGGGAGAGGGAGCCGGATTCGAAGGAGGGGTTGGTGAGGATGTTGCAGGAGGACATGGTGGTTGTGGTGATGGGTTGGTTGGTTGATGTGGATAGAAAGAGATTGGGGGTGTGCTGTAGCGTGTGTCTCAGAGAGAGGGAGGGGATAAGGGATGCTGGGGATTAAGTATTCTGCCCGACGTTGCATCCATATATATCTCTATGCTTATCTATCGGATGGGGCGAGATTCCGGCCTGCTGGTCAGATTGATGTAATGGGTTGAGCTGCGGCTGAGACTTTTTCGGCTCTCCGGGATTGGTATCCTGGTTCGTGCCATGGGTTGTGTTTGGGATGTATAAAAGAGGTAAATTGAAAGTCAGTGGGAATGGAAGGAGAGTATTAGATAAGAAACCATGATCGGCCCAAAGGTATCATCCAGCTGTAAATAGGACATCGGCAATGTTATTGATGTCATATTGTTCTAGCTGCCCAGGCCAGCGTTTACTGCAGCTCAGAGGCATATCACATTTGCCAGAACATGGAGAAAAATCGTGCCGTCTAGGGAGGGGAAGATGTCGATGCTGTCCTTAGTTGTGGCGACATTGTATAAATGATTTGGTAGAACTGGACGAACTTAGGGCTCACTGAAGACGTAAAGGCACCTGGTGATCAGATGACTACAATCAGACTTGACAATGCGGCGGTGAGGGAGCAACCCATTTAAGCATTTTGTGAAATTGACTGTGAAGGGCATTCTGCAGATAATACTATGCTCATTCATCATCTGGAGTGGACCGCCATCACGGACCACGCGCCTCAGAGATGCAGGTACTTGCTCAACACGATGGCTACAAGCCTAGCGGATAAGCTAGACGTTTCCGGTCGTTCCAAAGGCTAAGCTTCATAGCCATGCTCTTATCTCAAACTCAAATAAATTGGGAGGATTGAAAGGGTTTAGACTCCGCAAGCTAAGTCCACAGTGGAACCCGACACGACGCGTCGATCCGTGGGGCACTCCGTGATGGACGGGATCGAATCCAACCAGATGGATTTGGTGGAGCATCCCGGATGCTGCTCTCCCAAGTACTAGGAGCGCCTTCTCAAGCATAAATTACATCAGTAGGAGCGACAGGGATTTGAATGTCAATGGTCCACTTAGATTTTGGTTCCTGGTTATTAACTGCTGCGTTATCGCATTGTTTCTCGGGGTTAGACCCGTGTCTTCAGGTGGGGATAAGCTTAGGATCTGCAGGGGAAACGGCTGCTGATGAAACGCCCCGTGCGTCATCAAGGATCCAAGTTTAATTGGAATTCGTGACGAGCATTTCGGAGTTGGACAGACCCGACGGGCTCCCGTTCATCGCCTTGATGCTTGTGCCCGAGCAGCGGTTATAAGTGCCGTTGTCTCCATGGCGGACAAGGAACGCGCAAGCAACATTGAAACTCCCATCTTCCTTGAAAATGGGGTTCAAATCTGGCTTCGCCATATGGACGTCTCTTCTCTCTCTGGCCAGCGCGCAATTCAAGTGCAGTCTACCGGCAGGCGACATTTGCGCCTATGAGAATGCCACCACCTACCAGGCGGTTAATGCCCCCAATTGCACTACCCGTGGGCTGCAGGCATTCGTGAACAGGGTGCCGGGGTTGAATGGGACCGCCCTGACCGTCCCCTACGCCTTTTACATCGACAGCAATGCAACTCTGGACGAGTTTACAGACTATGTCGGCGCTTCCGTCTTCACGACTGATATTCCGCCCGTGTGCGCGTTTCGAGTCAATGGCACCAATGCCGAGGGTGCCAGTTGGGGTCTGGGTGCCCTGCTTCCCACACACTTCAATGGCAGTATCATGTATGTATTGCCATTATGCCTCTGCTAGAAAACGTTCGATAGGTGCTGACTATTCTAGGATGGCTGCCCCAGATGCTGGATTGTCGTGGGGCGTGGCGAGTGCGGGTCTCAAATACGCCTTTGCCACCTTCGCTTCCAACTCGGGCCACGACGAGCCGGACCACGTTTCGGGCTGGGAGACTCCTGAGGGTCTAGTCGACTGGAGTCACCGTGCACTGCATCTCTCCACGCTGACTGCCAAATCCATTGTCAAAGCCTGGTACAATGTCGAACCCAAATACAGCTACATTACCGGGTGCTCGGGCGGAGGCCGGCAGGTGATGAAGTCCATTCAAACCTACCCGGATGACTACGACGGTGCGATGGCCGGTGCCCCGACTTGGTGGATGACGCACCAGGCTTTCTACAGCGTCAAGCAACAGACTATCGGTGGCGCGGCCAGGTCCAATTCTTCCATCCCGGCTTCGTTGTATTCCATCATTGGGGAGGAGGTCCTTCGTCAATGCGATCCCCAGGACGGCCTCGTGGACTCCATCGTCTCGAGACCTCAAGGCTGCTTCTTCAATGCCGAAGCTCTGGCCTGCAACAGCACCCAAACATCCAACTGTCTGACCGCACCACAGCTAGAAACACTCCAAAAGATCTACAGCGACTGGGCCACCTTTGACCAGGACCTCATCTATCCCCGCACATGGTACGGCAGCGAAGCCACCTGGAACACCACGTTCGGCAATCCCTCGGGTTCATGGTACATTGAGAACGTTCTGGGCATTAAGAACTTCACGGCGCAAGACTTAACCTACGAGCTCATTGCGGAAGCCGATGCTCGCGACCCTGCCCACGCCAACGCTGATGACTTTGATCTGTCGCCGTTCTTCGAGAAGGGCGGTAGGTTCTTCCACTGGCACGGCATGTCCGACTCGGTGGTCTCGCCGGGTGCGAGTGTCTACTACCATAACCAGGCAACCTACGCTGCTTTGGAAAAGGGAATCGACATTGACCAACACTATCAGCTGTACCTGATCCCGGGCTTAGAGTATGCCCCCCCTCCGTCAGTATCTTCCCCATAAGCGCACGGGCTAATGAATGACCAGACACTGCTCCGGAACCCCCGAGTGCATGGCAGCCCTATGGTACCTCGCCGGCCCATACCAAGCGGGTAACTTCTTCAACTTTACTCCCGCCAACGTCGTGGATAACTACGTCCACGACTCGTTCCTCACTCTGATCAGCTGGGTGGAGGGTGGTCATGCCCCGTCCTACATGGTGACGACAGATTTCGATGATAATTCGGATCCTATGACGCTGTTGGATAACCGGAAGATTTGCCCGTAAAGTGATTCACTCTCGCAGAATTGGTATGTTGCTGACCAGAAGGATTAGATACCCGAAGCAAGCGAACTGGACTCAGACGGGTGTTTCGACGCATGAAGATTACTGGGATTGTATTTACGTGTAGACAGGGTTACCCTTGCCGTGATTCTATTAGTATGAACAATTAAAGAAAAGACCTCTAGCTGTGATCGGCTTCACGTTCATATTTATAAAATCCCATTTTGGTCAACGGGCCTGCACTTGATAATATCGAAACAAAACATGAAAACGTGAAAATTAACCAAAGTTTCCTAATCCTATATACGCCGCCCCACATAATCTTCACTCAACCTCCACCGCCTCCACCAAACCGGATCCCATTCCCATGTCTCATCCGTCACCGCAAAGTCTCCGATGAAGTATCTGCACAAGTCTCTGGTGTCAGACAAGACACAAAACGCAGCGTTGATGAAGAGATTCGACTGACACTTTGCTAGCATCTCCGTCCCAGAGCAGATGCTTCGGAGATTGGGATAGCGCTTCCCGGACACCGCACGCGGCCATCGATCTACCCATGGTGTACCTGTTAGCAGTGACCCTGAACTCGCGACGTATTAACAACATCTCGATGCCATTAACCATCAACAGTAACGCTCACGTGTATGCCCGTCGAAACGCCTCCCGGATCCGCTCCCTCTCATAAAAAGGGAGTTCATAGAAAAGCCCTTCACCCACACATCCCGTCCCCAGCCGCTCCCCGGGAACCCTAGTAAACCCCAAGAAGACCACATACCCCCCCGGCACCCAGCCCTCGGGACCTTGTTCCTCTTCCCCAATCCCCAGAAAGGCAGGAGTATGCTGGCAGTTGGCGGCATGCAGGCGATAGTAGGCCAATCGCAGCGACTTGGCTCGCTCCGAATCGTTTTTAGTCGCTTGGAGGGCCCGGACACTTGGAGGCAGGGATTCCGTCCCCAGGACGGGAATCTGGAGGAACATGGCGATGAAGGCTTGGTGACTGGGGTCGGCCAGATTCTCGCATAGAAAGTCGATTCGCGTGTTGGGGTGGGCGCCCTGCTCGAACACGTCCGCTCTGTCCATTTCGACCGGTGATTCCTTGACTGCGATGATGAGCTGCCATTGAGTGGTCGTGTTGCTTGTTAGAGTTATGGTGCGGCCTGTCATGCTGGGGAGTAGCCAGCTTTTCTGGGAAGGCATCGTGATATGTGAGGGTGTAGAGGGTGCTTATCAAAGAGATCAATACGTATGGTTGAAACTGAGGGGTAGAAAGCAAAAGTGATCTGTTTGCTCAGTCTGATGCAAACACAATGCCAGTACTAGTACAGGGCACCATCTGCCGTACCACGCTGTAGCTACGATCGCCAAGCACATTTATAAGTCTAGATCCATTGAACCAATCACATTATATGTCTTCATCCGAGCCCCTGAATACCCTACCTAGTCAATCCGAACTCTTCCATCTCAACTTCGGTGTCCTTTGGCATCCAATCCATGGGATATGAGCGAAAACCCGACACTTGGCAAGAAGGCTCTTGAATCACTTCAGTAACACCACCCGCCAGTTCAACATTCTCTAATGTTCGGTCGGATGATGTCTTTCGCAGCGCCTTTCTCCGTTTACTGCTGCCTCAGGCCTTGAGGCTGCCAGCATGTTTGCCTGAGGCTTTATGGGCGCAGGGCTCATCCAGTGATTCAGCTGTAGGTTTCTTTTTCCTAGTGATGTGGTCCGACAATTCCGACAAACGGGAATCACGCGAGCAAATCCAATTACGTTCGATTGTCTTCGACTTTCGCTCTATTGTCTCTAACCAGAACGAGCAGACATGACCCGCCATGTCCGGTGGGTAAACCTTCCCTGGCAGATCCCGATATCATATCTGAGCACGGACCCTCCGATAAGCTCGACGCAAGGGAAGTGACATCAGCTGCAGCTTAGCAAGGTTGCCGGGGAGACTTGCCACTCCGGGATATTATGCCTTGGCCTGCCGGGTGAGCCAAATGGCACCAGAGCCTGGCAGATAGCAAGTGATATACTGCGATTGACTAAGAGTTGACATTTTGTTGATACTCTATCATGTACATGAACTTTGTTAAAGTGTCTTTGTTTCTCTGAGATTGGGACTTCTTGTGGCCGTCCGTGGGTATATACTTTCTTACCCTAACCGTCTGTTCCCATCATCACCATTATCATCAACATAGACAGCATCAAACATCACCATCAACATGTCCAAACCCGACTCTCCCAATGCCTCCCAATGCACACCTTCCCCAACGGACGACCCCCTCACCCTCCACGAATTCGAACAAGCCGCCAAAGCCCGACTCCCCGCACACATCTACGAGTTCTACGCCTCCGGATCCGATCAACAAAATGCCCTAGCCCGCAATGAAGCAGCATTCAACCGGTACCCCCTTCCCCCCCCCCCTCTTCCTATCATCAGATAACTAACTATCCAGCCTCTGTATCCGCCCCCGCGTCCTCATCGACGTCTCCGAAGTCGACACCTCCACCACCCTGTTCGGCTGGAAAGCCGCCCTCCCCATCGGCATCGCCCCAAGTGCTATGCAACGTCTAGCCGGAGGAGAAGGGGAACTCGATGTCGCTACCGCAGCGGCAAGCATGGGTCTAAACCTGACTCTATCCTCCCAATCAACAACCTCCCTAGAAGACGTCGCGGAAGCCCGCAATCGCATCAAAACCGGAGACATCCCGCCCCCTCCCTTCTGGATGCAGATCTACCTTTACGAGGATGTACAAAAGAGCATTAATCTGATCCGTCGAGCTGAAGGTATCCCCCATATTTCCCCACCACTCACTCACTGAATGCAGACTAATAATCCAAAGCGGCCGGCTACCAAGCCCTCATCCTAACCGTCGACACCCCCGTCCTAGGAAACCGTCTCGCGGAACGTCGCACGGCAGTGACTCTCCCGGCGGGAATGACCCTCCCCAACCTGGACCCGCCCGCCCCCAACAACCCCGGGGCAAACCCCGATGCACCCCCCCAACCGAGCATAAACCGCCAACTCATGAACGCGCGCACCGCCCATTCCGCCCGTGCCCTCCGCACTGCCGCCGGCTCACAGATGCACAGCAGTAGCCTAACCTGGCACACCACCATCCCCTTCCTCCGCCGCACCACGTCCATGAAACTCATCCTAAAGGGAATAATGACTCCCGAAGACGCCCGTTTGGCAATCCAACACGGCATCGACGGCATAATCGTCTCGAACCACGGCGGTCGACAACTCGATGCCACGTGCTCCACGCTCGAAGCCTTGCCGGATATCGTGAATGCCGTAGCGGGTGCTATTCCGGTGATTTTGGATGGCGGGGTGCGGTCGGGCGCGGATGTGTTTAAGGCGTTGGCGGTCGGGGCGGATTTTGTGCTTGTGGGGAGGCCGGTGTTGTGGGGGTTGGCGGTGGGGGGGAAGGAGGGGGTGCGGGGGGTTATGGATGTGTTGGAGAGGGAGTTGAGTAGGACGATGGCGTTGGCGGGGGTGAGGGAGGTGGGGGAGATTGGGAGGGAGAGGGTGGGGGTGTTGAGGAGGGAGGGGTTTGGGGTGAGTAGGTTGTAGATCCTTATGTTGTGTAGTGGCTAGGTTGGTTGTTGGTTGTGTTTTAGAGGTTGTTTGTGTGTTTAGGTTACGACTCTGGTGTTGAGAATTTGGATGGAGAATAGAATCGGCGGTGTCCTGAGAGGTATCACTTAGGGCTTTTTCACTTCATTCAATTTGATTCGTCAATCATCCTTTTTTGCGTAGTGCTTCATTGTAGGACACAGCGGGGAGAGATATCTTTGACTCAGGATAACTCAAGGCTGCACTCCTAGAAGGCTGCAGTCTACACGTTCATTCCCAGGAATGTTTCAATGTCATGTCTCTCCTACAGCACCGATTTATGCACCACATGGATATTCCCAGTAACCACCGTCTTAGTCTGCAGATAATCCTCAATCCCGTACTTACTACCTTCTCGACCAATGCCCGAGTGCTTGATACCCCCAAATCTAGAACAGGATCAGTTAACTCATCTGATTGCAGCGGGATGCTTGACTCACGGACTAGCGGCATCAGATACCACGCCGGCGTTGATCGCGACCATGCCAAATTGCAACAGTTCCGATACCCGATTGGCACGCGCCACATCGCGGGTAAAGATATACGAGGCCAATCCGACATCGCAGTTGTTGGATGCAGTAATCACTTCGTCTTCGGTTTCGAAGGAGAAGATTGGTGCTACTGGGCCGAAGATCTCTTCACTCACCACCCGCATGCCTGGGCTGACGTTGGTGATGATGGTAGGTTCGAAGAAGTTTGGGCCTATGTGTGATTAGTACATGCTAAGCAAAGAAATAGGTGGAACACACCCAGATCAGCTCGACGCTGACCACCGATCTCGACCTTCCCCCCATGCTGAACGGCATCTTCCACCAAAGCAGCAACCCGCTCTGCTGCAGCGGATGTAATCAACGGCCCATGTGTAGTCTTCTCATCCGACCCATAACCCAAATGGAATCTCCCAACAGCATCCTTCAATCGTCGAATAAATTCAACATAAATGCTCTGCTGAACAAAAATCCGATTGGAGCACACACAAGTCTGTCCCGAGGACTTGAACTTGCTGGTGATCGCAGCATCCACAGCAATATCCAAATCCGCATCATCAAAGACAATAAATGGAGCATTTCCCCCAAGCTCGAGACTGAGTTTCTTTAACGAATTGCTGGATTGTTGCATGAGCAGCTTCCCCACTCGAGTAGACCCCGTGAATGAGATCTTCCGCACTATGTCTGAGGAACAAAGTACCTGTCCGATTTCCGGAGTATTCTCTAGAGCGTTGACGCTGTTGATGACACCGGCTGGTACTCCGGCCCTTTCACCCAGCTGCAGCAAGGCATTAGCGGTGAATGGCGTCTCACCCGCCGTTTTTAAGACCACGGTGCAGCCAGCCGCTAGGGCAGGGGCTAGTTTCCGGATGACCATGGCAGCGGGGAAATTCCATCTGAATATCGTTCAGCATTCCAATAACCATGATCCTAAGCAGTAAGCTTACGGTGTAATCAGCCCACAAACCCCAATCGGCTCTTTCAAAACCGAAACCCGGAACCCAGGCTGACTGTGAGGAATAACATCGCCGTAGATCCGTGCGGCCTCTTCCGCGAACCATTCAAGGAAGCTTGCTGCGAAAAGAACCTCCCCAGTGGCATCCGACTTGGCTTTGCCGTTCTCCAACGTAATAAGGCGTGCCAGATCGTCTTTATTCTCGAGGACTAATTCAAACCACCGACGAAGAATCCGGCTGCGGTTGCGACCGGTGCGGGAGCGCCATGAGGGGAGCGCGGCTGCTGCAACTTGAATTGCTTTCTCCGCATCGACGGAGCCTGACTCGGGACAGGATCCGATGAGATTCCCAGTTGCAGGGTCTGGGATTATTAGCAGAAGGATAAGCAGAAAGTCTGGAGGTGTATGTACCTGTCACGTTGAACCGCTTGCCTGAGGCCGCTTCGACCCACTGGCCGTTGATGTAGTTCTTGCCAACCAATAGGCTGGGGTCGTTTAGGGAAAGTGTTGGGGAAGTCATATTGTAGGTGGAGTAGACAAACTTGAGGTATGGGATAGCTTAGCGAGACTTGGAATGGCTCTCTGTGGTTAAAATATAGCCATGGAAAGCGGGGATCCGCATCATGAACATCAACTTCACAGTTGGGAAGGTGGCTGTCCAATCTGGCAGGTGACCGCGGAGGTGGGGCAGCCGAAGCCATTTTGGAAGGTAACACGGTAGCCCTGATCTGATCCCTGCATTTTTCACCTTCCACAAGTGAATAGTAAGAGCTTGGAGACCCCAAGTCTGACACAAAAAAGTAGCTGGGATACCAATATTTTGTCACAAGCTTGCCATTCATGCAGTGTGGGTATATTAAAGCTCAAATTCACTGTTGCATACGGATCACGTCATTTATGTGCCATTTATCTTGGTTACCATATGATGTCCCTTGAATTAAACTGCTAGAGACAATCTGACAGTCTACCACACCATCTTGAGCATCCACATGTCTCCTCCTATCTGGACTTTTATGTTCTCAAAGGCAATGCTAATATTTTAAACCAATTGCAACCAACATTTGATAGTCCTTTCTAAAACCCTAACGGATACGTCTTGAGAACTCCCGATACTCTTCACCCCGCACTCTCCAGCGCCCAAGCAACCAAGTCCTCGGTCCTATGCCCAATATACCCAAGGTCGTCCAAAGGACTACGCCTCTTTTTTAAAACCTTTCCACCGACACTCGCTTATACACAACCTCCACCCCGGATATGCTTCGCACATTCTGCTGCCATACATACACCTTCGCAGCAGCCCAAACCCTTTTCCCTTTAAACTTTTCCAACTCAGCAGAATCGCTCGGGATGGTTTCCCGTATCATATACAGTATCTACCATGGGAACCACCGCTTACTGAAATATGCCAAAGAAGAACCCATCTCCCATCATTCGCTCGTTTAGGAGCATAAAATAACCATGTACAAAAACCCTCCATGGAGGTCGAAGCACATTGAAATGCGCTTTTTCTTCGCAATGTGTGGATATAATACTCTACATTAGCCTACATAATAATGTGGTAGTGAGCGCCCGCATTCTTCAGTCAAATTAGTGGGCTGGCACGGCCTGAGCAGTAGATCCCGAGCATACCTATATTGCTTTGTAGATCATCCATGTGAACATCATGTCAATTAATCAATTTTCACAGTACGCACTGGTGGAGAGGATTTAGTGAAACTTTAAGAGAAACGAAATGGTGTGATGCATACACAGTAGTCTAAACTTTAGAGTTCTGACCCGACCGACCGGTGCCGTTCCTGCCAAGCCGGCGAATACGAGAGGCCATGTCTTCATGGCGTGGGATATATTGATGTCTCTTTACTATTTTGGGACAATATGCTTACAGTGGGCCCAGTTTGCTTTGGGACAGATATTCAATATTATTATGCTGTTGAGGGATCTTAGTAGGTTTAAGACATCGTTCATTGTCCACACCGTGGATCGGCCAATGATGTATATATATCAACAGGAAGGGACCTAGGTGGCATAAACCGCTCGATGATGGCTCAACTTGATGATAGCGAAAACTAACTCGGCTAAGTCCCAAAATAGTAGTCAGATACAAGTAATTAATTAACAGATCTAGGTGAATGAGATAAGATTTCTATCAGGGTACGGAGCATAGAAGTGATAGCCCTTCCCGCTTCTGATTGGCAGACTCGGGGACGCCAAGGCTGGGGTGCATAGTCGAGCTGACGGTGTCATTCCACATGGTGATTGGCTGACTGAAGTATATCGAGTCTTCTTTAGTGAGAAACATTGGAAAGTTGATTATCAAGTGCTTGTAGTCTGTTGACTCGTGGGACTGCTTGGCGAAGAATATCTGTTGATGTTTGCATAGGCGATTATCTGGTGCACGGCACGCGGAACCCTGGACACTTTTCCTTGGACTACACGGTAAAGGGTTCCTCCTCCATAGAGGATTCTAATGGCTATGGACATGTTTACAATTTATATCTAGCATGGATGAGTCTGTTTGAAAGGTACATGGCGAGATATTGAATGGGTATTTAGCAAGATAGATTAGTAAGAACTCCCCTTTTATGAGCAGACATTACAAATCAAGTATTCCTTGCTCCATTGGACCTACGGCGCTAACAAATATTTCGGATTTGCTAGCTATGGGATAGCATCAAGTACCGAGGCATTGACATCGCAGGCGGGGCGGAAATACATTAATGCAAAATGTTTCAGCATAAACGTCATTTATGCCATATATTTCTAATCGAACATGACATCATGACAAATCAAGAGTGGACCCTGATCGAGCTCCCATAAATTCTTCACCCCTCACCTCATTCACCAAGTAAACAATCACCAACTCAACAAAGGCATATACATAAACACGCCAAAATGAGCATTCCCACCACATTCAAAGCGGCCGTGGTCCCCGAGCCTCACGCCCAACACACCATCGCAGACCGCTCTCTCCCCCCCTTGGACCCCAACCAAGTCGCCATCAAGATCACCGCCACGGCCGTCAACCCCGTGGACTGGAAGATCCGCGACTACAATGTCTTCCTGAAGGAATACCCCGCCGTGCTGGGCTCCGACGCGGCCGGCGAGATCGTCGCCACCGGATCCAACGTCACGTCCCACGCCGTCGGCGACCGGGTCTTCTTCCAAGGCATCATCGGCAACTACCCCGCCTCAACTTTCCAACAGTACTGCATCATGCCCGCTGAACTCGTCTCCAAGACCCCCGCCAACATCTCTGATGACCAGGCCGCCGGTATCAGCTTGGCTTCTATCGCCGTCGTCACCGGGTTCTATGATCAGACGGGGCACGCGATTGCCCCGACGCCGTGGGCCGAGGGCGGATCGGAGGCGGGCAAGGGTAAGGCCATTGCGATTATCGGTGGTGCGTCGAGTGTGGGTCAGTATGCGATCCAGTTTGCGCGCCTGTCGGGCTTTGAGCGGATCATCACGAATGCGAGCGCCGCGCATCATGGGTTTTTGAAGAGTCTGGGGGCGCATGTGGTCCTGGATCGGAAGAGCGCGACGGCGGAGGATTTCGTCGCTGCTGCGGGGGAGTTGCCCGTGAGCTATGTGTATGATGCGATTTCGGTCAAGGAGACGCAGAAGCTTGGGGTGGAGATTGGGCAGGTGAGTCGGGTGGCGACGCGGGTGGTCACGGTGCAGTTGGTGGATACGGATGCTGTGCAGTTGGGTCAGACTCAGGAGCATAAGGTTGAGGTGAAGCAGATTTTGGGACTGGGGAGTTCTTCGGCGTTGAGGCATTTGAGCGAGCCGTTTGCGAAGGCGATTGGGGGTGAGGAGGGCTGGATTGCTAAGGGCTTGTTTGTGCCGAATCGGGTGCGTTTGATTGCGGGTGGTCTTGGGGCTGTGGAGGAGGCGTTGAAGACCAATAAGGATGGTGTGTCGGGTGAGAAGGTGGTGTTTCGCCCTAACGACGCTTGATTGATGTTCTAGTGCATGGTGTGTGTTATGTTATGTGTGATAGCAAATAAGGGAATCTACAGCTGCCATAAGTATACTTACGGTTGATAGGGAGGGACAAATCCTTCATCTAATACCCTGTGCGCTAGGCAATCCGGCGTGGAATATCTCTGGCCGCAATGCATGGAGGCTAGATAGAGTGTTTAAAGATGATCCTCCATGGTCACTGTTGCCTCTGTAGTTCATGTCCCGTTGATATAGCCGCTATTAACAAACGCAACCCTGCAAGAAATAGGTGTACTGCTCTTCTCTTCCCAAGCACGCGACGCTCGTTACCGTGACTCAGTGCGGGTTGATTTCTGGATGGGTCCGGGAAATATTGTGCATCCGGTTGGATTGTAGTCTTAAAGAAGCCCTAGACGAAAGAGTGGAGATGCTGAACTCGGAGTCCGATGCATATGACTGTTGAGCAAGATTTAGGTACCGCTGTTGGAAATACATGATTCTTAACTACGTTCTGAGGTGTGTGCAAGGCCTGATGGGAAGTCCTCTCCAAGATGAAGATATTCTGATCTAAGGAGTAGGCGGGGGTATCGATCTAAAACGTATTGCATTTTGGTGCTTGAAACGTTACATTGTAGCCCACAACGGATCGGAATATTATGATACTTGAGACATACGTAGTGCTCAACTCGGCGATGGATAACTTGGCGAAAGCCCGGGAATTGCTATAAAATTGGGAGGAAACTAATCGGATAAATAGCAACAATAGCAAGGGATCAAGAATCAAATTGGCACGGGCAAATTCAGCAAACAGAGCATAGAAGAATGGAAGGAAAGAACAAGCATTTGTGCCTAGGCGTTATCGGGAAGAAAGGCTAATGCTCCAATTTCAACCCGACCTTGTCGCTAGAGACATATACACCCTGGGCAAATGATTCGACGCAACTGTCCTTACTTTGACTTTGCCTTCTCCAGGTCGTTTAAGTAGTCATCCAGGCTTTGGTACGTAGGATCCTGAGTCACGTTCACGGTCTGACGGTAAATATCCGCTGTGATAAGATGTGAGCGAGTTAATCCCCAAGATGACAGCATATAAATTCAAATGTACCATGTTCACCCAAGGTATTCTACCGATCGACGATGCTTTCTAGATTCAACTCTGATAGCAATCTCACTGGCAAATTCTCGCCTTCGTCTGTTACTAGGTCACTAATTGTCTCGAGGTCACTGGCTATCGCCTCCCATGCGTCCTGGATAGTTCCAATGGCCTTAATCGCCGGGGCTATGATATCTACAAGCTTGGCGAGTTGGTCCTATGGGTCACCCTGTTAGTCAAATGAGTCTCGCATGCTCAGTGGAAGTTCAGGACTCACGCTCATTGAATTAGTATCGGTGTGAAGCTTGATGGCAGCCGCTAGCGTCGCCTTGTCTTGATTGTGTTCTGCAAGCTCTTCAGAGCAGCTTCCAATGCGTTGACTCGAGCTTGATAGATTATATCAACTGTGACTGCAGCAATCGTGCCGTAAAATGGGCTGTTTATTATTTGTCAATTCACCGTTCCAGGACATGAATTGGGATAGTCCCATCTTACATCCAAACATAGTAAGCGGTCTCTTTGAGTACCAGTCGATCTATAACAAGAGCACGGAGGAGCAATCAGCGTCTGACTTCAAGAGACATTATGACTGAACATCTTACCATCGTTGATCTCCTTCTGAGTCTCACCGATTCCCTTTAGATCTTCAGCAACCTGCTCTTTCAATTGCTCGATTTCACCATCCTGGCCATCCAGTAGGGTGTTCATGATCTTCACATAATTGTCGAGCTTTGTCTTGACGGTTTTGTAATCGCTCTTGTAACTGGCCAAGTTCGTCTTGACGGTTTCGGTCCTGGCATTCATGTCGGTGATGTTTTGAACTTGCTGGGTGGTCAATTTTTTGATCGCGGTAAGGTGCCTGTCGCTAGCAGGGGTCCCTCGCACTTCGCCGTATGCACCAATCCAGGACAGTATATTGGTGTAGTATGACCCTTTCAACGTTCCACCGGCGGAGGCTGCACAGTTGTAGATGTCATTTGCGGGATCCACAGTATATTCACCCTAAAGTAACCCTATTACTTACGTGGGCGGCACCCATCCGCCTCCTGGCCACGTTCGAGTCACGCCAGGAGTTTAGTAGTTGGGTAGCAGATCACCAGAGAATCCCTTTTGTTCTATCTTTAGTTTTCTACCAGCTTCTATCTATCGTGATTGTAGGTGCGATGTTGGTACGGTAAATATGTTGTGTTGATGGACGTGTTGTGGCTTGCCCTAAATCTTTGGTAGGAATTCCCTTCCGCGGTCCGTATTACAATTCGTCTTTATATGATACAGATGATGCAAATCCAATCTTATGTCTATATGTTGACCCAATATCTCCCCAGCGCACGTTTGAGAACACCAGATAGGGGTCTGGCTGCTGGGTCTCCGCTGCATCATCCCAATAATCGCAGGGTCCGGCGTCTCCTCCATCCAACCACTGCATGCCGTGTTCTGGATCGCTCCATAGGCTGAGGACCATTACCATGCCCCGGGCGAGTGCTTGAGCTATAGGTGACAGCCCAACAGACGAGGAGAAGTTGTCTGCATGAAGGCAAGACCCGTCGTCCCGCGCAGCCGGGACGTTTGGAATGACTTTCCCGTCCTGGATGTACATCCGACGGATCTGGACGAGCATTCCTGACGTTGTATTATCGTCCGTGACAAACTGTGTGATAATAGTGAGAGGCTTCGCCGTATCAACCTCCATGCCCGGACCCCAGAAATTGCGGGAACCCGCCATATACGGATTGAAGATGCACCCCGCGGAGGCACATTCGTCAGCGACACAGGGATGCGCAGCATAGTGAGTCGCATAGGCATTGCCCTCGAAAATGTCCATTTCATTGCAGCATGCTCCACGTTCATTCTCATTTAGGGTCCCGTTCACCCAGTTCAGCACGGGACATTGGGCGTTGCAATATCCGGACCCGAATCGAGCGCCACCGGGGTTATGTTCCGACCTCCCCCCTGTCATGTCCATTTCGGATAGGTAGAGATTCCCATTCTCGCTGCACGGAAGGGCTGAGACGTCGACGTCGAAGGAGAGCTCTCGGCCTAGTAGCTGGAGCGACATATAGTCCCCATCAGGGCCGAGGAGGTAAACGCGCGGCTCGCCCTTGCGGGGACTCCCATCCCCCCTGGTGTACTTGGACAGGGTTATGGTATCGTGTGAGGTGACAATCCCGTAGTTGGTATAGTTTGCTGGCTCAATGACGCAATTTCGTGCACAGGCAGTCCCGTTCGGACAGAGGGTTCGATCAACCCCGCTCAGTGACAGACAAGGCGTTATTCCGTTTGCTTCATGAATATAGTGGCTGTCCCAGTCCACCACTACGGATGTTTCGTGGGGCGTGCACCCCCCGGATATGGTGCATTCCCATGTCGTCAGTCGAGGGTGCTCTGGGGAGGATGCTGGCTGCTGGGCGTGTGTTGTGAAGAAGAGGGCGAAGCCCACGGCTGATATGTCCCGTATCCAGGAGAATTTCATTGCGAGCGCCACTAAGCTGTGGAGTGCACGAGAGACGATTGTTGAATGATGAAAGAAAGGGATGACGGAGGGTCTGCCAGCAGCAGAAACAATAATAAGATATTTCGCCCGCAATTTAGACTATCGGCATGCACCTACAGAGTTAGTCTGCGTGGACAACCACTACCCGACAGTCAGACTTGGTAGTAAAGCGAATTATAGAATGACACTACATATCAAAACACGGCTAATGTCTGTAGTTCAACCCAGGGATGTTCCTTGGCTGAGGGGAAAGAATCCGTCTCACCGCTACTTGTGTGGCGATCTTGGGCTGGATCGGACGCATCACTACGTATCACAAGATGTATCACATTTCATGCAGGTCTACCGACCGGACATTGAGAACACTGTCTGGGCCGTACTTAAGCACCGCATGGCTCTACTACTTTCCTGGTCGCACCAAGGTCAAATCGGACTCCAATCGAGTCGGACCAATTGACAATTTCCTATCTACAACACTGCTATTTTGGGCAGCTACCACCATGCCCACCAGTGGTGTCACAAAGGAACTACCCTCACCGGAGAGACATTCAAACCGCACCTACAGGATACTCGAGTATAACTATGTTGTCTTCCCTATGACCCTGATTTTGGTATTCTACAGTAAGCGCATGCCTCCACTCAAGTGCCAGCGGCATTCTAACCACGTCATGCAGTTCTTAAAAGCGCCATTGGTGTTACCGGCTACTACGTCAAGTTGTCCGAACAGGGGTGGACCACGTCGGCAATTGTCCATGCCGTCCTACATGGACTTTTCCTTCTCTTGCAGATGCCGCCATGCGGGAACACTCTCGGCCTTTGCCTCCCAATGAAACCAATCAACTAGTCACCAGGCCTACGATCCGACGTCTCGGTACACTATACGTGTGCCTCGTCACGAAGGGGACAAATGCACAGACTGTAGTGAATTCAGTCCGCTGCTGGGATACCTTACCACAGAGAGACCACCCGTCGGTTCGATTCCATGTGGTGCTTGACAGCAGTGATCCTGGAGACCTCCCAAGGCAACTCCCATCATACGTCACAATCGACCAGGTGCCAGAGGTTGTGCCAGTGAAAAAAGCCAGGTTCAAGGCCCGCGCATTAGAGCACTTTCGTCAGAAGTACAATTTTTCCAAAGAAGACTGGATCTTGCATCTGGATGAAGAGTCTGAGATTGATGACCGTGTCATGCGCACATCTTTGGACTTTATCGAGAAAGGCACGGCGGACTTTGGCATGGTATGACATTCCTCCTATTAAGAACCCAACTAATTGGTGTAGGGCACAATATATTATACTTCGACGAATCATTGGAAGAATGCGTTTCTCTCCGCGGCAGAAGTATCACGACTGGCGGAGGATTTTGGTCGGTTCCAACTTCCCGTACGAACATTCCGCCGTCCGTTTCTAGGTTGGATCTTGATCAATGGCGCGGTCGAAAATAAAATCACATGGGATACGGACAATGTGTGCGAGGATTATTGGTTTGGGTATCATGTGAGTGGCCCGTCTACTATACTACAGGAGATGGAATTAATATATCCCAGGCTGCAAAACAGGGCTTCAAGTTCGAATGGCTGCACGCCATCGTGCGCGAGCAGCCTCCATGCACATTTACCAATCTATGGAACCAGCGGAGGCGATGGTATACCGGAATTCTCGCCTTTGATAGGATCGTCGTGCGTCTTGCCTTGATTGTCGGGGGAATTTTGGGGGGGGGGATACACTCCTGGCTGGCTGGGAGGGTTAACATAAGATGGGGAAAAGCACCTAAATGCTGCAGTTAGACGTCAAGGGCTTACAGGCAGCGGAGAAACATGTTATAGAAGTACATATTCTCTAATCGCCTTAATTTATATGAAGGATTTCCATAGTTCGACAATGTTCAGCCTAATTTATCCAGAAGGCCAAGCGTGGAAACGCCCAAATAAAATTGCTCTGGTCCTGATCGATTAAATAGGAATCTAAAGAATGTAGGGAGACGTTGAGATTAGATAACAACGATGTCTGTGTCCCAATAGCATATAGATCCTTTGAGCGGATCCCCTGCATGTGATGTATCAACCCGACAAATGGCGGTTGTGCAAGGACATCCCACTTTACGGCCTCATGTCCGGACACATCAGACCTCTCCTTAACTGTCCCCGCATAAAATGGACTTCCAGTATGCGTGATATAGCTCTTCTTTTTGGCTAAATGCACATTCAACCGTACGAAGTGCAGCATATTCCCAACCATACCGTTCCGCGGGCCAGCCCCCAATGGAGCGCATACAGTGGATAGACGGCCTGCGAGGCATTGCAGCCTTCATAGTGGCATTCAATCATTTCTTCTGCGGTGACCTCAAAACACCTTTCCGGTCATTCTGGGCTGAACCGGCGGAAGGAAATCGACGCATCATCCAATTACCGCCATTCCGGTTGCTTTGGGCAATGGACGCAATGGTTCCTGTCTTCATGGTAATCTCGGGCTACACCATTGCCCACAGGCTGCTTCAGTACAGAGACAATCGGCCAAACCTGTTTATTGACCGTCTCCGATCGTCTATATTCCGCCGACCCATTCGTATATACCTCCCTGTGTTGACGCTAGCGACCTGCACGCAATTGCTCTTCTACTTCGGACTATTCGAATCCTGGTATGAAGAGAGGGTCGCAGCCCGCATCAAGCCGTGGGAGTCGCCCGTGAGCCATGTGGTCTATCTCTGCGAGTACGTGATGGACTCGTTGAATCTGGTTCAGTTGCAGTGGAATACCAATTTTAATGGACATCTTTGGACCATGCCGCTGGAGCTCCGTGGATCGTATGTTGTGTATTTTACGATCTTCGTGCAGTCTATCTGGCGACCCCTCTCACGTCGCTGGTGTCTGGGCCTCATGCTCGCCTATCTGGTCTGGTACAGCCAGTGGGATATATTCAGCTTCATCGCAGGACTGGGTTTGGCCGAATTGCACACATCTCGGCGTCATACCGCTGTGGAGACTCACTGGACTGTCTCATATATCATTCGATCTGTCATTGCTCTCTACCTCCTGTGCCTCTCCGCAGAAGATGACTACCCCCCCCCCCCCCCGACTACCGCTTCCTTCGCATATTCGAGACGCGCCACTGGGCGCAATACGATGGTTGGGTAGATGTCCGGAGAGTGTGGCACAGTATCGGGGCCGTGGCGGCCTTCTCAGTGGCATTGGAGAGTCCCCATGTGCAACGTTTGCTCGCCAGTCGTATTCCTCAAGCGTTGGGTCGGTTATCGTTTCCGATCTACTTAATCCATCTCTCGGTGTATCAGATTGGCATTTGGCCGGTGCGAAGCCGTATTTGGTTGTTGCTGGAGCCCCGGGATTATCCTTCTCCGGAAGAGGAAGATCAACACATGGGTGCCCTGATCAGGGTATTCATTTCAGGTGGCACTATTCTGGGTGCTGTTGTGATGGTGTTAGCGGAGTTGTATATGCGGTTCTTAGAGCCCCAGTTTGCCACGGCCACCAGGGTGATTGAGATGTGGTTGGTCCAGAAGCGTCATCGGGAGTAGTCTGGCTATCAATGCAATGGACCCGCTCGATCAATATTAACCTCTAAATCCCCATTCCTGAGGATCGATCATACGTTGTCAGAATGAAGTGGAATATATATCGAGAGTACCCAAAAGAATTTTCAAATTACTCACTCAAGATATGAATGAACGTAAACGGGCGATCAGCGAATAGGACTGGTGATATACATACAATCAAGTACTAGGGGATTTACCAATGCAAATATACTGCGCGAGTGAGCAGACTGTCCTACGAAGAGATCCGTATCCCGGTAGCCGCGGCTGACACATTGCGGCATGTAGATCTCGTTTCCGACTCCACTTCCATATCCTCCATTCCAAATTTCTTGTGGCACTTAAAGCTTAACTAAAGAACCTGACAGCAGACCCCAGAGAATTGCAATGGAATTGAGTCCGTGGCTGGAGAATTAAGCTTTCAACTGGGGCCAATACCCGCGGCTATTCAATGCTCCGCAAACAGTTGGACCCACCATGTTGGACAGATCCATGGCAATGCTGGTGCCAGACTGGCAGGTAGACTCGTTGCCGTTTGCAGCAATTACTACATACTGACGAACGCTCCTGCATGTTACACCCTCAGCTGTCCCTCTGAGAACAGAGTGTCTATGATAGGTGTCACCCTGCTCTATGTCGTAGAAAATATTTTCGTAGCTGCTAGCCTGACCCGAGTTAATCAAGCAGTCATCTCAATTAGCATCGAATAGATGCTTTTCATGTTTGCTGGCAGAGGTGCAGCTAAATCATCCTGCGACCTGGGTTATAAAGATAGCATTAATCATGGCCCACCGCATGGTAAAAGTTGTGTTATGATATAAGAGCAATTCATTGTGAGGCGAATAAAGATCTTTTCTGTCTCCACTTCAACCAATGCCTGCGCAATAATCCGATGGTCTCCGATAGAAGCCGCAGTTTGGGTATGACATGTCGACTTTTCTGTCCAGTGGGGCATGCACACCAGCAATCAGTTGAAAATGTGACCTTCCCCAGGCGGGGATTATGCTGGTGCTTGAATGCCCGCAACAGCTGCTTTGTTCGAACTTCTTATGTTGATTGCTTACCCTCCGGTTCTTGTCCGTCCTGTCCGATCCATCAGCATCTAAGTATCACCATGAGCCTCTTCTCCCTCTGTACGGCAGCACTTGCCATTCCAGCCCTGGCCCGGCCCGGCCAACATGATCGCAATGCACCAATTATCAGCCCTCGCCAGCAACCCGATGCAAACAATGCCACGAACTGGCCCTGGAGGCCTCTACCATGGGGGGAAGTCAACTTCCTCCATACGACGGATACGCACGGATTTCTGGAGGGGCATCTCAACGAAGTAGACTACGGTGCGGACTGGGGCGACTTTGTCTCCTTTGTAGAGCGCATGCGGGATAAAGCTGATGAACATAACGTTGATCTTCTGGTCGTGGATACCGGTATCTTTACCCCCTTTATCGAGATGGTCCCCAGCTGACTGGATCAGGGGACCTCGTCACAGGCAACGGACTCAGCGACAAGTCAAAGACCCCCGGGGAGGTTTCGAACAAGCTATTCCGTAACGTGGACTACGACTTGCTCACGACTGGAAACAACGATCTTTACTTTGATTACATCACGAAGCAAGTACAAACAGACATTGCCGAGTACTATGGCGATCATTATCTGACAACCAACCTCGACGTCGATTTCAATGATGGACATGGACCTATTTCCATCGGAAAGAGATATCGATACTTCACCACTAAGCACGGCCTCCGAGTCCTGGCACTCGGATTCACGCTGCAGGACTTCCAACGACCGGACTTCATCACCGTCCATAATGCTTCCACTGTGTGGAATTCAGATTGGTTCAAAGAGGCAATCAGCAATGAGGTCGATCTCTATGTCCTTCTTGGACATACGGATATCAATGCGCGCTGTGACCTGACGGGGACCTCTCAATACAATGCTACAGAAACGCCCATGATCTGCATGAAAGATTGGCTTCGCAAGAACAAGCCTGACGTTCCCCTACAGATCTTCGGCGGCCATACACACATCCGCAACTTTAGATGCTATGACGGCGCAGCATCCGGTCTGGAATCAGGACGCTACGCTGACACGGTGGGGTGGCTTGCTCTTCGCGACGTGGCATCGGATGCGTGGAATGGATCAAAGACCATTGAGGATGTTCCCATGGCGACTAGGACATGCTCTTCACCAACCTCCTCCAACACCATGGTTGACCCTACAACAGCCGTTCGTCTTGACCGTCGGTACCTCGACTTCAACCGCAAGACCTTCGCATACCATGCCATAGGAAACGAGTCCGACGCCGTAGACAAATTGGATACTCCGCACGGACAGAAAACCACCGGTGATATCTACAATGCCCGAGTCCAGCTAAACCTCACTGGCGTCCTTGGCTGCGCTCCTCAATCATACTACATTTTTGCAGAAAGCTGCAACTGTCCTAGCAGCATCTACACCATGGTTCGATTTGCTTTGAACACAACGGTAAAACCAGATGGAAAGGTGAAACCGCAGGATTCTCCGAGGCTGATTATCATGGGCACCGGAGGGATTCGCTATGATCTCTTCAAGGGTCCGTTTTCCGTGGGTGATGCTTTCACCGTCAGCCCATACAACGATACCTTTCTGTATCTCCCCGATGTCCCCTACACAGCGGCCAAGGGAGTCCTCTGTGCCTTGAAAAAAGACGACTATTGCGAAACAGAAGACCCAGTCGGACCCTGCGACATGCCAGGCCTTGCATCATCCACCTTTGCATATGATAGCTTTTCCCTCCAGCAGCCCCTTCTCCATCACGCAGCCACTGAGATTAAACTCAACCCCGGCCACGTCACAACCGACGACTTCGGAAACTGCTCCAAAGCCGTCAACAGTACCGACTGCGGCGACGATACGCAGCACAAGCCGCTCATTGACAAATACAAGCCCCCTAAGTATCTCCAATCGCAGGGAAACATCGACCCAAAGAATACCAAGACCGTGGATTTGGTGTTCACGAATCATCTCCAAGAGAAGATTCTCAATTTGACCGTGATCAAAGATCTGGGGTACAAGGCCTCGGACGTGGATTATTATATGCCGCCGACTTTCACGACCAGGGACTTTTTGCAGGAATATGCGAGGGTGGAGTGGAATGAGAAGGCGAAGGAATGTCCTGTTGGGCCATAATCGAGGAGCACTGCAGGACTGGGCTACTATCGAGCGGATGCCATGAAAAGCTCCATGACCGGTAGCGAATTGTACATGTGAGAACTAAAAGTTTCAGGTGTTTACTTCATCAGCCTCGTCTCTTTGAACCAAACTCGATTAGGGGATCATCCACTTCTCAAATGACATTGGCTGGAAATATATACATGTTTTCTTCCTCAATACAACAATCCAAAGGATGGTGCTCAACCTCCCTCTGTAACACAATACGTTGCAATTGATGTAACAAGTCAAATAAATCACTACTATTCAGATCAATCAAAGTAATCCCTTATTCAACACACCCAACCTCTCGTCGAAAGCAAATACAACCTCATCGCACCAAACACTCACCCCACAATACCCAAAAAGACCCCCCGACACAACCACCCACACAGCTAAATCCTCCTCCCCCTCACCCTAAGCCTAACCCCCCGATCAGGCGGTAAATTCCCCATCAACGAGTACCGTTCATCCGGCCTAACCCCCTCCAACACCTCCGGCTCCAGCACCTCCATCTCAAACGCTCTTATCATGACAGCAACAGTGAATATAATCTCCTGTTTCGCGAAATGTCGGCCCGGACAAATATTGCTTCCCCCGCCATACGGGAAGAAGTTATCCTGTAAGCCGGTGGTTATGAGTTTTGCAGTGGCGTCGTCTGCGGCGGTGTGTATGCTTGGTTTGGTACGGGTTGCTGGGGGGAGGGGTGTTGAGGTCCGGATCGGACCACTGTATGGATCATTGGGGTACTTAAGGAATCGCTCAGCCCAGAACTCCTCCACTGGATGTTCTGGCTCGGTAATATTGGGCCGTATCGCGCCTTCATTCCAGAAAGATGAATCGTAGTGGGCTGTCCAGTTGAGGGCGAGGAGGGTGTCGGAGTGGTTGAATGTGTGGTTTCCCATTTTGATATCAGGGGCTCTGGGTTGGCGTGTTATGGCCACCGCGGTACTGTAGCGGAGGGACTCGAGGTAGAGGGAGTTGAGGAGGGGGATTGTGGTTAGGGTTTGGCGGTTGAAGGATAGAGTGGGTGGGGTGAAGTGGGGGGTTGTGGCGGCGAGGATGCGCGGGGTGAGGGTGGGGTGGTGCAGGGTGGCGAGGATGGGCCAGATGGTTGCTGCGGTGGAGTTGGAGATGGACCTGGTTTTTTATTTTGTTAGATGGACGGTTGCAATGGGGCATGGGGGCATGGGGGGCATACGCTCGGATCAGGCCTAGGTCTTGCACGACTTGGCCTTCGGGGGACAGTTCATGCCAGATCTTGCGACGGGAGGACATGAGGCGGAGACCGTGGATGGGGTCCCAGGGTGTGGTGTCGGGGTTTGGTGGGGGTGCTTCGCGGAGACGGGTATGCCAGTTATGGATGTGGGATGTCATTTTGTTCCGGCTGGCGATGGCCTTGGGGATCATCCAGGTGGGAAGGCCTTTGAAGAGATTGGGTAGTTGCTTGTCGAATTCCCAGAAATCGTGCATCAGGGTTGGGGCTACGTTGAAGATTTCTGACCCGCAGAGAGCGTACATTTGCGCGCGGGAGAGTTCGTCGCGGACGAAAGTGTATAGGTCAGGGAGTTCGACCCAGTCTGTCCATTCTGCACGTTTTGCTTCGATTGATTTCACCAGTTGAGTGGCTGTGATGTCGGCGAATGTTTCAAGGGTGGTTCCGCTGAGCATGCTGTGTAGGGCGCGGTGGTCTGCTTGACTGGGGTTATTGTCGCTTTGGTCGGAGTAGAGACGGAGGTCGCGTTCTGGCATGCCGAAGTTGTCTCGCAGGTGTTTGATTATTAGGGGTGTTTGTGTTAGGTTGCGGGATTTGAGCATCTTGGTTGCTGTGCCGTCGCTGTGTGGTATGTAGATGATGTTCTGGCCGCCAACGGATAGTCGGACTGGCGATGTACCAAATTTCTCACTGGGGTTGTGAGTAAGATGTCTATGCAGTTGGGAAAGACACATACCGCAGGTTAACAAGGTACTGGTGTGAGTTGAAAAGAAAGGGGATCGTGTTGCGAAGAAATGGAATCCTGTATGGTGCGGAAGGTATGCGTTCTCCATCCAGACTGCTGCCGCAAAAGTATATCTTTGTATAGATAACGAGTGCTGTGGTTACAACAACCATAGCAAGCAGGCCTGGAAAACCAAACTCGTAAGGACGGTATGATAGAGACATTGTGAGATTCTTTGGTGTGTGAATGACTTGTGACTGAACCCGAGTCGAAGAAGGAATCGGTGGATTCAGTATCAACGAGGATAAAGGAGACAGTGTCCTTCATTGCACAACGAGAGGTCCTGGACATGGATTACATCGGACATCTCCGACTGGATATTAGGTTCTGGGGGCCTTGACAGTCCCAAGGTTATATCGGCCTGGCCAGAAATAAAGCAGCCGAACCTTGGTGTTGGTCACTCCGTGTCGCCTGGAGGAATATCGGCTGATCACTTGGGGGGCCTTGTCAACGTCATTGACTAGCTAACATCTCTGATTTGCCTCGTGGAGAGAGTATGGATCCTACTTACTGGACTGACTGGGGTCCGGCAGTAAGTAGATTAAAATTGCTCACTGGCTTCGGGAGGCATTTCGCATCAGTAGAACGGATGCTTACTGAGGATTGTGGGCTTTACTCTGAAGAACGTGTTCAATGAAGAAATTTCACGCATTCCAGCGTGGAAAAGGTACTACTGACGACGTCAATTTCAAGTGCGAAAATGATTCATAACTGCCTTCACGAAAGCAAATGTGGAAACTAAGCCTAAATATCCAATCTAATTCTTCACCCTCTTTCCCGCCTCAATCGGACTCGAAATATCCCTCAGAACATATATCTGCCCATAGATATCCGTCACATCGCAAAAGTACCGAACAATACGCATCCGACGACTCCCTCGCATCGCCTCGTCCGGGTTCTTCCCCTCGCACATGGCTGCCTCAAGCTGCGGCAAGGCATTATTCCAACATTCGCGCTCGTACTCAGCCAAGCGGAATAGCTCAGCCTTCTTCTTCAAGTCATCCACAGTCTCGCTGCCAAACTCGGCAAAATGGATCGAGTTCAAGTTGCCCTCGTCGCGATCTCGGGTCCATGATCCAAGGTCGTTGTACATACGACACATGCAGCCTAAGTGTGCGCACACAGCCTCGGCGAGGTACTTTTCTGTAGCTGTGGGGAAACAGTCGCGGTTGGTCGATGGGGTTAGGGTAGCTCCCATTAGGCAGTTGGAGTACGCAAAGCAGAACGGTGCTGCGATGTGGTATGATGAGATGTTGTGGACCCAGTTGTAGTAGGAGAGGTTGATCGAGGCTGTTGTCCCCTGCTTCTTGAAGCGATTGCTATCTTCGATCTGCGACGATTGGGCGAGTAGATAACTCTGGAGCTCACGCTGGAGGGTATCTCGGTCCCAAGGACTTGCGGACCGAATGATGGGGCTTCCCATGATGACTCTGACGAATCGGTAGAGAAGGGAAAAGATTTCATGATCTCCAGATGCGTCGATGTGATTTTTCTCATCGTTGTTAGTGTCGATATTGCCTTCGACATCGGCGGTTCCTCTGGCGACTGCAGTGCGGACGAGTTGGCAGAGTTCTGCTATGCGACCCTGGAAGGCGGGAGCTGCCACCGCCTCCATGAACTCGTCGACTTGATAGGTGTAGAAGGAGAGAGCCATCATCTCGTACAGGTATGATGGAGACACATGGAACCGTGCCCGGTTATTGCAGCTCGTCCATGTAAATGGGATGATGGTAGCGTAGCTACCGCCCTTTACCATGCTTCTTGGAAGGATTTCCAGCTCCGACACGTCAAATAGTGGCTGGAATAGAAGTGCTTCGATCATTGAGGCTTGAACCTCTGCATCGGGCAGTGACTGTAGCAGAGGCGTTTTCTGGAACATTTTGACTCTTTTGGCGATGTCGGGAGAAATGCGAGCCAACGAGGAACCCACTGATATGCCAGGAGGAGTGCGAACGGACTTCAGGGCCGCTAACACATATGACTCGGTCAAGGTCAGGGATGTGTAGCTGACCTTGTCTGACCAGAGGTATGTAAGTGCATCGGTGCTAGTAGAGGAGAGATATTCGATGCCCTTCTCGATAGCAGTCTCCACCCATTCGTGGATGGGGTCAAAGAAGGACACGCATTTGGCTTCTCCCAGGATGACGACCGCGTAGGCGGTGTTCTCAACGGAGTGAGACCATGAACCATTGGCATCCTGTTCTAGCAGAGGCCGTAGGCAGGCTTGGAAAAGAACAATTGCCACTTTGGGGTCAGTGTTGATCTTCAGCCGGCCCTGCTCAACCAGAGACAATGAATGCACTAGAGACTCGACCAACAGGAGGGACGAATAGAGGTGACTGGTGTTCTGCGTATCGTCAGTTCATGGTATTGTCACTTGAGTTGGGATTCATACCCACTTATCACCAAGGCCATTGTCAGCTTTCCACCACCAGTCACACAAAAACGTCACGATTTTCGATATTTGTGAACTGTAGTCAGATGGATTTGGCTGGTGCAGGAAAGCCCGCAAAACATTGCAGTTTGCACTGAAACTAGGATCTCTTTCCCCTGGATATGTCCGGAAGTGAGTGGGCATCTCAAACTCTTCAATCAGCCGATGAACGAGATTATTGACTGGGTGCCCTAGCATGCTCAGAAGCGTAATGCCCTTGGCTGTGTCATCAACATCGGCCAGAACACCGGGCACTGAGTCAAGAGTCAGCAAATCCTGGCGGACTACTTGCAATTTTACCACTTACTCAAGCCAATCACCCCATTTCCCCTCTCGTACCCATCAGCAATAACCTTCACCACTTCTCCCAGCTCTGGGCATTTCAGATCGGCCACTGAGAACCCCCCTCTCAGCAACGTTTCCAACATCTAATACCATCGTTAGCTCTCCATATTCCCATCCACAACCTCAAGACTACATACCCAGATATACTCAAAATGCGTCGTCGGAAACACCCCCGGAACACCCCCACTCGCCTTCCCAGCCGACGCCTTAACCGCATGACGAAGATACTCCTCCGCCTCATCATCCCACCGCGAAGCATGCATAAGATACGCGGCCGTCGAAGACGGCGAAGCGAACATCGAACCCAGCACTTTATGCTGTGCCAGTTTATCGAACTCAACTCGTCCAATCAAAGCCTCTAGAGAGTGTGCAATAGTCGAGCGAGAAGTGCTGTACAGCATCTCGGGCTTGAAGCGGGACATTTTGGTATCGTGGATTTGCATGAGTGCATCTTTTCCTTTGATATCGAAGACGAAGCCATGTTCTTCGAGGAGATTGAGGATAGATGGGACGGTAATTTCGAACCCGACGTTGTTGGTTGTTAACACGTCCCATGTTTCTAGGCGCGAGCGGAGCGCCTCGGTTCCACGGGTGATGCGGCGATCAATGTCATTGAGATCGAGGTTGAGCTGAAAGGGATTATCTCGATGCTTTTTCAGAGATAGCAACGCCGCGGCGGTGTTCAAAACCCCATCGATCGGGGCCTGCGACTCAGTGTCCCAGCTCCCGTCTTTGCACTGGGTTGAGAGCAGGTATTGGAATGACTCGGGGAAAAGCCATTCTTCCTGCCCGTTGATCGACTTCGTCACGAGGGATACCCACGCTGTGTCGTACACAGTACAGGTTAGGGTTCCGAATCCGTACTTGGCATGCGAGGAGCGGATTGTTCTCTGAATCAACGATCTGGCGTCGGCGGCTAAGTCGCGATCGGTGATGGAGCCCATGTTGGGAAACCTATTGACGACAATGAAATGAATTGAGTGACGATGTTGCTGTACAGTTGAATGTACTATGTCTCTACTATACTACTAGGCTGTCCAGTCTCGTTGTATTGATTTTATAGAGGGCTTGCTTAGGCGTACTATCCTCAATACATCGCATCCATCCTATTGGTGGATCGAAACCTTATATTTCGAGACTCAACTCTAACATCGGGTATCCCGATCGTGGATTAGGCTAACCATCGGACAGTCCCAAGGGGGAAGCCCGGTGCCACAGCGTTCGAGATGGAGTGTCCGACCGAGGTCCATGTGGGATAAGCAAGGCAACCAGGATCGTGTCAGATCGTGAATTTCTGGTCCGTAAAGGTTTCATCACACAAACATGGTGTACGGTATGCATGGAATGTTGAGATATCTTTGCATGTTCTTCATCTCCAGGCATTCGAGATGACTAGACTTGGAGCTATACGCGGGATTCATTACAATAAGCAGAACATGATTGAAATTGACAACATGGTACAACACTAACCCTAACTCCCGCAACAATCTACAACACCGGCACATCTCACCCCACCAACCCCGCAGAAACAATGTTGAATTGTTCCATCCTCAACTCCCCCTCCAACTACAACTTCACCATCTTCTCCAAAACCCCCACCATGCCCTTACTCCAGGCACCCACCCTCTCTATCCTCTCCACCTCCTCCCTCGCCCTCCCAACCAACACCCCAATAACACCCCTCGTATACTCCAAGCTCTCGCTCTCCTGCATCAACCCCACCGCATACCTCTTAACCTCCACACTCTCCGTCCTCTGCTTCAATATCCCCAACAACACATCCTTATTCTTCCCCTCATCCACACCCATCGCATGAACAACCGGAAACGAGAATTTCCCCTCCGTAATATCCTCCGCGAATCCCTTTTTGTCACTGTATTCCTCGTTGCAGAGATTGCGGTAGTCGTCGACGATTTGGAAGAGGATGCCGAGGGTGTTCGTTAATGGGATGAGGTTGATGTTGGTGGTGGTGGATTGTGTCTGCATAAGCCGGACGGCAAGGCGGAATAGACCCCCCGTTTTGTTATGCGCCATTTCGAGGTATTCTGCTTCTGTGGGGATGGCGGATGTATCCTGTTCCTGTTAGGTCTGTGCTTGGTATGCAGAGGGTAATGGGACGCAGCGAGGAGGGGTGGGGAAGGTGGTGGCCTACCCGCCAATATAAATCCATCCCCTGCCCACGATGCAAATTCATCATCTCATCCAAATACACCTGCACTGCCTCCGCACTCCCTAGCTTCATTACCTCTCGTAACGCAAGAAAATACACATAATTCGCTGCGTTAATCGTCTGCGCGGTGCCGAAGATCTCGTGTGCGACGGGTTGGCCGCGACGCAGGAGGGAGTGATCTTGGATGTCGTCGATGAGGAGCGAGGCTGTATGCAGCATGGTGGTTATGTTGGTGATGAGTGTAAGGGCTTCGTTCGGGATATGGAGGTATTCGTTGAAGGCGGAGAGGAGGAGTGCGCGGAAGTTCTTCCCGGGTTGGGTGGCTAGGTAGGTGTAGGGGGATAGGATGGTTTTTTCTTTGTGGGGGGTCCAGGTGCTGGGGGTTAGGGGTGGGGTGGGGAGAGATAGCGGGGATAGGGGGGAAGAAGTCGGTTTGAGGGGCGGGGAGTCGTGGATGCTCGCTGGGGGGGAATGCAAGGGGGAGAGGATAATGTCTGGAGTGCTGGGGTCGCCCATGTTGCAGTGCAGAGGTGGGATGTGCTGTGTGCTTTGGATGTAGTGTGTATCAGATCTGCTAAAATGATCACTGGTAAGGGAGAGATTTGGTATCTGGTCATTCTTATCCTCGGATGGATATGATGGGCAAAGAAAGGGCAACCATCATAACAACGATGCCGGTTCTCGGCACCCAAATTCGATGGAAGCATAGCCCAGATCTGATCAGGAGGCCTAGACAGGTTTCTTACAGTCGGCATCTAGACTGAAATTGCAAACGCCTCAGTTGCTCAATAAGGTAACCGACCGGTGGCTCTGGACGGTTAGACTTGGACGAGAAACCGGTCATTTCCGATCAAATTGGTCAATACCAGACTTGTCGGGGTTGAGACAGACCCATTGCATCAGCAGAGTCAGTTTTGATGCCGGACTGGAGACCACAATTGAGATTATCGTGTATCTAAGCTTCGTTCCATGGTCCCAGATCGGACTCCTCATTTAGCCTGCTCCGATGTACACAAACCAGGCCGAAAGTATCATCGGCGTCGGGTAGGCATAGTAAGACAGTCCATACATCCAATGAGAGTAGGTAGCCAGATCATTCGAGTTACGTTTGTGTCAGCGTAGCAGAAGTGTATACGAATCAGTCAGGCTGCTTGGCTGGAGATGACCGATGTCTCATGAAATCGCTGGATTTAAGCCCATTGCAGAGAGATTACGCGGGCAGACTGCTCTTGAGCTTGAAAGATCATTCCAGCGTCTTTCAATGGCAATGACATTTGCTTTAATCCAGTATAAGTCAGGGTGGATGCATGTCCGTAAACAATCGAGGATTATATTGAATCGCCTCACATGCCCAATGCCGACGCATCGTCAGATTGCTATACATCTAACTGCCCACTTGGTAAGGGTCTGGGTCAATTCCCTTAACACGCCCTCGATTCAAATACGTTGTAGACCAGCTACCAGGGTACAAGCACCGGATATACATATTTTCCGTATATATAAAAAATCACATCGGATGTATTCAACAGCGCATGCATAGTATTCCCCATGAAGATTCAGTGCAATTCCTTGTTCATCCAATGATGCATCTATCGAATGGCGCGTGAAGAAAGAAAACTACAAAGTGAGACTTAGGAATTCCTGCGGGCACAGCATAGGTCTTACCTGAGAGCTCTCTCCACCACTGCGTACAGCACCAGCAAAACACAATGTGATGCAAATATTATAGATATGAGAATAAAATGGACGGCGGTGGGACCATTGTTGACTTGCGAGACGAGCGCGATACTAACAATCGCGGCCATGGCAGCCTCAGACCAGGAGCAATTCAGGAGAGTTCCCAACCCTGAATGCAAGGCATGGGGCGACGGACTGTCGGTAGGGTCCACGGACTGATGACGGGTGCGGTGGACGATGGATGCCATGGTGAATGTACATTCAAAAGCCAAGCTAGCCTGGCTGTCTTCAGGATGCCTGATGCCATAGCTCATTTAAGAATCTGCTATTTTATTCTGTGCTGCATAGAGGTGCAGTAATGCAATTGTGATTAACATCAATTTCTGCATTGGGCTGGGCCGAGACTAACCGAGTAACCAATATGGGGCAATTAGGGAGCGGTATGAGGATGTCAGCAGTCATCATGTGTCTCGGATTGAGGCGTATCAGGCCCCCTGACTGTGTATTACTTAGTTCGTATTTTCCCCGCAAAAATAATGCGTAACCATACGGAAGCCCCGAGGCTGGGTCCGATCGACCCGCTACCCGCACGGCGTGTGGTTTCCGCCCCACAGGGCTGACGCCGTCCCACCTTGGGTGGGGGTGGGGCCACTGGCATTATAGTCATCGTGGTCTTTTGGAGTCATCCTCCGCTCATGGTTTATCCATAGGGTTTCTTTACCTTCGATACGATAGTTTAATTAGTAATGGGGTGACGCCGATCATTATTAGTCACCGAGTGTAGAAGCAACGCCTGTTCAGCCACGTGGCGATTGTGGAGCGGGGACATAACCCTAAGATTGTCTTCATGTCAGCATTAGGCTGCCACTAGAAGTAAGCGAAGATAGGCTTGTGGGTGTATAACAAGCAAGCAGCCTGTGGAAGCCTCCATCCCACAAAATCAATTTCATAGACCACTCATCATCTGCTCGGATGTCATGTTCGGCACGCTGAAATACAACGAGGCCGACCAGCAGTCCTCATTGGAGCAAACGTCGCCGCCGTTTATAAAACTCAAACGGAACTTAGGGAAAGTTGCTTGCACCAACTGTAGGTCCAGCAAGGTAAGCTGTTTGCCCTATTGTTAATTGCACCGGGAGTTGACTTCTGGATAGCTCAAGTGCACGGGCGAGCCCGACGGCTGCCGGCGCTGCGCAGTTCGGGATCTATCGTGCAGTTATTCGACATCAATCCACTCCGTCAGTGGACTGGCTGAAAAGAGGAACAGCAAGGGGAAGGCCGTGACAGAACGATGGAGACATTCGGTGAATGCTGCTGATAGCGACCACCCCAAGCAGGTATACGACTTAGAGTACCCGACGCTCAGCCTGGCTGAGTTGAGTTCAATGTGCTCAGCCGACTCTTGGGACTCGCTGGGTTCATTTGACCTGGGTGGGGAAACCAAAGTGGGACTTGACGGCGAGCTACCCAATCTCCAGGACACGATGTCAGGGGAGCCGTTTCCTTTCCTCACCAGTCGAAACCCCTTCCATATAACAGACTGGTCGATAGTTGGACCACCAGGAGGTACCGTGGCGCCAATCGCACGTCAAGACGCCAGTGTCTCGATCGCAGCTGTGGAGGACAGATGTCAGCCTGCGTCCCTCCTACCCACGGACACCAAGCAAAGCCACTGTTGCTTTAAAAGGGCGGTCCAGACCTATGAGATGATCGAAGTTAATCTCGGCTGGGACCTCGAAAGTGGCCATAGGGGAGCAATTGGCAGTACTCTGGAGCAGCTCAAACTAGCTCTAGGCGCTTGCGAGTGCCTCTTAGAATGCCAGCAGTGTGCCATGCAACACGAGTATGTGATGCTTCTCCTCTCCATGTGTCGCAGGCTCGTTGGGGCTCTGGAGTCTCTATACCGTATGTTCGAGGTCCCAGCCGCCCCAGATGTGGATTTGCATGTGCCATTCTACACAAAGCAGCACTTGTTGTGTAGAGAAAGACCGAGACAGCCATCTCTCAGGCCGTCGTGGACCCCAAGTTCGGTTGGCTCGGAAAGTGACCTGGTCACGGAAGGCTGGAGTACCCATAGCAGCACTAGTAACAGTCCGCATGATGGCCCAGACCGTGGCCACGGGTCGAACAGAGTGAGCCTTGACGCAGACGATGAGCGTATCGTGCTTCAAAGCCTCCTCCGTGCTCGAACCGCAAGATTGGATGCCTTCATCCGGAGGTTGGAGAAGCTGATCCCCGAGGAAGGCTGGCCGGTGCATAAGGGAGGAACGCAGGAACTGCAACAACGGATAAAGGGGCTTTTGTCTAGATAGAATGCATCTTGAAAACGAATGCCATTGCTGCCAATGAGGGCGAACGATCGGGGATTCTTCAGAATCAGGCAACCCGAACCATAATTCAACCTTTTGTAGTTTATGGAACAGCCGTTCACGCGGGTATCATCATCCGGTCCTGAAAATGGTTCCCAAAATCCAATGGGATGTTATACTTTCGGCTTTGACCAAAATGGAAGCCCGAAACGTCTGAGAGGTGGCCTGCTAGGCCCTCCGATTGTGTGGTACCATTTCCTTCCATCGCCAAATTAGGTTGGCTTCTCCGAAGCCATCACTAAAGGCATGCATAAGCTGGGCATGATTTCGCCTCTATGACTGGGCTTTTTGTCCACCATTCATTCTGGCAAAGGAACCGTCGAGTCTCATCTAGTGACACTGCTTACCTGCGTTCCACCACCTATCACCATGATTGAAGATATTTTCCACGGCATGATGTTCCCACAAGCGCTCTGCAGGCTACACCAGGCCATTGGGATCGCAGAAACCAGGATTGGTCTACTTTTGCCCTCAGCTCTGTTCGCTCTATTCGTCTATATTTTCACGTCCAGGCTGACACGGAGGAGCGTCAAAGCTCCAGTGGTCGGACATCGATCAGTGTTGGAGCCCGGTTGGCTTGTGGGGTACCGTTTCACGATAGAGGGGAGGAACATGCTTCGACAGGGGTATCAGAAGGTATGCTGTTAAGCTGAAATAATCTCGTTACCTTTGCTGATGAGATCACCAGTTTCGAGACAAGATATTCAAAGTCCGCTGCAACGGCCTCGAAGTCGTCCTACTGCCGCACCGATATATTGATGAGCTCCACAACGTCCCAGAAGAAAAGGCTAGCCCGCCGCAAGCACTATTCAACAAAGGCCTAGGCCACTATGTTCATATGAACATCATCTTGGAGAGTCGCTTGCACGTGCAAATCGTGCAGCAACGGCTGACTCCCAACCTGGTGTCGATAATGCCTCAGCTGCAGCAGGAGCTAGACTTTGCTCTAGAGGAAGAGCTGCCTCATTGTCGTACCGACGAGTGGGTATCGGTCAACGTGCAAGACCTCATGGCACGTCTCGTCGGTCGGCTGTCTGCCCGTGTACTTGCAGGCCGGGAACTGTGCCGGAATGAGGAGTGGCTGTCTGCCAGCGTCCACCATAGCGGACACGCATTTGCCACTTCAATGACGCTGCGCATGGTCCCGGGATGGATGCGTCCTATTGTCGCACCTTTGATCCCTTTCTATTGGCAGGCACGGTCGGATCTGGCGACGGCGAAACGCCTAGTCGGTGCCCTTGTTGAGCGGCGACGGGTGGCTGAGGCACAGCAAGGAGACGCGTATGTGAAGCCGAACGACCTCCTGCAATGGATGATGGATGAGGCTGGCGGGGATAATGGAACTCCACATAAACTAGCCCATCGACTGCTATTCGTGAGCGACGCCTCTGTTCTGACCACTGGCATCCTAACCACACATTTCCTCCTCGACCTCTGTGCCCATCCGCAATATCTTAATCCCCTTCTAGCTGAAATCACGGACGTGATGCGTGAGGGCGGCAATTTTCAGAAAACGATGGTCCATAAGATGGTTCGACTGGATAGCTTTCTGAAGGAGTGTCAACGGATGAATCCGACCTTCTTAAGTAAGTCGCTAGGGACCAACATCATTTATCACACAATACTGACAAGTCAGTGACGTTCGACCGAGTACTCAAGGCCCCGATGACTCTCTCCGACGGCACTAGACTCCCCAAAAACACCCATATTGCAGTTCCGACCGACGCGATGCTGCACGATCCAGCCTACCTCCCAGGCGGCGGCGACCCCAACAGCTTTGATCCCTTCCGTTATGCACGGCTGCGAGAACAGCCGGAGAATGCCCACCGATATCAGCTGGCGACGACTGACTCGACCAGTCTAGCCTTTGGTCACGGAAAGCACGCTTGTCCGGGGCGTTTCTTCGCCAGCAGTGAGGCCAAGCTCCTTCTATGTAACCTGTTGCTCCGCTACGAGATTCGTCTGCCGGATGGCCAGACACGTCCCCGCAACTTGCTGGTGGCTGAGAATCTTGTTCCTGATCCCTCGGCAAGGCTCCTCTTTCGTAAACGGGATGACGATGAGATTCCCCGAGATCTCCGCAACCTTGGAGCATGAACCTCCTGTTGGTTCTAGGAAGGAATCAACCCGAAAATGGCAGTAGAGAACTTAGTGTGTCGGGATTCAGAGCGGGGGAGGAAGTTCTTATCTGGCGACCTGTTTCAATAAACGGATATTATCAAGGTACGCAGAGGTGCGAAAGAGCCACGCGGTGACACAATCCGGGTATCATCCGATCCGCAGCCCGGCAGGGTGCTCATCGGGGAGTTATGGTTAGTTAAATCGCTATTCTGGTTTAATTATTTCCATCCCACTCAGCAGTATTTAATGTGAAAAGCTTTCAAATGTCATTATCCGTTCACCAGATAGGTTTCGTGAGAAAACTACTTAGACTCTACCTGCTCACTTGGTTAGACCTGAGTCAACCGAGTCCCATATCTGTGGGGAAAGTATATATATCGACGAACACAAAGTGGAACTTGGGAAGGCCACGTTCGTTAGTAGATTTCTTCGTATGGCAATGATATCACAAGTCGTTGCCCTCTTCCTTCAGCGTGTACCTTTGCTACCAATAACCATTTCGATGTATCGACGCTTGGTTGTCATTGAATGGGGAATACACCGGAGACTCACGTCACAGGTATACGGCACAACGTTGTTCCGCTACAAGCGGAAAATTATCACTCCGGCCCAGGCACGGCCTGCATTTTTCCTTTCCGGCATTTGGAACTAACCTGAAATGTCTACATCATACCTCCATGACCTTTTTGAGGTATGCTTCATCATCTTGCTCCCAGCCGGGTTTGTAACCCCTGATTCCAGAATCAGCAGTAAACCACAGATTGCGGCCTGAATTCAACATACTCATAATAGCAAGCCCATGTACGATAGATTCTCCCATCACGAGCATCAGCCGCCTGGACGATAAGAGGATCAGTGGTCAAGAAATGAGAGCGATGCGATCAATAGAATTACCAGAGCTTTTACAAAGTAATCCATCATATCTGCCTCCTCCTCCAGCCATTCCACATGATTCGGTTGCAGAGCATCGGGCGTTCGTGTCTGCGCGCGATCAAAGTCAATCCAAAGGACGCGGTCCGTATCTTCCTGAACCATCATGTTGCGGGGATACGGATCCCCATGGTAGATTCCTGCACGGTGTACTCCAGTAGGATCTGGTGGAGTTTGTGGGCCCGCTTCTCTGCGAAGTTCGACAGATCTATCGGGCGTATGTTGAGGATGTACTCAAGGAGGATGGCATTGGGGCGCAGCTGGTCTTCGAGGAAGTCGTTCAGTTGTGGGGACGCGTCCACGGGGTTGATTTGCTCAACTTGGCCATAGAAGCGCGGGACGGAGCCTTTATCGCAGAGTCCACGTTCGGAGAGTCGTGCAAAGGCAGCGCTTTCGCATCTAAATGTATCGATCTCGCGATTCGCGGGGTCGGTCGGAGATGGCGGGGTGGAGTGATACTATTGTGAGTTGCTCGTGTTAAGGTGCTGGTTGGAACCAAAGGGAAGCTTGCGGGCATACTTACCACTTTCAAGATGCATTCTTTCCCCCCTCCATGCCGTGTGAAAGATGGATGATACGTCTGATTTCCTGATCTGGTTGATGAAAGATATCTCTGCTAGTTCAATGCTCGCCATGATCGCGACTGCGAAGGAGTAAGGAGGATCGACAGGCGGGCGGCACTAGTGACTGACTGCACTAGACCTGATCCGGCAGAACATCTGTTAGGATCCCCTCGTCTACTAAGATTCAAGATTCACATCGGAGGCTTGAATGCAGGGGAGCATGCTGAGCTCCAATGGGTAGCTAACGTGCATAATGCCTAAGGATCCAGTGTATGGATTATGAAATTCTAACGTAGCTGTAGGGAAACCCGACAAAAACAGTGTTCGCCAAGCATGGTCTACTTGCTTTTCTGGCATGCAGTATGTACTTACCATCGCGAGCCAGGCTGCTATGAAAGGTCGAGATGTGGACACTCATTTGGATCCGCAAAGAATTCACCCCCCAACCGCTTGATCAATTCGCAGCGCTCCTCCATATCCTTTGCATGATAGAGGATTGCCGTGCCCCTCCCACCCGCCTGGAGATATGTGATGTTCAACACCCACACTCCACCCCCAGCCGGCCAGCCAACCCGGATATACCTATCCGTGTCCTCAGGGCCCATCACCGACCTCCGAAAGTCGTCATCATATGGTGGGATCCACCTTGCACCAAGACGACGCACTACCGACGAGCCACCTATCAGGATCGCACATGAGAGGAATCAGTAGTGGGGAAAACGCACTCCGAGCACAATGGACATCCTCCTTCGCCTGCCACTCCGGATCCGACTCCGGTGGGTGTGGTGTCCTGTTAAAACGGTCCAGTCCGAGAAAGTCAAGGTCAATACCAAGGCAATCGTCCAGCCGATAGGTGCCACCCTTAGATGGGTAGCCGTAGACTGTGATCCCTGGGCCATAGCCAAATGATGTCCACGAGCGTCGCACGCGCGGAGGGCCGGGAGCACAATCGATGAAGTTCCTGTCGTATATTGGCGCACGTTGGACGTCATTTGGCCTGAATTTAGGTATAATATGTGTGCCGACGAGAATCAGGCCTGAAATAACCAGACAAGGAATTAAGATGGTCATGGTGGTTCGCATAGTGGCGTGGCTGCGTGAGGTAGAAGAAGGATGGAATCGAGTTTTGGGAGATCGACACTGGGACGGCGGGTACGCGAACTTTAAGGCCAGGAACCGACCCGGGGAGATGTCCGGCCCCCGGCCACGGGCGCAGGGTCTACGGGATGCGTATTGGCTAGGTTTCATACTTACCACTTGATGTCCCTGCGTCCCGGCGGCCCTAGCCTAGCGAGAGCTAGAAGTCTAGAAGCTAGGCGATAGTGGGCTTGGCCACACAGCGCTGGGTAGCTCTAGCTATCCCACTAGTATCTTGGTGCACATTAGGTAGACGGTCCGATCAATCAAGTGGATCGTGATTGGTGGACACGGAAAGGGTTGATCGACCCGTCAAGAGAAAAGCCATACCTCCAATCCAGCTGCTGAAAATTGGCGTGTGGAAAACGGTCGTTGAGCTACTTTTGTTACTCCACGACTTAGGCGCACTAGATGAACTTGGCTAGGCAGGCACATGCAGGGAGTCTAGTACGCGTCCGACACTGCCAGTCCTATCGACTTGGGGAGGAGTTTCAGACGGATGTTATCGCTTCACCCATTCAATTGGATTAGACGACCAGGCAACCCTGTGATATGTTGGATTCCTTGGGAAACTTGGTTAAGATATGTCCTTTTAATCCAGTACTTTCTCTCCAGATCTTGAATCTAAACTTCTATTTATTTATTCTAATCTTAAAACTAGTAGATCAGGGGTGGCAGACTGTGACGTGCATTATCATTATGGGAACTACGCTAATCATGACTACTGGAGAGGAGCTGAGTTATTAGTTTGTAGATTGTCATCCGCCCGCCCACACTACACAGATGGCCTCCCTACGTCTGTAGTGCACCGAAGGCCTCACTCATTTACCCTGTATGGTTTCCATCAGAATTAGAACCCTTCCTGCCTAAGCCTGTGAAATAATCGTACAAAGGCTAAGCTTGGTAGGAAGCATGCAGAACTGCGCTGTCGCTAGGGTCTTGGCAAGGTTCTTGAAGGCTCGGAACAGCAATTATGTATCACCTAGCCATCCTGGTACTATATACCAGCAGGTGGCTTATTCCGTACCTAGTCCATGTAGCCTGCCACTTGTAGCCGTGCAGCGACGGGTTCTCCCAGGCTAACCTCCTGTCGTGCGTGGGTGTTTCCGTTCAGCCAGCGGATGGCTTGGATATGGGCCTGTTCCACGAGTAGGGGTCTGTGATTTGTGATTTGGGGGGAGTTTTGCAACGAAAGTCCAGTTAGACGGCCGGAGTTCACGACTATCCCGTCATTCGGCGTGGCCTTAGTACTAAGTAGGCATCAGGCATGCCCTGGAAACTTCCGACGTAAGATAATCGACCTTGTTTCGGTATAATAGCGATTAAAAGATATTGGTCTTAGTAAAGGCGTGCTTGAAAAACTACGAGCTTGTTGGTATCTTTAATACAACCCCAACTTCGAAATACCGTGCCTCTTACTTTGAGGGGTAAAGTGCCATCTCCAAAGTATTAAAGGGCATGTCTCACCAGTACAAGACATATGGATCAAATGGATATCATACAGATTTGATATCCGTGCGGAAATGGAAGATATGTGTTCATTCACTAGGCTGAGTGCATGGAGGATTTGCTCAGGTCAATTCAACCAGCTAGCCAGGAGTATCTAATGACTCCGCCATGCACTTTACCTTGACGCAACAGAGGGTCATCTGATATCCCTACCCTTACCCTACCAAAAATGGCCAGGTCACGTGTCAGGAACCCACCAACTCTCAGTCCATCCTTACTCCCATCATCCAAGAACAATGACTTCCCATTCCTCCCACACACTCATCTTATCCATACCGAACATGCCTGCTCTACCATCCTCGTTACAAACTCATCATGTCTTCCTCATCCGGTCTTTCTGCAGGCTTCGACGATCCGGGGCGTCTCCGTCTAATCACCGCCATCCTAGAATCATTGAGGTCTGCCGAGATGGCGATGAAAGCCCCCTTAGGAACGTTAGAGATAAGTACGCCTATCTGGTTTGCCTTGTGGCTGGCGGACCTGTCAGAACTTGCGAGAATTTCTCAAGACTTCAGTCACAACGCCATGGGTACTTTGCTGCAGTATAATGGTGGCAGCTTCGACAGACTACTGACGATGTGTATGTCTACCATCCTGTGTCGCAGAGTATGAGACCCAGTCATATACCAGGGTTGCCGAGGTTTAGTATAGGCGGGAAGGTTGCGACGTCACGACCAGACACAGGGATAGCCAGCCCTTCGCGGAGAATTGAAGGCTTTTTGCCCAGCAAACCGACAGAATCTTGTATAGGTGCGGTACCAGCGACTATGGAGAACTCGCCCGCCAAACAATTTTCCAAAAAGCGGAAGCATGAAGAGATGGAGCCGCCCAGCTCTCCCAGTATCCCAAGTACCAGCAAGGTCAAGAGGGATCCCACCAAGGATGTTAGTACTTCTTTTTCTATTGCTCGCCTGCTACCATCCTAACTTACGTGTAGTGCCTAGAGCGGGACCGCGTCTGCGTCATTAGTAGAGCCACAGACCCTCTACAAGCCGCCCACATACTCCCGGCCTCGCTCTCCGATATTACAACCAGTATCCCAAACATGCAATACTACGAGTTTAAAGACCTGCTGGCAATATTCTGGTCAGAGAGAACAATCGAGAAGTGGCTACAGGCCAAGGAGGACATTTTTCTCTCAGCGATCAACCCGATAGCACTAAGCCCCAGCTGCCACGTATACTGGGACCGGGCATTGTTTGGGTTGATGCCAGTAGGAGTATCCGAGGACCGGACATCGATGCAGCTTCAATTCTTCCGGCTGAATGGCCAAGGCCTCCCAGCGACCGGCAACAGTCTACTACTCCCGCCAAATGCAGAAGGAAATGCAATGATCGCGCCACTTACGATGCCCGGGAAATGCCAACAAGGGGGCAGAGATCACCACGTCAACGTCGCCGGGCCGAACTTGACGATTTTCGATCACCAGGCCCAGCGTATCATTCCATCCGGCGACATTGTGACAATTACCACAACAGACCCCAGCACGCTCCCCTTGCCCGACGAGGGCCTCCTCTCCCTTCAGTGGACTCTCCATAGGTTGGTGGCGTTGTGCGCCGCGGCCGGGTGGCAGCCCGGGAACACGGAAGACGACGACGAAATCTACCCCGACCAGCTGCACGCAATGAGCAGGCTAACTTCCGAAGAGGCCGGCCATTGCCCTCGGATGAGGGAGATCAAGCGTCTGTACTTTGAGGAGCGTATAGCGGAGGCGAGGGACTCGTGGAATATTGATTATGGTTATTGATTTCGTTCTGATATTGTCGCTCTGTAATATGCAGCTTTTTTTTCAAGCGACTGCTGTTGAATGTTCAATTAAGCTACATTTACTCGCTCTAATATATTTAAACGATGGGTTGATTCCCAAGTAGAACGGAAGGACCCAGTAGTCAACTTGCAAAATCTCCACGACGACAAGGTACATATAAAGGATGCATTTCACAGTGGCCAACCCTCCATCACTACTAACATGATCTACCGATACCGAGGCCGCGAAACATCCAGCGACGTGTCTGCCAAGTGGACATCACAGTACAACCTTGGCAAAAATGAAGGCCGGATCCTCCTCACCAGCGTTCAATGCCATTTCACATCGCAAAGCCCCTCCTGGAATTTAACTAGGCCATGGGTATCAGATGGTCATAACAGGGATTCCCGATATACTCGTATTCCGGCGGGCTGAAAGGGTCGCAACCAGTGTTAGTCCCCCGTCGGGGATCACATTGCACAAATCTCCCGGGTCTGGTCGTGCATCCACAGGTGTAGACCGGTATCACATAGTGACACCTGAATAATTCAGTATCCTCCCAACCGCTCGGGCAAGCTCGACTCACATGGTTCAAGGTAAGGCTTGGTTGGGGCGGTGGATGGTGCAGGTCTGTCTGAGAAACGACTGGGATAGTGGCTGTCCGTTAGCTCTTTTGCTCCCGAAAGCTTTCATTCTCCCATACCTTCTCTTCCTCTTCTTTACGGCAAACCCTAGACAATTGTGCTAAGTCAGCATCAGAGGGAAAGGATTCTGTTATGATCACGTCACGGACGCTTCCGATGCCCCTCCTTCCGTCGACAAGATCAAATTACAACAAGGAAGGTACGACAGAGCATCCAGGCCGGTAGAAGAATCTCGCAGAGCTGGGCGTACATTGTACCTCAACCAGCAAATTATGTGCAAGACCTTAGCTTTCCCTCTTTTCCGTTCGAACAAACCCGGTCTACTTCTCTTCAATACGGAAAGTTTCAAAATGTAGGTGTCGCAGACCATGACCTTTTGACAAACGAACTTACATTATTGAGGTGCTTCTATTACCGCGAGGTTTACACCTGCGGTTGTTGGGTCAGAGGGGCGTTCCGACAATGTGAAGAGCGCGAAGGGTCGAACAAGATGTGTGAGGAGCTGGGCCCGGATCAGGATCGCGAAGTGGGCAACTATTGTCCGGAGCACCTCGTCCATAGCGCTGCTACCGTCACCTATCAAGGCGAGGCCGGACCGTGGTTTACGGTTGGTGGTGGAGGAGGAGGTGTGAGAGGTGGGGAAGGGAGAGGGAGGAGGGGAAGGAGGGGAAGAAAAGGAGGGTGCGGACGGGGAGAAGATGGCGGCAATTGCGGTGGTGGAGATGGTGGGCTTGGTGGTGCCGGTCGTGGTGTTAGAGGTCGGCCTCGTGGTCGTCCTCCTGGTCGTGCCGGGGGTGATGTTCGTGGTGCGGGTCGTCGAAGTCGTCGGAGTCGTCGGGGTCGTGGTGGGCAAGCTGAACAAGCTTAGTATGTGAATAATATCATGTATAGCATTTATCATGCCAAATCTTTCCCCGGGATGGAGAAGCCCCGCTTATCATGACTGCACACAGTTCATCGGCATATCATTCCGTATGACGTAAAAGAAAAATTATGGGCAGGGTATCTTGTCCACTGAGAAGACAATTATCCTCACTCCGCATCCCACATCTCCGGCATGGCTTCTGCTACAGCATATCGATGCAAGAATCCAACCAGGGATATTCTGGGCCATTATCTCCCTCGTCACCCAAACCGTCCCAAGCGGACAGGGACAGGACAGAAAAAGTCACACAAAAAGCCCCCGCAAACTAACATGAAATGCATGCCCTTGACACGTCGACTCCCACTCGAACTCCTCCACGAGATCCTTCTCGACCTCGACCTAGCCAGCTTAGGGATGCTCCGGCTAGTAGACACAGCATCCAACCATCTCGTCGAATCACTCCCCGCATACTCACTGCTGAAGACTCACGCCTACGAAGCCCTCCACGCCCTGCACGTTACGGGAAGCTCATCCTACATCCGCATCCGAAACCTCTTCGCCGAGTTCTGCCAACCCCGATGCAGAACCTGTCCCGATTTCGGCCCCTTCCTATACCTCCCCTCCATGATCCGTTGTTGTTATAAATGCAACTTCATCCGACCGGTCTTCGAGCTCGCCCGAGTATCTGACCTCCGCTTCCGCTTCGGCCTGAGCCCAGCAGACCTAAAACCTGTCCCCATCCTCCACAGCATTCTGCAGCCCCAAATCCGTCTCGCCCGGATCAAACAAGCCAAAGACATTGGAAGACGGCTGTACGGAACTCCCAAGGCCATGGAGGCCGCCTACCAAGCACGCGTGCAAGAACACCAAGAGAAATACAACCGTCGGATCCACCAATGGGAACAAACCCAGCTCCTGGGCGAGGAAACCCCCCGGCCACGGTACCGAGCCGTCCGTGAGAAACTAGGCCATGAACGAGATCGCACCACGTTGAAAATGCACGCCACGACGCCGTTCCCCTATTGGGATCGCGAAACCCGGACCCTGGAACCGGGGACGTATTGTCGGGCGTGCACGTATCACTGGGAAGAGAAGATCGCGGATGATTGGAGACGTCCCGAGACGATGTGGCATATTCATCCGCCTGGTCGGGAGGCTTGTTATCGGGCTTTTTTGGAGGCGGAGTTGCCGGAGCATTTTCGTGAGTGTGCGGCTGTCAAGGCGAATTATAACCTTCGAAGGAAGAAGGTGAGGGCCCGCGATCGTGAGAGGGGACGGGTGACTTTTATTGTGCGGCTTGATGACACTGGGGTGAGTTGAAGGTCAGATTGGATGGTCGATGGCATGCAGTTGGAATGAGCCTGTGCTGCATCTCAGTGGGCGATCTACATTTGCCAATTACAATATAGGCTGGCTACCCATCACCCCTAAGTGCCTGAGGCCACAGGAAGTCTGCCTCAGGCCCCAAGCTGGAATCGATATTTTGACCTTCAATCTGCCCTGACCAGCTCTTGTATGCCTGCATGGATAGTTCAAAGCCTTGGAAGTATCTCCTACAGTTATCGACCTGCAGAGCGAAAACAACATGTCGTCTTGATTTGGTTTCTCTGCGGGAGTCACCATCCTGGAATCAACAACATGTAGACAAATAGATGTATAGCTTATCTGGCATGGCTTTGACATAGATATCTGCTGAGAGGACATCTAATAGTCTTATTGGCATCGAACATCGTTCACCTATCGTTCAGTCAGTATATGAACTTCTCGATGTTAACGCCGGTAATATATATATTGCGGCCTATTCATACACCCAACATTCTCAGTTAGCACAATTCTGGCAGAGCAAGTATTACTCGTTACATTTCAAACTCATTGATTTCTCAATCTGTATCATGCACTAAACTGCATGAAGATGAATCAGGATTCTCAGAAGGTCTACCATAAGTATGTAGATAGAATCGGACCCGTCGATGTTGGCGGTTCATGATATTGTGGTGCAGGGGGATGTGGCGGTCGCGACGGCGGTGTCGGTTGTGGTTGGGGGGGGGGGTGTTTCAGGATAGTATGGATGGGAGGAAGGACGGGTTGGTGGCGGCGGGGCTGGGGGAGGGGTATTTGAGGGCGTTTGGGGGGGATGAAGCGGCGGGTTATGAGTAGGGAGCATGTCGAGACGAAGACGGGGGTGGAGAATATGAGGGGGAGGGAGACCCTTAATAATTCGGGATTATAGATTAGGTGAAGTTAGAATGGGACAATTATCCTGCGGATTATTTCTTTGTGATATAATTAGATCAATCGGCAGATCATAGAAACATGCTGGAGATATCGGGTCTATTTACGGACATAGCTCATTCAGCCAAGGCAGCAGCAGCTCAATGGCAGACGGGTAGCTTGGGGCTGCATAGGATATGGTTGCTAGTTTCCCTCATCGATCATTCACCCGATCTCTCTGCGCCGCCACTCGCTGATCCCGCAAATGCTTCTGGAACTGGACCGTCATCTTCAATACCCGCTTAATGTGCGCCAGTTTCAGTTTGCCCCCGTCGTTGTCATCAGACTTGGCCAGCGCTCGAGCTGACGACACGATGTTGCCTGAAAGGTCAGCGGTGAAGCATTGTTTTCTGCAGACGACTTACGAATTTGACGGCCGTCAACCTCTTCATCGAATTCTTCCTCGATCCAGTTCCTCATTTCCCGCAAGTTGGCAATCTCTTTCGGACGTTCGTTGATAAATTGTAGGAACAGTTGGCGTAGTTCGTCCAGTTGCATGTTGTTGTAGCGCATGGCGAGGTGTACACGAGATTGCACGGCCACGTCGAATGTCTTGATCCGGTTGGTGGTTAAAATTAAGATTCCGTCGTAATATTCCAGAATACGGAGGAACACTTTAATTGTTAGACGAGAAGTACAAGCTGTCTTGATGCTCACCTGTCACCAAGGAGTTGCGATTGAGATCTCCTTTATCCGTTCCTCGCGATTCGAGAAAGACATCGGCTTCATCACTATCATCACTTAATATAAGACCACCAAGAGGATAGGGAGCCAGCAAAGATAACCAGAAAGGAAAGGCAGCTTACAACAACAAAATAGCCTCCCATTTCGACGCCAAGCTGAACACCTGTGCTAGTTTGCTTTCCACTTGGTCCGGTTTCAATCCGATATCACTAACGCTCACGGCAAAAAGCGGTTTTCCAGTCGCCTGTGCCACGCTTTCTATACGAAATCAGTATCACCCAACTCCGATCAGTCGGGGACATACCTGCTGTTGATGTTTTCCCAACACCAGGGGGTCCTGTGCAAGTTAGCGCCGATGTCGCAAGATAGGGAGGGGGGGGGTAATACCATGAAGCAAAATCACCAAACCACCCCCCTTCCCCTCAAACCAGTCATCGTTGCCGGCCTTCCCCCCGTCCTCCGCCCTTTTCTTCTTCTCATGATTCGCGACCAGGCTTTTGATCAGCTTCTTGGAAGACTCTTCCATGATCAACTTGTCAAACGCGTCCATTCGGATCTTGTTCTTTATCTCGTGCACACAGTCCACTGGCATCTGCACCCATTTCTTGGATTTCATGCTGTATCCCAGGAACCGCGCCGGACAGATGATAAATTGATCCTCGTCAAAATCGTCGGTCGCGGCAACATCGTCATAGTTGAACTTCATCATGTTCTTCAACTCTCGGGACTTTCGGCACTCCGAGCAAGTGCATTCATACGCATTATCGGTAATCTCCAAGTCTCCCATCGGGGCAATGTCGTCCGCTGCCGCATATTGAATGAATGACCGATGGTCCACAATGACCGGACCGGAGAGCTAATGACATTAGTAAGGAAAATCAGTAGTGTGATACGACTTGCCCGAGTTGAACGATTCCCACTCTGATCGACGGTTTCCAGGCCGGAACTGCTACTCGTGTCGAATTGCTAGGCGCTATTAGCGGATGCAGATGCGGATGCGATGCGACCGAGGCATACGTACATTCGGGCTGTTTGAGAGGAGATCGTATCCGGCCTCCTTGCTGATAATTGGACCATCGCAGTAGAACAATTGGGACCCTTTCCGTGCGACGCAGAATTCACGGAACTTTTCACCCCGTTTCCGAAGGGTTTGGCGAAGCTCATCCACCGCGGGATTGCCATTTCGGTCCACATAATTCTTCAACGGATACAGGTTGAGCGTGTTGATAGCCTTGGCACCGGTATACTTGTAAATTCGGAGCGTGGCGGAGACGCGATTAAAGGTCTCTCCATTCCAGTCGTAGGACCAACACGTCAGACTAAAGTAACTCTTGTCGGTGCCATTTCGCGCGCGGTAATCCTCATACGTATATTCGCGAGCGATGAAGACTTGAGGACAGTCGAAGACCACCTGCGAATATACCATCTCACCCGGGGGAAACAGAGTCCAAAGATACTCAAAAGGAATCTCAGCATTCTTGGCCCACTGATCCCGCTTTTGGAAATACGATTCGAGCTCTGAGGTGGATCGCACCCTCTCCAGGAGCAGTTGCAGGTCGGCGGCATCGACATTCGGAGTCTCGCCATCCCCAGCAGCAGCAGCTTCCTCCAACCGGTCCCAGTCCCAGACCAAAATATCGAATTTGTCGGAGAAGCTGTTGTAGTTGGTGACTGAGGATGGTCGACAGGTCCTCTTGATGAGGTCCTCCAGGCCCGGGGAGCTGATGGTGGCGTTTGAACCGGTGTATTTCTTGGTCTCGTCGAATGATCTCCGCCAGGTAAATGCGTAGGGTAAGCTGGGCTCTGATCCTTTGTTTGTGGGTGGTAGGTTGGATGGGACGTCTTCGAAGATGCCTTTCTCCTCGTTGTACCGTGAATCGAGCAGCTGGATCCTGGGGTTGCCATCAACTTCTTCTTTTTTCACCTCTTCTTCCTTCTTCACCCCTTCCTCTTCTTTCACGTTCGTGGTTTCTGTCTTCGTGCTCTAGACAAATTAGTCACGACGTGTAACTTTACATCAGCACTGATGCTGTCAAGACATACCGTGTTAGGGGCAGGCACTTCAGCGGGTTTGTCTTCGGTCTTATTTGGCTCCGGATTTGCGGGCGTCTCGGATTCTTTGACCTCCGGGCTGGCATTCAACGCGACGAGCTTCTCCAACTGTGCGATTCGCTGCTCCAGCAAACCGATATACCTCCGCTCCAAAGACTGCACGTCCAGACTACTCATTGCCGAGTCCCCCATCTTGCCAACCAGGTCGACGGTTAATCTCAGCTATCGAGTCACGGGACCGGAGAGAGATATGTTCAACCAGGAAGAACATGATATGAAGATGCCTTGGTGGGGGATGCTATCTGCTTATCAATGGGATGCGGCGGACGTTGAGGGAGGGACGGGACGGGACGTATGGGGGCCGAGAACCAGCCGCCAGGATCGCGATCCCTGTCACGGCTGAATGGCGGGGTATCCGTCCCGTGCTCCATCTCAGAGTGGTGTTTGCTTTCTCCTTTGCTTGGGCGGGACACTTCCCCCCCAACTCACTCCCGACCGATGGAGGATTTCTGCCGCGTTCACGAAGAACTCGCTAGTCGTTATTTTCTTTACCAGCTTGAAGATGTTGCCCTCTTCCTTATTACCGGAGAGTAAAGCAACCTTAAAGAGGGAATGGACTGAGGAACGCCGAAGAGCTCGTGTTCCCTGTTCATGCCCGACCGCTTGGACCTGCGAGACCGCAACGCTTCATTTGTTGTTGGTGCCCGCCAAGAGGAACCAGGAGCGCCTGCAGAATCCCGGCTTACACCACGTAACGTGGCTATGTCTGGAATTTGCTTGCTTATCACTCGGCTGTGTCGGTGTTTCTCAGTCCACTCCAGCTGAAAGTTCCATGTCTCCGCCTGACTTTCCTAGGTCCGACCACTCCCTCCAGCGTAACAACCCGCCATGATACCGATGAACCGTGAGGATACCAAGTCGCTTGGAAACTTTTTCGATGGAGAAGAGTACACTAGCAAAGACAAGTCAGTAGAACAACACTCGCCACTGGTACTTCCCTAATCATGCGATCGTGTCTCTAGCCCCGTTGTCCAGCGCACCCAAAAGGTTCGCTCCACCCAGGTGAGGTTTTGGAAGAGAATCCAAAACGGCTTGCGCAAGCATGATCAGGACAAGGTCGACCGGGTCGTTCAAGACTATAATGCCGAGTATAGTATCGCTGGTTTGGAGCGTCTGGTAGAGGAATACCTCCCGACAGCAAAAACGGCCAAAGACAAGCTTGATGAGCGACGCCAACACGGCGATAAGATCATCTCTACTCATGTTCAGCGCTTTGCCAACACGTTCTCCGGCTTCCTAAGCTGCTACTCGCAGATCATGTCGATTATGAGCGCGGCGGATACGCAGTTTGGCGGAGTGGCAGTCCAGGCGTTATCGATCCTTCTGGTGGTAGGTATCAGACCTGAGCAGAGAGCATACTTCTAACATCATCTTTAGGTAGCGGTCAACAAGCAAAAGAACGAAGATCAGATCGAAGGGCTCTTGGCAAAATTCAAGAATAACTTTCCCCGTCTCCAGGGCCTCCGCAATATATATCCGACGCCAAGAATGCAGGAACTCATCGCAAAAGTATACACGGATGTTCTGACCTTTTCCCAAATGGCAGTTGAGTACTACCAGAAGTCAGCTTTAGGTAAGCGTACCTAAATAAGATATTCTTCAAATTCTGATCGTACAACCAGAACGGCTGTGGCAAGCAATCGCCAAGCCGCCCGACATGGGCGTGAAGATGGCCGCGGATGGCATTATGGCTGAGCTGGCAGAGGTAAAAGAGGAACGAGACTATTTACTGAACCAGCGCGTTTATCATTTGGAGCAGCGTGTCGCTTCACTGACGGTGCTGGCCGAGGATGGGCAGAAACGGACCACCGCGATTGAGGGAAAGGTGTCGACCATAGGAAGGGGTGAGTGACTTTAATCTCGTCTACTACCGGGCAGTTCCACAATCTCTGACCATAGTAGATATCGTCCAAATGCAGCAGAATGAGAGCCAAGATCTACTGACTACTCTGCGGCAATTTCTTGTGCCAGACGACTTCTCTCACGAAGAGCACATGGAGGAATACCAGTGTCAATTGCAGGCTCGCTTCAGGTGCGGATGTGGAATAAACAACCTCGCAAGCAGCGAAGCATATCAGTTGTGGAGACAAAGCGACAAGTCCCGAACGCTAATTTTGCGCGGCCGTACATCACAGATAAACTCGCCTTTATCCTGGCTCAGCTCTGCAGCAGTCGAGCTAGTCAATGCTCTGCGCACTGAAGGCGATTCTGGCATGATTGCCTACTACTTCTGCCGACGCGAAGGCATGGATGATGACCATATGCATACGGCAATTGCCCGAATGGTCTATCAACTCTTCAAGGCACAACCAGCTATGCTCAAAGACCGCCGAACCTACCAAAAATGGGTGGATGTTCTTGAAAGTACCAAGTGGGGAAAGAAAGACATCAAAACAGCATGCGAACTATTTGTCAGTGTGCTGGATCAACTGGATCGGGTCTATCTCATCTTGGATCGACCAGAGACCTGCAAGGGTGGCGATCCCGGACTCTCCAGGATACTCGAAGAGTCACAACGCTCAGCGTGCATATTGAAAACCTTTGTTGTTGTTGATAAGGATACAGCTGACCGGGGTGAGGTTGAGAGCTGGAAGGAGTCTGCTCGTGCCAAAAGTTTAGATGTCATTGACCTTGACCAATCATAGTGCAAAAAGATTGGAATTATCCTATGGTTTGTTCCATTATTCTGGGCAATCTTCCCTCAAATTCATTTGCCTTCCAGTACGACAAAATCCTTCAATAGGGTGCCAATTGTCGTGATGCGGTACAACATCGCGCACGACATGTTCCGGCTAGGATGTTTCCTTCGATAATCTGCCCGGATATAAAATGGGGAATCCAAGCGATGTTTATCTTCACGGCGAGGATCAACATCTCAATTTTGCACCTCCTTCCTTTGCAACTACTTGAGATATCGCTCGCCCATTACCAACCCACCTTGCCTCCCGTCTCATAGCACGAGATTCACCCTAGAGGATCAATCATGACCTCCCAAGTCGACCTCTGCATCGCCATCTACAACGAAGGCGACTGCCACGAACACTGGGCCCTCTACTTCGATGACCACCAATTCGACGACAAAACTCTCTTCAGCGTGAAGCCCTCATCCCCCGGCCAATTCTGCCACACCACCGAAACCCGACATGCCCAGACCCTCCGCGACCAAGACGAATCAATCTTCATTTGCAGCGTAGCAGCAGACCAGGAAAACGACATTCTGTCTATTGCGGAGGAGATAAAAATCAGGGACGTGGGCATCGAGGTTTGGACTTCTCAGCAGTATGTGTTGGATTTTCTGGATGTTTTGGAAGCGAATGGGCTGATTCCGATGAGTATGGAGTATTTGGGAAGGAGGGAGTATATTCGGGGTAGGGTTGCGAGGGCGAGGGTGGATTATGCTTTCCGGGGTGACTAGCTGTTCGGTAGAGTCGAATGGGAGCGGGGAGATCGTTCGAAAAAATGGATGTAGAGTGGTCATCGTAGCTATTCGTTTCAAAATTCAAACCTTGTCCGCCTCGCAAACGGCATCCTCGCGCTACTGGTTGTGACCGCCTTATACATGCCCGATACAGCCTCGTAACCCAGCCTTGCAGAAAGCCAGACGAATACCTCCTTCATATTCCAAAACACAGTCTCATGTACTAGTTCATATTCTCCCCTTTTCTACTATCGTAACCCCTCAATGTGGCCTCGACGGATCCACCAGTCCAACCCCAGGCCCATCCCACCAGTAATCGCTTCCCATCTCAATGTCCGACATGCTGAATCCCAAAGGCCCATTATTCCTCGGAGCGCTCAGTTGAATATCACTCAACAACCAGCCTCGTATGTTTACCACCCCCTAAGCTAACCCCTAAACCCCAATTAACACCACTTATACATAGCCGTCCACGATCAAACAGCCGAAAGAAACAAAAGTCCTCATCTTCGTATTATCGTTCCTTGCGATCGTAACCTACCAATTATCGATAGCCCTCACGCACCCGGGGGCGCAAAGGACGGAGACTAAACATTTAGTCATTGGGGTTCTTGCACTGGAACTGAGTGACTTGGCTGTGTTACTAGCAACGATGTTTTCCCGTCCGCAAGGTTATGTCGTTCAGGCGTTGAAGGATAGGAAGTGAAGGTATTAACAGAGTGGACTTTTTCCTTCAGGAGGAAAGAGACTAAATCCCTCAGGTTTGATCTGCCCTTCTTAGTTTCTTCACTAATGCATACCTCGATATCAGATGGAATGATACAATGGATGTTGATTTGTTTAGGTAAGAGATGTATTCTACCTTATGCCTCGTACTATACGGAAGGCTCGCGAGGCCCTTCACAAACCCTAAGGCCCTTGTCCAGCCCTACTCTTGTCCTGTACATGTCATCCATTCACCCACGATCCACAGCACTCCTGAACCCGATTCAAAATATCCTCCAATCCCACTGAATCCACAAATCCCGCCTCCCGCTCAACAACCAACCTCCTCTCCTCACCCCGAGGCCTAAAATCAGCCGGAAAAGGCGGCGGTCGTAGCAGGCCCCCAATTTCCTGCAGCTCCCACGGATCCAATTCCACCTGTTTCCCATCAATATACCCAGCTTCGATATTAAACGCCCACAGTATACCAGGAATTATAATTTCAAGCTCTTTTCTCGCGAGATATTGTCCCGAACAGGCTCGACGTCCACATCCAAAGGCTAGGAGCGGCAGATTGGGGTTTTCGATCCATCGTTCCGGGCGGAAGAGGGTGGCGTCTGGGCCGTACGTCTCGGTGTTGAGAGCGGTAGACCAGTGGTTAAGTATGATGACTGAGTCTGGGGGGATATCATAGCCCATGAATGTGTCGGGTTCGGTGGTGCAGTGTGGTAAGGAGGCGACGGTGATGGGGCGCCAGCGGAGGATTTCGTTGATGAATGCGGTTGTGTAGGGTAGGGAAGGTATATCGTTCAGTGTTGGAGGGCGAGTATTTCCCACCGTGGCGTCTAGATCTTTCTGCACTTTTGCCACTTCGTCCGGATGTGAGATGGACGCTAGGATGAAATATCGGAGAGTCGTGGAGGTAGAGTCGATACCCGCTTGGAAGAGAACCCCGACTATGTAGAGCAGTTCCTCCTCGCCGATCTCATCTGTTCGTTCCTTTGTCTGGACATGCTTGGTAAAGTTCCATCCTGGAGTGTTCATTGCATGTTGACTGCTCTGTGCGAAGATCTGCATGGCTTGTTGGTGATACCTCTTCCCTAGTCTCTTCCAGGGATTGAGCAAGCAGGGGAGTCGGTTAACCCAAGGGAATATATCCACCACCCACGTCCCAGAAATCGCACGCATAGTTTCCTCCACAAAATCAGCCATCCTTTGGACCTCTGGTTCATCCCCTTTGAGTCGCTTTCCATACGCAAGACTATACACAACACTTGATGTAAAGCGCACAATACTTCGATCCCAGTCCTCAGTATGTAGCAAGTCACGCAGAGTCAATTTTGTTTCCGCTTCGAGGAGTTCATGGAAATACTGGGCTTTGCTCGGCGCGAGAATCGTCTTATGGATGCGGTTATGAGCTCTCCATTGTGGACCGTATGGGAGGAACACTGTATGCATTCCTTGGGATAGATTCTCGAGTGCCATCACCATTCGTGGTCGAGAGCTATAGATCCGGCCTTTTTTGGCGAATAGCTCATTGGCGATCGAGACGTTGCCTATGATGATGACATGTCTTGTTCCAAGGGTGAGGCTGACGATCGGGCCGTATGTGCGGTGCCATTTGTCAAAGGTTGTTCTGGTGTTGCTGGAAGGGAATTGGTGGAGGTTTCCTAATAAAGGCAGACCAGGAGGCCCCGGGGGAAGGTTGGGTCTTGTCCTCTGCTTAAGCTTGGCTCCAAGCAAGACGAAAACCGCAAGAATGCAGACGATAGTCACCCAAGGATGCGTCATCACTGCTGATGTGGTCAGGTCGGTGGCCGCACAATGGAGAGAGGTTACAAAAAAAGTCTCACTGAAATCGGAATAATGCACGGGGTGCTCCTCAATTGCTACCCGGGTCAATTGTGGGCATGCCTGTCTCTGATACCTTGGTTCAGCTGGGGAGTGCGTAATATTCTTTCCTCTTGGTGTATAGGGGGTTACTAGAAAGAATGTCTGACGGACGAGGTGTGACGAAATCATTCTTGCTTCTCATTCATTAGGGAGTAATTATTCCCTTCCATGCCAAGCCTTTGACAAATCGCACAGGATTTCCCTTCAGATATCATGATTCTGTCCTGGCATTCTTGCTCACCACCCCGATCCAAGAAAATTCAAAGCTTATCGTGACATCCGTGATGGGCTCATGCTCGATGCGCAGTCACCAGTTGACGAGATTACAGTATAAATTAAGGAGTCGATGATCTCCAGCTAGACAATCTGGAACTGATACGATATTGAGCCGTCACTGAAGAACCGGTCCATTCGTCATGTTACAGCCTCTCGACATCGATCCGTCTCCCTACCATATATCCGCCAAGTGCGGTTTCCTGCCCGAGGAACCCCCCCAGCCAGGCTCAATGATCCATACTACGATCAATGGGAAAACGTAATCGCCAATCTCCCACGACTCTTAGAACATGGCATCGCTCGAACGACAATCGACAGAATCTCAATTCTCTCGACGGATCGGCTTAGCTCCGAGCCTATGTGGCGGAGAGCCTATGTGGTACTGTCCTTTCTAGCGCAGGCATACACGTGGGGCGCGGAGGTTGCCAGCGATGTAAGTAATGCCATAGATGGAGAGATACCGGAGTTTCGACCGGAAGAAGGACAAGACAGCTGATTGATAGTCTAGACCCTCCCGCTATCCATTGTCCGGCCACTTATGGAAGTGGCCCAGTACTTCCAAGTCCAGCCGTGCGCCACCTTTGCCGCGTTTTGCCTGTGGAACTTTTCCGTCCCAAAATCAGGACCCGAAGACGTTGAGACCTGTCTTGCACAGCCGGATAATCTCTCCACCATTGCATCGTTCACCGGAACCCAAGATGAGTCCTGGTTCTTCAGCATCTCCAACGCAATCGAGGCTCGGGGAGGGCAGATCATTCCCCCCCTCCTCAACGCCCTCCGTGCCGTGCAGTCCAACGATTTGTCGCAGCTGGAGGAATTTCTCCAGGAGATCTGTACCAGCTTGGAAGAAATCTGCTTGACATTGATGCGCATGTCCGAGCAGTGTGAACCGTCCGTCTTCTACCATCAACTGCGGCCGATGCTCTGCGGCAGCCGGGATGTAACCTCCATCGGCCGCCCAAAGGGGGTGTGCTATCCTAATGGCGGAGACTCGTCGACCGAGGGACAATGGCACGCCTACGCGGGGCGGCAGTAATGCGCAAAGCTCCACAATCCAGCTATTTGATATCATTCTGGGCATTCACCATGAGGCTGCCGAGACCGAGGCCGCATTCGGAGGGTCCCAGGCGAAATACCTGGAGGAAATGCGGCACTACATGCCTGGGCCTCACCGAAAATTTCTGGAGCTCATGGAGGAGAAGTGTAATATTCGTGAGTTTGTCCTAATCCAAGCGCACAACACGGAGGTGCAGAGATTGTACCGAAGCGCGGTGCTGAAGCTCAGGTCTGTGAGAGATGCGCATCTGTCTATTGTCTCGCGGTATGTGATCGTTCCGGCGATGCGAGAGAGGGAGCCGCGCTGTGATCCGGGAGGCGACGATCTGACTGGGACTGGTGGCACGGAGATCATGTCGTTTCTTAGGAACCGCCGAGATGAGACTGATGCAGCGTCTCGGGTCTGCTGATACTCACACCCCTTGGCTTGCTGGAGTAGCAAGAGCTTTATTGTAATGGCTGCCGATGTATCCTGCTTTATTTATTCCCTGTACGAGCAATATCTTTCGGTCACTGTCCCAATGCCTATCCTGCTGAAGCTTTGACTCGGCTTCGTCCGTGAAGAACCAAAACTCCGCTCACCGATACATGGCGAGGGAAAAGGCCTATCAACAGGCGGAATCATACCAGGGAGCGTAGATGCTGTATAGCAGGGTGCGATATCTCATCCGGAATTGGGACCTGGAATCATGCATTCTTCTTTTTCGTCGGGTAAGAGAGCAGGGCATGTATACTTCTACCAAAGATCTATCCTCAACAAGCATGGTGTCAATCGGAAGAAAGGGCACGAATTCCACGGCAAGTCTTCCTATTCATCCAGTTGTCATCGACCACGTAGCACAGCGGGACACAAATCCCTCAACTTTCGAGAACGTCTAGACCCACGTGCGGCATGCCTTGTTTCCCATGGGGAGATAACAGGGCCAATCCCGCGATCCCCTCAGCTGGTAGGATGGCACCTTATCCCGACCATTGGAGTGCAAAAGGGGTACACATGGAACCCATGTTTTCGGTATTGACTTTTGGTGCTGACTTGGTTCTGATTCAACGATCAAGCTTGGAAACGGGCTGGAAAGCCTGTTCAGTCACTGTTTGACTTTCCCCGTGGCGTTCTGCCCCTTCGGCGAATACTTCCCGGTTAAGGTTCATGATGACATGGCACGGTGGTTAACGCATGCTGTGTAACAAGTCCTTCCCTGTCACGGGTACATGTGAACCGCGGGCTAGAAACTCCCCTCGGGGTATGCAGAGACCATGGGGGATTGCCGTTCTAGGATGTGGGTGAGGAAGTGACTTGATTCTCCGTCTATGGTTCAATTGCGTATACGCGCAGAATGTGACATATCATGAATTCTGACTGCCTATCTATGAAGCTATGGGACATGCAAGGTGTGATGGATCACATTAGGATGAGAGAAGATAAAATCCTGAATCAGTCAGTAGCTGTGTGACATGGAACAGGGAAATCGATCCTGGGTCTCCACTTACCATACTCCTCATTCGAATCTCTCCATACGTGCGAAACCTGGAATCCGCCCGCCTGGTGTGCAATGGTCTCCATCTGGCTTTCATTCCATTTCCCACTGCGGAAGAAGAATATCTTGTCCCCTTTATGCACGGTCAGGTCGACGGCGAGTATGACATCCACCCTTGGCGAATAGAAGGCTAGGATCTCATTCTCTTTCCGATCGTACTCGACGGTGCAGTTCCAGACCTCCTCCTCGAACGAGTCTGTCCCCAGCAGCGTTTTGGCACGATGAAGACCGTGGCGGAGGAAGGTACGGGATGTCCCAGCCTCCGGGTCATACGCCTTGAGCAATCTACTCTCATCGGCACAAGCGTCTGCGGACACTAGAAAGCGACAGCTAATTCCTGCCACGCCGCAAGCTCGGCGGAAGTTGTTCATGAGATCGCTGGCTTCGGTCTTGGAAAGGTTCGGCATGCTATTTCCGACCCAGAGAAAGGTGGCAGGGAGTCCGTGGAGAGTGGAAGTGTTGTGAGCGACCCAGTCCACGCAGTCGTCGTATGTGCCAATTAGTCCGGCGATCCTGACATTGGGGCAGTACATGAATTCTTCATGCAAGAACTGCAAACTCTGGCGCAACGCGGATTTTGAGACGTCCAGGGCGTAGTACCAGACTTGCTTCCCTTGTCTGGCGAGGGCCGACAGAATGATGGAGGTTTTGTGCAGGTTCCTGTAGTAGAGTCAGACCGCGAGCTTGTCTAGTAGATTAAGAGTCACCGCGCAACGTACCCGCACCCTAGCTCCACCAATGCAGACCTGTGTGGTAGGGCATTGGCCATCTGGTCTCTCCACGTCTCGAAAATCTCCATCTCCTTCGATTTGAGATAGTAATGGGGGCTGTCGGCCCACTCATTGAAGTTGCGGAGCCCCTGCTCGTCCCATAGAAGTAAAGACGGAATCGCTTTGGCTGTTTGCGACAGCCCTGAAAGAATACATGTTCTCAGGTCGAGCAGCTCGGGGGAGTTACTAATGTCCCACAGGAATGGTTCCTCTCGACGCCTCGTATCAAGGAATAGCCCCGGGGAGGGCTGCACGACTTCGCAGGCGGTGGCCATATTGACTAGAACAAGCGATCATGCACAGTCGGATCAGATGGGTGCCAGCAGAACTGTCCGGCTCGCCATTCTTAAGGCAGAGAACTGGTAGTCTGCTTCGACAGCAATGACCATGATGACCACTCGATGGTGCGCATGCAAATCCAGTGCTCAACCATTTCAGTGCCCGGGTTCAGCTCATCCCTGATGTCCAGCTATTTGCCAGGAGTAGGGATACGGCGATGTTCCGGTTTGTGCCATGGAGAAACCTGGCACAAGCGACCATGTCATTGGTGGCGAGCTCCCAGCAGGTTATGCAGCCCTGGCTCTGTCCAGATTGGATGGGCAATCCAGGCATTCTTTTGCAAATGTATGGGGTCCATCACGGTGCCCACTTCCTGGGTCACATCAGGTGGAGCTCAATATCAGCCAGTTTTCTCCTCGCATTATATGAGATGTTTGCTGATGGTTCTTGTGGCTGCTGTGTGCCTTGGAACGCAAAGCTTGTATTGCCCACCACTGGCTCACGACTCGAGTAGAGTGTTTTGGGAGTTACTATGCGGAGTTCCTGGCGTTGCCAATCAGGGAGATACCATGTATCGTAGACGGTAAGAAATCTCACCTACCCTTCCACATCCTTGTCCTTCCAAACTTTCGTCTCCAAAGATGCCCTCCCTTCATCGTCTTCGTCGTCATCATCCGAGGGGAACAGAGGAAAGAAAGTCGAATACTACTCACCACAGCCAGACCGTATGTCTTTCATCTGTATATATTTCGCCGACTTCACTTCCCTGAAATGGTTTGACTCGCCAACTGCGCTGCACTCCGTCTGCCTCGATGCCGCCCTTCAACATATAATATTCATCATCCAGCATTGCAACATGACCAAGATCGAGACCTTTGCGGATGCGACTCATCAGGAGTCAACAAAGCCCGTGTCCACCGAACGCAGCCGCGAATCGCTGGAACTAGTGGGCGACTATGAGCTCAACCAGAAACAGCTGCAACAGCTAGATGCCTTCAACCCCAAGAAGCAGCAGTCCGTCGATATCTGCGTCCAGGATGTATTCCAGCAACAGGCTCTGAGGCATCCAGCACGGGAGGCGGTGGCCGCTTGGAATGGACAATTTAGCTTTTCTACTCTCGATCATCTCTCCTCCCGTCTAGCGTCTCATCTGAGAAGACTCGGAGTCGGGCTGGACGAATTTGTCCCCGTCTGCTCCGAAAAATCTCGCTGGTATCCTGTGGCACTTCTGGGCGTGTTGAAGGCTGGCGCCGCGTTCGTCCCGTTAGATCCATCCCAACCCTCTCAGCGTTTGGAGGAGATCCTCTGTGCGGTTACCCCAAACGTGATCATTGCCACCACGGCCACGGCGGAAAAGGCCAATTTTCGAGGAACCATGATCATCATTGACGATGACGATGAGAGAGCCGTGTGGAGAAACTCGACGCCAGAAAGTCCAGCCCTAAAGGTTCCTTGCACGCAGGCTGCTTATACAGTCTTCACGTCGGGTACCTCTGGCAAACCGAAGGGGGTGGTCATAGAGCATCGGTCTTTGTCGACCAGTGTGTTGGCCAATAGTGCTGCTTTGAACATTCACGAGAGATCCCGAGTCTTCCAATTTGCATCTCATGCCTTTGATGCATCCCTGTTGGACATCTTCGCGCCATTGGTCAAGGGTGGGTGTGTCTGTATACCGTCGGAGATTCAGCGCAAAAACAACATAGCAGAGGCATGTCGTCGACTAGGCTGCACCTGGGCTTTTTTGACCCCTTCGCTTACGCGAGTCCTAGAGCCTCAGGACTTATGCACCTTGGAAACCTTGATTATCGGGGGTGAGGCTCTACGAGAAGGCGACGTTGAGAAATGGATGCCTCATATGCAGTGCATCAGTGGCTACGGTCCCACTGAATGTACTATTGGATGCATGGCTACAATTCTACAACCCGGAGTTCAGGTTGATCCGGCAAACCTTGGGCGGGGTGTGGGAGTCAATTGTTGGGTCGTTGATCCTGGCGACCACAACAGGTTGACTCCGCCAGGTGAGGTTGGAGAACTACTTTTAGAAGGACCCATGGTCGCCCGCGGTTATTTAAACAATCCGGAGCGCACTACCGAAGTATTCATCGACCCTCCGTCATGGCACAGAAGATTCAGGCCCCAAGGGGATCGGATGTATAAGACAGGCGACTTGGTCGTTTTCGATGCCGTGAGAAACTCGATCCGCTATATCGGCAGAAAGGACATGCAGGTCAAACTTCACGGTCAGCGCCTCGACACACGAGAGGTCGAGCATCACATCAGATTACATACCCCAGATGCTATGGATGTTGTTGTAGATATGATCCCAATCGCGGATGAGTCTGCCTCGGTTCTGATTGCATTTCTTGTCCTGAAATCAAATCGTACACAATCGCCCGCTAACCCGACAAAATGGCTCCAGGAGCCAACCGAGGACCTGAACATCAAGACAGAGATCCTCCAAAGAAAGCTATCCAAGGTGGTTCCTCAATACATGGTTCCCAGGACATTCCTATTCTTAGTGTCGATGCCTCTTACAAACAACGGAAAGAGTGATCGGCAAACGCTCCGCCGTCTGGCTGCAACCTTGAGTCGGCATGATCTTCGCAGATACAGCCGAATGTCTGACACTACGAGCAGCAAGTCTTGCAGCCCAGTGGAGCGCAAACTCCAGTCTCTGTGGTCCAGAGTTCTAAACGTTAGACAGGACGACATCGGACTTCAAGATAGCTTCTTTGGGCTGGGTGGAACTTCGGTGGCGGCCATGAAGCTGGCCGGTCTAGCAAGAAAAGAAGGCATACGGCTAGATATAGCCGATTTATATGGACACCCAACCCTCAGAGACATGGTCATTCGAGTTCGTGCTATCTCAGCGAACAACAAAACCCAACCATTCTCTCTGATTCCAACTTATGAGGACCGCGCACAACTCCTTGAGCTGGTCATGCAACAATGTGTGCTCCACCACCAAACAGAAATAGAGGATGTATATCCTTGTACATCATTACAGGAAGGACTTATCTCTCTTGCAGCCAAAAGACCAGGTTCCTATACGGGCGTCTTCAGATACGAACTACCGAGGAATGTAAATAGCCACCAATTTCGAAATGCATGGAATGCTCTAGTCGAAGCCCACCCAATTCTTCGGACTCGATTCATACAAGGGAGCAATGGCAAGATCTACCAGGCTGTGGTTCGCGGAACGATCGAGCTGGAAGTGAGCTCATTCGATGATGAACCGAATAACATACTAGCCTGTGAGCTCGGAAAGCCATGGATTCGTGCACACCTTCATGAGGCATCTGCGGTACAGCTGCCAACCTTTACTCTAATTGTGCACCATGCTCTATCCGATGGTTGGGGCCTTCCCGTACTTCTGCGGGAGCTTGAGGCGGCCTACAATGGCCAGACGCTGAACGAGAGGCCATTCAGTCCGTTCATCGAGTACATTAGTCGCACCAAGGTTGAAAGGGAAAATTACTGGAAAGGGCGCTTCACTGATGTGCAAAGTGCCAGCTTCCCTCAGCTACCCAGCCCGGCGTACGTTCCTGAGTCCACGTTGATGATACCAATCCAAATTTCCATACGACAAACGATTCAAAGTGAATACACGCTTCCCGAAAAACTCAAGCTAGCCTGGGCTGTTCTCCTCTCCTACTACACGGAAACCTCCGATGTTGTCTTTGGCCTCACCGTTAGCGGTCGCGGTGCGCCTGTGATTGGAGTTGAGGACATGGCCGGCCCGGCTATTGCTACCATTCCGCTCAGATTGAATCTTGACCCAGGAATGACTGTAAAGCGGAATCTGCAGCAGCTCCGGGAGTATTGCATTTCTGCTATTCCTTATGAACAAATAGGGCTGCAGAACCTCCGACGTCTGGGCGAGGGAGCCGCAAAAGTCTGCAACTTTCAAAGTCATATCGTCGTTCAACCAGAGGAGTGTGGTAGTGATTGGATGTTTTCCAGGAAGCAGAACCAATCCGCAATAGGGGCCTTTAGCTCCTACGCAATCACTTTGATCTGTCAACAACAACCTGGTACAATAAACATCGAGGCGACCTTTGATCCGCATGTTGTATCTCACGTCGACATGGACCGAATGCTGAAACAGCTCAGACATCTCATGATCATTCTAACATCTGGATCTGAAGACGTTCCTTTACGCGATCTTGATGCCATCAGTCCTGAGGACGGGTTGCAGTTGGAAAAGTGGAATCGTGCCGTACCTGAGACGGTTGAGATATGTGCTCATGACTGGATCCGAAAGCGAGGGCTCACTCAGCCCAATGCTCCGGCTGTGTGTGCCTGGGATGGCAACTTTACATACGCGGAAATGGAGCAGATGTCTTCAGAGATGGCACGTTACCTCCAGGGGCAAGGCGTGGGTCCCAAGGTTTTCATTCCGCTGTATTTCGAAAAGTCTCGGTGGACCCCTATCGCAATGCTTGCTGTCATAAAAGCCGGAGGGGCGTTTATTGTCCTTGACGATTCCCATCCAACACAGAGGCTGCGTGGTATCTGCGATGATGCCGAAGCACCGTTCATTATTACTTCCGAGAAGAATGCATCTAGTGCATCTCAACTCGCGGATGTCTCCATTGTTTTGGGCGAATCTCACTGCTCGTGGCCATCCAGCCAAATTACTTCTCCCACCCTAGAATCCAAAACCAACCCCAAAAACCCACTCTATGCAGTCTTCACCTCTGGCTCAACGGGTAAGCCCAAAGGGGCTATTATCTCGCATGAATCATGGTGTACCAGCGCCAAAGCCAACAGTGTCGCCTTGTCATTATATCCCACCTCCCGGGTTTTTCAATTCGCGGCCTATGCTTTTGACATCAGCATCGCCGATCATTTATTGACCCTCGTCGCCGGCGGCTGTATTTGTATCCCTTCAGCCAAGGACCGAGAGGGTGATCTCGCACGGGTTATGCGTGACCTTGAGGTAAACTGGGCATGTTTGACGCCATCTGTGGCCCGGATAATTCAACCCCAAACGACTCCTATGCTCAAGACGCTGGTCCTCGCAGGGGAACCTATTGCTCCTGAGGACATTACCATGTGGTCACCAGAAGTCCATCTCCTCAACCTGTACGGGCCCGCCGAGTGTGCTATCCTTACCACTCTGAATCAGAATGTCAATGACCCAAAAGACCCAAACAACGTTGGCTTGCCGACCAGCGCAGTGTGCTGGGTTGTCGACGCGCATGACGACCAAAAGCTCATGCCAATAGGTAGTGTCGGAGAGCTCGTCGTGGAAAGTCCTATTGTCGGCTATGGGTATATCAACAACCCAACCAAGACGGCCGCCTCATTCATCGCACCAGATACGCACCCAGCATGGCTGCAGCGGTTCCGCCGTGCAGAAACAACACGCTCACGTCTATATCGCACAGGCGATCTAGTCCAGTACAAAGCAGACGGAACACTACGATTTGTCGGCCGCAAAGACACCCAGATCAAGCTACGCGGACAACGCATCGAGCTTGGCGAAGTTGAATACCACCTTCGCCGCAGCTTTCCCGACGCTGCCGAAGCCGTCGCAGAGCTGGTAGTCCCGAAAGACGATACATTCAACAGCCGCAGACAACCAACTCTAACGGCCTTCATTCGTCCTCGAGACCAAACACTCAGACAATCAGATCGAACCCTCCAGGCACAGGTCGCAGCCGCACTGCCCACCCTACGCGCCTCCTTACCAAGCTATATGATCCCCACAGCTTTCCTCTACGTGAACTCATTCCCACTAAGCACATCCCGCAAGCTGGACCGTAAACTCCTCCGCAGTCTAGCCGCGGAACGGCCCCGGGAGGAATATCTCGATGCATCGTCCAGCGTGCAGAAGCGGGACCCGTCGAGCCCGGTCGAGCATGTGTTACATGAACTGTTTGAGGACACGCTCAATGTTGATGGCACGGACTTTGGGGTGGATCATGATTTCTTTGCCTTGGGGGGCGATTCTATCCTCGCTATGAGCTTGGTTGCGCGGGCTCGATCGCGTGGGTTGGATTTTAGGGTGCGGGATTTGTTTGCGAATCCTACTGTGTGCGCTCTAGCTCAGCATGCTAAATGTGATGGAAAGCCAGAGTCCATTGAGACTTAATGATAGGATAACCGTGATGAGTACTGACACTGATATTTATTTGGATGCTCGGTTCTGTTTCCATGGTAGGTAGGATGACCAGTTGTCAATATATGCCATCTCAATTTGCGTACGGACATCCTTATACTTTCTAAGCCAGGAACGAAAAAGGGATATCTTCTTTTATGATTTATGCGGTAGTTGCCTTGGCATATTTTGTTTTACTCCAATTAAATGAGGAAGACTATCATTCTGTGTATCGAAGGTAAACTGTCACCCAATAGCATCCAACCCCGGGCATATTCCTAGGGTGTATCACTAAGGCTAGCAGTATATGATGTGATTATATAGTACAGATTTGCTAAAGTCAACGCCGAGTATTAACAACCTCATCCACCCCCCTCACTGCTTCCTCTACATCCACCTCTAAATCCCGAAACCACAACCAATCAAACCACCCACCCTGCATCTTCTCCAACACCCGCTCCATACTCCCCCCCGTCTCAGGATGCTCAAAATAAAGCATCCGACTCATCTCATACGCCCGCTCCACCTGCCTCTGCGCCCGCGGTCTCCGAACGGAATCATACCCCGCAAACCCAGCCCTAACATATTCCCCAAGATTACCCTCCTTCCCCGGAGCATGAAAGATCTTACCCAGTACATTCGACAACACCAACGCATCCTCTAACCCCTGACCTGCCCCAGCGGCCTGGAACGGCAGGGACGCATGCGCGCTGTCGCCGAGGAGGACTACCCGGTCTCGGTAGTATGTGGATGTGGATGGGTGATGGAATAAGCCCCATTTGATGGGTTGGGCTTTCGTTAAGAGGCGGAGGAAGCGGGTGTCTATTCCCCGGTCTGTGAAGTCGGAGATCATACTCTCCGGTGTGACTTTTTGTGTCACCGTGTTAGGACATTCCCAGGGTTTGGGGTCTGACACGCAGAGGAGGAGGTTGAGTTCCTGTATTCCCGTGCATTGGGGGTGTGGTTAGGATATCTTGTTCAATTGGTGACTAGATGGGGGGATAGTACGTACCGCACCCCCCGAAATCAAATACGTGACACAACACCGTCCCTGCCCCAGATACATCTTCGCGACGTGGGTCAAGTCACCGAGGATTTCCTCCCCCTGCGCGATGGGAATCACACCGCGGTAGCAGTAGGAGTGTGAGTATACGGGGTCGATTTGCGCGGGGTGGGATGGGGAGAGTACGTGCTCGCGTACGATGCTTTTGATTCCGTCGGCGCCGGCGACGATACTTGCCTCAGCGGTGGAGGTGTCGGCAAAGGTGAGGAGGACTTTGGTGGGGTGTTGTTGGATGGCTGTGAGGCGTTTGTTGAAGTGCACTTTGGTGATGGGGATGAAGGTCGTTAGGATTTGGAGGACGGCGTTGCGGTGGGCCTGGGGGGTTAGTGTTTATGGTCTGAGGGGGGGGGAGTACGGACTGCTCTGCGGATGTAGTCTGGGTGGCCCCATGATGAGTTACCGTACCAGGGTTCTTTGAGGCCTGGAGTATAGGGTTAGTATCAATGTCACCTTTTTCAATTATTGGAGGGGAAAGACAAAGGTGAGGAGTGGCATACCAAGTCCCTCCTCCAGAAGTAGCCCTTCATAATATATATCCTGAGGTGCGGGAGGCTTATGACCTACACAGACACGCTCATACTTGGGAAGAAAGCCCTCTTCGATCATGTTTAACGCTAGATCCCCATTCGGACCGAAGCCTATGCCAGCGCTATTCTCGCAGTCAGACAGGCAAGGCTGTGTTCTCAGTGATACTGTGGAGGATTCTTACCCCACCGTGGAATACTCTGACGCTGCTTCGTATACCGTGAATGGGACCCCCTTCTTGTGTAATCCTATGGCGAGAGTAAGGCCTGCAATCCCGGCGCCTATAATTGTTTCTGCTTAGTGGCACAAGGTCAGATACCAAAGTATGGAACCTTACCGATGATAGCAACGTGCATGTCTTTGATTTTGTCTTCAGGCATAATGCGTGTGTTCAGGGTGTTGGATAATCTTGACAATTGTCCGCGTCTATGTCTTGCAAAATCAGGTTCTATGCATACCAACCGTCGTTGAAGATGGTAGAGCCTCGACATCCGGGGATTGAGGGGTAACTGGGGAGCGTAGAATCAGGTGACACTTAGTCATCCAGCAATGGTATCTGGGATATGAGCTGTAACATGTCAACATCAACACCTGGCCTGCACCAACTGGGACGCACTGGGGGCAGAACTGGCTAATCGTCAGGAGGTACGGTCATCTTCGAGCGCTCGGTTGGCTTCCGTGGAATTGGTAGGTTGAGGGGGGTAGATTACCCATTCTCCGGGGTGTATAATGGGATGTGAAAGGTAGAGTATAATTGATTAGATGGTATGATATAGCATATATGGCAAGACGTATACTCGTGTGTTGGAAGATCTCAAGACAGCATTTTATGGAATTTGATCGAAGTTGGGAAGAAGTCCTAGTCAAGAAGTATATACTTGCAACTAACCTCCATGAGCAGCCTTTGCATGGATTAATAATCTTTCCCGGCAATTTTCAAGTACCTAGTAGACTTCAAAATCTTGAGACATTAAGAAATATAGTACAAGGAACTATTCAAGATTCTTAGTAGCGAAATAGCTTGTTCAATGTGAAGTCTGCTTTGGAACCGGGTTTAGAATCCCGGCGAGTGCGGACTCCATATCCCACCATTAAACATGAAAGCCAGGTCAGGTGCTGGCAACATGGACGTTCCTAATATCGGCTGTAGTGGGTCATCAGGATAGAAGAGACTATCTGGGTGAGCTGACGATGCGTGGAGGTAATCTGTGAAGGCAACAGATGCCTCATTCTATTGAACTTCGACTTAGCCAAATCTTCATGTATGGCAGGGAAAGAGCAGGACTCACTTCTATCTGACTCGGATCGACAACAATTGATACATTATGGGCTGCCTGAGGAGTCGCGGGTACAGTTTGGTCTAATCTTTGAAGACGTGAAGTATCCGACTTGGCTCGGACATTCTGCACAAACTCGCGAGCGATGTGCGACAACTCAGCAGGGTTCGATGCCGGTAGTGACCCTTTGTTAGCAATCTCCCAACGGCTGAAATATCCGGCGGCGATATCTAAGAATGCGAGATTGGTGTTGGTTTCCTTGTGAAACGGGTTGTGGATCACAAAGTCGAAAATGACAAAGAGTGCCGATATTGGAACGATTGCAAGCTCCCTTCTTCGGTCAGATCAGTTCTAGAAGCAATTTGGGAGGGTGGTATACCAGACAGGCACATAGGCCTCTTGCTTAATGTGACAGCAATGATAAATAATGTCTCGCGCGGTTTCCATCAGTCGGCGCTTAGTCTCCTGGTCTGACTCGCCCGGTTCTTGATCGGCGACAAGATGGATTCGAAGCCGACAGATAGACATCATCAAAGCGTGATAGACGAACCGCAGTTGAAGTCCCATCTCGAGCGAATAGGCTTCGTTGAAATTCGAAGACCGAAGAGGTTGGCTTGGCTGAAATGCAGGCGGCAGAGAGCACGCCCATGCTTCCAACTCACTGGACACCGAATTGATGGCCGCAATCCGTGCCTGTTTGTGCCTCTGGACTGCACTCACAGAAAAAAGGCATTCATACATCCGTGACATCAACCGACCCAGACCCGCTGTAGTCAATAGCCAGTCCAGCTGACCAGTCACAGCCTCAGGGGCATTCGGCACGGGGCAGCCTATGTCATACTCGGGCATCGTCTAAAGTGACTCAGCTATGTCGTGATAGTCAGTTTCAATCATCTTACTGAAGCTCGCCCTCGGAAGAAGCACGCCACTTTCTCTTGCCAATAGATAGCCCAAAACACTCGACGGCATGCCTTTTCATCCTCTGTCCGTATGTAGGCTGCGTTATACCCTAGGACTTGAACCATTCTGGCTGCCTCGGAGATGAAGGTTTCTCCAATTTGAATGCAAGAGAAGCTCGAGGCAAATAGTGCCTAATGCAGCGTTAGCGACGATGCACCTGTTATTATATGTATCTTGAACAGACCATAGCTGTTAAGGCCTGCTGGAAGTTAGTAGACGTTGAATGCAGATTGTCATCATGCACCTGCACATTGACCAATCTTCCTGGAGGAACCAATATCTCCGGAAACAGACCCAATGCCACTTGGAAGTATTCCCACGCCTTTCCTTGATGAGGGGCGAAGGAACCCGCCTCGGCGTATTGGCATCCTAACGCCAAGACCGTATGATACAATGCGCTGAATGCCGCACTGTTCACGAGCAGCTCTGGTAACTGGGGCCCGAAAGCTTGTTGTTCAAACTTACCTCGGTCGAGAAATGGTGAAAGCGGGTCTAACATTTGGAAATATGCTGAACTCACTATTAGTAAGAACCCACCATCGCGGATATAAACATAGCTAACCCGCAATGTAACGAGCTGTATCTTGGGGTGGAGCTTGGGGGGGCGTATCTGGTTTCCGGAACCTTATCCCAGACTCATGCGCATGTTGGTGGATCGTCTGCCCCAGAGCCTCGATAAGGTCTCGCAGTTTACTATGACCCAGTATATTCGTCAGGGAGCGGATGCGACTTTCTGAAAAGAAGGCCATCCCAGTGCTGGGGACTGAGCACATGGTAAGCTGCTGTCGGGTTCCATATTATAGTGATGATTTATACCATGGTTTTCGTGTGTCTGCTTTTATCAGTTACATTCAGCAACGGAGTTCAAGGATTCTTTTGACCTTGAAAATTGAACATGCATCACGGTTCCTCCCATCCGCGTCCCGGTCGACCAGGATGTGATCGACATACAGCCTTGAGCCATCCGCCGGCGTTGACGCAGGAGTCGAGGTGCGGTCTGGAACAAGAGGGCTTGCTATACGAGTTACATAAATACTGCTGTTCAATAGCCGATTGCTATCTCCTACTGGGAAGTGGCAAGGCCGGGGACTGCTTTGGTCTCAGCTGCCTCCGTGTGAAGCCATAGTGACATTCAATGTTTCGTTTCTGGCGAGCTCAGCTTCCAATAATAGCGAAAAGGGTGTCCCGCCTTCAGCTAGCGTACCTGGCACGGTGTGCAAGTGGCACTTGTTGCGGGTCCTATTCCTCCGTCAGGTACGGGGAAGCAATCGAAGTGAAGAAAAGACAGAGAGGGGAGCAAATCATTACGTATGCATCGCACTTTTCTTGCCTTGCAATTGTCGCAAGACCTGGCGATACGAGGTTCCAGTCGTTCGGGCATCGTGGTTGCGTGGGAAGGGCGGAGGACGGAGAATGAAGCACGAAAGCCGAGAGGTGAGGAAATCCGCGGTCCGGTGACCTCGGCTCTCGGGATCCGGACCCTAACTTTCGGCTCTCGATGCCACTTCGGCCCATAACAGTGGATCATTTTTGTCAACTACCGCGAAGCGAGACCTAAAATTTACAAATTTATCCCTCGAGATCTATCTATGACAACTCTAGAATGGAGCCGATGAGGATACGTGCAATGCAGTGCTCCTGCACAATGTCATGTCAAACAATATATATTTCTTTCCAAAATCTTCATAGATAGGATGCGGTGCTTGCTCGTCGACGTTCCTTTCAGCTGTTCCTTGTCCTCGGTGGAAATTACGCTGCTCCTCAGCTCCAGCACCGGTAGCAGCTCGTTTCTGTCTTGATTATGAAGGAATGATAAATTCTCAACAGGTAACAGATCGCCATACACGTAATTACGCCTGAGTCTCCACAACTATAATCTATGGCCTGTAACCGTCGGAAGCCTAACCGTGGCTAAGTATCTTCGTACGAGTACCTGGGGCTGGTGATAGCTTCGTTTGGAAGCCTCGTCTGTCCTAGAGCCAATACAAAGCCATTGAAGTCCTAATTTCCATTCATGACAGAAACCTGGAACAATAGCAATTGGCCAGCCGTGTAGGTAAGCGAGGGTCTCCAGCCTGGAACGACTGCTACGTACCCTAAAAAGTAACCAGGGAAGATCCTACAAGCATGTAAATTATGTATTTGATATCCGTAACACTGGTGAGAGTAGTCGCGGATATGGACCATCTTATAAAAGAATAAGAGCACCAAAACCGTCAGGCGTCACTATACCCGCTCCTCACACTCTCCATGATCTTCTCGCAACAAACAGTCTGTTAGATCCTCGGCGATTTGTCGTCAGTAACATTTGAGAAACGATAGCCCCGTAGTCTACTGGTAAGCTTACAAGTTAGTCGAATAAAGTACCTAGCCCATGTCGAAATACAGCTGGAAGATAGAGATGTCCGTGAAGCCAAAGCTAGAAAACATCATCCCGGGTCATGGCCAAAATTTTCAGGTTGCTGATAAGTGCTTGCGGAGATGAAGCCGGCTGACGCGGTTGTGCCGTCTTGAATCCTCGGACATCGGAGCATATTTGAGATGCCGTGCCGGGAGGTGGGTTGTTAATCAAAAGCTGGGTCAGACCCCTGGGCCGTTCGGGTTGGAGTATATGCATATTATGTGGGGATCTCGGCTCTCGGGTTTCAGTTTCTCGCTTTCCCGCTCAAAGAGCTAGGGGCGAGCATACGCAGAATGGGGTGGATGGATAATGTATGTGGAACTGAAAGGGATGTAGGTTTCTGTCGAGATTACTCCGTAGCTGCTGGATATATGCAGTTCTATATTGGAGGGGAAATTGACACTTTTTCCCCTGGAGTCACTAGTTGGGGAGACTGGAGTGGGAATGGCACACGAGAAATATACAACGTGTACCGGGATTTCTGACTATGGATCAGGCAGTATCTTGGAGGTAGTGGTAAATGAAATCGGCCAGGATTTAATCCGGTTATTCGTGTAAGGTCCACAATTGCATTGGATTTGGCTCCTCTCCTCACCATCCTGGCCTTAAATGGCCTGCTTATGTCTTTTCTTTGCCGATAGTTATATTGATGGATCACTAGCTCACGGCCTATGTACTCAATTTATCCAGCCTTAACCCCTCAATGTCACTACTCTCTATCACCAGCTCTACTCTCCCGTAATTCCCGAGCCTTCACCAATTACATCTTCTCCACCATGCTCTCCACCCAAGTAGCGGTCGTCTTGTCCCAAATAGTAGCATAAGCCAAATGAGCCGAGAGATTGGTTCCCGCAGCATCACAGACGCCATCCTTATCGTCACAGTAGTCGTGGAGTCTGTCGGCGTACTTCGACAACGCCTCGAGCTGCGCAGGAGTGCGGGGGTATTTTTGTCATAATCCAGGTTTAGCATTCTCCCATCTCTCGACGGCTTTGGGCTCATAGCTCCACTTACGCCAGTCGCAGTGACATCTCCGACATTGTATGTCTGGTTGGGCATGTGGCGGGGGTCGCCGTAGAGGAGCACAGCGGTGACTGTGTTGATTAGCAGAAAGCGCGAAGAAGATAGCTCTTGACGTACTGTGCGAGCCCAGAGTGTCCGGGTCAACAGACGGGCTAGTGATATTGCCCAAGGTTCCATTATCGCCGCCGCCGGCTAACATGTCGCTGACGACCATGGCTCCCTATTCAAGTAAGCAAGGTTACAGCGCCGAGACAGCGGTCAGGGATGGTAGGGCGTACCTGAGAGTATCCGAACAAGACCACTTTGGACTCTGGGCAGGCTGCAACGTAAGCCTTCAATTGAGCGGTGCCGTTGAAGATGCCTTCCTCGTAGCTAGGAGTAGAGCCTTCCTGGGTAGCTGGGTAGATGATGTCCTCGTAGTCGCTGTCCGGAACTGCGGCCATGACGAGATCGGTCAAAGAGCCCAACAGCCCCGGATAGCTCTCGGTTGTTCCGCGGGCAAGCATCATGTGCACATTTGCGCAGGTATTGCTGCCTGTGTGCGCGGCAAGGACACCAGTGAGAGCAGAGGGCAGCAAAGCTGCGGCGGCGAGCTTTCTGAACATATTGCTAGGATGGTAGGAGAGCTGGAAGTAAAGAGAAGGGCGATGCTGAGTATCGGATGATCCATATGGGACAGGAGTACCCCAACGGGCGCCACACATTCGTTGCTTGGCGCAAGTCTATTCCTCGTAGCGGTCCCTTATCAGATTCTTGGCGCAATACCTCTCTCGAAGAGAGGATATGAATTGTCTCCACCTGATAATATAAGCTCCCTGCTAGACAAGAATCTCCAACGGTCCCACTTGGCTTCCGCGTATTCAATATCAGGGTGTTTGATGCAAAGCTGACTCCACCTGGCCTCCAACCTTATCTGATACACTTGGATTGCCTCAGCCAGGTGTAGGAGAACATGTAGGAGAGACCACGATAACAAAAAAAGGGAAAAAAAAAAGGAAGGAAACATACAACAGAAGGGATTCGCTGGTGGTCACCCACCCAACTACTAACCTCCCGGCGTGTGGCTTAAGTACGGCTGAGCGGACGGGAAGCCCTGTTCTCCACACCCTATGGTCGTATGTATCAATTTACTCCTAGCTGGAATACTTAGTCTGATGCCAATTGCACGTTGTCATTTGAGCATACTCGGTGCAAATGTTTGGGCGGCCACACGGACAAAGAGTTATCGGAACATAACTGCGGTCGAAAGTGGGGCTTGGAGTAGGGTCTTCGGCCGAAGTTACCCTTAGAAGGGCCACCCTCCCAGCCCTCATCAAAGCAGGATACACTAATTTTTACATCCAACGTAAAACTCTCCCAGAGTGATCTTGCAGTCCACAAAGAGCAGTATATCATTATTCAGAGGTTAAGGAGGTGAATCCGAGATTGATGTCCTTGATTAAGATGCGCACATGACGTAACCCCCCAATAAGGGACCGTGAGTCTCCTGACAGCCTCCGGTTTGCTGGGAGTCATCATTTCTTCATGTCTGCCCCGAGAATGAAAAACCTAGTCCGTTGGTGCCAGTTCGATGTGGGCCCAGCTACTCGGTCGTGACGAAGAAACACCGGTACACTATATTGCAAACCGCGGTTAGTAGGGAGCGGTATTCTATCTTTCGTAGCACGTATGTGCTACTCCATTGAGGATGCTTTTGGACAAATAATAATGACTAGTCATTTTGTGTTCATCCTGTGTGCCCTGAAGGTATCTATTTTTAATCATTATCAGTATCAGTTCATCTCATGATGTTCGTATTAAACAGATAAAGTATTATTTGACAGCTATCAACTTATATTCACCACCAGCGACAAAGGCAAACCTCTGCGAGGCCCCTTATTCCAAAATTATGGTTAGTAGTACCGTGATAAGTCATAGATAGGGCAAGGGCTTATGGATAGAAAGGCTGAGAATGAATTTGTCTGAGGAGTACATTGCAGAGAGGTGAGATGCCTGACCCTTAGAAATTGATAGGAAAGATATTTCATGATATTACTGCTCTTCAATGGCAACGTATAGTGTAACGGCAGTGTATCAGTCTTCTGTACCTCTCCGGCAATGCGGAAGACATGTGAATCGCCTGGAGGTTGGACCCCCTTGAAGAACTATGTATTTTCAAAAATTTTCACACACTTGTGCTCGTGACAGGGTTGGTCCTTGAAATATATATCCTACAGCCGCCCATCTAACAAAAGAATGGTGGTTTCAATCCGTACAAAACAATCATTAAGAAACGCTACACCGCCGACTAACCCTGAATCAATCGAGAGGGTAACATTGGCTGCCCGGTCAGGGCTGCGCTCATATAATTCGAGACAGGGTAGGCGGAGTCCTCTAAACTAGCCGTGTTGTTATTCATCCCACATGGTAATATTATCGTGGCACGTTATATTCAGCAGCGGCGGCCACCGGTATTGTAGTTCTACTTCGGCAATAGGGCTCAGCACGTTCATGATGTCTGAAAAATTCGGCCGTTACTGTATCTACATGCCGTAACCCGAGGTTTGGACCTTCGCTGGGATACGGCAAGGGGAAACATCGGCCAGAATGACTTTGTGTGGGTATTAAACTGTAAGAAGGGTGCCACGATTGAGAGTTTTGGTCCTTGACTGGAAGATGTTTGCTTTTGAAGGGGCAAAGGTAACTTCGTTCATGGACACTTCTCACGTGCCACGAGTGCTTGCCTGCCTGTCCCTTAGGATGCAAGTGTTGCTAGTCATGATTGCTTAGCAAAGAATTGATGGAAATTTCATTGTCACCTGTAGGATGACTGCTGCTAAATACAACGCCCCGAAGGTAACAGCTCAATATAAACTGTGCCAGTCACTGTGTCGCGCGTTCAAGCCATTGGGGTGGACCCAAGTGTGGTGTAACAGGAGTAATTGTGCCTTGTCTTTCGGTACCAGTCGATAGGTCATGGTCACTGATTTCTATAAACTCGGTGCTTTGTATGGACGTACAAGTTCCCCGTCAGAGAGACGACAACGCCTAGACCCGGAGGTCTCCGGCTACTCCCGGGGTTTCCCGCGTCAGGTGACTGTAACACGTGACCTCCTCGCGCAACGATAAGCAATCGCCTCGTCTGCTCATCAACTCATCTCCGGCGGGGATGGTAGTTGTCTCGCATCATCATGCCCACCAATGCTTTCTTTGCGGAGGCGGGGCCAGGACCAACCGAGAATCAACCTCCTGCCAAACGAGTTCGCAAGCAGGTTTCGCGCGCTTGTGAACGGTGTCGCATCCGGAGAATCAAATGCGACAATGAGCGACCGTGTAGACCATGTCTCCAGAGAAACGATTCATGCGACCAAGGCGGACAAGATGAACTGAAGACCTTTCCACAAGCACTGAGGTACGTGCTTGGGTGGACACATCCCTCAACAGGGTATCGCTGATATCCAGCCTATCCAGAGAGATCGACCGTCTGAGGCAGCGAGTGAAGGAACTTGAAGCGGAATTGTCGGTCTACAGACATCGGCTGGCGCCAGAAACACCCATTGTCTCCACAGCAAGCTCATCACCTGGCCATGCTCCCGTCACCGATGGGAGCCCTGCCCCTTCTACCTACGCTACCACGGTTCAGGGTCGCGAAGGGGGCCAGGAAAACTCTCGGCAATCTATGCACCCAAATACCCAGCCTCATAAATCGTGGGGTGGCATTCAGGTCGTCGCCGCGAACCCTGCCAATCAAGCATGGTACGGACCATCGTCACTATTCTACTTCATTGACCGTATGGCGAAATTCTTGAATGTCAGCCTGGACCAGAAGCACTCCACAGAACAAATCTCCCTTTACAGCTCCACAAGGGCCCTTCTCGGCGAGTTTCCCGGGACTGACTCACAACGGGATGGTATAGTCACTGAAGAATCTCCAACTCCAGTAGCATCACCGGTGTATTTAAGTTTAACCCAGGAAGAGTATTTCCTCGACTTGTACTGGAGTTCGTATCACGCGGGTCTCGTCCCGATCCTAAACGAAGCTGAATTTAGGGAGCATTATCGATCATTGTGGATCACAGCAGCTAACACGCGGAAGCCATCAGCGCTTGCTGATATCGTGGTGGCAGTGAGCATGCAGCTTGGCATGTCAATGCTACCGTCGACAAAACAAAAGGAAATGGGCTCCGTCGACGCCACTTTGGCGGGACAATGGTATTTCCAACGCTGTCGGACTCTTGTGTCATACGAGCTCGAGAGCCCGACCCTGGCCACGGTACAAGCCCTTCTCCTGTGTGCCGTCTATGTTTGCTCCGGTGCCTTTCATAATATGGCAGACAATGTTGCTGCTCAGGCTGCTCGAGCCGCGTATACCCTTGGTCTTCATCATGACCCGCCTGACACATTGTCACGGTCGGAGCGTGAGCTTCGGCGGCGGTTGTGGTCGGCGCTCCTAGTTATGGATACTAAGATTGGGTTAAAGCTCGGTCGTCCACTTCAGTTTTATCATTCCCAGAACAGCCCCATGTTGCCAGACGACCAGTTCCAGAGTGCAGTGGAGGCTGGATCAAATTACTCCCCTTTGAGTGATACTGTAACCTGGCTGAGCTTTAACTTGCAAAATACTAAGCTTTTCCTGGTTGCGCGAGCAGCTCAGACGGCCTTTTACAGCAAAGAGTTGAACCTGCATGACAACCAGTCCGTGTGGGACAACCCACCGGTCCTCGAATCTCTTGCAGAATCCCTACACCCTTTTGTTCAAGGCCTGGAACAATGGGTCGCTGATGTTCCGGGCGCTCTAAGAATGAATGGACAGAGTACCGGCACATCCTTTTCCACAGATCGAGCCAAGCTTGAGATTGAGCAATTCGCACCTGTATGGGTGCAACGGCAACGCTTGCACCTGGAACTGACGTACCATTACATATGCTGTGCCTTGTATCGTCCATTGATCTCGTTCAGCTCTGCCTCTGCTCCGACTGCGGTCCAATTTGCGGAGAAAAGCGCACTGCACGCAATCGCCTTGACGGATATCACGCTTCAAGCCCTTAGCACCACATCCGTACTGGCCGGCTGGCACGAAGCATTCCAATGGCAATGGAGCGCAGCCATAACCCTTGTGGGGTTCGTCCTTGCGTACCCAGATGGTCCCTCTACTGCGGTGGCCAAGCGAGCGATCGATACCTCCATAGCCGTGCTTGAGATATTTGGCGAGAGTTTCCTCATTGGATCCAAAGCCGCCGATACCATGCGAAGTCTTCTTGCTAATATTAACATGCTACAGAACCGCCAAACAGCGGCTGGCGTTTACGTGCCTGACATGACACCCGACGACCTGAGCTCTGGAGTTGACGGCTTCATGGATACTGGGACTTTCAACTTGGACGAAATAACATCGGGACCTGTGCAAGACATATTCCAGGTCGCCTTGTCTATCGACCAGTGGAGTTATTTTGATACCCTATGGGCTTCGGAAAATGAATTTATTAGCGCACATTGATGATTGAAGTCAAAACCAAAGATCCTAGAGGGAATGCAACTCCCCCCGGCTGTGGTCTTCGGCACACCATCCAGCCCGCTACCACTGGAGCGAAATGGGCAGATGGCAGAGCCAGGCACACGGTCTCCCTCATACTTCGGGTCGGACGTGAATCTCAGCCACTTTGAAAACCCTTACCCCCCTTGCAATCTAGGGAGCTATAAGAGCATGGTTTGCGACCGGAGTTCGGAGGCCAAGGATCCCAACCCGACAGGGTGAGAAATTAGTGCATTGGTAAAACTTTCGCGACTGCTCGACACTTTCCAAATTACTAGATACTGAAGGGGCTTGCAACCTTTCTACTACGATCTTCAATCACCCGCTGATTCGGTCTCTATTTATGCCATTGACCTCGGCGACCAGGCATCTCGTGCTGCTGGCCGAGGCAGCTTTTGCGGAAGATTTCTGACCTCGTCGGCGTTGCCCGGAGCCTAGAATAACCGAGCACCCGACCCTGATGCGTCATCTAGTAGAGCCAACAAGGAGCCCTTTCGGATTTGCGTGGTCGTGCACGACCCCAACAGATATTTCGGACATGCAGGGTGCTATCGCACAGAGTCTAGTTGGGATATGCGCAGCGACTTGCTGTTTTGGGATACTTCGAGCGAGAGCCGAGTATGTTTCCCGCCCTCTAGCGTGGAGGAGGCAAGCCTTAGCTGCCTAGACCGCGTCATCAAATGCGGGGTCCAATTGTGATCCATGACGACCGGTGCATTGTGCAACTGCAATGGGTAGGAACTATCCTCCGATGCCCGAAAGAGGAGACCAGTCAATTCTTCATCACCTCCTCTGGAGTCGACGATAATCTCCCCGGGCTCCGCGCTAAGGGCCCGCAATGGCTAGATCGCCCCAATCAGTTTGAAGTCCGGCGCTCCGCATTGGTGCCCGCGCAAGACCCGTGTACGTTGGTTCAGGGGAATCGGCAAGTATCTTGGGCAAATTGTTGAGAAGGGTACCTGTCAGGGCAAGGCTCGGGCCTAAATTCTCCTCCGTTATCCGATACATTGGCCATTTTCATCGGTGGGAAAGCGGACTTGTGGACCTTGGGGGAGAAGTTGACTCCAAGAGCCCGGTCTGTGGCCTTGCACCTGTAGGAACGGAAATCCGGCTGCTGGGAAGGAGGGGCTGGAAATTGTGTGGGACTGAGCGGAGTATAAAGCAGCACTCGTCGGTCACCTGGACTGAATCATACCGATCATGGCGATGAAACTGCTGACCTTGGGCCTTGCCCTGGCGAGTGCCTCGTATGCCCACATCGTCGGCACGCGAACCAACGCGGGGAGCAGTGCTAGCTCTGTGCTCGCCCCTGTGCAGTCACCTACCGTGTACATCGACACCTACGAGAGCACGGTACAGGGCAACCGATCGCAGTATATCTCCTCGGTCTACAACTTCAAGGCAATCCCGTTTGCCTCCGCCCCAACTGGAGCCTATCGATGGCGCCATCCGCAGCATGTCGCCGGGTGGACGGGGATTCGAGATGCCACCGAGTTTGCTCCGGACTGTCCCCAGCCTGGGTCCAGCTACTACAGCGAGGACTGTCTGTACCTCAACATCTGGACACCCGACACGGCCAGCCTCAACGATGTGCAGAACAACACCGAGACTGGCATCGGCGTGGTTCCCTCCGCGACCGGAAGCAAACTCCCCGTCTATGTCTGGTTCTACGGCGGCCGCTTCGGCTCCGGCTCGAGCAGCCAGGCCTTGTATGACGGAGCCGGACTGGCCTCGAAGGGTCTCGTTGTGGTGACAGTGAATTACCGACTGGGAGCGCTAGGGTTTCTGGCCCACCCAGAACTGAGCAATAGCTCGGCGAGCGGAACGTCGGGCAACTATGGACTGGTCGACCAGCAAGCAGCACTGCACTGGACTAACGAGAACATTGCCTCCTTTGGTGGTGATCCTACCCGCATCACCATCGGCGGACAGTCGGCGGGCGCTGCCGCGGTGCTCGACCATCTCAATAGTGCGCTCGCCGACGGGCTGTTCGAGCAGGTGATTGCCGAGAGCGGCGCCACCTACCCATCCAATCCTCTAATTGAAGGTGTGGCCGAAGGATATCGGCAGCTCAAGACTGCTGAGACGCAGGGGGTAGCGTATCTGACCAGTCTCAATCTGAGCAGCATCGCTGCGGCCCGCGCCGCCGCCGTCGAGGTCTTTCTGCCCGGGGCCGACGCGAACGATGTCACCTACGCCCAGACCGTATTTGCCAATAACTCTGTCTACGCGGAGCCCCCGTTGTTCCGCCCGGTATTGGACGGCTATGTCCTCCCCGCCACCTACCAGGAGATGCTGCAACAAGGCAATCATACGATTGCTGCGGTGTTGACCGGCGGGAACAAAGACGAAAACGGTGCCTCTCCCAACCCCGGGCTGACGGTAGAGAGCTATACGAGCCAGAACCGCTACGAATTCGGCAGCGTCGGGCTAGCGGACGAGTTCTTCCAGCTGTATCCGGCCGGCAACAGTAACCAGAGCGCCGACACGGCCAGCAACACCTTTTACCAGGACCAGACACGTATCTCTGTCTGGCAATGGGCCAACGAGTATCAGGCCGGCGTTGCGCTCAACACCTCGGGCAACAGCACCGTTCAGACTTACACCTATTACTGGACCCATGCGCCTCCGGGCCAAGATCAGGGCGCGTACCATATGAGCGAGATCAATTATGCGTTCAATAACCTGTACGCTACTGACAAGCCCTGGCAGCCCGAGGACTATGCCATCGCCGACCGGCTTTCCGACTATTGGGTGAATTTCATCCGCTCCGGAGATCCCAATGGCCCGGGCTTGCCAAACTGGCCGGCCAATGTTGCCACCAATCCGGTGATCATGGAGGTGGGCGATTCCTGGGAGACGGTTGAAGTTGCTTCTGCTGAGAAGCGGTCCTTTATGAGCAAGTGGTTTTCCAAGTGGCCGGTTTACTGAGCGGAAATGGGGCGCTGGGATACCTCGCCGTGGCTTGTACGAAACGCAAAACAATATTATTGCGATTTGGGTCGATGCTAGCCTGTCTCAAATAGTTCTCTCTAATATCCATCATTGCATAAGGCAATCTGTCTCCGTTGCTCATTACCCACCAGTGTAGAGGGTCGGACTTTCGATTCCCGGCGCTGGATTATGTGTGGTCATCACAAAATCATAAGCAGTTTGTTTAGCGAGGGTTCTGGTTGTTTCTTTTCCTATCTAATCCTCAAGCCACCAATAATCACTATTGTCGGACTTCTGACATTGTCAATGATTACCAAGCTGAATGTTGGTCATCATCGGTGATGCGTGACAGCCGCCCCCAAAATCCCGGAGATCCGGAGCCGCGGAGCTGCGGGAAGCCGGAGTCTCGGAGTTGCCCTGCCTCACCAACGGATCAGGAACACCCTGCAGCACCAGCAGCAGATCTTGCCTCAGTATGAGACCAAACCAACCAAATGGTAAAATTTTGAACGGGTTCGAATGGCTCGACGCCAAGAGAATCCACACTGCGAATCTGAAAGGGGAATAATGTCACATACTGCCTCCCGCGAAACTGTTGAGTATTTCGAGGTTGTACGCAATCGTCGCATTTTGGATGCCTCCAGACGTTCACATTAACCCACTAGCACACGAATGGTTCACTTTATCCAGCTATCTCCTGTCGATGAACCTTGCGGCGCATTGAGCTTTATCGATGCTTTCATCTCACTTGGATGTCTGCGGCAGTCACCTGATCTCCTGTTCGTATTCTCTTTGTCCGTCTCAGCCATCGACGTAAAGTGTTACATCAATAGATCAATGTACTTACCCCGCGCAAGCTGTTCTAGGTTGCACTGGAGACAGCCATATTATCATCATATAACCCCTCTACCTTGGAGTGCTGAGGACTCATATGCCTGCTTTGCGTCTCAATTGCATTCACTAACACCCAAATACAAGTATCCATATTGCAATGCCTCTCCCCACCGACCCAGCCGTTCTTAAAACAAGCCAGGGGCTTGTTGAAGTCCTCCATGGCATCTTCGGTCCTCATCCAGGCACAAGACCGGGTAAGATAACCTCATCCTACTCCTCAACAGTCCAAACTCCTTCCGTCAATAGCTAACAGTCTACAGTCCACGCAAAAGGCATCCTCCTCGAAGGCATCTTCAAACCCACCCCCGAAGCCGCATCCCTCTCAACAGCACCGCACTTCCATTGTCCTTCAACTCCAATCCTCGCCCGATTTTCCAGCAGCACCGGAGTCCCCAACCTACCAGATACCGACCCGAACGGCAATCCTCGTGGCCTAGCCCTGAGATTCATGCTGGAAGAGTCTCCTCGTCACGTCCATACTGACATCATCACCCACTCTACCCCCTTCTTCCTCGCTAAAGACGGCCCCGAAGCACTAGCTTTCTTCCGTGCATTGGCGTCCGGTACCATCGAGGAGTTTCTCTCGACTCATCCTGCAGCACTGGCGTTCGTTCAGGCGGAGAAACCCTTCCCGGCGAGTTTCGGAACGGAGAGGTACTTTGGGGTAAATGCGTTCAAGTTTATCAATCAGGAAGGGCGGGAAACTTTTATTCGCTATCGCGTCATTCCCGTTGCCGGGGAGTCCTATCTGAATCCTGAACAGCTTAAAGAAAAGAGCGATTTATATCTGTACGACGAGCTATCCACCCGTCTAGCTTCTGGTCCGGTCATCTTCGACCTCGTCGCGCAGATGGCACAGGACGGTGATGTCACAGATGATTGTACAGTCCACTGGCCTGAAGATCGGACTTTGGTGAAATTGGGTAGGGTGCGTCTGAACTCCGTCATGGGGGATAATGATGCGGAGCAGAAGAGGGCGATTTTTGATCCTGTTCCGAGAGTACAGGGGATTGAGCCGTCGGAGGATCCGTTGATTGATACTCATGCTGCGGTGTATTTGATGAGTGGGAGGGAGAGACGGGCTGTCTGAGGTTGACTAGTTAGCGCCGTTGATGTACTTTCGACAGTGGATAATCCTTTGTTTTGGATATCATATGTCAAGAACTATAACTCCAGATGTCGGACTTGAACTATAGAGTAACTGGTACTAGTAAATCACGGATAACTCTAGTGTGCTACTGTTCGATCAACAATCTCTAGGAAGCCTCCAAGTAACTCCCTATTCAATTTTATCCTCATCACCATCTGAAGTGATACATTACCATCTACGGAGTACGGAGGATGACAACCGCGGTAAGCCGATAAGCCGATAAGCGATCAGTGGGGCAGCTCCCACCAATTGGAGTTACTCCAGCTTGCAGCTAATACGATGGTCTCCGGATCTCCAGCCAATAGGAGCAACTCCAGACCCTCCTGTGCCAACAGGGTCTCCGTCACTCCGTGACCAGGAGAGCATCCTCAACTGCATGCAATCTACGGAGTAGATGATCTGCTTACCACTACATCGACCAGTCTAGCCACCCAACTCCGACTTTCCGGAATGATGACGGATATTTAATCTCATCGTAAAAATTATCGCAGACATCTCGTGTATAAATACGCGTAGCCATCCCACACCACTACCGCAAAAACATCCCATCATCCCATCCCAACCATCCAACCAAACACCCATTCAATCAAACCACCAACCACCAACCAACAACCACCCAAAATGTCTCTCCCCCGCCGCGCCCTCATCGCCATCACCTCCGCCCAAGCCCCCCTCTTCAACGGCCGCGAAACCACCGGCCTCTTCATCACCGAAGCCCTCCACCCATACCTCGTCCTCACCAAGGCCGGCTTCACCGTCGACCTCGCCTCCGAAACAGGCACCTACACGCCCGACCACCTCTCCCAACAACCCGACTTCCTGCACGGCGAGGACCTCGCCATCTGGAACAATCCCAACAGCGAGTTTCGCCAGAAACTCGACAACATGCCCAAGGCGTCGGAGCTCGATGCCTCGGGGTACGGCGTGTTTTTTGCCTCGGCGGGGCATGCGGCTTTGATTGACTATCCTACTGCCACTGGGCTACAGAACATCGCCTCGCAGGTCTGGACGAGCGGGGGTGTGGTGGCGTCGGTGTGTCACGGGCCGGCGATTTTCGCGAACGTGGTCGATTTGAACACCAAGGAGGCGGTGGTGAAAGGGAGGACTATTACGGGGTTTGCTACTGAGGCGGAACATACGTTGGGGGTTGCGAAGGAGTTGGAGAGTTGGGGGTCCGAGTTGGTGGAGGATATGGCTGAGAGGTTGGGGGCGAAGTGTGAGTATATACCTACCCTTTTTCCTTCTGGGTATGGAATGGGTATGGAATTGGTACTGACTGGTTTGTTTAGATGCTCGTGCTCCCGGTGTCTGGGATGATTATCATGTTATTGATGGACGGCTTGTGACGGGTCAGAATCCGGCGAGTGCGACTTCGACGGCGAAGGCGGTGGTGGAGGTTTTTGATAAGTTGTGATTGTTTCTGGGTGTATGTTGGGATTTGGGAATGTGTGCTGCCCTGTGGCGTGGTTAAGAAGATCAGGGTGATCAGAGTTAGTATTAGGGTATTGTTTGATACTTGTGATATTGTTATTGTACAGCAGATCCTGGAATCAGCATGATGGGGTTCCATCATGACTATAAAGTAAGATCGTCTGTTTTCTCCATGAGTAGGATAAGGGAAGGCTGAAGATTCCTAACTTAAGAGGCAGGGTGTCATCTAGTGCGAAGTTTCTTTTAGATAAAAAAGCCGTACGAGTAGTTTGGCCATCGCTTATCACTTCTCTCTGTGGCTCTATGGACCGAGTGTCATGAGTTACAGCACGATCTGCGTCTCTTATCTAGCTTTAAGTACAGTATGACTCAATCAAAGTATACACTCCGAAACCCTATACAGGAAAGGTCCTTCAAATCCTGATCGGTAATCTAAAAGAGGAAATCGGCCCGCCTTTTGGGGCGGGAAGCCCAAAATGGTAATATTCAGTCAGCCAGGCTCTCATTCTTGATATAAGTTTGGCAGGTACTGCAGGACGCGATTCCACATACTTCCCTTTTGCCAAAGACTGAAGTTGTTCACAATGATAATAAGTCTCTTCCGAGCAGCATCGCCACCCCGAAATGCCCCGACCTATTTCGATATCAGGTATGTGCATTACCCGCCAGCTGGAGGCTTTACTAACCTGTAAGGCTTGATAATGATGTAATATGGCTCCCAGGCGACGACATCTCAAGTGGATATATTCACCTCAATGGCAAAGTTATACTCTGTCTCAACCAGCCGCTCTGTGTCAAAGACATGAAGCTGCACTTCGAGGGGTGGCGATACATCAAGTATGAAGTCATACACACCGTCCAAGAAACTCACTGATCCGTGCATGAACTGTAGATGGGATCCTCGCTTCCCATACTTCGAAACCTCTCACCAAAAAGTCACCATCTGGGACCGTCTCTTCATGCGCCAGACGTGGAACTTTCTCCGCTTCTCACCCTCAACATCGAATACGCTACCACCTGGTAACCACGAGTTCCCATTCCACTTTTGTCTGTCAAGCAAGACACCAGACTCGATTCAGGGCCTGGACGACTGCTCTATCAAATATAACTTGAAAGCACAGATCCGTACCCTCAAGGGAACTGGCTTCGATATCACGAGGTCGATCAGAGTCTGTCGGATGTATCGATCGCTGTTGATTCCAGAGCCGAAGGTGATCTCATCCATCCCAGACCACTTCAATGTTGCTAACATGAACAGGTCCTGCAAAATATCTGGCCTGACAAAATCATCTATCGTGTCAGATCCCCTTCAAGAACATATACCTTCGACAGCGTCATTCCGATCAGCTTTCACTTCGTACCGATACGCAAAGGGCTTACGATATCGAGCATCCAGATTCAAATCATCGAGACACATAAAGCGATTCAGCCATCACTCGGCACTCGATCGCGGATCATCGTGCAGGACGACTATATTCCTCCATGCTGGGACGAGCTGGATACCACGTCGGATGACGAGGGATACTGGCATTGCTTAACACGGATAGTTCACCTACCGAAAGACACAAAGCAATGTGTGCAAAGCACAGCGAATACCTTTCTGCGGGTTGATCATACGCTGAATATCCAAATCCGGCTTTTGAATCCGGGTGGGAATGAGTCTGCAGTAAGCTCTTCTTTCCCGATCTGTTTGTTACGGAGGCTGACGACCGAGAAGATCAACCTCACATGGCCGATCTCTATACATCTTCCTTTACCGCCATCGCTGGGGGATGGGTATATCTCGTCAATGCTGGAATCGCTTCGCATGGTTGATGAGACGCTGGATCTTCCTCTGCCAAGTTATCATGATCATGTCCTGGACCGTACGCCGGATGAGATTCCTGCGGAGAGGGTTGGAGGAGATACAAACGGTCAAGATGAGCCCCCGGATTATCTGAGTTGTGGGGTGTTGGTGGAGACTCCGAGTTATTCGACGGCTGTTAGGTCGGGGGCGTCGAGTCCGGTGTGTTTTTATGGGTATGATTGATGATTAGGGTTTGGGCTCCCGTTTGGCTTGTGTTGTTGTTATTGTTGTTGTTGTTGTTGTTTTCTGAGCGTGTGATACCTGAAAAGCATTGTACGCTTTGTGATTTCTCTGTTGGGTTGTTAAATTTACTATTATAGCCGGTGACAATAAATATCTTCCACGTTATGGACTGCACTTCATTGAGCCGCACTCTGGCGAATGTGACCAAAATTAACTCCCCCACTCAAGACCCACTCAAAAGGAAAATACAAAAGAAGCACCCCAAGATCAGAGAATCCCCACTCAGAAGATGATGTTGTTGGACAACAGCAGGAAATGTTGATACCCCGCGATGGCCACGTGCTTAATCTCCTCCCGCACTTCTATTGGTCAACATCACCGCGGCGGGGCGCGGAAAACTCCCTCTTTCGGCAATCCCGCTAGCAGCGGTCGCCTTCCTGTTTGTCTTCCGCTCGTGCTTCACATCGTCTTACCTTCCATGTGGAAGACTCGCCAATCTTCCTGTTTCAGCATTTCTTGAAGTTCTTAGAGGGTCAGGCAGAAACATACCCGGAAGCCCCGACATCTGCTTCCCTTCCGGTAGAACCCGACACTCCCCTTGTCCTTCGGCCATGGAGCTGGCGTGGCTGGCGGAGACCCCGCATTCCAATCATCGGAGAAGGGTTCTACGGGCGTGTCCCCAGTGTCAGATACGAAAGGTAGGTGGATCCGCTGGAATTCCCGGCCTTCCATGGTCTTCGGATCACTTATTTAAACCGTTCATCCAGAAACGGTGCCGCCATGTTGAACCGGTGCCCAGCCCCAGTCGATCCCGGATTATCAACCGTCGTCAACACAAGTCCGCCTCTGATGGCACTCATCCTTCTGCAGCGAGTTCAGCATCAGAGAGTACTGCCAGTCCTAAGACTCCCGGTCCTATTGAAGAGAGCACCCGGCCAGATCGATTCCTTGGCGCGATGAATCCTGAAGCATTGATCCGGGAAAAGTTGGATGCTGCTACTAATGTGAATCCACGGCGTGACCGAATTGGTCTCTGGATTACTTCTCCGGTAGCGGAGAGACGCCAGAAAGATGCTCAGGATGGGGCGATTTCTGTCTCACCATACCCGGTGGAATTGCAGACCATTGCGGATCAACTTCGCCAGAAACATGAGTCTGCCCTGACGGCCTGCATGAGATTACCATTTTTCACTCTACATCACTTGATTCCGATGTATTTTTTGAAAGTGAATCATATCCTCCCCATCGTTGACCAAGATGCTTTTCTCACGGCTCAAGCGGAGGGCACAGTGTCGCCGTTTCTGGAACGAGCTATTTGTCTGGTCGCGGCAAAAGACAAAGCGGCTGCTCCATACCTTCGCCTTCACAACAATGGCCCCGTTGTATTACCGGCGGAGTTTTGCACCGATATCTATCGAGGTCTTTCGGTTGTCATCAACGAGGGCCTGGAACCGGACAGGATCACCCGAATCAGAGTGCTGGCGTTGATGTCACTACATTGTGAAGATTCCGAAGGAACGGAAGCAGCCTCCATGCACCTTTACCGAGCCGTTCATCAGGCCCAAGCAGTGGGATTACATTTGGTTCGACCAGGGAATACGGAACATCCGTTGTCTGGGCTGTTCTGGTGTCTCTGGACGCTGGATAAAACGCATGCTTGCATGGGTGGCCGCGCAGTGCTCTTGGCCGATCAGGACATTAGCATCAAGAAGCCTGCAGCTATAAGAAACCAGCTGTCACGACCGCGGACTGCATTCGAGGTGTGGTTTGCCATTTCGGATTTATTGTCCGATGTGATATATTTGTATCGACCCGGTGCAGACCATACTTCTCGAGCGGCTCGGTGGGAGAAGGGCTTTCCGAATTTTGACGAAATTATCGGCTGTGGGGTTGACGAAGACATTGATATTGGCACACTTGGTACGTGTCTGTTTTCCTGTACCTTTCTTTTTTTTCTAGGGCTGCCATCTAACACGACAGAGCAGGTTTCCTCGAATTATTCTATCATGTAGTGGGCATCCTGTTCGCCAGAAACCACAGCCCGGAGCACACCGAAAGTCCTAGCCCGTTTCATATTCGACAAGATCATGCCGCTATCCGAATCCAGTCCATCGCTGCACGAGAATACATCGACGAGCTGCCCCCTCTGCCAATTGTGCCCTATGCCTTGTCGCTATCCATGGGCGTGTCTTATCAGCAATACCGATCGAGCAATCTAATCACGCATCTCAGTCGATCCAAAGCGGACCTGGAAGCTCGATGTAGCTTGCTGGAGATTCTGAGGCCGTACTGGTACTCTGCGGACAAGATGGCGCAGTTGGGGCGCAAGGCGCTCAACCAGATCCAGGAAGGGCCGGGTCTACCCACACTCAGCGCAATGCAGGCCCCCGAGACAGGTATTCGAACAGAAGCCAGTCAAGGGAATCGCATCACTTGGGTTAATTCGACTTCGACTGATGTAATGGGGGAGAATACAACCAATGTCGCTCAAGGTGCACGTAGTGATATACAAGAATTGGGTCTAGGTGGCTTTGCAGATATTGACGTCTTGTTTGGTGACTTTCTGGATCTGTCGCTACCCAATGGATTTTGGGACCCTGACTTCCCGCTGAGCGCACCGGATCATGGCAATGAGACACACTAATCGATCGTCGGAGACTATAAGCTGATAACACATATTCTATGATATCTGCTATATTGTCTGATTACAGCTGATATAAGTGTATACCTATGCCATCGCTAAATACCAATCCCCTCGCTACTTATGGCCTAGCATCAAGCACATAGGCAAATGTCTCGTCCAGAATGCGCAACCCTCAATCTCCTCCGCCGAGACAGTCACTGGCGGCGCTAGACGAAACATCCCGCCCATACCTGGCAAATTGACCACATTGCACGACAAACCACACGCCATGGCGCGATCCGACACTGCCTGGCCAAGATCCGGGCCAGGGGTCTTAGTCTCCGGATCCGAGATAATCTCAATCCCTTGCAACAGACCCCGACCGCGCACATCTCCAATACACCAGTACTTCTCCTGCAGCTTCAACAGACCCTGTCTTAGCTGCGTATCTCGCTCGATCGCACGTTGGCAGATATGATCCCTCTCCACAATCTCCAGCCCCTTATTCCCCACCGCCGCCGTCAGCGGATCATTCAGATGGGTCGTCAACCAAAGGAACCCCGCCTCGGTACACCCCCGCACAATCTCCGGCGTGGTACTCGCCGACGCCAAAGGCAGTCTACACCCAAGTGTCTTGGACAAAGCAAGGATATCCGGGACGATGCCAGCTTTTCAAACGCAAACATCTGCCCTGTCCGACCAGCAGAGTATGTAGCCGATCCGGATCCTTGAGTGAGGCCGTGATAACTGGTCGCAAAGCCGACGATCTCAAACTTTCCAGTATACGTTTTGGCGATTTTGATGGCCGCTTCGGTGGATTCCGAGCCGGTGTTCAGAAAGAATGATTGTTCCAGGGGGGGCAGGGAGGAACCGCACTAGACACTGTACTAGGTTGATGATTGGTTGAGTGATTATAATACTGAGGAGGTGATCTAGTTCTGCTGCATAGTATTAAATAACGGAGACAATCTCAGGGTGAGAATGGTCGAGTACAGCGCTCCTTTGGCCGGAGGTGAAGTCCAAGATCTGGCGGCTGTTGGAGTCATATAGACGGGTGCCTTTGGCTTTGGTGATGATAACAGGCGAGGAGGGGACCCCGGTGTGTATGAGGTATTTATTGGCTTTGGCGAAGAAGGGGTTGGAGGTTGCCATAGTGGTGATTCAAGAGTCTACGATAATCAGAAGATTATAAACTTCAAAGATAATGCTGCATGAAAGTGCAAAGGATACTCAATACGTAGCCGATGTAGGGCTTGTTATATGAAACCCCTGCATCCCCGGCGCTGCGAATCTCCGTCTTGCCTATCTTTCCGTCAATCTTCTTCGATGAATAGAACTTGACCTTACCACCCACCATACCAACCATACCAACCATACCAACCACACACCACAAATAATAATACCTCCTCCCCAGCAGAAGATCTCCTCGTATTCATTCACGAATTAGATACCTCGCAGCTAAGGGTTCTGGATCCTGCGCTTGGGGGTAGTATTACCTCCGCGGTGATGGTTCTGGTGCGGTGGGGGGGTGAAACAGAAACATCTTGGTGGGTGTGGAGATGAGCCGTTGGATATGGTGAATGATATCCTATCTACACTCCAATACTATAGAGAACAGGTTTGGGTGGGATCTCGGCGATGATTGTTAGGGAAGTGTAGTGATGTTATCGACAAGGTTATACATTATTACATGATGATGGTGCTGGGGAGAGGGTGATATCGGCTTCCGTGGTGGGGTATTCAACCGATTTAGGACTGGATCTGGGTCTAGATATAGATAGATATGGGGGTACTTTGGGACGAGTTGCTTGATATTCCCGGGGTAAACCACCATCAAAAACAAACATCCAGCTACACAATCCATCGAACAACTTTCCATAATTCTCATTAAATATGAAACATCTATTCGATACTGTATGGTATTCACCCCTTAAACGGCGCAAACCGCGACATCTTCCGCAACCGCACCCCATATACCATAAACAAAAACGGCACCGGGATGGCGGCTGCCGCCACGCCCCCGAGAATCGACATGGCCGGCCCGACCCCCAGATTGCGAAACATGGGCTGCGCGAACAGCGGAAACGCCGCCGCCAATACACTCCGCAGGAAGGTATTCGACGCCGTCGCCGACGCAGCATACGGCCCATACGTATCGACCAAAAAGTTAATACACTGCCCGAAGATAATACAAAACCCGCACCCGAAGACCATGGCGGCCACGACGGGCAAGCCCCATGAGTAGGTAGGTTGGGCGGTCCATCCGAACCAGAAGAGGCCTCCCGCGAAGAGAAACCCGCCGACGGCCATGGGCATGAGACGGGCCTCCGGGACGGGTTTGCCGCCGCCGGCTTCCCATTTGCGGATGTAGTAGGGTTGGCCGAGGAAGATGATGAAGAGGGAGGAGAGGAGGACGCCGATGAAGAGGCCGATGAAGGGGAGGGTGGCGAGGACGGGTTTCCAGTGCCGGATGTCGGAGAAGACGATGGGGAAGACCTCGAGGGTGAGGTAGAGGAGGGCGTACGTGAAGGAGGCGTAGAGGGCGATGACGGTGACCATTGGTTCGGTGAGGAGCATGACGAGGGGGCGGGAGAAGTGCTTCGTGATGATGCTGTGGGGGGTGAGTTTGAGGTGTTCGTGGGGATGGTAGAGGGCTGTGTTGCCAGTTTCTTTGCGGAGACGGATGGCTTTGTGGTGCAGGAGGACCGGGCTGTAGACTTCGGGGAGGCAGAAGAAGGTGATGGTGAAGACGAGGAAGACGAAGATGGCTTCGATGTATTCGGTCCAGCGCCAGCTGAGGTGTGGGTTCGAGATGAGGGCCGCGCCGATGATCGGGCCCATGGTTGGGCCGCCGACGACGCAGATCGCGTAGGAGGTGCTGGCGATGCCGCGCGCTTTCATGTGGAAGATGTCGCCCAGGGCGGCGGAGACGTTGCTGACCGGGGCGGAGCCGAAGAGGCCGGCGAAGTAGCGGGTGATGAGTACGGAGGCGGTGTTTTTGCTGGTCGCGGTGCCGATGCTGAAGAGCCCCATGATGAAGACGGCGGGGAGCATGGACCAGCGGCGACCCCAGATCTCTGAGATGGGCGCCCAGCAGAGTGGTCCGAAGGCGAAGCCGAGACTGCGTGTCGTTAGTGATCTGGTGAAGCTTATTTTGAGGCCCCGCCACGTACATATAGAGTGATACCGGAAGAATGCTGACTTCGCTTCCCACGTGCAGGTAAGCTTTGAGGCTTGATTCCGCCGGGGAGATAATACTCGAGCCCATACTGGCGCTCAGGGCCAACAGACCCAGCTGAAACGTGATCCAGCATTTGTAGGCGAGCGGAAAGTTAAGCGGGTTTTCCGGGTCATCCACATCCCAGGTCACCAGATTCGGGTCGGGGCCGACATGTTGCGTGGCTTTTTCCGTATCGGCAGGCCGGACGGGCACACTCTCAGACACGGCAGTCATGCTGAGAGGCTCTGGATGATGGCCTTAGAACTTTGCGCCGCGCGAGTCAGGGTGACGCTGGGGTTTTATTCGCCTTCGGAAATATCGGGGCCGGCTACGGTTACCCGAACGTGGTGGCGTCGGATGTTCCGATCGGAGTTCCGCTTTGTCTCATCTAAACCGTGGATGAACTACCAGCCTTGCTGCTCCTGCTGCTGCCCCTTTCCTAACGCGGGTCGCCCCGCACAGCCTCGGATTTAGCCCCTTTGGGAGGCTCGGGGTTTACGCGTCCTTGCTGGGCAGCTGCAAGTCTCATCGCAGGTTTCATTGGGTTTAATTAAATGAGATCGGGTGTAGAACTGAGTACATCTTGATCCTGTGGTTGAATGCACGGAAGGTTGGTATATCAACTGCCATCGTGTCAGCGTATGCATTCGCGCATTCATTTGCGTGGTGAGAAAATGGGAGGCTTCATGATGGATGTGAACCCTGGGGAACTCCACACGCCTCGCAGCACACAGGTCATGGTCTGTGCCGTTTATCTGTTGTCTGCAAGCGGCGTGAACGTTGTTTCACTTTCCATTCATGGTTCTCTCGAGGTGGGTTCTCTGGAATCACTTTCACCCCTTCCGGGATCATTTCCCATTACTGCTCTTTCACTGTTGACTTGACATACTGGCTGCGAAACCCGTGTCCGAGTTGTTGCAACGCCTTGAGAGTTGGTGAAAATATGATTACGATCTGTTTGCTGCATCTTTAGAGGTACATTTCGATATGCATCAAGGCAGAGAGGTTAGGTCGATGGAAGTAAGGAGATCTAACAAGAGAATCATCAACGCTCTACACCTCTGCTTCCTTTTCACCCTTCTTCTTCACACTCCGCCAGCCAACCCCCCACGCAAACCCAAACTGCACTACCGACAAGGCTGCACTCAGATAAAACACCTCCCCAACGCTCTTTGCATATGCTACCAACACCCCCGGCAATTCCTGGGCTGAGACTACATCCCGAAACCCCGTAGCGCCCGCGGCGATGACCGTCGCTGCCTCCACGGAGGGAGCGTATCGCGGGATGTTCGCCTTCAAGGCCTGCGCGAAAATCACCTCCGCCACGGCGAGGAATATGGCACCACCGAATGTCTGGGCGCAGGCCATCAAGGCCATGGCAGTGGAGACGTCGGTGTTGGTGACGTTGTTTTGAATGGCGATCATTGGCTTCTTTGTCAGTAAGTTGAAATAAGCCCGGGGAGGAGACTCACCACTTGGGAGATCGCCCCTCGACCGAATCCGACGAGAGCTTCGTATCCAGCCCAGGTAGGTATCGAAGTGTCGACGGACAGGGTAGAGAGGAGGCCGTTGCCGATGGCATCGAGGATGGCACCGAGGACACCCCAAGGGAGATAGTAGCCCAGTTTCGAAGCTCCGGCATCCCATTAGCTTTCTCCCAACCCTCAAGAAAGGCAGAAAACTCACTCAGTACCCCCGACACCACCGCCATCACCAGCTGACACAAAATATTCGGCAACAAATCCACCCCACTCACCAACGCCGATTTCCCTCGCACGGCTTGGAAATATATTGGCAGATAATACGACAGGGTCATGGTGAACCCAAAGATGGACATCGCTAGCAAACTGCTCGATAGCACAATCCGGTCGCGCACCAAGTGCCCGGGAATCATCGCCTCGGCGCCCATATGTCGTTCCCACAAGGCAAATACCACGAAGGTGGCTGCGGACCCGCAGAATAGCCCGATGACTATGGCACTGTTCCACGCATAGCCGTTGCCGCCATATTGCAGGGCGAGCAGGAGCATGATAGACGCCGGTGCGAAGATGATGAAGCCCAGCAGGTCGAAGTTTTTCAGCAAGAGTGACTGTAGGACGTGCCGGACGGGAGGTTTCGGTTTTTGGTCCGGCATGTGCGTGAAGAGCAGCAAAGCGGCGACGACACCGCCAATAGGGAGATTCATATAGAAGCCTGTCAAATGGGTCAGCAATTCCTTTGGGACGAGGTTCTCGGAACATACACCATCGCCAGGTCGAGTAGGTCGTAAAAGCGCCTCCCACCAGTGGACCGCCCACTAAACCCAGTTGTCCCACTGCAGCATTGCCAGTCAGTTCTGCTTTTCGCAGCATTGATTCTAGAGGGTCTTACCCCCCATAATCACCCCAATCATCGCCGGCCGCTTCTGAATCGGCACCGCCCCGGCCAGGATATTCAACGCTCCGTTCAGCATGCCCGATGACCCCATGCCCGCCACCGCGCGCCCGACAATCAGCATCTTGGACGAGGTGGCCACTCCACAGAGCAACGAGCCTATTTCAAACACCCCGAAAAAGGCGAGACAAGTCCATTTCGAGGAGAAGTACGTGTAGAACTTTCCGGTGAGGGGTTGGAGGGCGGCACTGGGTAATCAGCATCGTCCGGTTCTCAGATTCACATATGTCATACCTAGAGATCGTATATGCGCTTCCATACCACGCCACATCATCGAGTGAGTGGAATTGACTCGTTATTGTGGGAATGGCCTGGCTATTGTTAGTAAGCCTCGCGGATGGGATAGGTCCAGTCATACCGTCGATACGATCGACATATCCAACAACATCAAGAACACTACCAGCGTGATTCCCGTAATCACCATTACGAGTGTTATTCCCTCTACCCACTCAGACTCTTCCCCGTTGCTGTCGCTGGATCTATCAGCGGCGGGTCTGTCCGCCTCGCACGCGGTGGAGTCCGGTTTCACGAAATGGGGCTGTTGGCTATCTTCCCTCATATTCATGTTGCGATCTTTCATCATTTAAACAAAAGTATTAGAATCTGTTGTGGTTGATTCGAGATTGAACTCGGCACAGCAGCGGTTTAAGTATCGAGTGCGTGCGGCGTTGGGGATAGGCCGGTCCCGAACGCCGGTTCACGTCCGCCACATCGCCGGTCGCGCATAGTCCTCTTGACTCGGCATTACACCAGCTGAACTGGATAGATTCTATCGTCGAATAATGGGTTCAATGAGTAGATGATGGAAGCTTGAAGTTGGTAGCATCGTAATGGAAAAGAGGAAACTCACCCACGCACTTGCTTGGTGAAGCCATTAAACATGCGAGCTATTCAATATAGCCCTCTATGAATTTGGTTGTTCAAATGCCGCTCTATTAGATGACTTCGGCTCCTAGTTGCTTCCTCGATAGCATCGTTGGCAGAGGTGAATATGAGAAGCCAATGGGTGGTGGCTGTCGCGGACTCAGCCCAAAATATGTCATGAAAGACCATATCTGCGCCAGGAGCAGGCACCTGGCCTGTCAAACGAACTGAAACCAGTTCTACGCAATTTCGAACCATTCACAAAACCGAGCCAATCCCCTCGGTCGACCAGAGCAGGTCCGACCAACTCAAAAAGTTCTCCAGGTCGCCCAATTCCATGCTCGACAAAACCGGTTCTATAGTGCCGTCGACGGCATCCGGGAGTCGCACCTCCCACTCACTTCGCAGCTTCTGCATCATCATCCCCAATTTGCTGTAGGGATCGATGCACCCCCTCTCGCTGCGTATCCCTACCGCATCAGCCACCTGGCCCATGCGCGTGGCGATCTCCTCTGCCACGGCCAGGATGTCCACCGTGTCTTTCACCGCAGCCTTGTCCCAGCCGGGGTAATCCAGTGTGGAGAGGCGGAAGAGGGTAACCAAGCAGTGTGACAATTGGGTCAGGTTTGGCAGTGCCAGCGAGGTGTACTCTGCCGGGCAAATTGTGAAGAAGAGATCGAAAAACTGCTTCACCAGCTGGATGCAGGTGTAGAGGTGATCCAGTCGCCGGGTGCTCATTTCCGTGTCGGCGCGGGGTTGCGCGAGGGCAACCTCATAGAGGCTGATCTCGGCATCGTAAACATAGAACAGAATGGGTTCTAGGCGGTTCAGTATCAATAAGCTAGGTCCGGGAGATCTACATACTGTTTCCAGCCAGTGAAGCGGGGATCTCGGTCTTGATCATGTCTATTCGTAACTGCAGCGCCCTGAGATGAAAGGCGGGGAGAGTGTGCGCTGGATGGGGGCCATACAGGCCTTCGCTCCAGGGATTTTGCAGGATCTGGTCCGCGAGCAGTCGTGTGCGCGTGAGCTGAACAAGCACCCCATCTCCTGGCCATTCTTCACTGTATGTCAGGACATCAAGACATTCCTGCATATGCGGGGTCCATCGTAGCGGTTCCATTCGACCCAGGAATTGTGTGATTCTACATCTTATCAGTTTCGTGGTCGCCTCATCTCGTTCAGTTATAATCTCTTACATCGAGGTCAGCACAAAACAGCTCAAGACCGCCCGGCGTTCGTCCATCGTGCGCCGAGTAGAGATGGACGCTTTCAACCCCGGAAGGTGCCCCACAGCATTGGAGTTCGAAACAGTCATACTTTGATCCGCAGGCGGAGGCTTATTGAGGCCGAGCTCGAAGACCAAGCCGATCGCCATTTGGGCATAGATACAGAGCGACGACTTTTGCGGCTGGCTATGAAATGTAACCCTAGTCGAGCGTCAGCGGACCGTGATACCAGGCCCGGGAACCATACCAGGCGAGATAGACCAACACCCCCTGCAAGAGATCCAGAGACTTCTCGCAATCCACCAGCAGCCGCCTCCCCGCCAGTTTCCGGATGCTTTCACACAGGGCAGCTTGAAAAGCGGCACGCTTACTTTCCACCGCCGCAATACAATGCCAAAGAAAGGGGGACTGTTGTGTCAAATCACGCGCGGTCATAGTGGCGGGGATGTAGATCAAAGGAAGGAACTGCAGTCGGTGCGTGCGAAACGCATGGAGCACCTCGTCTGCATCTGCTTCTGTGTCTTCGTCTTCTCTGTCGTCTCTGGCTGGTTCGGCTGTAGGTTGTTCGCACCCTGGCGCATCGGCTGGCTCCCGCACCGGCGTTGACAGGTCGGTGCGACCGGCGGAAGAGGTCAGCAGCGTCATCAAGCCATCCATTTTCCGTTCCAACTGGACCGCCTTAGACAAGGGCCGAGCCTTTCGGCGGCCCGGCAGGACACGGCACTCTTTATTCAATCGATGACATCTGGATCCAATTAGACTTGAAACCTCCATACAGCATGGTCCACACACCTTTCACAGCGGCCGCCACCACTGCGGGGCACGCAACGACATTTGGAGCGAGCACAGGTGGCGCAGGCTCTTCCGTACGGCAGAGGTGAACGCACGGGGGGTTCCATGACGGCGATGGCTGAGGGTCCAGTTGAGTTGAAGAAAATAAGATGAGGTGTACGGAGTACTCCGTACTAGGGGAGGAACAAAACAGGGAGTGGAAGCGGTATTCGACCAACGCCGGTCCCAAACATGTGACCATCTCCGTCCCCAATGTGCAGGCCGCTATTGGTGGCTAGATGTCCCGAAGGATGCTTACGACGACTGGAATAGGGACGGGCTAGCCCCGTCTTTCTTCTCGGATGGGTAAAGCGCAGGATTAATACGCCACGAGCGTATATTAAGAACGGTGGACGGACTAAGCAACGTAGCTCGCAGCACTATTTGTGTCGATGAAAGCCACATTGTGGGATGTACTTGGATGCAGCAACGGGCTTGTATGGGTACCCGCACCTAGGTCGGAGGACCTACATAGCAGGGCTGGCGTACATGGAAAGAAAGAAAAAGGGGGCAAATGCATCGACACAGTCTCATACAAAGCCCTGACACTGACATAGTTCCATGAGTTTCCATCTTCATCAACCAGTGTAGCAATCCATCCAACTACAGCTGTCATTTCGGATAATCACTCACCTACGGGATCAGCTACCAGCATAGTCGCCTTGGCCCACACCTTCGATATATCGTAGCATTCCCCGTGCTCATTCCCAAATGCTAACACCTGTGGCTGGACACACAAGAGGTTGGTATTGCCATCAAGCCGCTCATCGTCCTCATCAAGGCGGTGCAGTCGGTGGGCGGTCATTACTTCCGATGAAGACTGAAAAGTCCCTAGTTGGACGCAGTAACCATCCAACAACTTGATGACATCTTCCAATCCCTCATTTGGAATATGCTCAAGATCTATGATGCTTCCGACACTGTAGCTTCTTGCCTAGATGCGCAAGGCCTCTTGTAATTTGGTCAGCTCATCCCGCACCGTGCGATCTTCTATTGGAACCAAAGCGTCTCTCGCCATGGATCGCAAGGCACCTTCTTGGGCAGTTGCAACCACAGACTCCATCTCGCGACACTCTCTCTCATGGCATTGCACTTTGTCTTTCAGGCCAGTAATCACTTGTAGCATGTGATTAATATGGTTGTCTCGGTCCTCGATCTCCACCTGAAAATGGATTTCTGCTCAAAGAGCTCCCTTGCGCTCGCCTGGAGCGCGCTTTCAAGGACCTGTATCTTTTCTCTGTACACATATTCCATTTGCCCCTGAGCCAAGTTCATCCCTTCCACTACCTTCGGCCTGTGCTCTTGAATAATGTCAGAACCATCATCCGAATCAAGATAGTCCTCGTCATCAGCTTTGAGCGAATTCCTCGGACGTTTGTGTAGTCGGCACGGGATGGTTGACTCTGGCTGCGCGGACTGTTCGGTTGGATACCTTTGATACTGCGGCAATTAAAGTGCTTGAACTTGAAACAACATGAGGACGAGCATACTGAAGACCGAAGCCTACCGGAAATAGCATCAATCCACGCTGAACGCCTCAAAAGGGAGGCTCCATCCCGGGTCGAATCTTGCGTTGAGGGCGTACATCAAGGTGTTGATCGTCTCTTGCTACCAGTTTTAGCCAGGGTTTGCTCAGCCGTATGTTCCAGAAAGCATCTTCTTACCTTGTTCATTCTTGTCGGGTCAGGATCGGTCATTGTGCAGGCAAAAGCGATCTTATGGCCTCTCGTAAGATCTAGGTTCAATGGACCAGATACTGAGTGAGGTGTAGAGTGAAGCGAAACGTGAGATTCGATGGCGACAGAAAGGAAGAAATGAAGGTAAGTTGGTAAATGAGATTAGAGAGAAGGCCAGGCAGAAGGTGCCAAATGGGGGGTGAAGTGAAGGGGTGGGGAAGAATGCCTCAGGCCAAGTAGAACCAGAGAACGCTTTCCCCATCTACATCGGCTTCTATTGCCTCTCATCACCTATCATCATCTCCTGTCAACTCTCCAGACATTTGAGATCGGTCAAAATGTCTAGAAAGAGAAAGACTCCGCCCGAGTTTACTGAGTCGCCTTCCCCGCCTTTCACACACAGGATCATTGTCGGGGTTGACTACGGCACAACCTACACGGGTGTGTGGCTGCCACCAGAGTGACACTGCTGAGAGTTGCTAATACTCGGCCTTATAGGAGTCGGATACGCCAGCACCAAAGACAGTGGTATTAGCGATGTCATTATGATAAGTACCTGGCCTGGCCCTACGAGAGATAGCGAGACGGTGTTTAAAACCCCATCTCGTATTGCTTATGATGCAGAAAATCCTCGGGTTAGGGGCCAGCGATGGGGCTACCAGGTCGAGCCGGGCATGACTGCCTACTCCTGGACCAAACTTTTCCTGGATAAAAATACACCTCTCACCGAGTACGATGATGCAGCTCTGAACAAGGCCTCCGGGGTGGGAATGTTGATGCTACCCGAGGGAAGGACCGCTGTGGATGTCGTGGCAGACTACCTGGCCGAGATCTACAAGCACCTAATAAAGACGATCGCAAAGACGATATCCGAGGAAGCGCTAAGCGCTACGCCTATTGAGTTCTGGTTCACTGTTCCCGCTATTTGGTCAGACGAAGCCCAGGCTGCCACTCGTGAGGCTGCCGAGCGTGCTGTCTTTGGCAGCCCATCACGTCTCTGGAGAAGTACACACGGAACAGCGGCGAAGGATCAGTCAAGGTTAGTCCATTTCTTCTTCTTCTTCTTCTTCTTCTTATTTCCTTTGAGTCAATCGTTGACCGTCCCTCGCAGCCCGGGGATGATGTCTGAATCTGTGATTGCGGTGGCGGAACGGTGGTAAGCTTAATGGCACGTTTATGGATATGACGCTCATGCCATAGGATATCACAACCTATTTGGTCAACGAAATCGAGCCCGTGCTGGAATTTGAAGAGCTCTGTACAGGAACTGGTAGGGGCGCCACACTCCCTTGGAATATGTATTGGTTTACTGAATGGGTGTGCAATATTAGGTGGCAAATGTGGCTCGATTGCAATCGATCGCGAGTTTTACCGATTGATGCCTAAGCGGTTTGGCGATGCGTTCGATCTTCTCCCAATGAAACGCAAGGGACCTGGCAGCGATTTCATGAAGAAGTTCGAGATCATCAAACGGGACTTTGGATATTCTGATGACAACACCCTCTTTCGAACTTCCCCTCAATATGAAGGTTGAATCGCCCGACCCTTCGCACTTCGACGACGAGGAGCGCCTCGTTATCTTGTCCAGGTAGAAATGATCTTGACGGGTTAGGAGAAGAAGGATGCTAAAGCTTTGTTAGGGATGATCTGCAAAGAATGTTCGATGCAGTTACCGACCAGATCCTCAGTCTTGTTCGTCAGCAGATCACCGATGCACAGACGGAGACTGGAAGTCAAATCATCACTGTAAGACCCCGCCGCATGTCATTCCACAGTTCCTCCCTCGTCTTTTCGTGATAGTCCTTCTGCTAAACACGGCCAGCGAATAATTTTGGTTGGTGGTTTCGGCGACTCTGAGTATTTGCGAAAGGCTTTCCGGGACACGTTTGAGTTACAGGAAAAGATCATGATAACAGTTCCCGACAACCCGTGAGTATAGGCTCCGTCATGAGTGCGTGGCATGCTTTTCTCATGGTGAACTCTCTATAGACAGGCAGCTATCGTTCAAGGGGCTGTGCTGCGTGGTCTTGAAGGTCTTCGATCTGGCACAAGAAGATGCCGTCGCCATTACGGCTTTAGGTGAGTCACCCGTTTCGAACCCAGCATCGATAACGAGTCGGTTTCCTTCCATCACTTCTTTACTGGGGAGAAGTCAGTTAATATTATGCGTTGGATTATTGCCAAGGTTTGTTGCGACATGTTGAAATTCCTACCGGCAAAGCTTGATGACTGATTCGCTGGAAAGGGTGATAAATATTCAGAAGCGCATACCTGCACTGTCGACATGGTCTGTTACCCCGAAGACGGTCAGTCAAGAATGACCCTCTACTCGTGCGACCTACCGCATGCCCCTGAACGATTTAATTCGCAAGGTTTGCTCTCCCCACACTTGTGTTTGGCATTTGTCTGACCGGTGAATGCAGATATTCAATCTGTTGGGACGATCCAGATGGCATTCTCCAAGAGGGATTTGAAACATTTTGCATGGAAGATGAGAGGGGAAAGATTTCTCACCAGGCAGCATGCCGCCTTCAAGTGATCTTTGGCTCTTGAGAAGGGGTGCTCAAGTATGAGATCACTTGTCGTGACGAGATTGTTGGACAGGCGATTATCGACTTTCGCAGTCATGAGGCCCAGTGATTGATGGTCCTGAATTCGAACCGTGTACCACATTAGCCGGAATGACAGGCGAATGTACCTTTTAGCCAGAGGTTTGCATGCTATTACTAGCACTTACGGATGGAATCTGTAACACGTCAGCTGGATGCGATGAGATGGTCTGGAGAGCATTGGCCCACAGCGGGTATCCAACAGTCTGGGTGGAGTGGACATCGTGTCGGTGTCATCTGAGATAAGCAGCATCGTCGCTAGGCCTATGTACACAGTAGCGGAGCAGCCTATTACAGACTTCCTAGACCTAGATCCATCCAAAGCAGACTAATCCATCCTAGGAAGCCTTCTCGGCATGTATCCCTTAGATCCACCGAACATGAGCCACTCGCAGACGTACAGCAGGAACTAGGCAATTTAGTTTAATCCCTGTAGCGAACCGACCAATCCCTATCGACAGAAATAAGGTTGACCACGTGAGCTTACCACACCCGGGCGCCCAACATTATACTATCTCCACCACTACACCATGAGCATATAAAACGGGCACATTGGTCCCCCTACCCATCTACACCTCACCTCCGACACCCAACACCCCCAGCACATCCCACCAACTAACCGACACACACCATGGCCGAAATCCACCACGCCTCCACCACCCCCTACATCCCCCTCTCCCTCACCCACCGCGGCCCCGGCCTCTCCTTCAAACACCTCTTCCTCGGCCCCGAATCCACCCCCGAAAACTACCTCTTCAGTCTTGCCCACCAATCCATCTTCTACTCGCCCCGCCACAAACACAACTTCGATCAATTCCGCTTCGCGTATAAGAACTCCGTTTCTATTTCGCCCGATATTGTTCTCCAGGAGGGCGAGTTGTGTTATCATCCTGAGGGCGTGGAGTACGGACCGCAGGATGATCCGGAGGGGGGGAGAGAGGTGCTGGTGTTGCAGTTTGGGGGAGCCAGTGGGCAGGGATATTTGAGTTTTCGGGAGGTTGGGGTGGCGCAGGGGCGGTTGGGGGGGAGGGGGAGGTTTGAGGGGGGGAGGTTTTTTGAGAATGCGGTTGCGGATAAAGAGAATGGGGGGGAAGGGGAAGGGAAGGATGGGTATCAGGCGCTTTGGGAGGAGATGATGGGACGGGAGTTGGTGTATCCGGTTCCCCGGTATGGGGGGCCCGTGGTGGTCAAGCCGGAGGGGTTTCGGTGGGTCAAGGTTAAGGAGGGGGAAGGGGCGTGGAGGAAGTGTTTGGGGGTGTTTTCGGAGAGGGAGACGAGGGTTGAGATGGTGAAGTTGGATGAGGGGGGGAGGGTGCAGGTCGAGGCGAGGGATGCGATTCAGTTGTTTTTTGTCTTGAAGGGGGAGGGCGTTGTTGGGGGGGAGAGTGTGAGGCAGGAGTCGGCGGTCAGGTTGCAGCCTGGGGTTGGGGCCGAGTTTGCGTCGGAGACGGGGTTGGAGGTTTTGAGGTTTGTGTTGCCGATGTTGAGGTGAGATAGGGTGGTTTGAGTGGGTGATGTCGGAGGTGTATGTTTATTGGAAGACCTTGGGGAGCTAGGTTGGTTTGTTTGCTTTCGTTTTCTACGGCCTCGTGTTCGGATGATATCCACATGGTAGGTCAAATGTATTTTGCATAGCATCCTGGGGAACTGATATACATGGCTCGTCTTCATAAACATGTCTGGCGGGTTTGGCATCGGTGCAACATGAAATTATACTCCCGCCTCTGCTCGCATTTGCGCACTGTTGATAAATTCGCATCGCTCAAACAGCTTTTCCCACAACACAGCCTGCTGTGCCACCGTGGCATGCTTCGCATCCTTCGCATCCTTGCTGACTGTGACGGCGCCCGGTACCGGGCCGCCAAACACTTGGATCGATAGCCGACCGGGAGACTCCGACCACTCTTCACCAGCCCCCGAAAATGCAGCCGGCCATTCCTCACCAGGTTGTCCATCGTGCGCAAATCCAATCACTCTCCTACTTACCAATCGCGCCAACTCCATCTGTTCCGGTGAGTTGTCCGCCCCCCCTCCCAGGTTGTCATTGTTCATGACATAGGGAATATCGCTCAGATGCGCCACACGCCACATCGGAACCCCCATCATCTCAAAAGACGGTCCGTATCTTGTCGCATTATGCTCATACAACCACACTTTGGATGCATCTACCCCTCCCTTTTGAACATATTGCCACGTGAAGTCCAGGACCGGACAGGTAAACCAGATATCGCGATTCAGCTGCGCCGCACGGTAGTACTGCGGTGAGATGGGCCCGTTTCCGGCCATGTGTTCGAAATCTGCCGCAGGATACAGCTCCAGGAGCTTTTCGTTTGTCGAATCGGAGAGCTTGGATAACCATAGTCCAAAACTTCCCAGGACCTCTTCGTCAGTGGATGTGGGTGGCGCGGCGTACCAGGCTCCGTCATTGGTGACCCAGGATGCGATGATGGGGACGTTTTGAACAAACTTGCCGGCGCGCAGGAGCTCAGACGACCGCGCGGGGAGAATATCACCATCGATGGTGGGATAGAAGAATCCCTCACCGAACGGAGGACGGGCTGCACGTGATGCCGTCACGGAGATGTTGGTGAGGGTCTCAAAAGGGATGCGGCGGAGACATTCCAGGGTCTCCAGGGATTGTGCGTCGTTGGTGTCGCATCCGACTTCTTTCGCTACGTTGGCGGTGTTGTCCGCTACCAGTGCGGGATCGCTGTTGAAGTTGAGACCGGGGGCGCCGGACATCATGCTGCGAGGGTTAGTATCTTGTTTAAGGAAGGCTTATTTAACTAACATAGCTTGTTGGAAAGGAACCCCTTTGGTCCCACCAAAAGATGTCAGGTGCAGGCCGATATCGCTGGCTCCGACACTCTGACCGATGGCAGTCACTGTGGTCATTAGCTATCTGCCTGCTTCTCGCGTTAGGTGGTTGGTACCTCTGTTAGGATCACCCCCGAAAGCTTCGATGTTGTCGCGCACCCCTGCTCGGGTCGTTAGCTTTATCAAAACGTGTTGCAAGGCCGCATACATTCCAAAGCAGCCCGCTGGTCACGTAGACCGGCATTCGTCTGCTTGTTCTCGATCATGGCCTCGCTGGTCGCGAACCCAAAGTCTGCATGCTTGTCAGCAACATCTTTTCATAAAGGTCAGTGGCCCTTACATCCAAGTCGATAGTTGATCCCAACATAGATCAATGGCTGTCCGGCGACAACCGCCTCCTTCACCAACCCATCCGGGTTGTACAGAATTTCTGACGCTGATCCCAGCGCATGGCCACCTATGCAACATGTCAGAGCCTGCTATAAACCATAGCACAACACATACCTCCATGCAACCACACTACAACCGGGAGCCTTTCGTCCTTCAGCCCGGTCGGTCGAGCAATCCGCAAACTGAGACAGTTCTCGCTGATGTTGGACACTCTACTAGTAAAGGGCAAGATGTCCCCCGTTCCTTGAGGACACCACGCCCCTGGATGAGTGGCATCGATTACGGTCCCTTTCGGCGGCCGAACGGGGACGGGAGGCGCGAAGCGGCGGGCGCCAGTTGGCTCCTCCGCGTAGAAAATGTTCTGGAAGTGCTCGACCTCATTGGACAGACTACCAATATATTTGATGTCGCGACCAGTATCGTAAACTGCAGGTGGTGGCTGAAAAGCATCTGGTACAGTTAATCCAAGTTGGGCAGCCTTCTCCAACAAGATGTCGGTGAAGGGGACAAGGTACGTTGCGAGAAGGGCTACGGCCACGGTGATTGCGCCTATCACGAGGCCATTCTTGGGAATGGCCATGGCTGGCTCGGAGAGAAGCGGACTTGCAGGTCGGGACCGCCGATTGGAATGATTGAACCCGAGGGTCGTTGGATAAATCTCACGAAAGGTGCAAAGTCGCAAGAAATAGGCGGCGGCGATGCTGACAGCCTGAGAGCCTGAGAGCCTGGTAGCCTGACAGGGATGGCTCTCCTGCTGGGCCGCTCCGATTGGTGTATCCCGAGCCGGCACAGCCGCGCCGATGCTACCTCAGTCCTCATCATCTTCCCCTCTTTCCCCACCGGCGACTCGCCGATCGCTCCAACTCATCCTGGATTCTTAGTCTATCTAGTGCTGGTACGTGTGTCTCCGCTTCTGCACTGGAATACGAGTTGACCCACTGGCTTTATCTGGCCTTCCATTCAAGTTACTCAAACGTATTGCTTATTCTCGTGCGAACGACAATCCCGCTTTGCGTCTGCAACGGCCCTTCCACGTCGATCTCTTCTTCTGCCGGCTCGCGACTGGCTATCGTCGTCCGGTAGGCTCCCATCTCATACGAGGATGACTTGTCCGCAAAGTAGGGGTTGTCTGACCGATCAGTCAGATACTCTTTCGACCCCTTTCCCCGTCGATGAGATAGGTTGCTACTTCCCTTGCTTCCCAGGCGGACGACGATACAGTCCCGGAATTTGCTCACCACCGGCGCACACACTGGCATACTGCACACCAGCATCCCCACGTTGACTTCGATCGCCGACCACAGGATAAACAGCGTGAAGTCCGCAATGAAATCCGGGTTGTCCTCCTTGTCGTACGACGTCACGAGGTAGATGTACATCCGCGCGATCCCCGCTCCGATCGTGCTAGATTTCCAGTTAGACTTCGCGCAACCATCGGCTTCGGGTGGGAGACGCACAATAAACCCATCATGAACAGACCTGTCAAGCCAAGCTTCTTGGCTGTGGGGAGATGCAGCTGCCAGACGATCGGCACCGGCATGGTAATAATAATCACATCCGTAACGATGTCCGTCACCGTGAAGACCGTGAGCATGTTCAAGGTGTTGGTGCACTGCGTGAGGAAGAACGTAATCGGCGCCCAGTTCCATGCCCACTGAGTATAACATTGAAAGAGAGTGGCAAAGAAGAAAGCGATCATCCAGGCCGTCACCACCCCAATCATGATCCAACAGGAGACTTGGAACCAGCGGATAGGGCTGATCATACGCTTCCAAAGGAACAGGATGGAAAGCTTGATCAGCCCAAAGGCGATCTTCTCGGTAGTCTGGAAAGCATATTTGTACTTCTGAGCCAAATGCTCCAAGGGACTTGTGACAGGCCAGTCATCAACGACCTGGGAATGACCCGTAATAGCCCCTTGGACAGTGCCTGCCAGGAATACGCCGTTGAGCCCGAGGACAAAGACCTATGCTTGTTGGCATCAATGAGATGCAGGACTGTGATCAGACTGGGGATACTTACGACTGCAACGATTGCGAGCCAATCGTCGGTACCATAGCGCATCCTTCGGAGTCTCCTCGCGTATATTCTCGATGCGACAACCACTAACTGAATCACACAGAACAGTGATGCCATAACGATCAGGCCAGTCCGGTCATTGACCAGAGCCAATTTGCGGTGGTAAGCCATATGGCCTACCGGGTTGCGGGGCCCGGCTACAAGCCACGCAGATGTTCCAGTCCACAGGCGTTCAGTAGTGCAGTTCTGGGTGCCAGAACATCAGATCCTGCGCTGGGTGAATTGCTTCGTGCAGGAGATGAAATATCATGGAGCCCGGCAGTGTTCAGGAGCAACGAAGAACTACATCACTTGTCTGGCCACGGTTGCTATCAGTAGGCGCAAGCCGACCTTGTGCACGTGGATGGGTTGTCAGTCTATAATTTAATTAGACCAGTATTACCTGCCGTCTCAGGGGCAGTGATTTGTCTGTTCAGCGATGCCTAGGCGTCCGGGATCAACCTCAGCCACGGCCGATGGCAGGCTAATTTCCTCGGCCGTCAGACGACATTCCCCGTGTTTCGCCCCCAAGGAAACATGCATCACCCTGCGTCAGCACTACTGCACGGGCTGCGGATTCTGGATTGGCAGGAGGTAGATGATACGGTTCGCGTGCAGATTATCTTCCTCCGGCGGGCTCACTGGAAACTCCCGTGAATTTCACCTTGCTTTTTTTTGTTGTTGTTGTTGTTGTTGAACAAACAAGCGACAGCTTACCTTATACCCGCGGCTTAATTGGAGGCTCTCATGGCGTGTCTCACCTGGAGTGGTCTTCAGCTGAGGGGCGTCGGCGTTATGCGGTCGCTCGTGTCAATCACAGAACTTAAATCTCACCTGCATAATCCGGCTTGACACGGGAAAGCCCGGGCGTGGCATCTCGGCCCTCCTCCGTCATTCCCACGAATCAGCGCGAAGTGGGCCCGGCTGGATGATGTTGCCTGATGTGATCGCGCTAGTTGGCTAGTCTGCACTCTGCACAGACTAGAGGTGGTCCTGATGGCAGTTGGCACACCTGGCCCGTCCCGCTTCTTCGATGTAACCCCAACAAGGCTGATCCTGTCAAGCTCAGTCCTTCCTCGAGAAAGCACGTACCATTTATCATAGCCTTTTTGACCTTTCATGCTGGCCAGCAATCAACCCCAGCTGGCCGCCATGGGTAATTCCTCGGAGAACGAGGAGAGCGCCGGGCTTCTCGAGGCTCAGGATTATTCCGACCACGATCATGGGATCGCAGCCCCAGAGAGACAGCCAGCAACCTCCAAATACCAACCATCCTTATGCGGAGTCCTCCTCATTGTTTCGATCGCCGTTAATCTCCTAACATTGTTGATCCTCCTCCCGAGCCGAGTGCCAACTCCCATTGCTGATGGCCCTTCCAAGTTTGCCGGGCTTGAGAGAACCCGCGAGGAGCCCTATGTGTTGGTAACAAAGTATGCATCGGAGAACGACACACTCCGCAATCAACTGTGGTACGATATCAACATTGACGATGGGATGGTGGCTCTTTCCGACGAATGGGCAGCGCAACACGATCTTCGTACCGCACAGCGGTTTCCCTGGGATCAAAGCAAGGGCATCTACCTTCTCCAGGGCTTTCACAACCTCCATTGTATGAAGATCATCTATATCTCTATGAACGAGTATCGGACCGGAGTACCCCAGACGCGGTCCTGGCACCACATCTCGCATTGTATGGACGCGCTACGCCGACAGATCCTGTGCGATGCCGACGATACCCCGCGAGCCACTGAGAGACGCGCAGAGGTGGTAACTGGAGTCGGCCAGCATCGAATGTGTCGCAACTGGGACGAGCTGGTGGATTTTGCCAAACAGCACACGGCGTGCTACAGACGACCGGAACCGCCAGATGATAGTCCAACTGTGGATAAGTTCAAACACTGCCCCCCAGGAAGCGGATATGTGGTGACAGACGACTATGTACCGACAGATGAGTTCGTCGTGGGGTTGCCGGAGGAGTCTATCGAGTTAGAGTGATGCCCTTGTGGCTTTACTCTTGGATTCGCAGTTGCACTCTTCGTTCAATTTGGTAGAATTAACATAGCTAGCTATGAGATGATGAAATTTTGGTTTTTGCTCCGATCATCTAGTGTCTCAGACAGCACGTCAATCCGACCCGCCCTACGGTGACGTGAAAAGCTACGCCAAAAGACAACCTTGTGTTTATGTCCAGAAATACTCCGGAGAACATGACATTCATTGATCTACTATCATCAAAGCATTAAAGAGAGGACCCCCGCCGATAACCCAGACACATGACCCTTCAAAGTTCTATCTTTCCGAACTAAGACAGTTGCTCGCTCCGTCTGGACCGCAGCTTAGAAACCATCGGCAACATCGACGCTGGCTGCGCTGTCCTCCTCGCGGCGGACCTTCTTGAATCCATCTGCAAGCTCAACCTTGGCTGCAGACTCTTCTTCACGGCGGACCTTAAAGCCGTCCGCCAGCTCAACCTTGGGAGCAGACTCTTCTTCACGGCGGACTTTCTTGAAGCCGTCCGCCAGCTCAACCTTGGGTGTAGAGTCTTCCTCGCGGCGGACCTTGAATCCATCCGCAAGCTCAACCTTGGCTGCAGACTCTTCTTCACGGCGGACCTTAAAGCCGTCCGCCAGCTCAACCTTGGGAGCAGACGCTTCTTCACGGCGGATCTTGAAGCCGTCCGCAAGTTCAACCTTGGCTGCAGAGTCTTCTTCACGGCGGACCTTGAAGCCGTCCGCGAGGTCAACCTTGGCTGCAGACTCTTCTTCACGGCGGACCTTGAAGCCATCCGCAAGGTCAACCTTGGGTGTAGAGTCTTCCTCACGGCGGACCTTGAAGCCATCCGCAAGTTCAACCTTGGGTGTAGAGTCTTCCTCGCGGCGGATCTTGAAGCCGTCAGCGAGCTCGACCTTGGCAGGCTCCTTCGTGCCGCGTCTAATCTTAAAGCCGTCGGCGATGTTTACTGTTTCGACGGACTCGGTACCTTCACATCAATATCAGCCAATGCCCTGGCAAAGAAAAAGAAGGACTCACCGTCAGCAGGCGCGGGAGCAGCCATGGCCGCAACCCCGAGGAGGGTAGTCAAGAGGAAAGAGGCGCGCATGGTGGCAATCGGTTGGTGGCTGGCACGTAGATTGGTTGTGTCCACTTGGGGTGTTCAGAGCCGTTCTTCTGAGGGGTTTTAAGCAGGAGAAAGCGCTACTCCGCCCCCTCACAGCACTCAGCCGCACTGGATTCCCCTCACCAGCGGGTCATCCAGTCTACTCCTCTGTCAGCCAGGTGATAGCCCTCGCAGATAGACTGCATGAGCTGTTTAGCGACCATGTGGGGCAGGTGCCATCCGATTGCGAGTGAGTCTGGCATGATCCTCCCAACACGAGGTGAACTCACGTACCACAGGCATGTTTGGACGCCATGTTGTATGTACGTACGTCTGACCCGCAATGTCACCCACCATCGGCATGTGGCGGGCTGTGAACTGTAGCAACGTGATAGCGCTACTGCAGCTATGGTGGCATACTGGCCGCCAGGCGGTTAGCAGGGCAGATTCCCAGCACGATATGTGACACTGCGACATTCGTCCCGGATAAGGTTTAACGTCCACAGCCAATCATAAGATTGATGGTCTCGGCGGCCGACAGACGAGCTGCGATCAAGGCTGCACAGTCCACCCCGACAGCCGTGGTCCGAGCTAGCGCCCGGCCATCATTCCCGCAAGGGAAAGGATGAGCGGTCGATCAAGGATTCCAGCCGGTTCTCCCCTCACCTTCATGCACGCAGCCGACTCGGCCCCCAAAAGACAACTCAATTAATCTCCAGGGTACCACACCCCTCGGTACGACATTGAGCCTCTTGATTCCGTCAATCCGAAGTCCGGCAAATTGTCGGGTTGACCAGTCCGTCCGACTCTCTTCATCCTTGCAGGGTACTGAGGCTGGCCAGGCTACCACCCAAAACCGCGTGCCGTGGCATACATCCCCCATCATCCATCATGATCCCCGCCTATGCCCATCATGTTTCTCACTTCCAAAAATGAGGAACAAGGGAAGTACGAACCCTTGGCTCCCCAGCCAGACACCGAACACAATGGCCATACTGCCCGCCAGACCCGTCCAACCGGACCATGGTTCATCCTCAGTGTGACTCTGGCGCTCCTCGCAGCCTTCATGGCCGGCGCATCCACCACCTACTTCACCATCAGGAGCAGAGACCACCAACACATCCTAAATAACGTCGCTCCGCGAATCCCCATTCCTTCCATTGCACGAGAATTCGTCCCTTGGTCGAACTTCTCCAATGAGCCTCCACAGTCGGGCGACATTCCCGAACCTATCTGGGACTCTTTAATCCCCAGTCCGTCATCCCTCCCCTTCTTCCCCCAGGGGACCCTCCAAGCACCCATCCCCAACTAACAACCCAACCCAGACGGCCTCGGCTACTTCCAAGACTCCTCCCTCACCACCCAACCCTCCATTCCAACTGTCTTCCACCAACTCCACTGCCTCTACATCCTCCGACGCGCCTACTACGCCCTCTCCAACAATAACGACAACGACGACCTCCAACGCTTCGACTTTGGCAAAAACCGCTCCATCCACGTCCCTCACTGCTTCGACTACCTCCAGCAGGGACTCACCTGCTCCGCAGATACCACCGTCGAGCCGGCGGTCGACGAAGAGAACGGGTTCCTGGGGAGTGGGTTTCCGAGACAGTGTGTGGATTTTGAGGCGCTGAAGGGGTATGTGGAGGAGAGGAGGATTTTTAACGCGAGTGGGTTTTTGGCGGTGGGGTATCATCATCATGAGCATCATTCGGATGAGTAGTTCACTTATTTTATGTGTGTGAGGGTTGGATATGAGTAACGGCAATGGGAAAGAAAGAGATAGCTGAGAGCATGACTAGCATCGCTGACTTGACCCTTTGAAATATTGTACATAGTCGGTTTGAGGGTATGGATACGTCTCATCCAAGATGGTTTATCCCTCATAGATACACGGATTTACTGGCTTGGCTATAAGATGACTGTAGCTGAGCGATGGTCGGACTGGTTGCTTGTCCGGGCGCAAGCTTGTTTCTAGGATATTGAGGCTCCGTCGGGTTGGAGGACTGACCACTCTTATTATTTTTTATTCGGCGCGGAGGCCGGGTAGACATGGGGTGGGGGTGTAGAGAATCGTAAGGTGGATAGATGCTCGTTAACCCGATCCATGGCATTATTGTTCGTGAAACGAGCCCATAATGCTCGATAATAGTACCTAATTTTATATTTGATTCTCCCGCCCCGTCTCTCTCACTTCGACATCCGGATTCATCCCCTTCTCCACCCGCACTTTCTCCCCCTCTGACTCCCACTCCGACTCCGACTCCGAACTCTCCATATCATGATTCTTCACGACAATCCACGTCGGCACCACACACAACCCTAACAAGATCGTATTCACTGCCATCGGCACCCGTCCCCCAAACCACTCCTTCGTATTCAACCCATACGACACCGCCTCCCCGAAACTCTCCTGTCCACGCAGAATACCAGTAAGGCGGGTCAACTCGGCAATATTCTCCGTCATGGATCCCACGAGATAGTATAACCAGTTCTGAGCGGTCTGTTGAGCGAAACTCCACATGAAGAGGACGAATGCGCCCTTCACAAAGCCAGGGGTTGTGTAGTCCATGACCGGTGGGTCACCGGAGGAGGTGTATTGTTCTTGGACGACCCAGGCGAGGATCCAGGCGACGACGTGGACGAGGATGACGTAATACCAGCCGTAGGTGAGGCGGGTTTTGGCGGGGATGCGTTTGTAGTCGAGCCAGTGGGAGATGAGTTGGGAGGCGAGGATAGTGACCCAGTCCGAGAGGAAGGCGATGAGGGCGCGAGCGCGGACCCCGAAGTAGTAGGTTTCGAAGTTACCCGAGTATTCGTTGAAATAGACGGCCCAGAAGATGGGGAGAAGGAGGATCACGGTACGGTTTTTGCAGGTTTGCCAGAGAGCTTTGAATTCAGCAGTCCAGGTGGGTTCCACGCGGATGTGGACGCGGGAACCGTCGGCGCGTTGCACTTTGTCCGGGGGTGTGAGGAGCAGGGCGACCGGAACGGCGAGGCATTGAAGAACGATGAACACGATGTATGTGCTGTAGCCGACGCTGCCGGCGTTTTTGTTTTTGATGTTGAGGGCGAGGACGATTGAGTTGCCGATGATGGGACCGAGGGTGCGCCACCATACCCAGATGTTGAGGTAGCGGGCGCGTTTGGACGGTTCTGGATATCCGATTGCAATGGCGCCTTCACTGGCCCAGAAGAGACCGGCGGAGATACCGCATGCGACGGCGCCGACGAGCACCAGCCAGACGTTGCCGAAGCGGTCGTTGGTGTATAGGCCTGCCGCGTAGACGGGGTAGCCGGCCGCGCCAAGCAGGAGGGTCCATTTCAGGCCGATGCGGTTGGCGATGGGCGCGCCGAAGATGCAGAAGAAGCCCATAAGACCAAAGACGAGGGCGTTGGCGGCGTTGACGAGGTAGGGCTTCTCCTCGCCACCCGCGCCGAGGGAGTTCATGGCGTTCCAGAGGCCGGGGGCCAGGAAGCCAACTACACCGATCACGCAGGCATTGAAGAGGGAGGTGCGATACCAGACGCGTTTGAGAGGCGGGTTCGAACCGCTCTCAATCTCAGGAATTGCCATGTTGCTGCGTTGGTACTTCAGCCGGCGAAGTGCGCGGGTGCCAGAGCGAGATGGTGGTTTGGAAAGGCGAAGCAAGGAGGCTTCGCGAACATTATAAGCGACCTCAGATCAGCCATTTCGTGGTGCGAAAATTTCCTTCCCTTGAGGCGAGGATAACCTGATTCAATGGCGCTATATTAGGTCATAGAAATATCGTGATGGATGAACGTGTGCAAAAGAAGGATGGTGGGCGGAATACTCCGCTGGCGATGAGTCGAAATGCCGTTGTCGCAAGAGCGACAGCCGATGACGAGATTCGAGCTAGCCCCAAGCGCCAATGAAGGGCCCCGTACCCTTCGATGGGCTTGCGGGTTAGTCATTTTGTGATCAATGATATCGAAGACTGCCAATTGCGACTTATCGCAAAGATCGACGTGATCTGAGAAATTGTGGAAAGCTGCCAAGCCACGTGCCACCCCGATGATCTTGTGTCAGGAACCGGGAGTCACCGTCTCAGGCCCGATGCAGGCCCGTGGCACCGGGCGGGAACCGCCGTGAAGAGAGTGTGGCGCAGGTAGGCGGGAGTGGCGCATGGATATGGCAGTGCAGAGTAGAACATGACCATGCAGCATTGCAATCTGTCTCGATAACCCAACTCCGGTCTCTCGGTCGGCAAGAACAAGGACTCCAGCATCCGTGGTCATGAAAGCATCGTCTCCCCGGGTCTCACGCGCTCGATAAAAGGAGGTCTCTATTGGATGCCAATAGTTAGCATCATATGCAAAGAAGCAAGACAAGGGATGTTCTGTCCCTGTATCCCTCCTTGACTCACTGATCAACGAGCTGGCACCATCATCGTCACTGAAACAAGGAGGCTGTATCTCACATCGTTTTAATCCCAACTCCATCATGCGAATCTCCCTCACCCACACCTGGCTTGGGCACGCATGCAGGAAGCAGCCATAGTGTATGCATTGTAATGGTGTCGGCACCGAAGTGCAGTGTCCTCCTAGGCTTTGGCAACAGAACGTGGAGGTGACTTGAAGAGAGACGACGCTTTCTTCTCTCATCGCAGTTGCCCGGGACAGCCGAGTGCAAACATGGCAAACCCCAGGAAGAACAACGCCCGCCGATAAGCGATAAGACAACCAGCCAAGGCGCTGGTTGAACCTCGTCTACGTTGAACAGAGTTACAAATCGCCCAAAAAAACGTCAAAGAGGAGCTTTCCTTCTAACTGAGTCTCAATATCTCTTGGTTCCTTTCGCTATTTTTAACTAACTGGATTGATGGGATATCCTCCGCAGCAAGGTGACCCAGTAACCTACGTAGGTTTTTAAGATAATGGGTATCACTTTGAAAGACCCTCTATAGGCGGCTAGCGTGAACGCATCGCCAAAGTAGCCCTCGGTCGACATCAGATCCATCCGGCGTTCGGTCAGAAGCCGCATCAGGGAGGAATCGTCGTGGTACGCCGCCGCATATACCAGATCTCCCAGCAATTCGTGCCGTACATCCCGAAGCGAATTACCAGCCAGGGACCAGAGCTCCACGGTATCCACAAGTCGTAGCCACGCGGCCATCACAACGGGGAAAGAAGTATTGTCGGTCTTCGCCCAGGCATATGGCTGCTTGAGGTAGCCGAGAGCCCATTCGGGACCCTTCTATGTGGTGAGAGCAAACGCCGCAGCTTCAGCGTACTCCTCTCGGCTGCAGTGTCTTGTAGGTCTTGTAAATTGCATGGGGTCCATGTAGATCTGCACAAAATTCATCGCCTCCGTGACGAGATGGCCGAAGGTTCGATCCCTGCACAGCTGCTGATGCACCTGCCACGCGACAGAATTGATCTCCAGGGGCTCGGTGACGCTATCCCAACCTCCATAGAGATATTTGTGAATACACTCGTTGGTTGCCCCTAGGTCGCGTTAGGACGGTCCCTAGCGATGAACACGGAAGGCTTACTGCAGACTAGTCGGAGTTTGAGAACCTCTCGCTTGGGTAAGACATCGAGTAACAATGGAAGTGTTCGGGAGAGACGGGCGAAGTGAGACATCCTCTCTTCTGATTAACAGAGTCAAGTAAGTATATGCTCGATGGGAGCAAGAGCATAACAGTATTGATGATTACCACGATGTTGGGGATCGGTCGAGGGGCAAGGTATTATCTCCACGGGACTTAGCGGGGAAGGCTCCATCCCGCTGGGTTCTTGCCCAGCTTCATCCTCAGAATACGAGGACACTCAACTTTAGTGGTGCTTCGGCCATCGGCGCTTTAGATGCTATAGTCTCACTTTCAAGGGTTCACCCCTATGCAATATGCGTGGACAGTCGAATTCCCTCTTGAGATACAAACCCGCTAGCCGTCGAAATTCTCATGTCTTTCAGCAGAACATCACCATGGCAATAATTATCCAAGTCTTTTTAAGAGGCAAATCACCATTGGAACATCGTCCATCATTGACTTCATATACGCCTCACCTAACATGTTTACAGATTGACATCAGTGTCAACCAGTCAGTTCAGTCAAGCCCAATACCCAAAATACCTCATCTCGAATCATCTCCGGAGCCACATAATGCACATTATGCGTCTGAGCCTTGCCCTGAGCACGGATAAATCGACTTTGGCTCGATAATCCCAGATGAGCCCGCTGACCGTTCTCATCAACCTGCTCCATATCCTCCAAACGCGCAGCAAGGTTATCTCTTGCCTCAGGCGTTCCACAGCCATGCGCGATCCCGAACTCGAGAATCTTGCCGAAATCGGCCGATCGGTTGCCGAAGATTACACTCAGCCGCCCATCACCGAGGGCCTGAAAATCAACCGGCATTTCAGTGTTGACTCGAGCCATACTCTCTAATACTAGTGGTTCTTCGATTCTGAACGTGGGCGCATTTCGAGTCTCGTCCTCTTCAACAGTCGCATACTCGGCCGGCGAGTATCTGTGGTTTGCATTCAGACCGACAATCGCATTGAATGAAGAGTCACCCATCAAGGTAAACCAGCCACGTGGCAAGGGATTGGGTACTCTCCAGGAATCGACAATCACCATCCCCACTACCTTCTCCTTGGTGTGAACGCGCAGAAACTCCCGTATGAGGACACCACCATACGAGTGGCCGACTAGCACATAAGGGGGTCTAATCCCAGCCACCTCCAGTAACTGCGACAGCTCAGACACTCGATTGTGGGCTGTAGGTGCAAGGGGAGAATTCTCGCTTTGTCCGTATCCAGCCCGATCGTAGGAGTACACTCGAGCGCGTTCAGCAATCAGGCGCTGAACAACGACCCATTCGCTGTGGCAGCTGCCAAGGCCGGCCTCGATGATAACGGCGGGTTGCAAGGATCCATTGATGGCTTGTCTTTCTGGGCCGGAGCCGGAGAGGAACATGCGATGGCCTGCGATCGAAATGTGGCCAGAGTGAGTGCCGGACAGCCAAGAAGACGACGACATGGTGAAGGGTTTATTGACAATCTTGCCCCTGGCCGGAGGGGTCATGGGGATTTTGAGGCTTTTGAAAGCTGGCAGGATTGCGTACACCAAGCGAGGGGGCCAATGAGAACTGGAGGTCCGATAACGAGTTTGACTCTGATTGGGTCCATGAGGAATCACTCTGACCATCGAAGCCACAAGGCCCTAGTGCTAAAGTTGACCCTATCTATTCTGTTTTGCCCACTGGCGACCAGTGTAGCCCCAGCCCAACCTCTTCTCATGATAGATCCGTATACGATGTTACGCATAAAGGAGTGTCACTTGATTCCCTCAAGTCCCTAGGGTAATAGAGTTCCTAGCTACGATCGTTCGTTAAAGCCGAAGAAAGTAACGATATGGATGACTTTGTCACACTTGAGGAATGCAACTCATCTAGTGAGGTGCAGCAATCAATCGTGATCGATGCTGGGTGGCTGGCCGATGACCCCAACACCGAGCGAGAAGCGGTACTGGCGGTCTTCAGACAAAATCCTGGATTCATTCCCAACTATTTCAGCTGAGACTCATGTGTTTTACCCCATGCCTACATCGTGGCGTTGACGAAACCAAGTCGACGGAGTACCACCCTGCCTATATCTATGCCGAAGAGAAGCCCCTCCGCGTTGGTGAGATTGTATCAGCTGATATTGAGATCTGGCCGTACAGCTGGTGCTTTGAGACGGGTGATATTCACCTCACAGTGTCAAGTTGTAACCGTCACCCGCAAATTTGTCCCATTGATCCACGGCCCATGTTGCAACAAAGGGAGGTATACTGGCGGTGCCTTGGCATCTTTCCTGCTGCTGCCGCTGGTGTCTTCAGATAATGTGCTTCAGGTGCCCCTTTGCGGGGCTCGAGAGGTGCTTGGATTATGATTTTAGAACCTATCGTGTAAATATGAACAAGCTATCAGCAATGGCACTTTCGACGCTCAGGGATCGCACTTGCTCGATACGAACTGATTCAAGGGGTTTGATGCATTTAGATCTAAGCTTTCGGACTTGATCAAGGTATTAGGGAGCAAGAAGTAGATTGATTGGCCGAGGATCATTCTAGCGGCTCTTGAGATGGAAGAAGGGTGAAGCTGTCAAACATGGGAGACAACACAAACAAAGGATCATGTGACCCGCCTGCCTGCACAGAAGGACTTTCACTCACTGAGCTCTCTGGCAACCAGCTAGTCACTGTGGTGGTTATGTACCATCACAGGAGTAAGGTTTTGGTCAAACTACCACCTACGTGCATATAATGAGCTCGGAGAGCACTACTAATTACCCACCTCTCCTGCAGCTGTACTACCTCCAGCGACCATTTGGACACAGATCGTATTTGTAGGTCTTCCAACTTTGGCCGTTGGCGCTAATAGGTGACGAAAGTGACTTTCTCGTGTGCGAATGAATTGATGTTCCGTTGTCTGTAGACACGACACGGAAGTGGTGGGATATGGAAATATATATCTAGCAGTTCCCCCCAGGAACCGCCAACGAACTAAAAACATGATCCTACTAGTATTACTACTCCACCTGAGTGCATTAAATCCTCTGATCAAAACCCAGAATATATCCAGCGACTAGTTATATGCAAGACAACCCTCTCTCTTCCACGCTGTACAACCCGGGCAACATCACCCTCTCTAGCTTGGGTTCTGTCCGACCGGGTTCAACCCCATCCCGCACCAGCACCCACTGCGGGTACGGCCCCACCGAACTTGAACCCACACCGCCTGCCCAACTGGTATTATTGAGAAGCGGAAAGTATCTCTGTATGTAGCATCGAGTTCTTCGGTTGGCCAGTACGGAGTATTCAGGCGATACATGTACGTACCGCATTGAAGGTTTTCCTCGGCAAGTCCCAGCTGAACAGGGCAAGTTAGCATACATGGGTCACATGAGTCCCATCTCAGCTGGCAAGCTTGACTAGTGAGCTGTCTACTAGCTTGTTCTGTGACAGAAAATAAGTGCTAACAACAATAGATAACCATCCAAGCGAAGATTTCTAGCACAAGATGTACTACTATATCTGTGATGTTTGTGTTTTTGCGCTACAAGATCGATCTAGGATCAATGTGGATAAGCAATATATTCTGGCTTTATATTCTTACATAGCAGAGAGAAGAAAGGCCAGGGAAATCCTCAACGGAACCTAAAACTGATGCGGCGTCTCATCCACCCGGTAAACCAGCTTCTGCCCTCGCACTTGGTTCTCGCGCAATAGGTCCAGGCCATTCAACGTCCCCTTCAGCCCATACGGTTGCTTGGACACCGGATGCGTCTTGATCTTGCCTTGGTGCAACAGCTCTTGGAATATCGACTTCCACATATAGTGGTGCTTCACATCGTTGGGTTTCGCTGGTACCTTCTGAGGCCCCATCGTGTAGGCATCTCCCGCGACAGTGTACGCCATCGAGACCGTCGACCGGACATCTCGACGAGGAGACCGGAGCTCCTGCAGCGTGTGATAGCGCCCCCCAGCCTTGCTGGTCAACGCTTCCGCGCAGAACTGGGCCGAGACCGCCATGGCGACGGTGTCAAAGCACAGCTTCAACCCATCCCGAGTATACTTGCGAATTTCCGCCGCCGCGTTGGGCTTGGTATAGTCAAAGACCACATCCGCCCCGAGTTCCTTGACGAAGTCGAAATTGCTCGCCGAGCACGTCGTGATAACCTCCATCCCCGACAACTTGGCGCATTGAATAGCCAAGGTGCCGGTCGCGGTGGAACCGCCATAGATCAAGATCGTCTTGGGAGTACTGGGGCCTCGCGGCTTTCCCGGCATTGGGAGCCCAAGGTTCTGATACAGACTCTGACCAACGGTAGCGTATCCAACCCCAACCGTGCACGCGTCCTCCCAACTCATCCCTTCCGGAACCTTTAACAGTCCGTTCGGCTTGGTTAGGATGTACTCGCAAAAAGAGCCGTCGTCGGGCTCGACTGCGTTGCATCCGTGCGATATGCCCAGCACTCGATCACCCACTTGGAACTCGGTCATTTTGCGACCGACCGCTTCGACCACGCCGGCAAAATCACAGCCCACGGTACATCCATTGCTTGGAACAAAGTCGATGTGCTTCCAGTCTGTCGGGTTGAGGGCCACTGCGTGCATCTCGTCAGCACTACTCGTTCCGGTTGTCAGGATACCTACCCGTTACAGTTTTGACGAGTATGTACTCATCGCGCAGTCTAGGAATCGGTCGATCAGTCACGAAGCCGGCTTTGTTGGGGCCTTGCGTGACAACAGCCGTTTGAGTGCGCAATCTTGCAACCATGGTGTTGATGAGGACGCCACAGGATGAAGGGGATAGGCTGGAGAAGTCACCATCCCCGGGACCAACCAACCGGCCCGAGCTTTAATTATAATACTTTGGCGTTGGTTCCGATTCCATGTCGCACACGGGCCCAGGCGAAGTGGCGGGACTAGGGATGGGTGAAGATCCACTCCCGATTCAGCCCGTGTGATAGACTCCGGACTCCGGTCGATCGGCGGGAGCCCATGACAGCCCCAAGATCGGCGGTAGCTCGGCGGCAGCTACTATTGAATTTGGCGGCGTGGGTCTATTGCGCCATGTCAGAAAAACCTTTCCTGTCGTACGGCAGATCGATGGTCTTTTTATGTTCTCTCGGTTGCAGGTGCTGCAATTACGAATGGACGGCGACTAAAACCCATCCCCGATGTCAACCTCGTCTGTCTGATTCGCGCCATTGCAACCAACCAACCAATCAATCAGAATAAAAGGACAACAATTTCCATGTATGCGTCCGTGGTCGATTGAGTGTACACCAATGGCGCCGATCATGAAGAAGGAGTGGCATCGGTCGACCGGAAGATATGTCCAAGACAATGTTAACGTTGTTGTCCAGCACGCTATCATGTGCGGAATCAATAATCATGGCACGTAGAAGGTACTGTCAGATGCGTGCTTTAGTAATATTCTGTGGATCAACAGCCTTTCCCCCCAAAAGAGAGAAGAAGAGAGAGATGGAAAGAAGTTAACGGGTTCTCATTGCCATGGACGTATCTGGGCCCAGAATGATGATACCGAGAGAAGAGGAAGCTGACAGCCATCCCTCACTAAAACGGAATTGTCTTTTCTGCAAGCATAGGTGACAGATTACTGCAGGAGGCCGAAAGTCCCGGGTCCAGATGCATGGTAAGTATCCTCATGGTCCCAAGCAACCAGAACCATACATGTACGTCTGCACTCTGCAGGTATCGATAATCCGGGCTGCAGCTGAACGTCCCCAACCACAGCCGTCATTGTGTCATTTTGATCAATTATTGTTTCTTGATATATGAGGGATCTATTGCATCTGTCACATCGACAGTAACCGGTTATCCAATAAATGCGGGATTGGTCGAATCTATCACACTGGTAGTAGCCAGTCCTTGGTACCAATGTTACGGGTCACGCTTTGGATTCCTTTCTCAGCCTATACGGGATATTATCGAGTGCGTATGATGGAGCTGTGCTTCTTACCTGTGGCTTGCGCAGTCGCTGGCTGCAGCTTATTAAACTCTGTCATTAGACAAGTAAAGAGCATTTCAACAATACCGAGAAGGACTCTGTTCAGGCAACCTAACCCTTCGCCATTGACCAATCAGGACCCACCCAGCAATAAGCGCAACACCAGAAAATAGTAATAGGTACAATTGTCTGATCAATGTTATTGTTAGATGTGGACAATACCACGCGTTACCAAGTCAGGACAGACCCTCTCAATCGGGTTAATGCGGATCCACCGCCCATTCTGCTTAGTCATGGCTCATGTGGCTGTGCAGCGTTCAGCTCCTCGTCGGCTCCCCGAACTCAAGCATTTCCTGCATCTTCCTTCCGATTTGCAAGAAGGATTTACTCCGTACTCCGGCGATTTCAGCCGGTCTTACTGCCAACTTTCTTTCTTACCAGGCCGAAATGTTACCCAAGCCGGTTTCACAGGCTTGGTCGGAGGAAGATATTCTGGCTACTGTGTCATAACCCCCCCGGGGAGGTCGGGGGAGGGGACCGCACGATTTTGCGTCTGCAGAAGGAACCATATTCCATAGCTGCAACGCCCACCGCACTATCTCCTCGGCATCCGGCTGCAGATTCGGGAACCACTTTCGGAGTTTGGAGATCGTCGAGCGGTTTTAATTCGACTCCATCAGTTCACTCCAGTGTATATCACTTTTTCCACCCCGCCGGAACTGTCTTGCAGAAAGCCACTAACTACTAGTGCCATCCGGCCTTCCCGTGGCTTTGGCAGTCCTGCCAGTCCTCAGTACGAGTGCGAATCCTTTCGTTCAATGGACGTTCTTTAGCGGAGGACATTCATGATCCATAATTGCGAGGATTAATTCCAGCGAGTTGAGTCTAGTAGGCTAGGACCTTCAGGTAGTTGATCCAGCAGGCGAGCTAGTCTCTCCGCTAGTATTCCTCTAGCCAACTTACCTTCATTACCATTGGATCCGGTGTGAAAAGCTTGTGTACGAGATCCGTTGATCCACCCGCAACTATCGAGCACCATGCCAATCTGCTGCAGCTTTGAGAGCACTACCACTTCCATCTGAAGTAATGATCGGAGTTTCTCCGCGAGAGCTTGATGGATCGGGGCCAGTCCCGGGCTCCAGCGTCACCACACGATCTTGATGCACAATCCCATAGTCAAGTTGGGTCTTGAGCACGGTCCTAGCGTAGGAAGTGCCATCAACCCGACGGTGGAGCGGGCGGCAGCTGAGGTGCCATGAGCGGTTCGCTTTACTCGTGCTGCATCGGAGATCCCGCCGCCTCAAAAAGGAAAACAAGTGGGAATATACGACAAAAAACAAAAATCGAAAAAGTAATTCAATGCATAGCAAGGCAAACGACCCTGCAGGCTAAGCGAATCTATCACATCGTCACGACAACCGAATGCGGGAAGATTTGGTCGAGAACAACCAGGCTTTCCAGTGTCCGAGGATCAGTGTTTCATCCAGCAACCAGAATGGCCTGGTCTCCACTATGGGAATCATAGGGTTGGCGTCCAAAGCTATAAGGACCGATAGAGCTGCCACCCTCCCAATCATGGCCGTACAGTCTCTATCGCCTTCATTCTCTCTTTATCCCTTCGTGTCCTGACCGACCTTGGCAGCCCACTGATCATCAGTTGAGCCACAGGATTTTTTACAAGCCACCATGACTGTCCTCAAGGAGCCCATTGCCATTGTTGGCAGCGCCTGCCGGTTTCCCGGAGGTTGTAATACCCCGTCCAAGCTCTGGGAGATGTTGAAAGAAAAGCGAGACGTCCTGCAGAAGATTCCCAAAGAACGCTATAACCCCGATGTGTTCTACCATCCCGAGCCGACGCACCATGGCACTTCCAATGCCCGATATTCATACCTGCTGGACCAAGACCCAGGCGAGTTTGACGCCAACTTTTTTAATATTCCTCCAAAGGAAGCCGAATGCATTGATCCGCAACAGAGGCTCCTCATGGAGACGGTCTACGATGGCATATCTGCTGCCGGCCTACCCATGGAGAAGCTCCGCGGGTCCGACACGGCCGTCTACGTGGGCCAGATGTGCGATGACTGGATTAGCATCATCCAGAATCAACCTGATGAAGTCCCGCCATACACCGCCACGGGTTCGTCCCGAAGTATCATGGCCAATCGAGTCTCATACTTTTTCGACTGGCATGGCCCATGCATGAACATCGACACGGCATGCTCATCCAGTCTGGTGGCTGTCCACGAAGCAGTCCAGACCCTGCGGAGTGGTCACTCAACGGTCGCTGTGGCGGCTGGTGCCAACCTGTTAATTCATCCCGGTATGTTGGTCCTTCATGCCTTTCTTCCAGCAGAGGTAACCTCGTGCACTAACATGATATCTAGTTGGATATGTCTCCGAGAGTAACCTCCGGATGCTGTCCTCGTCTGGTCGATGCCGGATGTGGGATGCCTCAGGTGATGGATACGGTCGTGGTGAGGGGATTGCTTGTGTGGTGCTCAAGACCCTGAGCCAGGCCCAGCGAGACAATGACCACATCGAGTGCATCATCCGCGAGACTGGCGTCAACCAGGATGGCCGAACTTCCGGGATCACCATGCCCAGCAACATCGCCCAGGCACAGCTGATTCGCGATACCTACCGTCGCGCCGGGCTCGATGTGCACAACCCGCTGGACCAGCCGCAGTTTTTCCACGCCCACGGCACGGGCACCAAGGCAGGAGACCCGCAAGAGGCAACGGCAATTTACCGCGCATTCTTCACGGAGGATACGGAGCCTGAGCAAAGGCTGCTGGTGGGCTCGATCAAGACACACATCGGCCATACGGAGGGCACAGCAGGAGTCGCCAGTGTCATCGGTACTTCACTAGCCTTGCAGCATAGGGCGGTTCCTCCCAATATGCACTTCAAGAACTTGAATCCGGATATTGTCCCATTCTACGGCGCCTTGGAGGTCCCTACCTCGCTCAAGGAATGGCCGGCGCTGAAGCCCGGTCAGGTCCCCCGAGCGAGTGTCAACAGTTTCGGTAAGAACATTTTGTAGAGGAGTCCGTATTGATGTCGTGAGGAGACTAAAGGAAGCAACCAGGATTTGGTGGCACCAATGCCCACGCCATCATGGAGGCCTACATTCCGCCCGAGACACCGCGGCCTGAGCCGTCCCAGTCGTCGACTTTGTACACACCGTTACTCTTCTCAGCAAGCTCGGCCACATCTCTCCGGGCGATGATCGCCAATCACCTCGACTACTTGGCTGACAAGCCCGCAACTAGCATCCGTGACCTCGCATGGACGCTGCAACATCATCGCTCAACCTTGCCTTACAGGAAGGCCATCACCGGATCAGATTATGAGGCTATTGTCGCTCAAATGGAGAGTGTGGTATCTGCCGACAATGCTGATTTGAACACTCGGTTCACCCAAGCATCGGAGCCTCAGATTCTGGGTGTGTTTACTGGTCAGGGTGCCCAGTGGCCTCGGATGGGTGCGCGCTTACTGGAGTCGTCCAGCTTTGTGCGCAACCAAATTGCTTTCTTAGACGAGTGCCTGGCCACCCTGCCTGAAGGTGATCGACCAGATTGGACCCTTCGTGACCAGATCTTGGCCGCAGGCCAAGCCTCCAGGGTCACGGAAGCGGCCATCTCCCAGCCTCTCTGCACTGCTGTCCAGGTCGTTCTCGTGGATCTTCTTCAGGCAGCGGGGATCAAATTTCGTGCAGTGGTTGGCCATTCTTCGGGTAAGCTTTCTTTTCTGTATCCCTGATTGCAAAATGCCTGCTAATTGAGCGTAGGTGAAATCGGTGCGGCGTATGCGTCTGGCCTGCTCTCCGCCCGTGATGCCATCCGGGTGGCATACCTCCGTGGTGTCTACGCGAAGCTCGCAGCTTCTCCGAATGGGGCGAAGGGTAGTATGGCCGCCATTGGTGCGTCGGTCGAAGAGGCGGAGGAGCTCTGTGACCGTGAGGAAATCAAGGGCCGCATTTCTATCGCGGCGCTCAACTCGGGATCGAGCATCACGCTGTCCGGAGACGAGGATGCCATTCAAACGGCGGTGGATATTTTCGCCGGTGAAGGCAAGTTTGCCCGTCGCTTGCGGGTGGACACAGCCTACCATTCGGCCCACATGCAGCCTTGCGCCGGTCCATATCTCCAGGCTATGGAGCGCTGTGGCATTGCAGTGCAACCACCTTCAGGTGACCGACCGACTTGGTTTTCCAGTGTTTACCGGGATACCGTCATGAACGACAGCAACCTGACCCCTGAGTACTGGGTCCACAACATGGTGCAGTCTGTTCTCTTCTCGCCGGCCATTGTAACGGCTGCCCAGGAGACGAAGGAACTCACCATCGGTATCGAAGTGGGGCCTCATCCTGCTCTCAAGGGCCCTGCCTTGGATTCACTAGGCCAGGTGGACATGCAGATCCCTTATACCGGACTGCTGAGCCGTGGGAAGAATGACGTGGAGGAGCTTTCGTCCGCTATGGGATACCTCTGGACTCAGCTTGGCTCAGGCGTGGTCAACTTCGACGGATTAGAGCGCGCTTTGAACGAGGATAAGGACCCTAAAACCCTCCTTGTCGATCTCCCCAGCTACCCATTCGACCACCAGAACCGCTACTGGACCGAAAGTCGCACATGGCGATCTAGCCGAATGTCGGACGCATATTTCCATCCCTTGTTAGGATCATCTGTCGCTACCACGCGGAGCTCGAATAACGCGCAGTGGAAGAACCTCCTCAAGCCGGCCGAGATCCCATGGCTACAGGGACATCGACTGCAGGGTCAGCTGATTCTACCCGCGACCGCGTACATCGTCATGGCTTTGGAAGCTATCAAAGCGGTGGCTGGCGATGCGGCCATCGCGCTGTTCCGAATGACTGATTTGGTGCTGAAACGCGCCATTGTGTTCAATGATGACAACGCCAGCATGGAAACTATATTCAGCCTGCAAATCCTGGAATCCGACGAGTCGCACATTATGGCCAAATTCAGCGTTCACTCCGCGGCTCAGGGAGATCTGTCCTTGCGGGTCAATGTGGAAGGCTCTATTGAAGTGGAACTGGGCCAATCCTTCCCGAACAAACTGCCATTACATGAACATGACAAGTACTACAATATAAATGAGCAAGACCCGGAGATGTTCTATGCTGAACTCCAAAAGGTCGGCTATCAGTACTCGCCACCCTTCCAGGGAATCACCAGCATCCACCGCCGCCTGAACTTTGCTCACGGCACTCTGGACGATCAGTCCGGTGAGAACTGGGAGGATCAGCTGATCGTGCATCCGGGCATGCTAGACACGGCTTTGCAGACGATCTTCGCGGCGTACTCGGCCCCTCAGGACGGAAGGCTCTGGTCCACTCATGTGCCAACTCGAATCGCATCGATCGAATTCAACCCCCATTTTGTCTTTAACCAAGCTGCCAAGCAGAAAGTCATTCCATGGGAGAGTAACATCGTCGATCAGGTCTCCAGCGCAATCGAGGGCTCTTTCAATCTTCTCACTGAAGACCGGAAGCATAGCTTCCTGCAGGCCGAGGGCGTTGCAGTGTCACCATTCAGTCCTGCACAGGCTCAGGATGATCGCCATCTGCTGACGCATTTCAGATGGCTTTCGGCCCACCCGAATGCTGCTGAGCTAGAGGCTGGCAAGGAGTCTGGCGTTTTGAATGCGTCGGTGACCGAAGATGTGGAGCGAATTGCTCTGTACTATCTGCACAACTTGTGCAAAACGAGTACCGAGGATGACCGAAAGAATGCGCTGCCGCATCATCAGCAGCTACTCAGGTGGGCAGATTCCGTTATTAACCAAGTATCAGCAGGCAAACATCCATTCGTAGCCAAGGCATGGCTGTCCGACACTGAGCAGCAGATCCAGGAACTGATCAACCGGTGAGTTCCCCGCCTGCGATGCATTCCTTGTAAGCCGCCTGCATGCTTATCCTCAATACAGCCACCACGATTCCGTGGAAGCAAAACTGGTGGCCGAAATTGGCTTGAGTCTGCCGCTTGTCATCCAAGAGCAGGGTGTCCTCGCGCACTACATCGCCGTGGACGAGGAAGCGCCTACCATCAAACTGTCAAACGAGCGTCTAGCCAATTTGGTCAAGCAGATCACCCACCGTTACCCGCGCATGCATATTCTGGAAATTGGTACGTCCTGCCTGGGATTGGAAAGGAGGTCGCTAACCACATACAGGATCTGGAACCGGGACTGCGGCCGAGACCATTGTTTCCTCACTGGGAGATGCCTTCTCTTCTTATACATTCACCGATGTCTCGGATGACCTCTTCAGTGAAGCTGAGTTTCGCTTCCACCAGTTCGAAGATCGTATGGTCTTCAAGACCTTGGACATCCAGCAGGAGCCGACTGCTCAGGGCTTTACCGCTGGCAAATACGACCTGGTCCTAGTAGCCAATAGGTTGCAGACGGCCAAGGACCAGGAGCAGGTTCTGTCCAATGTTCGCCAACTATTGAAGCCCGGTGGATATCTCATCAGCGCCAACCCAACGACTAATGACTCGTTGCGCCTCGGTCTCATCATGAGCGATCGTCCTGAATGGTGGGCCGGTGCCGCCTCGGGCCGGTTGACCATGGATAGCTGGAGTAGGCTCCTGCGCCAATGTCAGTTTGCTGGCATTGAGACTTGCACACCTGTCCACGACGTCCTCCATGGCATTCCTATCTGGGCTGCCCAAGCGGTGGATGAACGCGTGCGACTGTTGCGAAACCCTCTGGACGCATCAGAGGAGTTTCCGGAGGACGTGCCTCCCTTGGTCGTTATCGGTGGAAGAACCTTGGCCACCATGCAGCTGGTGGAGCAGATTGCTTCTCTGCTGTCGACCAAGTTCCCGGATGTCACTTGCGTCTCTTCGCTAGAGGCCTTGAATACCACCCCCATCTCACCCGAAGCTACTGTGCTGAGTCTCGCAGACCTGGATGGGCCAGTGATGAGATCATGGTCTGCCGACAAGCTAGAGGCCATGAAATCCCTCTGGGACCAAGCGGCGAAGGTCCTGTGGGTTACCAAGGGGGCTCGGTTCAATGAGCCGTATTCCAGCATGATGGCGGGTATCGCGCGAGTCATCAGAATGGAAAAGGACATCAATGTGCAGCTGTTAGATGTTGGCTCCGTTGATCAGAGCACTGCGTACTCGGTGTGCGAAACGTTGCTGAGACACCATGTGCTTCTCAGCTGGTCGTCAGATAACTCGACCGAGAACCTTTTGTGGAGCATTGAGAATGAACTGGCTGTGGATGGCCAGCAGACGCTCATCCCGCGGCTGTATTTCAGTGAGCTGGAAAATCTGCGGATGAACTCTGCTCGCCGTGCCATTGTGCATGAGGTGGATCCAGCCACTGCTACTTTGCGGCTGGCCAGTGCAGGTGACTCCTACCAGCTGGAAGAGGTTTCCCCCTTGCGAGTTGCCCCTTCACTGCCCACCATCCGCGTGCGCCAATCCTTGCTACAATTCCTCAAGCTCGGCTCGAATGGCTCTTTCATGCTCTGCATTGGCACACGGCAGGATGATTCTCAAGCCACGGTTCTGGCCGTGACACAGACAACCGAATCTCCGGTCCCCGTGGAGCCTACTTGGGCTATCGAGATCCCCTCCTCGCTCGAGTTTGGCCGTTTGGCGCTGATTACCGTGGCCGCCCGCATCGTTACCCAGCAGATCTTGGCCATGGTGCCTAAGAATGGCGCCCTAGTGGTCCATGAGCCAGACAACGTACTCCGAATCGCCATTGCGGATGCAGCAGAGAAGAGCCGGGTGAATGTGTGGTTTACCACCTGCCAACCTGGTCGTGACTCCAACTGGACGTACCTGCACCCTGCGCTTCCCGCCCGCCTGGTTAAGGAAAAGGTTCCGAGTGAGGTCTCTGTTTTCATCAACCTCGAGGCTTCCAATGGACCGGGTGCCCGTGTGGCCGAGGCCATTGCAGGCTGTGTACCTGCGTACGGCGAGCAGGCCTCGGCAGCCACCTTTTTCACCAACCAGTTGTATGCCCGCTCGGAAGCTGACCCGGCTGTCCTCGGCGATCTTCTTCAGGATGCGTGGCAGTTTGCCTCCTCGGCCAGCTTGGCCTTCGACCTGACCGAGTCTATTCCACTAGGGGAGGTCTCGTTCCACAACCCGGTCGGGGAAGCCATCCAGTTGGTTGACTGGAACACCCCGACAGTGCCAGTTCATCTTAGACCAGTGGACGATGGCCCGATCTTCCGCCGTGATCGGACATATCTGATGATCGGTCTCGCGGGAGAGCTTGGCCAGTCTCTCTGCCACTGGATGGCCCAGAGGGGGGCTGGTTTTATCGTCCTAGCGAGTCGTAACCCCAAGGTCGATCCCGCATTCTTGCGCACTGCTGAAGACCTAGGCGCCACTGTTCGGCCCCTTTCACTGTAAACTTTACACCCCTCCTGCCACATACTTGATGCTCATGCTAACCTCACTTTAGGGATATCACCAGTCGGGAATCTCTTCAACGCTTCCTCCGGGAGGTCAAGCGCAGCATGCCTCCCATTGCCGGTGTGGCTAACGGCGCCATGATCATGGAGGACGTGCAATTCGAGAACCTGGAGTTTGAAAGCATGGAACGGTCAATGAAACCGAAGGTGCTTGGAAGCAAGCTGCTCGATCAGGCCTTCTATGACACTCCTCTGGACTTCTTCATCATGTTCTCCTCCATCTCGGCGGTCTTTGGTAATACGGGACAGACCAGCTATGCCGCAGCTAACATGTACATGGTTGGCCTGGCCTTCAATAGGCGCAAGCGTGGAGTTGCTGGCTCCGTGGTCGCCTACAGTGCCCTGATGGGCTTGGGATACATCAATCGCTCCGATGACGTCACGGGTGAATATTTCAATTCGATGGGCGTGACTCTCATGTCCGAGACGGATTTCCAATATGCTTTTGCGGAGGCCATCAAGGAGGGTCGCGCAAACTGCCACGACCGCGCAGAGATTGTGACTGGCATCGGTCCGGCGGTTTTGAGCGATCTCATTCGTGACCGTTACCGAGATGATCCTCGTTTCTCCCACGTCAATCTTGAGCGCCGCGGCGGACAAGCAGACTCGGGTTCAGGAGCCAACTCATCGGTCAGGAGCCAGCTGCAAGGAGCCCGGTCGGTAGAGGAGGTCGAGCAGATTATCCTTGGTACGTATGCTACTAGTTGTCGGACACGGCAAACTCGGCTAACGCTTGCTTTCACTTAGATGCCTTCATTGCGCGATTGAAAACCCTGCTTCAAATGTCCGCTGGCCAGCCCCTGGATGCCAATAGCACGCTGGTTGAGCAAGGCATTGATTCCTTGGTTGCAATTGACATTCGTGGATGGTTTGGTCGCGAGCTGGAGCTTGATATGCCAGTCATCAAGATCCTGGGGGGCTCTTCCATCGCCGATCTGATCAAGAACAGTCTTGGAGACATCCCCGAGACCGTCGTCGATTTGAATAACCTGTCTGGCGATGGCCCGTCTGAGCCTGCCAAGCCAGCAGCGCCTGCCGTCTCCGCCTCTGTTCCGGAGAAGAAGCCACCTGCTACACCCGCCAAAAAGCGCATTCCCGAGCCGGCTAGCCCTCTCTCGGACAGCAAGAGCTCAGTCTCTTCCGGCTCAGACAGTGAGAGTGTCAGAACGCCATCAATTGATGGGCATAGCGACACCGAGCCGGAAGACGTGGGTCCATCTGAGCCCTTGATCGATATGAATCTGCGTCAATCCATCATCGAATCGGCCACCGAGAAGATTGTCCCCATGTCTTTTGGCCAAGCCCGATTCTGGTTCATGCAACACGCCTTGCAGGACCCTTCCGCCTTCAACATGGGTCTTTGCTGGCGCCTTGATGGTTCGCTAGACATTTCCAGATTCAGGAAGGTGGTTTCCACGGTCGCAGACCGACATGAAGGAATGCGCACCCGCTTTTTCTGGGGAGGTGAGAACCAGGATGTTCCGATGCAAGGAATCCTATCGCGGTCGATCATTCAGCTTGAAGCCAAGCAGATCACCAACAAAGACGAGGTCTATCGGGACTTGGAAGCTATTCGACACTATGTCTATGACCTCGGCGACTGGCAGCTTGTGAGAATCCGCATTCTGTCATTGTCCGCTACAGAGCACTACATGATCATTGGCAACCACCATATCACGATCGATGGCTTTAGTGTCTCGTTGTTCGTCGACGAGGTCAACAAACTCTATCTGGGACAGAGCCTACCTCCGGTTCCCAAGGAGTCGCAGTACTCTTTCTTTGCAGAGAAACAGCGCCAGGATTACAGCCGGGGACGCTTCCAGAAGGACATCGACTATTACAAGAACATCGTTCCGGAAAATAATCCGCCGCTCGAGTTGTTCCCCTTCGCCAAAGTCCAAGCGAGACCGGAACAGACCCAGTACCGGTAAGTAAACGTGAATGCGAGAAACCCATGATTACTGACCAAAAGGTATAGCACCTATCGATCCGAAGTACGCCTCTCTCAGAAGCAAGTTTCTCTGCTGAAGAATGTCTCGAAAAAGAGCAAATCGACCACCTCTAACCTCTATACTGCCCTCCTGGGTGTGCTTCTGTTCCGCCTGTTGCCTAACACCAAGCAACTGATGATTGGAATTGTCGATGCCAACCGCAGTGACCTGGCTTTGACGAGGACCGTGGGCTGCGTGCTGAATACGTTACCCATCCGATTGGACAGGCCAGACAGCAATACCAAGCTTGAATCATTAACCCAGACGGTGCAGAAAGCAGTCTATGGCGCTCTTGAGCACTCATCCGTGCCATTTGATGTCCTGGTCAACGAGCTGAAAGTGGATCGCTCGGCAAATGCACCACCTGTGTTTCAGGTGCTGATGGACTATCGGATTGGCAGTCGGGAGCGGGACGTATTCTGCAAGACTAACACTGTCCGCGAGATGTTCCACAATGCTGGCACTGCATTTGACCTCCACTTGGACATTGTCGAGAATCTCGAGGGGGATGCTTTGGTTACCTTGGAGGTGCAGCAGAGTCTATACAGCCAAGAGCACGCGGACCTTCTCGCCAATACCTATGTGAACCTAACCAAGCAGCTCACTGCGGCCCCAGAAACCCCGCTCGAGTCTGCTGAGCTGTGGTCATCCGAAGACATCTCGACTGCTCTACGACTCGCTACAGGTTTGCGACCTCTTCCTCCTCTTCTATCCTTGTACTCACTGACTTTGTTCCTATAGGCCCTGCGGCACCTATGCAATGGCCTCAGACTGTTGCTCACCGAATCGATCAAATGGTCCAGCAAAATGGACAGAAGCCTGCCCTCAAGGATGGCAGTGGCAGGAGCTTAACCTACAAGGAGATGGGCCGACGCATTGACTCGATCGCCGAGATTTTGCGCAAGGCAGACACTCCCAAGGGCGCCGTGATTGGTGTGATGCAAGAGCCTGGTGTTGACTGGATCTGCTCGATGCTGGCCATTTTCCGTGTTGGTGCGGTCTACGTGCCATTGGATCTACGCAATTCAATCCACCGGACGAAGAGTGCGATTCAAACCACCAAACCCGTGGCGTTGCTCGTCGATCAAGCCACACTCAGCACCGCCGAGTCTCTTGGTGATGCCAAGCCTACGGTGATAAATGTCTCTTCGGTGGCCACGGACGCCGATGCCAAGCGCACGCCGAACCTGGCTGTGGGCGACTCCCCCGCGGTCATCCTGTTCACGAGTGGTTCCACTGCTGAGCCCAAGGGCATTCTTATCAATCATGCGCACATGATCTCCCAGCTTGAGGCCTGTTCAATGCAATACAACTTCTCCGATGAGAGGCCTCTGGTGGCTCTTCAGCAGTCGGCCTATTCCTTTGATTTGTCGCTTATCCAGACCTTTGACGCTCTGTGCAACGGAGGAAGCCTCATCGTTTTACCCGCCGACAAGCGCGGTGATCCCACTGAGATCGCTAAAACCATTCAAAAGGAAAAGATCAGTTATACCATGGCGACCCCATCCGAGTACCAGATGTGGCTCAGTTTTGCGGCAGAGCAACTTCAGCAGTGCCCCGACTGGACCCTTGTTGCTATGGCAGGTGAAGGAATCCCATCCCGTCTCGTGCAAAGCTTCCGCGCTCTGGACATGCCGTCTCTCCAGATTCTCAATTGCTACGGTCCCGCTGAGACATCTATCGGATCTACCTGGCAGGGTTTGATTGACTATCGCAACCCAGACCTTGAGTTCCCTCTGTCCGCAGGATATCCTTCGCCCAACGAGGCGATGTATATCGTCGATACCGAGCTGCGGCCTGTTCCCGTTGGTGTTCCTGGCGAGGTCCTAATTGGAGGTGCCGGTGTGGCCGCTGGCTATCTCAACATGGATACGGCGACCAAGGAAAAGTTCATCCCATCCCCTTTTGCCCATCTCGATAGCAACTTCACTAAGAACAACTGGACCACCGTTTACCGCACAGGCGACTGCGGCTACCTGCGGAAGGACGGTACCCTTGTTCTGGTCGGGCGCATGAATGGAGACACCCAGGTCAAGATTCGCGGCTTCCGAGTTGAATTGGGAGAGGTTGAAAACGCCTTGGTTGAGACTGCCGGCGGTCGACTGACCAACGCTGTGGTCACCTTGAGAGAACAAGACGACGTCCAGTTGCTGGTTGCACATGTCGTTTTCTCTGCTTCGAACCCTCCCGCTAACCCCCAGGAATTCTTGGACAATCTCCGAATGCGTCTACCCGTGCCGGACTATATGGTTCCCTCCGCCATTGTGGCCCTTGAGAAATTGCCCTTGAACGCGCACTCCAAGGTGGACCGTGGTGCTATCCGTCAGCTGCCTATCGAAGTCTCGACCGAGCCCAACGCAGCGCCTTCGACTGACCGAGATATGACCCCGATGGAAGCCAGTCTCGCAGAGGTTTGGCAACGGGTTCTTCCTGCCTCGGGCTCGCTCGCCCTCACACCGAACTCCAACTTCTTCCAAGTCGGCGGTACCTCTTTGCTGGTTGTGAAACTGCAGAGGGCGATCAAGGAGCAATACCAGGTCTCAGTCCGAGTGAACGAGCTCGTGGCCGCCAAGAAACTTGCGGATATCGCCCTTATAATCGAGGACAGAGAGGCCCCTGCGCAGATCGATTGGGAAGCGGAGACCGCAATTCCTGAAGCTTGGGCCGACGAGTTTAGCGTTCCCCAACAGACACCACGCTCCGAGCAGGATGGTCTCCGGATTCTGGTGACGGGCGCCACCGGGTTCATTGGCCGACACACTCTTCCTAGTCTGATCGAGTCCCCCAAGGTATCCCAGGTATTCTGTCTTGTCCGTACTGGATCGGACACCGATGCCCTCAAATCCTCGGACAAGGTCACCCTTCTCACCGGTGATCTCGCCGCACCTAATCTCGGCCTAGACGTCATCGAGTTCAACCGGATGTCTGCCGAGGCGGATCTCATCCTGCACTTCGGTGCCAATCGCTCCTTCTGGGATGACTATGGTGCTCTGCGCAGTGCCAACATCAATGCGGTCAAGGATCTCGCTCGCCTTGCTCTTCCTCGTCGCATCCCATTCCACATGATGTCATCCGGCGCCGCTGGAATCTTCAACGACTCTGCAATCCGGGCCGTCTATGAAACCGACGCAACTCTCCCGGCGAGTGGCACCCCACCGCAGGATGGCAGCGATGGCTATGTGGCCTCAAAATGGGCGGCCGAGCGCTTCTTGACCAAGGTGTCCGAGCAGCTGCAACTGCCGGTGACCTTGCACCGATTTTCCCCGGTCCCTGGAATGGAACCTACCACCGAAAACGTGGCGCCCGACTCCGACGAGGTGATCAACGAGATGGTGGCCATCACCAATCGACTGCAACTCCGCCCCGCCCTTCACCTCGTGAACGGCTGGCTTGATCTCGTCCCCTCCGACTCGATTGCTCGCGATATCACCGCGGCTGTCCTGGACCGAGCGGACGATGCTACCCTCACCACCCTGTCCCATGCAGGAGCCATGCGCAGTACCTGGTTCCGCTTCAGGCAGGTTATTGAAGGAGACGAGGAACTGATGAAATTGCCGGAAATTTCGGCTTTGCTGTGGATTGGTCAGGCCAAGAAGGCTGGCATGAGCTATGTGATGGCGTCTCATCATCTGCTGATCCAGACTGAGACTGGCGATTTGTTCACCAGACGGTGATGTATCTAGATTGCGCATACTTGTACAGAGTGTAGGGGTATCTACCCGATTAATGGAGTATATTGATTGACGTCGTGTTCCGTGAATTTCCTTGAGCATGGATCGTGGTAAAAGTATGCTTCTAGAGATAAGTGTTAGGTTTCTGTTAGACTTCTTCCATAGATTTGTCAGTCTCGGTCAGTAATACTGAGTATACCCTTCAACAAAATACACCCCATGTCTGGTAAACATCCTAGGTATTTCTTTCACGTTGTATTAAGCATGATGTGTGTATATGACTCAATTTTCCCTACGATAAACTCGTATGATAGTGTAAATATACCCGAAGACCTACTTCGTACGATCGAGATGCCTTTTCTCTCCTCTCCGGCCGACGGATCAACCCACTTTTTCCAGTTTTCCCCTCCCCTGATTCCCTATGATTTTCTTCTCCGCTAGCTATGTCTGCATCTGTGCCGATTTCAATCCTGTCAGTCCCTTCCCCGGAAAGAAACTTGTCTCGACGATCTGCCCTCCTGGATTTAAGAAAATCCCGACTCCCACAATAGCTAACCAAGGTTCTTATTGCTCTAACTTACTATCAAACGGTTAAACTTGGTAGATCCATCCATCTCCATTAACACAGAATGCTGTTTGTGAAATCACAATCGGTACCGACGTTCACTCGTACATGGGGAGGTGCTGGAGGACTGAGCGGGTGGCTTCGGGCTATAGCGATGAACGTCGGCTTTTGGACTTGCCTCTAGCAGCTGCGGAATCGATAGTAATCTGCTCGTGGGATTTTTTTTTTTTTTTTTTTTTTTTTTTTTTTTCGAGAATGAATATCGAAACTATCATA